CTAAATATACCTATACATCCTAAACATAGATATATTTCAAATGTCTGTACCAACAGATTGATATAATTACAAAATAAAACAACAGAATAAACTGATTCGCTTTATTACAATACACATTAAAATAATAATTATTGCATTAAAAAAAAACAAGTTAATCGTTGTTTATTTAAATATATATCTTTAAATAGTCTCGTCTTATGCTAAGGCTTGCACGTAAAACTGCGTGCGGACTAGGGAACGCTACACTACGCGGAGCGGCGGTCGAGCTCATACAGGACTTAGAAGACCACAAGTTGAGACCATGTGGGCAAAGTATTAATACTTAGTACATGCTGATCTTTTTTTCGACTACTCTAATGCTGTTAGCCGCAGGTGGCCTTTACAGCTTCACCTGACGATAGGTGAACAAATGTAGTTGGCATTCTAAACCAAAGGAAGGACTTATGGAGCGGCTGAAGGCCAACTCCCGCCTATATATACTGATCGTCTTAAACCAGCCTTATCTGTATCGTAAAAATAATCGGATGTTACGATACTCGTCATAACGAGTATCGGTTATTTTCATTTATAATTAATGACATCCGATAATACAAAAATATAACATTTGAGATTTTTTGTATATTAAAAGAGTATTTGCAGTTGTCTATCTGTGCTTCACAATATTCTAAAGCGATACAAAAATGTGCCAAATAATTTTAATTAAGTTACAATATTGTTGATTTTCTCTCAGTGCAAAATGAGTTTTTTATTCATCTTTACATGATAATAAAATAAAGTATTACAAACTTTATTGTCATTTTTTTATGTCATTTCTAACAACTTACATACAATACATAGTATTGTAATTATATGAGTGACAGTTGTTGACATTATATTAATAATTCTTTTTACTTAAATTTTTCCTTTCACTAGTGTCGTTTGACCGCCGGCTCCAGACGCCCGACGTGGGGCACGCGTGCTTTTAATCACAAACTCTTTACCTCCACAATGGATAGGTTTCGTAATGATGCGAAATGACTACATTAGCAATACTGAGTATTTTACTTAATATATTTATTTAACTTGGGAAATGGCGGCTTCATATCTTTTTCTTCTAAATGAATCGTTCTTTCAAGGTTCTTTCTAATCTACCAGTACTTAATTTGTAAATTGCAAACTGTTTCACTCCTTTTTTATTCAAATACCTTAAAAGACCGATTGATTTAATCGATTAATCGATTGAAACAAACGGAAGTGGAAATACGTTTTTAATTGGAAAATCTGTTACATAATATTTTTTATACAAAAATACTAGGTAAACGATTACCGTAGAATACTAACACCTAAAACAAGATGTCAGGTCCTCCTTGCCAACCTCAAAATAAATATAAGCCTATGATTTCAACAAAGTCTAATTACAAAATCTATCCATTATGGAGTGATCAAGCACAATACAAGGGGGAACATAAGCAAACGTGATCAGGCAATACGACGCAATCGCACGTAACCACGTTTCAGCCTATCGCATACGAAAATTATATTAAGAAAATTATGAACAATTATTCTTATTGAGAAAATAAATGTACAAAAATTATTTTGCAGGAAATTAAGAATTAATATTTTTGAATTCATGTCTCTTGTTACCGAGAGAATAAGTGTATTGTATTTATAAAACTATACTATATTAAACTTCATTCAAAGATGTTTATAATTGTAAACATTATAAAAAGCGACATAAGTATACTATAATGTATAATTTTACGAGTTGATTCGTGACCAGAATAAGGAATAATATTTATTCAAGTAAACTTCAATTTAAGCACTTTTGCATAGTATTCTTTTTAATCTACCATTCATTGACATTGTAATTTCAGTCAAGAAAAATGAGTAAGAAACTTGCCTGTTGCTCCTTTAATATTTACATTTTAGGTCAAAATATTAGATATACAATTGGTTGAATGACACAGATAATCTTTACATAGTATAAATTACTTTAGACATTTTAATTAATTAGGTAATGGATTTTAATGCAGTTTTTAACAATAGATAGAATGAGTCAAGAGGAAGGGTTATATGTATAATACATGCGTCGAGAACAAGCTGAGAAATCCAAGTAATTGTAATGCATCTACGCAAAGTCGGGAGTCGCTAGTTGTTTTATAATGAAAGATAAAATGATAATATTTTTAGTACATCGACGAATATCGGAAGCTTATAAAAAATCATATATATATTAAATTATAAAATGAGTACAACTTTCTAAACATTCAATATCTTAAATTTAGTAGTTTAGTATTTTTTTTCCTATTTAATCATAAATTGAAGGGAAGTGTTAGTGGCACCTGTCTGTGTAAGGCCTAAATATATTTGGTGATGTTAAGTTGTAAGAGTGGAAATAAAATAAATTAATATAAAGTATTTAGTATTTTACTGTATAAATATTCTCTTGATATTATCAAGAGAACATTTGTACAGTTGTGTCGTATGCGATAGGCTTTATATTATACAATTCGCTATTCGTAACTCCTCAACCATTGACGATCTAAAAGCAATAACAAAATACGATTAAACTATAGATTTGGTCGAAACTAACATAAATTACATTGTACATTTATAATTACTTTTAATATATAAGCAGCATAATTTATAATATTCTAATACAATATGTATAAAATATATAAACTAATTTCATCTATTATATTTCTACGTTACACGAAGAAAACCTTTAGTATCGAAAAACAAAATTCGACTTAAATACATACTGAATTCAGGGTTCAAATTTTAAAATCATATCACAAAAAAAGCGTACGCTCACAATTTTAATGTTATATTCAAGCAATTAAGTCGAAATTCGTTTGTTGATACGAGAGACTCTCCTCGTGATACGTAGACGAAAGTAAAATATTTCCGCAAAATTATTGTTACGTAATGTCTCTTATACAATAAATATATATATAATACACGATATTTACATTTGTTTGCACTATAATCGTCACTATAAACAAGAATCCTTACAACAGTCATGTGACCGTCCGGTACGTTAAAGCAAGCGGAAACGTGTGAAACCAACCAATCGCACTTCATAAACTAAGTATGTGACCATAACAAGTATATAATAATACCACTTTGGTTTTTTTTTACCATTAAATTGGCGATTAATAATATCTAGTGTGTAAGGATCGTAGCCTTGGCACTCATCTGTTGTTTCTACCTAACCCCAATAGATTTTCCATGAAAATAAATATAGTTTTTGTCATAAATATACACACATTTCGAGGGCTTAGTCCAAACTTTTGCAGTAACAGTGTTACCAACTTTCAACACTTGTTGCAAAGGAGTCTCTAACGTATAGCCCCAATATAAAATATTCTCAATAAGATAGATAGTTAGAAGATATTGGGAAAGTTTGTCAAAAAATCTCGTAGCTATAGGAGCATTTTTGTACGGGTATGAGATACGATGAGAAACGATTTTTTATGTGATGGCAACCCAGGGTGTGGTAGGTAGAAATGTACAATCAGAGGAATGCCAAATGCTCCGATACAAACGTATATCTTATGCCTTCATAAAGTTCATCATATATTCACAACGGTTTGCAGTTACGCATATTTTAACTATTTACATAATTTTCAGAATTCAATTTTATAAAAAAAAAGACAAATAAGTGAGAAGCTAACCCTATGTTGCCAGGGTCCCGATTACCCTAAATAATCGCAATTCTTCCTTAGGGGCCATTTATAAATTACGTTACACAAATGTAATGCTTTTGGTGGGGACTATTCTGACGTCACATAATTTGCAATCCACTATAAAAATATTTTTAAGCTTTTCTTAAGATCAAATTTGCTGTATTTTGAAATATGCCGCCACAAAATTAATGAACCTTCCAACTCTTGTTACACTTTGTCAATTCCTTCCCTCTCCCCTTAACATAAGACGTAATTTATGGATGCCCCCTAATTCAAAATAGTTCCATACAATCAGACTTAAGAAAATAATTTTATAAACCTTGTAATGAATGAAAAAAAAATGAATGTACCTAATGTACCGTATGTGACCCTTATAACCCTACACTGAAAGAACTGAACGTGAAATTTGTGCCATAAAATGAATGAGTTGTGTTGTGTATTTAAATCTAATAATACCCTCACAGTCAAAATTAGAGATATGGCACCAACGGTGGTATAATGAGTTCGCCTCATTATAAAGGTTCATTACACTATACCATTCTCTCTCAACCTCAGTATTGTGACATTTGTGAAGGCTGCGTCCAGTATTACAAGTAATAAAAACCCGATCAACGTCTCAAAGGAAATAGAAATAATCTTTATTCAAATATTGTTTCTATTTCCTTTGTTTCAAAGGTTGATATGATCACTGGTCAGTATGCCTTATACATCTAGGGTTGTCACACAAATATACGATATCTACCTCAAGGCAAGCGATTACTATCATACGAACCTCTAACATCGCCAACCCTAACCATGCCCGTCTAGGGGCGCTACAATCTTGACTTCACGTCTTGACTTGCAACATCGACGCTCACAATGCTCAAGATTTCTCATACCGTTACTCCCTATAACCCAGATGGAGTAATCAGAGGCTTTCTCTACTATCGACATTATGGTGAACGCAACACTTAATATACAGTAAGACCCCACTTAACGCTGGGGATACATTCCAATAAGTTCCAACACTAAAAGAAACAGCGGTCACTGAGGCTATGATTATTTTCTTCGGAATTACTACTATCAATATTATTGTTATTAGAAAGACTAGCTGCTGTTTCTTGAACTATTTCCTTGACGTCTTTCCGTTATGTTCCAAATTCCTGGGTTGAAATAAAGGAGCTGTAAACTGAAACAGCGTTAAGCGGGGTCTTACTGTATCCACATTTCACTGAGTATATTTGTAGTTATATTTTGTTAGAGATTATCACTAAATGTCTAAAACCAGTATACTGCGCCGATCGGTCGCACCGACCTGTCCTACACGAAGCCAACAGACGAAATTGCCAAGTAAATTAATAAACCTTGTCGATTGTGCGCTAAATCGGGTCCGCAGATTAATAATTATCAGCCAATTTATATTAAATAAGCTGATTTTTTAAATTAGCGGGTCGTAGTTTTTGCCTATATCGATTACCCGCTCTATACACAAAGTAGGCCAAAAGACCCCGCTTCCCAGATTCCTACAGAATCGAAGCATTCGGTCTAGTCAGTACAAAGATAACGTTATGCGATAGTCAGCCTTAAATGTGAATATACGTACAGTCTATTTTTTAATAAAGAGTCCGTTTTTACTGTACCCGACAAGTCGTTTGAGACTGGGCAAATGCGGAGTATTTTATGCAATATCCACCGCACACACATCAGATAAATATATTATACAGGCGGAGTACATTCGAAGATCGAACCGTAATGTCGGATGCGATGTTTTCATAATGCTACCGCCAGAACTTGGTGTGGCGGGTTTGGTGAGTATGGCGAGTGTGACGGGCGAGGCGCGCACGAGGCGGGCGGGGCGCGGGGGCAGCGCTAGTGGTGCGGGCGCGGCGGCGGTGCGCGCGGCGGCAGCGGAGACGCGGGCACGCTGCGCGTCTCACTGTTACTGTGGCCCCACCTTTACACACGCGTTCGTGTACAATGTTTGTAAAAATATCACATACTAGATTTACGGATTTAGAAAAATAATCTGTCAGATGTAGTTTTATTTTTATAAAAACAAATTATTTCCAATTTTTACCAGCCCGTATAATAGATCTTTATATAGGTATTAAGGTAATTATATACCTCACAATAGCTACCAAATCCTTCTATCACCGAAGCACAGCAGCCAATTTCAAATTCAGTATTATGAATTTGCACAGTTTAAGGATATTTTTATATAAAAAAAAAGTAATCTTGCATAGGAAATAATTTGAAAACACCATATTAGATTGTTTATAACAAGTATTAATTAATACTTGCACTATGGGTGTCACGTTGTCATATGACGACCTTGATACCCCTGGTCTAAACACCTGCGCCCATCATGGTGACATTACCAGAAATTTACCACGATGGAGTCTTGACGATAGACTGCGTGTACGTTAACCCAATAGAGTATTCTGATACTAATGAGGTCAGTAATACCCAACCCCCAGTATTTGTAGATAGTGAGGTACTGACCTGTGCTGCAAGTGATGCGGGTGGTGGAGCGGGTCCCGCCTGGCTGCAACGTGAGACCAGTTGACATACCCGCTGAGCCGCCGCTTGAGCAGCCCCGCGAGCGAGTGCAGCCAGCCTGCGACCAACCAACCCACAATGTGCTCACCGCCCGACACCCGCTACACGCTACCCGCTACCGGCCACCCGTTGCGGTATTATATACTACGCTCGCTTTGTCCACTCCGTTAAAACTCTTTGGTTTATGTGACATTTCAATATTATATTTAATTGATACAGTTAATCGTTTAATCGTTATCATAATAAAAGTCGTTCAATTAAAAGATTGCAATATGAATTAATTAATTTCATTCTAGTATATTTGAATTTATTATTACATAAGCCCTTTATATACATACCCTATCCATTGTTAGTTTTTTAGGGTAATATATGTTTATGCTTGCCATAAGATATGCTTTCAATCTGAATTTTAAATGTGTTCATAAAATTTTTACGCTATTGTTATTTGTAGGCAAAATATTAATTACTAAATATTACAGCGTAATTAAGATAGAAGAAAAGCAATAAGAATACAATTAGTTGCAAGCTTTTTGTTGGAATGCCAATTATAATCTACATAATTCAGTATTTAATACAATCGTATCACATTATTTTAATATCACAGACAAAAGCATACTATTAATATAACAATACAAGTTTTTTTTACAAACTTTTCAGAGACTAATTAATGGCTGGTGATTTTATATTTGATATCTTTCAACTAAATATAATCACGTTTAGAACCAAAGAGTTCCATCACACGTTTGATACCCGACATATATGGATGCATGTGAACAGCGAAGCTACGTCTGATATAATGTAATGAGTGATGATGACGGAACCGTCACTGGATGCCGCGCCAAGCTGGGTTATGTGATTTATTTACATAGCGCATTCGCTAACATACACAAGAAATATAATTTTGGATTAATTCTATATTATGACAAATAAGTTGATGGAATGTGGGAACTACATATTTGAACAGCACTACTAATATATACTACCAATATGTATTACCAACGGCTATCGCAATGATAGCCGTTGATAATACCTAAGAGATTTTTATATAATTGGCATTGCATACGAGCCAACGTCCCATCTAACGGTAAGTGGTAACCGTCGACTATATACAATACCACTTACTACGGACAGCACGTCCTTCATATCTTCTTATATTGGAAGATAAGATGTTATGGCTTCATAGGCTGTGTTTCACTGCCCAATATCATCCTCCAATCAAAAAACATATAATTTTGTAGTTGGTTGTGTGAGACCGATGTACCTAGACGGCTTACGTAATCTGTATCATGTAATTTCACTGCCTGCAAACTGGGACACAGCTTGTGAAACAAGCTGGTCGCGACTGAATTAGATGAGAATTCTCTAAGGGAATCAGAAAGAGAAATATATGGTTTGCCGATGCTTATTGGCTTTCCTTTTGCATTACAATATCCATAACAGTGAACTGTATTAATTATTGAAGGAAGAAAAGATATATTATAATATTCAAAAAGGTGAGTGTTGGCGATATAACAATACCCCAGAATATAAGACTCCCCCAAGAACACAAGTAGCTACAGATTACTGAATAATTTGGAACATTTTATTAATTTATTCCCAATAATTGACAAAATGTAGTTAGTTATATACATACATATAAATGTACTAGTAGTAGAAATTTCCTTTTGATATTTACTATACTTTACTAACTCTTTAAAATATTATTTTAATAAAAATATCAGTATATTATATACTCTTTATGTATGTATAAAGAGTACATAATATACTGATATTTTAACGTTAATTTACTGTTATTTAAATATTTTATTCCTAAAAACATTAATAATGATTCTAATCAAACATTCTTGGCGTTTATAACCTTTTAAAACCACACAACCCTTATTACACAAACATATACGTATATAGCCTTTATTAGCTGGGCATTAAGATCGTGTTTAGTGTAGCGAGGCAAATGACAGCAATGGGCAGGCGATGTGGGACGCGTGAGGACAGCGGCAAAGCACAGGTTTGCGAATTTGACAACATTCTGATCGAACACGCCAATGGTTGTTTGTACAATATAATTTTGGATCAAATGTTCGTCAAATACGCCGGTGTACAGATATTATACTACACATTTGAACAAATGCTTGTAAATATTTCCTCATAGAAAAACGATATTACAAATAAATACATTATTAATTTGATACTTAAAATTACATGTATAAAAAATATTACTACGAAAGGTTGTAGATATTACAGATTTATATAAATATTTTAACCACATTTGTTCAAATGTTGTAAACATTACAAGATATACATAAAAATGTTCACAATAGAGTCTGTAAGATAAAATTTTGAGAAGAACAATCAAAACTTAAGCGATACAAGTTAGTTAAAGGTTACAAAATATACATCTACTCGAACCAAATATTTGATTCAATTCTTTGATAAACAGTTGGAAACGCTTGAAGACGTAAACAGAATTTATATTTCCAGCAAAAGCAGAATATCTGCGAAGCACATAGGATTGCGTCTAAAGCAAATTTTTCCCATATTTTTCTGTATTTTTCCAAAGAAATATTTACACAATGAAGTGATTTTGTGACACATACAGTAAATGAAAATGATGGGATGAGATACTGAGGTAGTGAAATGATTGTAGTGTATTTTTTTTTATAAAAAAGTGCGTAAAATAAATCGAACTGAGCAACACGAATACAGTCGATATTATTAACAAGAAAATTATTAAAAACAAAAAACATTTAGAAAAATATATTTATCTAAATTACATTTATTGATAAAACAAATATATTATTTTTAAAAAATATGTCATATATTAAATATTTGACAAAATATGTTTCTCATATTCAGTTCAATTTACTATGTACTAATTGAGGCACGAGCTATTTTTTTTATTAAATCACATCGGCAGATCAAAAGATCCGCTCTTCAGAAGGAAGATCAAAAATGGCTACGATATGAAACAGAATTGCAACAATACTTTGAGTAATTAAGCAACTATCATTGTCAACCATTTCTCGTCCTACGCTGGGCACAGGTATAAAATAATATTTACCTACTATTACAAATGATGCTGTCTGCGCATCCAATCTAATATTACAAATGCAACAGTGAGTCTGTGTGTTTGTTACTTCTCACGAATAAACGGAATTAAATTTGCCATAAAGATATACTATATTACAAAGATGAAAATAGAGTATAGTTCTCGGGTGAGATCGTGAAATTATATGAGGAAAACTATCATTAGACAATTTTATCTACATAGTAGAAGCTAAAACAATAATTGTTAGAGATTTTTTTCTCTGTATTTTTTGTCTGTCTGTACGTTTGGGTGCGCTAATATTAAAAACCAATTCGATTTCTCTACCATCTCTGCTTAGTTGGCGACCAGATGACGTTGTTTTACCTTAATGAAAATTATGGAGTTAACATCGACAGCAATACTAATACACTACTTATTTACAGTTTGTTTGTACGTATGTATCAACTACAATCATTTCACGAGGACGCATACTAAACGGTGGTTGCGAGTGGCAAGCGCAGCGTCTGCACAGTCGACACTACTGTAGTCATAGGCTGGCTGCCCTCTGTCACGTACATTCTAATATTGTAACATAAACGTCATGTCCCATATACTTATAACTTTAAAAACAAATAAATAATATTAGACAATTTTATAAAAAAAAACATGATTCCTTAAAAGGCGAAAGTAACATAACCTGTGGAATAAGTGCATAGTTTTTCGCATCTATAAAATAATGAATTTCAACTAGGGATAGACATACTATAAATCTATAGACAGAAAAAATAAACAAATTTTTTAGTAACTTAGAATTATTTTCTAGATTCTGTATCTATGTGAGGTAACTATGCAAATACATAGAATAAAACAAAGTATAACGAGATTTCTTGCCTCACATTTTTAACAATTTTTAGGGAACTATTATAATTTCTATACAAAAAAAATTTTAACTATAGTGATAAAAATTAATTTTAGTTATTGAATTGTTTTGTGCTTTTCTTTAGAGCTATTTTCTTAAATTGTAAGAAAGTGACATAACCATATAATAGTTCTTTTACTTTGACAAGTGAGTTACTACATACTACATACTTAAAAAAAAAGGTAACAAATAAAATAATATTTTTAAACAAACGGCCACAACTGGTAAAAACCACCATTAAAAGGAAAAGAGTACAATCTGCAAAATGAAATCTATAAGATGTATTAGATCAACTAAATATACATTTTATAGCCTTGTGATAAGAACCAGTTTTATATATTTGCAGGCCAATTATCTTCTAGTAGAATCCAATTACTTTTACAAAAAACATTAACCTGTAGCGATATTTGTAACTACAAATTATACTTGTAACAACAAGTATAGTATGTAGTTACAAATATTGCTTTTTAGTTACTTAATTTGTAACTTGACAACCTCTTTAACGGTCAATTTTTGAAACCAACTACAATCGATTGACATTGAAATCGATATTGAGATAGTAGAGCAGACTTCTTTAATAATAATGTCGGGATAAATATGACCCTTGGATACAACCATACAATTTATACGCGCAGTAACTCGAAAAATATAGGTAGAAAAAATCGCACTTAAAGTGTAAAACTTTAAATTCATTTTCATAAAATTATCTCTTTCGACTTACTGCGTATATGAATTGTGCAGTAGTAAGTCGAGGCATTTTATACTAGTATACTAACCGTGATCGTCGTGGTGAAGTTTGCTGGGTGGAAGCGGCGCCACGTCCGTACGGAACCCATTGCGTATCTCCGCACGTGTCAGGCTTTGACTGCGACCCTCTGATAACCTGCAAGATGACGTAAAGTATATTTTGGTATGTTTCTTTTGCAAATAAGTAATCATTAGATTAAAAGTGGCAACCATTATCTATTACTATAGTGTGGGTTGGAAATCTACACTCATTTCCCTTGCTATTTTTGTGAAAGATCGGCAATCAGTCTTGAAAAGAAAAATATACTGTGTATTTTAGTTTACCTATCATTGAGCAGTAGTGGTGAGGGCGGATGCAGCCGATCGTGCAGTGGTGGTGGATCATCGCCATTTGCTGCAACACAAGTAATTGTGAACTTTGTGATGATAAATATAATTGGCCTGCTTATATTTCTTGGAGAATACTTGAATTCATTTTAAAAATACATAGAAAAAAGTATTATTTAGTTAACAATAGGCACAATCGGCACAATCCATCCTTTGAATAGAGAACACTGGTGTAAAAAAAATAGAAGCTACAATCTTTGGATCTATACATCAGTAAGTGTAATGTATGTATTTTTTTTTTGTTGTCTATGCTATACATTGAAGAAATAACTATGTATAGTATATAAGTTCAAAATAATTAACATTACCTTCATGTCCTAACATGGGGTGTTGCCTACTGGTCCGCGGTGGGGGCTCCGGCGACCTGCCCGTACTGTGTTCTCTGCTTAAACTAAACATAAACAAAATTATTGAATTTTAATATTTATAGCGTTATTCAGTAACAGGCCTACAAATTCCCTTTTTTATTTGGTAAATAGTATTTATTAACAAGATGAAATTATGCGCTATAAGTATAAACATTAATACAGATTACTGAATATAGACCACATTTATAGAGTACACATATCTATTACCTTTTATTACATTACCTTTTTTTATTATTACATTTCTGGAAGCAGTCGTAGACAGTATATATAAATAGTAATATATTAATCTGGAAGATATAAAACTCTAGTTTTTATATCCACTTCTTAGAACGTATTTACTTACTATATATGTACAACATATGACAATTAGCACATGTAAAGTTATAAATGAAAATACAATATTTGACCGCGTTCTAATCAAATAATCTTATATTAAAAAATAATAATTTTCTAAGACTTGTATTTTGTTGAGACTTTTTAACAATGTCTGAATAATGCGTAATTGCCACTTCAGTATACACTCAAAATATCGCAAACCTGGTACAACTCAATAATTATAAACATTAAAAAATCCACACTGATGTTTGAGCTTTATAGTTGAATTTCTAAAATTTTAATTTTTGTGTTAATTTAATATAGTACTAGGTGTGTGATATATACATATATTAAGACTGTCTCACCTTCTGTGCCTAGGTGTGGAGTGCAAGTCCACTCTAGACCGCCTCTGTTGACTTTGGTGGTAAAACCGTTGTAACACTATGGGACTTGTGTTGCCAGAACTCTGAAAACGATATTTATATTTATTAAAAAAAAGCATTCAATATGTAAATAGATGTATTGTTGTAATACACAATAATGATATATTGACTTCTTTGTGTCGTTTGAGAAGCTTGATCGTGCTAAATTTCAACGGGTCGCTTTGTCAAAGTGGTCGAGTGGAATATTTTTCACTACTGTAACATACATGTTTGATGCACAAATTTCGAAAGCATACTGAAAAAGTTGCCTAGCGTGCAGTTCTATCCAATAACAACCATAGACAAGCGAAATAACGTCGCTGTCAACTGTGTGATTGTAACCAATGGCAGGCATGGAAACGTTTTCAGCATGAATAGGAAAAGAACAATTTCATTGTGATTCAAGCGTAGACTCGTACAAGCAGTACTAATAATAATAACTCTGGATAATTCACACAACGCTATCTAATCTCAAGCTAAGCAGAGCTTGTATTACGCATACTAGACAACTTATAGAAATACTTAAATACATTTTTTGCACATACATACATAATTAGACAACACTCAAATACAAACAATAAATACTCATGAATACAAATATTTGTACCGATGAATCGAAACCGCAACCTTCGGCAGTGAAACGGGTCTAAACCGCTAGACCACCAAGGCCGTGGCCTATATATACAAATTTAAAAATAGAATGCAATAGTTACGGCAGGCGAGGCGGATGTGAGGGATGTGGCGGAGGCCGCGGGCCGCCAGCGACTGTCGGCGGACGGGCGGCGCACGGGCGGCGGCGGCGGCGACGCACTCGTCTCTATGGTCCTGCGGGCCCAGTGTACCACTTATATTAAACTACCGGCCTGCTATACGGTTTGTTTCCAGGTGGTATATAGCCATACTAGATTTCACGTGAGCAAATTCGAAGTAATTGCTGCTACATATACTTAATGAGTTAAACAGGATTAATATATATACTTTATTACATATATAAACATTAATAAACAAAGACAGTTATACAAAAATGTGAAGTTAAACAAGGACAGGCTTATCTCTGCCAGAGATCTCTTCCAGCCAACCTAACGCTGTGACAGAGGTGGTAATTAGCGGGCTACGATAATGCTCGAGTTTTTGGAATAACCATATTTTAATGTATATTTAAAAAAGACATACACACACTTACTAAATATTTAATTAATTATTAAAACTACAGCAATACATAATTCCTACAGCCCCATTTTAACATTGCACCGCTTGCCATTGACAGGGAATTCATCCCCACACGCTAGAACCGAAGTGGTCTCGGACAGTGCGGTTTCCTCCCGCGTATACTTAGATTATGGAATGAACTACCGACTGATGCTTTCTCGAGAGACTACAGCAAAAAGAGTATATTATTATTAAGGTTTCCTAAGGGTCGGCAATACACACGTGACACCCCTGTTGTCTCAGGCGTCCATAGATTACGATACGTGTGCTTGTTTGCCACCATCGTAGTTTTAAAAAAAGAGCTTATACTGTGAGTACTAAATAAATCAACTGATTGCTTGTAACTTGTGACAAGTAAGGTTATATATAGAGACAGAGCCTGGAGATCTGTAGTACTGGTTTCGACCAAGTTCAGACTCCAGACTCTCACAAGGAATAACTTGTAAGTTTTTTTTATATATTGTAAGTTTTCTTGTGAGCAGTAAATATATGTGAGGTGTTATATGTGAGGATTATTATATGTAAAAATTGTTATGTGAGGTACCTGCGACGCGCATAGGGCGAGTATCCGCTGTAGTCCTCGAGGCTGGTGGGCTGCGAGCCCCCCGCGCCCCCCGCGCCCGGCCCCGCCCCCGCCGCCATCCCCGCCACGCCCCACCGCGCCCTGTGCAGTACACGCGCACTCAATACATGCTTTATTTATTATACCATCTCAATTACAACATTTAAAAGGTTTTTTAATACTTTGGTATTTAATATACATTAACCAGGTCTTAACACGAATAATTTTATGGAAAGTAAAGGTACGTGACAACGGCGGCTGGTGCAACCTTTATTTACTCGTGTTAAGACCCGGTTAATAATTTAAATAATTTAAAACAAGCACTTTATAACAATTGAACCTAACTTGATTAAACATTACCTTCGCTAAAACCGATTAGTAGTTATATATAAATTACCTTAGACAATTAACACAGCGCCATCTAGTCCCACAGTAAACAGAGCTTGTGTTATGGGTACTAGACCACCGAGGCCGTTAAATAATAAATATGAATTCTAATATATATCTAAAGCTTAATAAACAGTACTCACCTTTGTGGTGTGGGTGTGATCTGTTCAGGAGGCCAGTATTGCGAAGTGGTGACGAAGTTGCGAACGGGCTGCGGTGTAGTGGGCGGCTGCGGATCCAGGCCGTTAAGTGGTGCGGGGGCGGGGGCGGAGGCGGGGGCGGAGGCGGAGGCGGGGGCGGCGCGGAGCGGCGTGGGGGGCGCGGGCGGCGAGGGGGGCCCCGCTTCCGCCGCCGACAGTGACGCGTACCACGACTCCACCGACACAGTGCTCTTGGCGGACTTCACCACGAACGGGTGCTCCAGTAACTTTGCGTATTTAGGTCGATACCTGTAGTTTTTCGTGAGGCTGAAAAGAGAAGAGTCGCATTAATAGAATATAGAGCAGAAATCAGTGTGATTGGCGTAATGCTGCTTGTGGGGACTGGTCTGCTCAGGTTACGGACACTGATGGTGGTGGTCATTAGATTTTCCCAAATTTTAATTGAAAATTGAAAGTGTTGTTTTTTATAAAAATTTACAAGCTCATGTGAAAAGAATAAGAAATAGTTTCTTGTCAGTTCATCTTTGCTTGAAAGCACTACGAACTGATTAAAACAAATATTATAAGTAGGAATTAGATTTTTTATGTGTAATGGATAAACTCAAAAATACTTAACCGATTTTAAATTAGAAAACTACATTCTTAATGAGAATCATGCGTTTAATTTTAATAAAAAATAAATAAAGACCTCTACAATAGTTGCACCCATGCTAAGCTACATAGATTGCACCAATAATATGAACTATTACTCTACACATAACGAGGGTTTCATTATGTGTAGAGTAATAGTTCATATCTATGTAATGTAATATAAATAAATACCATTAAAGCTGAATTAAAATGAAATTCTATGTTAATACATACCATTGTGAGACGAATGATTTGAATTCCGGTGTGAAATCACTATCATCAGGTAACTGTGGTGGGTCGTCCGTAATCACCTGAACAATAAAATTAATATGATTGAGGTGTAATCATTGCGTGCTCTCCTCTTTTCTGTATCAAGCTAGAAACTAAAAGACACGGATTGTAGCATTTTTTTTCTTACTGAATAGCAACCTGATGAAAATACCAATCGTAGCTTATTGTCTCTGCCGTAATACTTCACTTTGCCATTTCTATGGATTAGTCCTATATATATATACATATACTTGAACCGTATCACGGACAATATGTTACCATGCGCCCGTAATTTCACTGCCTACAACAGAAATAAATATCACAAAGCAAGCCTGCTTGGAGGTTGAAATAGTAACGCTTTCATACACAGACAAGATGGTGCCCTCAGACTATATACTAGTCGTATCCGTCACACGGAAGTTGGCCTTCAGATGTTCCATAAGTCCTTCCGCAGGTTTGGAGTGCCATCTTCACTCGCCCCCTACCGTCTGGTAAAGCTGGTTGAGTCTGGTGAAAGTCAACTACAACCAACCGCATTAGAGAGAAGTCCGAAAAAAAAGTTTGAAATAGTGAGACAGGATGCGTGGGTAACGCAAACGGCAGTACTAAGTATCCCTCCAGTACATTATATTCTACTCACTTTTGAGAGAACTTCGAAGTCATTCTGGCAATTTCTATACGGGAACACTCCGGTGGCTAACTCGACGAGCGATATACCCAACGACCAGACGTCCGCTCGGATGTCGTAGTCTGGCCGCGACGGGTCCGGCGGGTCTATTCGTTCTGGCTGTAAGCATACATGTTCATATTACGAATTGACTTTGAAAGGGGCTGAGAACCTTATTAAAAAAAAACGGAGTTTCCAAGAAAAGAAAACTATGATTTTGTATATGTAGAATTTAGGACTAAATGGTTAAACGTGAATCCCTATTACTAGAAAACTAAAACAAATTTTTTATCTAAAAAGATTACTCTCTTTTTAGATAACATTTGTTTGTTGTAGTCTCAGGTACAGGTACTAGTTACTCATAATTTAGTCTAAAAAAGACATTGGAATACAAATATTTTGGAAGACACTATTTTGCAAATATTATATCTATTACGCTTCCGCTACGGCTAATCTTTTTCTTATTAGTCTTTTATGAACAAAATACTCACAGCCAAATATGCAGCACAGCCAGCACTCCTCGTCTTGGCCTTGGAATCGACGAGACGGCCGCTGATGCCGAAGTCGCAGAGCTTTACGTTCCCGCGCGCGTCCAGTAAAATATTACTCGGCTTCACGTCCCGGTGGATCACACCGTGTGTATCTTTCAGGTACGACAACGCGTTCACAGTCTGTTAACAACAACACACAGCTCATGAATTGACTATCAGATATTTTTTTATTGCTAAATATATTTATATAATTTCGTTTTATTGTAAACGAAATTATATAAATATTATATTTAGTTTGACAACATTAATTTTTATACAATAATATATATTTTTTCTTTTCAATCATATTTGTACGCGTCGCAGAAGACAGTGAAACTTGCTATCTATTTTTTAAGACCTTTGTAATCTGTGCTTCACAAATAAAGAATTTGAATTTGAATTCATGACTCTTATCCCAAATGATGTAGTCAGAGGCACAGTCAATGTCGATGTGAATGCAACACTTGACATGCCCACATTTCACTACAAATACAATTCATTAAAATCTACGAATAAATATTATTATATACATAGATCACACATAGATCTTAACAATATGGTATGACAATAAAATTAAACAAAGTGATGTACAACAGTCTGCACTAAGCATGGCTGTGTGTATGTGTGTGTGCGTGCATACTTGTGTGTCAGATAATTATTATATATTATTATACTGACCGCCACTGTAACTTTTCCTAATATAGCCTCTGGTATGGGTGCGGCGAGCCGCTTGAGCAATTTGTCGAAGCACGTCTCCATCAGTTCCATGCATATCCACACGTCCGAGTCGGTCACGAAGCAACCAAGACACCGCACTATGTACGGACAGTCGTGGGAGCGCACCACCACGTCCAGGTCCATCAAAATGCGTTTCGTGTCCTCAGAGTTGCCTGACCGGCGCATTTGCTGTTGAAGAAGAGAAATAAAAATCAAACATGGTCTTGCGTTCTATCGATTACCCACACCGTTTTACTTCCGATGATCGCAGATACGATTCCTCGCACGGTGCAATCATTTGTCGTCATAAGTATTGTTTGTATTGATCTCTGTATTTTCTATATATATATATTACGTATGTATTTACAAAAAATGTTTTTAAGCATACCTATCAGTTTTATAGTACTTATTTTTAAAATCACTAGTATCCTGACGACTTAGGCGTAATACCGGTTAGTCAGGGAGAGAAACACCTCAATGCCTACAATATTCACAATTACCTATCTCTTATTTGTTTTTATAATAATATCAACACTTCAACTTTTTCGCTCCCAAAAACTCCCGCTGCCTCCGTTCAATTATCCGTCATCCACTTGTCAATGTCACATAGATTACTTTGGCTCTGGCCTCTGACGTTCCGTTTCAGGTTACATGATTATTGACTTTACCATTTTTAATTAATGGTGCGTCACACGATAGTTAACATATATATACATAGGTAACTGATGAGCGTAGTCATGCTTATCAAAGGATATAGTGTCTACAGGATCATATAACAAATACTAAATTAAATAAACTAAAGATATACATTACTTTCATAACATTGACTATCTTAGTATACTGTCAAAGGTTTACAATCTAAAATCAATACTAACAGAGCTAAGTTTCGGCATGCATTCAGAAATGCACAAAATATAACATAACATATATTAATTTACATAATCCAAATCACCCAAAAACATGAACAACCTTTTAGAGTAACAAACAATTATTTGGCGGTGATTGACTTCTATGATTCAGACTGTAACATATCACCATCACAATGTAAGTTTCCGATCTTATGAACATTGCATTTTTTTTTTTTTTATACCTCCAAAATAGAACTTGTCATTTCTCGTCATGAATATTTTAACGGATAAATTTAACATATCACATTACAAAAGGTAAAACTTAATTACCTACATATATAGAGAAAAAAATATAAAGGGAAAGTAATATTCTCGTGACATAAAATTAGAACAAAATCGCTGCCTGCCTTCACCTAACCAATAGAAAATAACAGGTCAATATTATTCAAGTGGTTCTAATACCCTCAATACTACTACTACTATTTTACTTCGACGATACTCTTGATTTACCAGAGAATTATTTTAATATAACATAATTCATTGAATTTCAGTTATGATTTACTTAATAGTACCATCAGCTCACTGGTCAAGTAATCTATTGCACCCTTTGAACCCTGTACATTTAGGGGACTATAAATGATTGTAGATACTGATCTCAATTTTCTTTACAACACCAGTTTAACATAAACCAAAACCCACTGTTCCAGATTAATGTGAAATAGAAATAATCTTTATTCAAATAAACTCAACACAAGCACCCTTGAGTAGTCAAGTTTTTTAAATCTATCGCTCATTCGGAACGCAGTTTCATCACAAGAAGAATAAACGAGAAACCTGTGTTTTGCTCCTTTAAATAAATATTGATTTACTTATATTTAATTAACAACAGGGATTAGGCATGCGGCAATAAACATAAAAACCGCTACGCACTTAATCTCCGTTCAATCAGACAACATTGACAGCGCTATGAATTTCAAGTTAGATATTTTCTAAAAAACACTGATTTATAAATGATGACAATTATAAATTCTTCAATTTTATAATAAGCCTTTTTTTTTTTACAAAGAAAATATTTTATGACACATTTGATTTCTTTTTCTGGCAAATTGAGTACAGACTCCGGGAGTCCGTTGCAAAACCCTGCGCAATCTCCATAAAACGAATTACCAACTTTCGTTAAACGAACGTGAGTTTAGTAAGCCTACTATTCACTTTATATTTAATCGATGGTATTCGTAGCCACTTCGGCCATCCAACGTTATCGAAGGGCCTCATTCGATATTATCATAACAGTTAACAGCGGGTAATATAATAAAATTAAAATCATATAAAATTTAGTTTGAGATAATTTACATACTTAAAATATGAAAGTTGCCACTGACAACTACACATTACATTTCAACATCATGAATTCAGTCTTTGTTATATTTTCCCGCCTTAAGTTGTATCACTTAATTTTTCACACCAGGTACTAGTCAGCATCTCTGCAAACACGGCTGCCTAGCTAATTAGTGAAATACCTGTTAAAACAAAACATTAAAAAAATGCCACCGCTTGCCCACTATGAGCTACGGTCTCAACAGATCTGGATTTTATTAGACTCAGCCACCGCTTGCCCGCACAAGGAGCTACGGCCTCAAACTGGTCAAATTCTCATTAGACTCAGCCACCGCTTGCCCACACAAGGAGCTACGGCCTCAAACTGGTCAGATTCTCATTAGACTCAGCTACCGCTTGCCGCCACAAGGAACTACGGCCTCCAACTGAAACAATTCAAATATTTAACAACTGGTCATTTTCTCAATGAGGCATTCACCGCTTGCACACGCAAGGAGTTACGGCTTCCAACTAGTCATATTCTTTATGGTACTATGCTATTTTTACTTCAGCCTCAAGTGCTCTACATTGCAACTCAACTATGGGTTATATGCACTCCCATCAAATTTTACTATTACTTTTTATTCTATTACATTTCTTTAAGAACTGGATTTCCTGGTTCCATTTTACTATTTCTCCAACGCTTTAAAGGACTTTATAACATTTAATCATAAGTTCATTCAATTTAATTATGTACCAAATTCGAATTATATATCTGGTTGATATATATCTATCAATTTCTGAACGAACTTGCAATATATTACTACCACATACCCTACTCCTATTATTATCTACCAAATCTTGAGTAGCATCAACAAAAAGCGAGTCGTTCGTTGTACGTCGCATTGAGCACACGCGGATCCCCATTTTCTTCGTGAACTAACGTATACGGAACCATCAGCCGCGATCTCAGCGCAATCATCTCATCAGTATATCATCAAATCTAAATCACCATCATTTACCTTAAAATCCATAAATCGTATTCATAGTCATATGATTATTATATTAATCTCATAATTTCATCAAAGTATTGCAAATCATTTTTCATTGACGTATCAACCGCCCGTTCTATTAGCCATTTTGCTCATAATTCAGCTTGTCATCGATTGTAACTCATCATTGTATCACTAGCATTCCTTAATCTTTCAGATCTATTCGTTCATGTACAACTCTTCACCGCGTATATTTACCGACTATTTTCCATCGAGGTGTATCAAATTTTACCTTGTGGTCGTCCTTACTACAATCTTGCAGTGTAACTATCTTGTACACCTCGAGCGCTTTATTCATAATATTTCAAAAGTGTCTGTATACGGTGTCTGGGTTCTATAAATTAGCACCTCTTCTAATTTCCCATTAATTACAACACATTTTCTAAAATATTCTGCGTATTCGGCTGTAACTTTCTGCTTACTAGCAGACCATGTTATCAAGCCATTAGTTGTATTTAAATTCCCGACACATAAAATCAGTTCTGAAAGGATTAATTTCAATTTAAACTATTTAGTTAGTACAATAGTCAATCCGATTTCTCCAAAGGGCGTTCAGCCACACATACAAGTGCATATAGGTGCTCAGACTAATCTATGGAATCAAATGCCCAGCATTTAATTGCGTTGATCATTACTTATAAAAATTTTAACTTCCGTCGTCGTCAAAGACAACGCTTTAAATTTAATTCAATCTTATTTATCTGATGAATATCAACCAAATATTTGAAAACAACATCACCGTTATTATTATAAACTTCCAATATCTCTACACCTGTAATTTTGTACAATTCAACATTAAAACACCCTCACTTATTTAATACATCCGTTCTCGTATGCTATGCAAGTGACAACATCAATTCTTATATGTTGATGAGTTCACTATTAAAAGCCTTAGTTAACACTTTTATTTTACTTCAACTCAACAATTATGTCAAAAGTTACAATGGTCTAAATACCTAATACATCTAATACACCTACCTAAACACATCCAATCTCATATTCAAGTCAATTGAGTCAACATGTATACCAACAATTCTTACATGCTCGTTAATTTAGCATTATACGCTTCGATTATTCTATTTTTTTTTTTTTCAATTAAAATCTTAATAGATACAATATCTCAAGATTTAACAAAGGTTAACTAGAAATTAATAAAATTGGCAAAACCATCTACAACAGTAATTTATAACTGTAAACTGTAATCCTTAACAATATTTAACTTTCTTATATCTTAACTTTCATTTATATCCTCTAGTAACTTTTCTTATATATTCCTGGGATTAAATTGACAGATATAGCCTTACTTCCACAACTTATATTCTTTCTCATTTTATTTGCATTGGATATAAAGGTCTCTTAAAACAGTTATAGGTTCAATAGGATCCTTTCAACTTAAATCTAGTATACCCATGTACACTTTTCAAAACTTTAATGCTCATACATTTAACAACAATCAATTGTCCTTTTGTTTTTTTTTTCTTTTAACTACCTGTGCTTCTTAAATTTGTATTCACTATATGTAATACCATTATAATTAAAGAACAATGGCTCAGCTCCCAAACATTTTCTCAACGAATACTTCTCTATAACATGTAAAACTTACAACTTAGACCATGCAGTATTTATTTTTCATTCTACATATATGCTATTCATAAAGTAGTTTATTATCCATCAGGAAACCATATAAAAATCTCCTAAATTACGCCAGTATCCATATTCATAAACCAGCTCGTCCATACTGACTATCCACGTCTCTCTCTCTCTCTCTCTCTCTATGGAAGTTTGCATCCAGTCTTTTCCTGCTGTTTCCTTTTTTTTCTTATGTCATCTGCTTATCTTTTTTTCTGCTGTCCTACTTTTCTTTTGTCTGTCGTCTCTGCCATTTTCTTATATATATATATTCTTTTGCTATCACTGGTGTATTGGCTTATAAATTTTTCATTTCATTATATGGCGTCATACAATCCAATCAATCAGAATACTATTTAAATGTTAAATAGGCATTACTATATGTATTTATACCTGTACATATGATACAATCTTGTCTGTCTGTGTCTCATAATTTTCCTCTATAATAATTTTAAAGCTTATGTACTTTGAATATCTTAACATTGCCTTCCACAGACTATTTAATAATAACTAATTAATATACAGAAACTTCATTAGTCAAATCATAAAATATTTTATAATCCTGTAGTATACAAATACATAAAAGGTAAGTTACATAAACCATTTAAAAATAGTATCCAATTTTTCCTTTCTCCTCTATTTCACCATATCACAAGTTACATGTATTCACTTAATTCTCTCCCATCTGTCCATACCTATATACAACAAAAGAGTGCTATGCACTCATTTATTTCCATTTTCCTGCCATAATATCTGAATTATAAAGTTTATTATCCAAATTTCACAATTCTAGACCACACTGTTTGACACAATCCATGTGCTAACTTATGAGTTCATTATTAACTCATGAATGCTTTAAATCAGTTATTATCTTCAGATATACATTTATTTATATTAATATTCAATAATATATTCTATACATTCTATTTTTTTTTTTATCTGTACTTCACAAATATATAATACAATTTGAATTTAAACAATTATGATTTCCTCCTTGGTTCACATTTCAATTCCAATACAGATTTAACAATGAATCTGTCCACTTTATAGTTTCTTAGTACTGTCATTCTACAAATGATACTAAATAATAAAACTCAAAGCTCAGATCCTTGCAGCAAATCTTCAGTTCATTAGCTTATGCAGTACACAAGATTGGACAATATAGCAATACATTGCAATATATTACAATAGTCTATTTTCATTATTGTGATAACAATTGTCTTATGTTGTACATATTCAAATTATAAAATCATGACATTTTGTGCAATTTACTGTATGGAGAGTTATAACTCATGAAAAGGCAAATACTCTCATATATATATATATCCAAACATTCTGTATGTACACAAATATTAACTTATTTCCAAAAACTTTTATTCATATTCATAACACTAATAGTAAATTTAAAGACAAACTTGTTGCTCAAGTATTGTTTAGAAAATTCAACAGGTTTCTTGTACAATCAATAACACAATCAAGAGCCAACAACATTCATTTCTGGCTTTACCAAAAGCTTTTCTTTAGGTTAAAAGACAACTTCATAGTTTACAAAACTGAACCATGTAAGAATAGTCTACCTGTAATCTATCAATTTCTAACATGTCACATATTAATTGGGTGCTTATAAATTCCAACAATCACTTACTAAACATTGTCTCAAATGACAAATGTACATAGCTACAGGTACCTGCACAGGACCTTTAAGTACCTTTATTGCTCAACAATGGCTGCTAAGGGCCATTCTAATGAATTTCAAGAGAAGCATCAAAGAAGTGAACCAATTGCTCAAACATATAATACATTCAATATGAGCATACATATAATATATAATTCCAGCATAATATGACACCTTTGAGGAATTGGATATCATCTCTAGGTGCTTTTTCAACACATTAATAATCAATATCATATGATTATGATAACCTCGAGGATCCTAATAGATCTCAATTGGATTTTATACTAATTAATAATTAAATAAGGAACTATTAATAATAATAGTTTACAGTTATTCAGTTTTTAACATTGGAGTTTACTACCAATTGTTAGCCATTGCTATATATATATATATATTTATAAAATTCAAAACACAGCAAGAAATAAATATAATAATTGTACTATCAGAGTTAACTACTATTTTCACTGAGAGCTTCACAGCTAATCATGAGATAGCATCTAAAATGTCTTTAATATGTAATATTATGAAATATAACAAGTTATGTAGCTTGTATCAGTTTATGTCAACAATATACTGTGTCTATCTATATTAATATGCTTTATTAATTCATTAATAAACACATATAAGTATCAACCAATATAATATATATATGACAGTATCTCAATTTGGGAATATAACCACAATCAAGACATATACCTGGACTATGCCAGTGATTGTCATTTATCTGAAATGGGATCATCAAACATATATGTGTACCTATGTAAAGAAATAATAACAATTCTTCAATTCAATTCACGTAGAACAAACACACAAAACTGAACAGTAAGTTTGACTAATTTACTGTGAATTAGCAACAAACTCAGCAATACCATTACACTGTTTATATGTATAACATGGTATGTGTTCTCATGTTCAACCTGTATGTCAACATAGTTAATATATATATATATATCATACTCTATCATAGGCATTAATAACATAACAATAGTTACTCTGTATTTTAAACTAATTAGATATCCATGTTGTTTTATACTTAATGTATTCATAATACTTCTTTCTTAGGTATATTGTATACCTCAATATCGTGCTACATGTCATGTCATTACTCTCGCAAGTTATCGTACATACTAAATCTATTTAATATGTAGAAAGCAATTCATCCAAAAGTTCAATAAAACAAGTGAGATACTGCGTTTAATGGTATGCGTGTTATTAACGTAAATTCACTTACCGCAACTTCTAATCAGAATTACCTTACGGTCGAATTTGTAGGCGGGATTGGTACCGCTTCTGAACTTTTAAAATCACTAGTATCCTGACGACTTAGGCGTAATACCGGTTAGTCAGGGAGAGAAACACCTCAATGCCTACAATATTCACAATTACCTATCTCTTATTTGTTTTTATAATAATATCAACACTTCAACTTTTTCGCTCCCAAAAACTCCCGCTGCCTCCGTTCAATTATCCGTCATCCACTTGTCAATGTCACATAGATTACTTTGGCTCTGGCCTCTGACGTTCCGTTTCAGGTTACATGATTATTGACTTTACCATTTTTAATTAATGGTGCGTCACACGATAGTTAACATTATAAACATAAGTTCAGCTTGGGACCAGATGGCGCTGTGTGGATTGTCCAGGGGATTATTATTGATATGTAATTGGAATGGCATACAAGCTGACGGCACACCTAATGATAAGTGGTAATCGTTATGTACATGAACAGCACAAAGATAGATAGATAGATAAATAAAAAAATAAAAAAAAAAGACATCACATTATCATGTGACAATGATATCACTCTCATGCGTTGCCATTCCCTAAAACTAAGATACTATGTCCTGTCTGTCATGATCAAGATTTTTTTATGGATAATAATGAAATGGTGCACCCGCCTGTACCAACCACGAGGTACCCACGCTGATGACTGAAATTTATTTAATTATTAAAACTTTAATGCACATAATTGAAAGTACATATGGACGACTTAACACCATGCGGCATTATCTATTAGTCAACCATGAGTGGTGCAGAGAATAATTGTTGGCGGGGCAAATATAAAAAATATATTAAACGATACACAAAAATATATATGAATAAACAACTACATATATATAAAAATACTTAAATCATACATAAATACATATTTAATAATCTGACAATGAAATATGTACTGCCACAAATAATAGAATTAAATAAAAAATATATATATACATAAAAATAAAAAATAATGAGCAAACAGGACACAGTAAAGGTTACAAGTTTAAATAATGTTCCCTTAATTTGCGTTTGAAAGAAAATCTACTCTTTTATATTATTGTGACGCCAACCAGGTGGTGGCGTAATGAGCTGGCTTAGTGGAATTAGTAGTCGACTTAGTAGTTACTCTCTAATTATATAGTTACCTATATGTGAAAGACGTGAAATAATTCTTAAAGCGATCAAGTATTTTTTTTATTCATCCAAATAAAAATACAATCAGTTCAATCTATCCTATATAATGTTTGTAAAGACGATGCTCATTAACAACCTAACAGATAACCCCAATATATCCTTTCGCTGCATCCTTGTCATTAACTGAGACAGTGTCAACAAAATTGCACTTGAAATGAATTTGTCAATAACGTAACCCAATTGAAATTAATCGTCTCGGGCCCCTTTTACCAGCCAGCGAACTGCACTGTAATACTTCAAACATCCTTGAACGGTGGTTCGATAGTTTATTATATATTCTTTTGTTTCAATCCTGTTGACATGACGCAAATTATGTGCAAAACCTAACGCTATTTATGTCAGAGGCTGTTGATCTTTGAATTTTCGTATTTATATGTAAATTAGTGGTTTATTATGTTACAAAACATGAATAATTTATAACAGAGCAATGACCTTGAATGTTGAATATTGTGTACATGTGTTGTACACATTGAAAGTGCTCCATACATTGGTCGAGAGACGTCCCCGAATCTCGAGTACAGCCTCTGACGAGACATGACTAATAATGCCTCTCTACAATCTCACTTATTTAATAACTCGTGTTTAATCAAAAATATAAAATAATGACGAATTTTATAACAAAAAACAAATGATAAACATAGAAATAGGATTTACTCATAGCGGTCAATAAATAACCACTTTATATACAAACAAAAATATTTCCCAAATCCATCTCACACAATACAGTGTTGTATATTTTCCAATTATAAATAGAAAATAGTTCAAAGGAAATAACAAATTTACTACAGGTTTAATATATTTTTAAATAAGGAAATAATACGCAATAGTAAAGTTTCTTACTTTGACAGCGATGACAGCGCCGGATGGCTTGTGCAGCATCTTGACAACATGACCGCAGGTGCCACTACCGAGATCTCCCAATAGATGTAAGTCGTTCACATTTGAGCGATACTCCTGGCTATCTACGTTCAGTTTCCCACTGACCTGTAAAATTTCATATAGACATGAATTTTATAAACTGAAACAAACTGATCCTTTACTTAATGGGAAATATAAACTGTCGCTTTTTTTTAAATGGAATGGCAAACATACCACTACGTCTTTTCTAACCTTGATGTTCGCAGAGAACTGCCGTCCCATTTGATGGAAGCCATTACAATAATAAAGTAATAATAATATCTCTGGACAATTCACACAGCGCCATATCCCAAGTTAAGAAGACTTTGTGTTATGGGTACTAGACAACTTATACATAGATACATTTTTTATAAACATCCAAACCGATAAGAACAATCATACTCATGTATACATAATGTTTGTACCGTGCGAGGAATCGAACATATACCATCTGCAGTAAAGGGGCGTGCTAAACCGCTAGACAACCGAGGCGGTCAAAAAATACAAACAAGCATGACAAACAGACTGACATCCTATTTGACACACCAGGCTACAGTACACCTGCATTTGTCAATACACCTGTATCAATACTCTTGGCACATATGTTGCCATTTTGGAGGACTAAGCTGTAATGCCTCCGTATCCCATAAATTGACTGTCCTATCAAAATTAAAAAAAAAATAACAAAATTCGGTCAGTTCGGAATGATTTTGAGATGAGAAGAACTGACAAGAAACTCAGTTCGTATTCTTTTCAAATTAATATTATACATGTTTACAATAATACAGACTAATTTTTAAATTCAATCTTGGGAGAATGGAGTGACCATCAGCATATGCTATTGAAAAAGCAAATAGTCTAAACAGTGTTCTCAACCCAAACAGACCAGTCCCCACAAGCAGCCCTCGTTCACGACTATGACGGATAAGCCAGCCATCATTGCACTCAACCATTTTTGAGGGAGCTCATCGACCCGGCCTACCATTATTACCATTAAACCGAATCACAACCTGCAAAAGCAAGTTGACTAGGCAGACGAAATAAATTAAACATGCCGGTGAAACAGAGCTATTCACGAACTACTCCGAAAAGTCTACCTAGGTATAAGTGGAATAGGTACATACTTATTGTTACAGTTCATTAATATACCTAAAGTTTGGTAACAGGTGATTTCGGTTTACAGTTACAGTAAATAGTAGATTATTTACTTGAGATAAATAGATAACGCAACGGGAAGTAGATACGTAAACATTTCTCAATTAGGCTGTTCCTGTTCATTCATTCTATTACACATCGTTTAGTCATTTAAGTGAGATCTCTCTAAGAGTGTGTACGAAATACGCCAATTTGCACTAGGATTTTTATACTCTAACTAAACTATAAAAAGGAAGGATATATATACTCAAAAAAGTCAACCAAAAAACTGTCAAACCAGATTGCATGTTGATAAATAGATAATTATTTTATTTACATCCTGAGCACACACAATAGAAAACAAATAAAAACATAAAATAAAACGTGTGTTTGCGTATATTATTAATTTTATTTCGAATTATCATAAACTCGGAGGCCGGATCTAGCCTTTACAGCTTAACCGGACCAAAATGAGAGCAAGTGCAGAGGGTACTCCAGCTATGGGAAGGACTTATGGAACGTCTCAAGGCAAGGCAAGCCTGACGGTTATTCCGAGAGCACTGCCTGGAATTCGAACCTTGGCTTAGGTCGTCGTAAATTCGTCCCATTATGTCCCATTCTAAACCCCGTTTGAATGGGACATAATGGGACGATATTACATACAAATAATAGACATATATCAGATAAAATAAGACAGGGGATAGTCTGACCTACTTCTGTGTCCAGCAGCTTACATAGTTCTGATTATAGTCTCCATCAGTTTAAATATCCAAATATCACGATTCGGTTATAGCGTAACAATTTTTTATACAAGTATAGTGGCAATCAATCATACGACCCATCTTATTGTAAACGGTTATAGTAGCTTATGTACGCCTGAAACACCAGCGGTGTCACGTGCGCATTGTCGACCCGTAAGAAACCTTAACATCCTTCTTGACAAACACTATGCTGTAGTCAGTAGAGAAAACCTGGGCAGGTAATTCTTTCCACAATCTAAGCGTACGCAGGAGGAAGCTGCTCTAAAACCGCATATTTTACTACTATGAAATAGGAACGCATGAGTTTACTATGAGTCCTTATACAATGTTTTAAGTATAGTCTGTGCCACCTACTGTTCAGTTACCGCCTTTCCAGTAAGATGAACCGTAATTTCAAGATTCTTTATTTGTAAAACATGCGTGATTACATATAGAGACTGACGCCGAGCCTGACGGATAGGATTTAGTCTACGAGCAGTGCTCGAAGTTCGAAGCTTGACTCAGGCCGTCGTAATTTCGGTCCCTTTCCATTGAACCGCAACTTTATTGAACTAATCAAAATCTAATTACATAAAAAAACAAGAACCTTATAAACTTCTCTCATTCTGTGTTCTGTTTCTGTGGCTTGTGGTGACTGCGGAGGGAACACAAGCATATCTCGTTTAAATGCGAATGTAGTAGCTGCAACAAAAGAAATAAGATATTTTTAATAATAATTTCAATACAATTCACACAGCATCTAGACCCAAGTACAGATAACTGATACAAACACATGGATTTTTTTCCTAAATACATATATAGAAAATACCCAGACCGATATAAAACAGTCATACTCACGAATACAAACGTTTGTGACGTGTCGAGGAATCGAACCAGCGACCATCGAAAGTAAGACGATGTCTTCTACTACTAGTAAATACTAATAATCTACTAATGATCCCTTTCCCCCTTTCTAACTAGATTTTATTCATATATCAAATATCTTTGTTTGACAGAGTATTGGGTGGAAGGGGATTGGTAGCGTCCACTAATGACCCCCTGGCTAACAATATACCATGTCAGGTTGACCTCCACTCAGTTCCACCTGGAAACCTCCGTAATAAGATCCAGATTTGCCATGATGGGCTAACTGACCTAAAATATAAGCCTCATGCTCATCATCATCATTACTATTGCTCCGCCAGCCAATAATAAAAATCAGTGCAGTTCCTTTCTAATAATTCAACAGACAAAGCATGGAGTTGTTTGTGTCAGTGGACAACGAAGACACAGTGTGTATAAAATAAACCTTATCTCTGACTAACAATGTATGTATAATAATTTTATATCACTCTACCACATATGTTTGTATATTCACTATACACACATATTAACTGTGTAAATACATGACATATTGTCTTATGTTGTCACAATAAATAATAATATCTATATATATCTCTGGACAATTCACACAACGCCATCTAGTGTCAAGCTAAGCTGAACTTGTGTTATGGGTACTACACAACTTATATAAATACATAGATACATATATACAAAAATACATATATGTATTTTTTGTAAACACATACATAATATGCATAGAAAACATCCATAGTAATACAAACAAACATACTCATGAATACAAATGTTTGTACCGTGCAAGGAATCGAACCCACAACTATCTGAAGTAATGTAGTGTGCTAAACCACTAGACCACCAACGCCTTCTAATAAATTAATGAATATATAAACTACAGAGAGACAAACTCTCTGTAATGCTAAGAACAACTGCTCTGAGTCTGCTAGTGCTTGTAATGCTAAAAGCATTCCATGGAAACTCAGAGCAGTTCCCAACTATAGATTTAAGGGGTCCCTATATATTAAATCTATATATGTATAGGAATCAAACATTCGAACTCCAGATCAAGGTATATTCCTTCACTAATGTGCACAGTTCCCAGTATTATTATATAGATTATATTATATAGAATTATGTAATTCTCATAATAATTCCAAAGGAGATCATGCAGATGAAATCGTGGAAAACAAATAATTAAAAACAGAAATCAAAAGACATATCAATCAATCTAATATATTGAAGTTAAAAGTTTTACAGAAAATAACAAAAGAAAAACAGTATTTTGGGAAGATAGTAATATATCGATTTATATGACTGGCATGGTGCCAAATCATGCTATTGTCTAACTTCTTAGAAATGGTAATTTATTTGAATATGTAATTTGCAAACTGTCTTGACAGGTTTACATAGTTAAGAATTAGCTTCAGTAAGATAAGATTATTTATATTTATGAAAACTACACTCACTATATTAAGTTCTTTATTTATTAACTGAACAAATAATAATAGCAGTCTCTTTTATACTTAGTCTTATAAAATACCTTCAATGTTACTTATATACAACGTATTTTATACAGTGTTGTACAGTTAAAGGAGGGTTTTTTTTTATGTATGATAATGGATTGGTGCACCCGTCTGCGCTAACGGTTTACGCTGGCGGGGCACCAGTGGAGGATGATAAGATGAGAATGAAGTCAGATCAGTTAGCTCATCATGACAAATTCACTGAGAATTTATCACGATGGTTTCCAGGGGGAACCGCGTGGAGGTCAATCAGATATGGTACATTGCTAGTAATGGGGGTCATGAGTCCACATTTCGAACAATCCCCTTCCTCCCAGTTAAAGGAGGGTGTACACATTATTTTATGGATGATACTATAGTAACCTACCCCCACTAACCATTTACTAGTGGAGGACAATAGACAAGCATGAAGTCAGGTCAACTAGTCCATAGTAGCAAATTCACCACGAAATTAACACTTTGGTTTCAAGAGGTAACTGTGAGAATGTGTACATGTAATGTAATGTAATGTCTACATTACTAACAATAATAATAATAATAGGACCTCCTGGAAGTACTTACAGGCTTCCAGGCTACTTCCTTCATATAAATAGGTGTTACAAACATCTTGGTTGTGGTTTAGTTTAAAACAGTGTAAATAGGAAGAAAACCAAAGAGAAAAGTAGAAATAGAAAAAATTAGGAGTAAGGGAGCAACTAACAACCAAACAGGTGTATACCTACACCTACACATTTGTAATTACAGCAAAATTAGGGCTATATTACACTATAATATTTTAGAACAAGTTAAAAGCAATAATGCTCCACAATAAAAGAAACTGTATGTACAAAAACATCATATTTCTTTTAATAATTTTATAACTAGAATATATGTTTATAACAAACACACTGAAAATACTTAAATTGACAAAAGACAATCAAGACAATTTTCATATCCAGGTACTGTGTTAACATACAGGTTGTGACTTGTAAAAAAGTTCTTCAGATACCAGTTCTTCACAAATTTATAAATATACATGACCAAACAGCTCTTTTACTCTTTATATACTGTCTATGCATTGTGAAGAAATAAACAAATACTATTATCAAGAAAAAATGTATAGATTAAATTATATACTCATTTTTATTTTTACACACAAAACAATGTCTATATATTATATTTATATTTGTCTTGAAAAAAAGGGGCATAATGTGAATAAATGTTTCATGTGCAATATTATTTATGTGGATTACCTTAAAATGATAATTTTGATAAAAAGGACTTACAAAAGATTGTTTACTAAATGAGCCATAGAAAGACATAATGTTTGTATATACAATTGTTTATTTACCAACCCAGTATAAAGATTTTTGATTTGTCTCATTCTGTTTAATTATAATATGCACACATCATGGAAGTATCACTTATTTACATTAAGCTTATCAATAATCTGGCAGAAAATGGTAGCATTTGCCTATAGATACATGTTATAGAGTACAGTGTGAGTCCTTTGGTAATTCTAGTAAACTGCCTGTCCTAAAGGGCAATATGTAACCTCTTTTTGATTGGTAATATCACAGCAATATTTATTTATATAAGTAACATGGAAACAATACTAAAATAAAAGGACATTCAGCAGACTTTAATGCCAATGCACATTTCCCACCATAGACAGTCAACCATGGGTAGTGTCAAAAATATTGTTGGTATATCAAATATAAGAATAATGAAACAATGAGTTGAAAACGAAAGAATAGATAAGCAGATAGAACAAAACACACAATAAAAATAATAATGCATTGCTGCAGAATGTTTTCTCCTATATCCTGACAGTACTCTTGTTGATAATCGTATTCTAGTAACGTCATGGACCATATCTTTAAAATAAAGGTAGTTTGTCCATATAGCAAAACGTAAACAAGTGTATATGAGACTAATCAACCATTAGCATGACCTGACACACAAATTACTGCACAAATACCATAATAAATAAAATTATATTAGTCGCGATAATGAGATCATAAATATTTACCTAAAACGTTTGAAAAGAAAGTATTGGATAATACTCACGAGGCCTTGGTCTTCGGTTGTTTCCATTTCTGGATCCTGCAATTCCAGCTTGTCCGTAGCCACTCTCACATATACGCTTTTCATTATCAAGGCGTTGTTGCAATACCCTTATTTTTCCGTCAATCGTACTTTTCGACATTGTGTTATTATTTTTATAAAGTCAAGAATTCATTTAATATTTGTTACAAAATAAACACCCAAATTAAACAAAAAAATATGAAAAAGAATAGCATAGCAATCGAAGGACTTCCATCGACATAGTATAAAAAAGGTATAAAATTTTAATTTACTCTATGCACCAGGGTTGCCAAATATAAATTTATTTCTGCATACGAAAACAATTTGATATTAATTATGGTCATAAACAATTTTCTTATGTGTATGTTTGTATAATGAAATAGTAGCTTCAGCGAAAAAAATATTATAAAAATACTATTTTTATTGTTCCGCTTATTATTTCTAGCCAATGCCAATATAATTATTTTAACAAAATATTACAGCCACTCCATGTTGCTTTCTTTTCAACTCACTTGAACTTTGTCGTTTGTCAATGTCAAGTATACAATTTGTAAAAAACTCTTGATTTTTAATACAGAGTACTTTAAGTATCTCTGTTACTTGTGTCTGCGACCATCTGTGTTTTCTTTTATTAAAAATAATTCAGCGAAATTAGAAATTCATCTAATTTCACATTATATCGGAATTCTTTAATGTTTCGTAAAGGAATATTCAAATTAGTTACATTTTGTTCAGGTATATAACAACGAAAGATGAAAATCGCTAATGACGTGAATACTTAGAAACAGTACAACAGTGGGTGTATTTGTTTTCATATTGATAATCAAAAAATAAAATCACATCCCAGAGGAACTAATGATTGTGCAGTATTAAATAACGATGATGCAGACAACATCAGAGGGTTGTTTGAATATTGCTGAATTAGCAAATCAACTGCGAAGAGAAAAGATATTTATTAATTCGGAACGGCAGCTGTTGCAAAGTCTTAATGAGGAAGTGGAAAAGAAAGCTTTGGAACTACTCCAAACTTCATGGATATGTTCCCAGCAGCGTCAGAACTTGATAAATCTCATAACTTCGAGATTCGAAAACGAGTCAATAGCTGCTTGTCAAAGAGCCAGTTTTCTTGAGAGAACTACATTTATTGATGTCTACAAAGTTTTGAAATACAAGGTGAGTATGTTATTTTTTGTAATATTACCACAAAATGTAGACTTTTTTTTACATTAATATAAATAATATATAATAATAAACAAAAAAAATAATAATCACTATTACATACATATATAGTAATACATAATAATCAATATATTAGAATACAATTTTTTTATTAAATAACTAATTCTAAAATATTTAATAAATAAACATATAATATTCCTCATCAAGAAGGGAATGATATTAATCTGATATTGAATGTTATATTGAGATAATAGTATATTTGAAAGAAAACTTTTGTATAATATGGTAATAAAACATTTACTTATGTAAGGGTGAAAGTGTTGGCATACAAGGTTTATGAAGATTAATTTAAATAATAAAATATAATGACAACACATTATGATGCATCACATACTTATACAATTGTAGACAATTGTTTATTACATCTTTTGTGTGTAATGACCATTGTGGTCTAGTGGTTTAGTACACCTTACATCCAATGGTCACAAGTTTAGTTCTTGTACTATAACATTTATGTTCATAATATGATTGATTGTATTAATTCGCTTGCTATTAATGTATGTTTCTACTTTAATATTTTTATTTCATTAATTCATTCATGAAATAACATATTAAAGTATTTCTATCTACTGTTTAGTGCCCCTAATACAAGCTTTTCTTAGTTTACAATTAGATGGTTCTGTGTGAATTTTTGAGTTATTATATACAACAAAAAGTAAACATACTGTCAAGACTTATCCCAGATGAGTATGTCAAAGGCATTTACTAATGTATGTTACTAGAAAAGTAAATTGTTGGTGAAATAACACCAGTGAACAATGATAAAATGAGCATGAAGTCAGGTCGATTAGCCCATCTTGGCAAATAGCAATTTAACACAGTGGTTTCCAGGGGAAACCATTTGGAGATCAACCTAACAGTACATTGTTAGCAACACTTCACACTGTTTCATCTAAACCCAAGTTAAGCTAGCTAAAGCTGGTGTTATGGATACTAGATAACTGATACATTGTTATATATATATTTTTTAAATACATACATATTATATATATACATATGTCAATATATATGTACTCTTATTATGTCACACTTGAGAAAATAAATAAATAAAAGTAAATATAAGAGTATTCTAGGAATCCATTTTAAAAACTAATAGTTATTAAAATGGATTCCTAGCATTTTACTCTTTTCTTTAAACTATCATTTCACACACTGTTTTACCGTCATGTATGGAACCATTCATACTAACTATGATAGAGCATGCTGTACGACCACATACAGTTGTGTAGCATAAATGGGCATGTTTTAATAAAGAAATACCACATCTATACTTAATACCGGCATATTCTGGTGAGTCAGGGTTCAGAAGGCCAATCCTCTTTCCTCTTAACTCTTTGCTAATTCCTTTCCTTCATCATCATAATCAGGCATTGGTAAGGTGCTTCAAAATACTGTCTAAATAAGATTAGTAAAGAAGAGATACTACATATCTGCAGACAAACCTTGACAGGAATTTTACAAGACATTAATTGTAATTACTGTAAAATTGGACAAATAAAGCTTTTTATCTATTTATCTAAATCACATACCATAGGGTGTGGCACGAATTCATTTACCTCCTATGCTCCAAAAAATTAATGTAGATTTTTTTACTTATTGTATTGCAATTATTTCAAAATCGTATTAAAAGAAACTTATACATTCTTTTTTAAAGGAGGCGAATGCCCTAGGCGAGTTACTAGGATGGTTACGGGACTCTCCTCACTTAGTGGCGTTATGTCTGTTGCTGGGCGAGGACCACATCCCGCCCAACATGCCCGCGTCGCTGGTTGCGGGCTTGTACGGCAGCTGTCGCTCCACCGCCGACAGGAGCCGTCTCCTGGCTGTCATTCGCTCTCTGATCAAACATCAGATGGCGCCGTGTCCCGATCCTCGCAAGTAAGTAATTTACAGAGCATTTGTAGTCTAACATTTTTATTATATGTATGGAACTTGACAGTCCATTATCAATGGGGATCTAAAGAAAACTCAAATAACTGACGACCAGGACAGATCTGTCTGGCGAAGGACTAAGAGAGGCAACCCCAAATGAAATGGGAAAACGCTAGGCAGAGAGAGAGAGAATGGAAATGAAGTTACTATGTTTTTGTTTTTTGCGACGGTTTTGTCGACTTTACGGACTTTGTCGGAAGTCTTCATTGAAAAATTCTTTTTATGTGGATAGTTACAGCACATAACAAGACCAATAGGAGCGGAGCTGCAATGAAAAATATTCCAAGAGCCCCACCTTTTGGAATATTTAAAATGAAACGCAGACGAAGTTGCGCGGGTCAGCTAGTATGAACAAGTTTTAAGGTATATTTGATGACTGATTTGTTAAATTGAATTAGATTACAAACATAGTCATATTTTCCACAGGTTATTCCGTACGGGTAAGTGTGCATTGGCAATGCTGTACGCGGTGTTCCGCGACGGTCACACGCCGGCGCGACAGTTCCTCACGGCTGCGTTACACGAGCCCGTCATGATGGCGCTCCAGGAAGACGAGTTCTTTCTCGACATTGATCCCGATAAGGCCATGGAAAGGTGAGGTGCAGTTACAAGGCTGGCAGAAATCGAACGTACTACAAGCTATGTCTTATAGGGTTTTAATCTGCAGTGTAAATACTATAGTTAATTATAAAAGTAAAATATATGTATATTTCGTAAAAGACTCATACATTGTCAACAGCAGAAATCAAAAGCGACTAAACAATATACAAGTGTCGTCATATACTAGTGCCCATACATAAAGATATAATAATTTACGTTTATCATTTTTGAAACAAGTGAAGATATCTGTTCTATATTTACTCACCACTTCCCTTATAGAATATGTACAGAAGACCACACAATAATAAAGAATATAAACAAATATAATTGTGTAAAATTATAGTTTATTACTCAAGTTTTGATTAACGTAATAAAACTGCAAATACGGAATAAAAATATATGTTAAATAATATAGCGATTACAATAACATTGAACAATATGCCAATATCATTCACAACGTAATCCTTAAGGATAACTCTAAGATTGTTATAATGTAGTTATGTGTTAGGTAAAAACAGCTATAATGATATATGATAATGAGAGCATCTGTTTAATTCATGTTCCTTCTAGATTCTCAACAACGGACCGCCTAAAAAAGTTCGGACTACCAAACAGCGCTGAATACACTGTGAAGCTGGCTCGCTACCGCAAGTGGACAGTGCAGTCGCTGTACAATCTGGCTAGCAAGTTCATTCAGTCGATGCGTGATCACTGGTCGAGCTTCCCTGCCAGTATAGCCTGGATTGTGCAACAGATTGTGCATTTACTAAATCAACATTCCAGGTGAAATTCTATTGTTATTAATCTACATAACATGTACCCATAATTGCGAAAGCTTCTTGTCTAATATCCATAACACAAGTTCTTCTTAGCTTGGGACTATATGGCACTGTGTGAATTGTCCTTACCATTCTGTACGGCTAGCCACTTCAATAGAAGGCAACTGATAAGAAACTGAATGGATTGTTTTAAATATTTTATTTGTTTATTAAGAAACATTGTTTTAAACATTTTATTTGTTTATTAAGTAGTTTCGGAAATGATACGTGATGCAATAGTACTTTATTTTAAATTCACTTTGAAATCACTCTACATGATAATTGCGTAAGTGAATTATACACACTGGTAACAAGTTATTGTTTTCCACGTCTGGTCGTCTCGACTGTCTGTGACTGTCACGGAATGCCGCTCCCTTTCTCCTTCTTATCTTTAGACCCTATACGTATTGGTGTGGCCACGACGATGCCACCAATACGAAATTATAAATTATTTAAATGAGTATTCTAAATTTTTTTAAATGTGTATAAAATCTCAAAAACAATACAAAAAAGAAAAAATAACATTACAAAAAGTCGTCCCCAAGTATGGCACTACTTCTTAAGTTAGGTTAAGATTAAATGTATTCTGTAGGTAGCCCTGAGAGACCTAAATCCAGTTATCCGGGAGTTGTTGGCCCCGGAATTGATGCTGGGGCAAAAGGGTGCGCCCCGAGCCCCCAACCTTTAACCCCCTAGGGGTGTACTGATGACCAGTGTCAGTAATTTATGTATTGAAGCTGACATATCTTTGGTAGAACGAACGAACAGGAGCTCCATGCAATCTGCACGGACCTGGTGCTGACCCACTACATCTGCCCGGCGATCGTGAACCCCGAGACCCACGGACTGGTGGAGGTGCCGGTGTCGTACATCGCACGATTCAACCTCATGCAGATCGCACAGATCTTGCAGATGCTCTGCCTCTCCAGATATCAGGAGGTATTTTGGAATATTGTTAAATAATTTACTCTGGGTGGTCTTGTTAAAAAGTGTAGTTTCTATGAAAGCTTAATAGTAGCCTGGTAATAGTAATATCATATTTATAAAAATTACTTTACATAGTAATTAGTTAATTTATTCGTTTATATACTAGTGGACGTCCTGTGGTCGAAATTCAACCATAATTAAATATTGTTAAGGTTCTATTGACAAGTAATATTAAAGGCAAAAAATATCTAGTCTCAAACAAACCACAGATTTTAACAATAAACCAAATGTGTATATGTTTGTGTGTGTATCAAATAAGTGGTAGTGTGTAATATTTTTTTATTGATATTTGTTTTATGTGCATAATTTAAAAACTATATAAGCATTCTGCACTCTTACACTAATATAAAGTGTAAGTCTGCGAAATTTCATACACACAATTTTCCTAGAAGTTTTTGCTTGACGTATTAATATTATGAAATTAACATTGATAGCCTGAGATGTACTCTGTTTTGTGTTTGTTTTGATCTCGAGGTACTTGGCCATAAGAAGCTAACAACTAAAATACTATAAATATGGACAGGTGGACTCCAAGGTGCGAGACTTGTACTCGAAGTTCGACCGGTCGTGCGTGTGGACTTTGATCGAGGCGGTGTGCTCAGAGGCGCTGTCGCCGGCGGCCGCGGGTGCTGCGCCCCCCTGCGGGGCGGAGCCCGGTGCCGCGGCCGGAGGTCTGCGCACTGACGCCGCTCTCCGCACAGATGCCGCTCTCTATACTGCGCACGATGCACACGCTCTCGTTAGTATACATTTCTCATTTGTTTATTCTGCTATATATGTTATAGGATCTTAACACCAGATCAACCATTTTCATTTTTGAGGATTACAATATTTAACAATGTTATGTATAACACTCGTAATATTACAATACAACAAGCAAAATATGTATATGGATCTATAGGGATTGGTATAGCCAACGGTAGAAAAAGACTAGAAAGGAGAAATTACGAAAAAATAAAATTTAAGTGTCTGTTTGTAATTTTAGATTAATAGCTTGTCACTAAATGGAAATGAAAGAATATACAGTATTCACATAAAAAAAATTTTTTTGTCTGTCTGTTTGTTCTTGCTACTCTCTGAAACGGCTGGACTGATTTTGATAGGATCATCGCTTGCAGATAGCTAATGTTTAAGGAGTAGTTTTTAGGTTTATTTTATATATAAAAAACAATCCACGCGGTCAAAATGAGCTTAACAAACTATGATATAACACACTGGAATAAATTTTAATATAAAAATGCAAACGTACAATTTATTTCCAGTTACTAAACTTTTTCTAATTTATTTACATAATTGAATTGACAATAGGCTGACTTTGGCATGACTTTGATGGGCGAACCTGATTGGAACTTGATTATAAGCGGTAACCGTCGCTTATATACATGCACTGCTCTACGGACTTCAAGATACCATGTGCCACCCGTGATACCACTCATATATAGATCATGCCTCTTGTAAATGTTTAAAAATTATGATTACAGATAACATTCCTGAAGCGCATATCATCAAAGTTGAACAACAATACTCCGTCGCTAATGTCTGAACAGCAGCCGAACAACTCTGCACTGGTCCCCGAAGCAGCCGCTCATAGGTATGTAAGGTTTTAGCAAGTATTTACAACATTTGTACGTAGTATAAAATGAAGATGCTTCTGCTGTAGCTTAAATCTTTTACTGTAGCAAAGTGTAACGACCTCGGTGGTCTAGCCATTTACGTTCCGTTCACACTGCTTTACATCCAATGGTCGCTAGTCTTCGCACGTTATAAACATTTGTATTCATAAATATGATTGTTTGTATGTCTAGATGTTTTTTATGTATATTATGTATTGTATATATATTATATGTATTAAAAATTTGATTATGTCTATCAGTTTATAGTACCCATAACACAAGTTCTGCTTACCTTGGGACAAGATGACGTTGTGCTAATTATTCGATTCACCGTGCGATTCAAATTCAACGTGGATCAAAAAATGACCTGAGCCAAGGTTGCGGTGCCTCCAGTTCTAAAGGCGCCGTCAGGCGGGAGTTGGCCTTCAACCGCTCCATATGTCCATCTGCTGGTTTGTAGTACCATCTGTACTCGTCCCCTATCCTCCGGGAAACAGAATTAGAGTAGTCCGAAAAAATCTTACTTTGTATGGCATTAGTAATTGTGTACGATGTAATCAGCGAGTCGTACTGTGCGGGCGGCGAGGCGTGCGTGTCGCGGCTGGCGGCGCTGCTGCAGACGCTGGAGCCCAACTACCGCAGCCGCCTGCACGACCTGCTGCGGAAGATGCCCGACCTCGAACACTACAGGTACCAACAAAATACCCATATACAAATACCACTAGTTGGAATCTGTTCCGAGAGGGCCACGGATTCCCATTCGCTTTCCCGTCTTTCTTGCCTCACTCATGTGAAGAAAAATTTAAGTAGCAAAGGTTTGGGGAGAGGCGTTTGTTGTTAGTAGGCGTAATAAGAAGAATACAAGCGTCGTGGCTAAAACAACTGAATGTGGAACGTTCGATCTAAAAATTCATTAGATTGTAGTTCTACAAAGTAAGACATGTGCAATACCTAGTTTAATGAAATATCTTCCATTATGACCTTTAATGTCATGAAAAGCTTGATATATCAAACTAGTACTACTAAGAAATATTTATTGTATAAGGATAAATGGATATGTTTATGTATAAACAATATTCTTTCTTTCGTTATAACAATATAATTTTATTCCAGACAAACCTCTCCGTCAGAGAACAAAGAGAATGCTATAGAGAATAGCCAGAATGGTCATAACAGCAAACGGGGTATATTGGCCAAAGTGAGCAAGCCTCGGCTGCCTCGCAGCACCAGCTCCAGCTCCACTGTCTCACAAACTAGTGAGGACAGGCCGGTGAATGGCAGCGTGGACAGAGACGATGGAGTTCTCGATCACAATGAAGTGCTAGTTATAAAGCTGACCACTGTCCAAGAACATGATTATGTTGGTGAGTTGTTGCTTTATTTACTTGGAGAGATACCAGCGAAGTCTCTCTACAATAATGGCCTGTGTGATCTAGCAGTTTTTTTTTTAATGTTATGTATGCATTTGCAAAAACAGTATCTATGTATTTATATAAGTTGTCTAGTACCCATAACACAAGTACTGCTTCGCTTGGGACTAGATGGTGCTAAATTGTCCTGAAATAAATAATAACCCTTTTTAATAAAATAAAAATTTATTTTATATATATGTAGGTATATGTATTTATATAATATTCTTAAATATTTATTTAATATTCTAGTTGTTATATATTATAGTTATATAATGTGTTTGCTTCTTTTTCCTTTGTTGTTATTGTCATGTATATATATAGTCCCACCACTCCACAATTCCTTTCAGTCATTCAAAGGTTGACTGGAAGAAATCCCTCATTTGGGATAAGTCCGCCATTGTACATATATTTTTTTTAAGATCGTGTATCTTTAGTTAATTTAAATGTATTTATTGTGCAATAAAGTGTTACAAACAAACAAACAAAATCCTGGACAATTAACACAGCGCCCTCTAGTACCACGGTAAGCAGAGCTTGTATTATGTGTTATTATTGTCGAAGTGTAGTTGGAGACCGTCAGCATATAATGCTAATGTGAGTATTCTATTCTATTGTTATGTGTGTATTCAGGTCTGGTGCCCGAGTCTAAAGTACTGGAGTGTTACTACGGCGGCGCGGACGCGGCGGACGGCGGCGACGACCACGCGCCCGGACACACGCCCGTACAGAAGCGCACCAGGTCTCTATTATGAATACAATACACTATATGGGGGGAAGGGATACTAACCCTACTAGCAATGTACCATGTCAAGCTGACCTGCACCCGGTTCCACTGGAAACCATTGTGATAGTCATGGAGAATTTACCAAAATGGGCTAACTGACCTCATGGTCATCCTATCATCCTTGTATGCAATTTATATATATGACATAAAACTTGCTATTGACCTCGCAAATAAAAATCAACTCCTTTCTCTTGTCTATTGCATAAGTATCTAAATCTGTCCTGTTTGGGTAAACATTTTTAAACTCATGTAAGAAATGTAAAATTTTATTTCAGGTTTTCGGTATCACACGACGAGGTATCACTAGGCAACACGTCAGACAACCTGGAGGCGGTGTCTGAGGCAGCGTCCAATCACAGTGTCACCTCCAGCCTAGAGCTAGAGACGGAGGATCAGAATGACAACCTGTCTGATATGGTGATTATACTTGACCTTTATCCTAAAGGTATTCGCATTAATTAAAATTTGTATGTTTGTCTTTGGGGTAAACTCTGGTTCTGCTAATCCGATTTTTTAAATTCTTTCACTGTTAAAAAACATATGTTCCCCGCGTGCTATAAGTTATATAACATCACGCTACGACCAATAGGAGTGGAGCAGCAATAGCAAATCTGGCAGAATATAATCATTCTCGAGTGCTTCCGCAGCGTGCGCTGCTTAAACGGTTAAAGTTACGCAAAATGTATGTCGGAATTGTTCTCCGATCAAAGTACTAAAAAATGTCCACGACAAAATATCTATCTTTTAAATTTAACTCACTATAACCCTTTTTTATAGTAATGAAATGTCTTCTAAAATAATGAATTATTTGCGAAGATGTTTTTATAAACATGATATTAATCCTTATCCAATTAATATGTTAACAAACATCGGGCCGTGCGAAGCCGGGACTCCTAGTCTTTCATATTATATTGATTGAAGTACAATTAGATATTTAGTATCATAATATTTGCTCAGACAAACCAATATAATGTTTAATCGTGACGTATTTATGTCTAGGTATCAGCGAACGTGAGCGGGCGCGGCAGCCCTAACATATCTGGGCGGGAAACACCATCCTCGCAAGTCACCGATGGCGATGGGCCGCCGCGACGGTAAGTACATTCTCCTTACATACCAAACAATTAAAAAATCAATCACCTTGCCTTTTTCCTAAACTCGTTCAGAACGCAAATCCGAATAATATAATTAACACATCGGATTATGAATGTAAAAAAAGTATTGTTCTCCTCAAAGAAAAAATAAACAAATATGTACATACAATATGTATAAATGTTTAAATATATAACAACAGGCGGCCTTATGGCTGAAAAGCGATTTCTTCTAAATTATAATAATCATATATGTTTTTAATTTTCGATCAGGCTTCCTCAAAATGTACCTGTCAGCCAAACGAGCAGCGCCCAAGCTAAACTCATGAAGCAAACCAGAAATGACATTGATGACAAATTCTGCAAGTTTGAAATCAAGGTAATTGTATAATCATTATACATATTTCATTTTAATTTTATTTGTTTCAATCTGGAAAATAATAAATTAACACGTTTGATGATGTGACCTGCAGAAGCTGCTGGAGGGCGACGAAACGATAAGCATAATGTCGGACACGTGGAGCACGGACGTGCTGGCCTCCGACTCGGAGACCATCGGCGACACCTGCGACAACACGCAACTCGCAGCCAACCAAGGTGATTCAACATCCTACATTTAACCGTCCACAAATAAGTGGCGTGTTGTATAAGTTTAACTTGTCTAAAAACTGTCAATTCGTGGGAGCCCTAATACCAATTGCTCAACTGTGATAGATTTTGAAGCGACTTGTTCTGTTTGAAAACTGAAGTGGTCGACAAAGTTTTGAGCTATTATTTATTCAGGCGTTTGAAGACTTTATCTCTTTTACTTACATTTTCTAATTTCGATGGTTGCTGACTTTTATTTGAAACTATGCGTTTTTTTTTTGAAAAAGATACTTATTTCGATAAACTTGCATAACTTTAAATATATTTATGGAAAAGGATGATTTTAACGCTGTCTAGTAAAGTTTGGGCTAATACTAACAATTCAAGTACCATAGAAACAGAGTTGACTGTATAAGATAAAAGCAAAATATAATACCCATTCAGAAACACTTTTTTGGGTATTATATTTTCCTTTTTTGTATTATTTTAGTTGTGCATAAAATCGTGTTTTTTACCCTACAATACAGAAAAGGTTTTGCTTATACTAAATTTTGTTCTAACCATTCTTTCCATATCTCAGAAAGAACTCTCATATTTTGGATCAATAATTATGTAAAATTCAAAAATAATATACTAGAATTGTTCTTTTAAACTAATACCTACCTAACGATGCAGTGAATAAAGTTAAAATTCGTGTAATTGTTACAGGCGCGAATACTAGCAGCACGAACGCGCCCGATGTGTCGGAGACGGCCAGCGAGTCGGCGTGGAGCGTGGACGTGCTCGCCTCCGACAGTGACCGGAATACGGAGGTATTGCACTCCTTTTTATTATTTATACTTAGAATAGTGATCGCCATTATTAAATCAAATTATTCAAACTCGTACATGTAGGACATTTTAGTTGCTTATAGACGTAAAATTTTTTGTGCATACTAAATTTTTTTCTGTACCATACCATGTTCAGTATACCGATTCAATTGAGTAGAACTGGCAAGAATATAAGTAAATTTATTTTTTTATAGTCAGCCTATTTACATTGTTTATTTATATATGTGTCTATGTGTAACATCAAAAGAAAAACCTCTGAATGAACAACTATTGCCATGCACGTTCTTCATTTAATTAATCGTTCAGTGATTAGTTGCATGCGTCTATATAATTTAACTTTTAGGAATACACAGTGTTGGATCCAGTTTTGTAACAAACCACTCGCTCCTAATCAAATTCTTGTACTGATTGCTATCTGTTCTGTGTGCTAATAAATAAATAAAATAGAACTCGCTCAATAAATATGATTTAACAGATATTTTAAGTATATTCAAGGCAATTCCAGTATATGTTTCGGTATCTTACTGTAATTTTTTATACCCATTCCCATAAAAGACACATTGACTTTTCTAAACTATACATAGGAGCAGCGAGTTTGTGTTTAATGTAGTGTGAATGTTCTGAACAATGTCCCCTGGCGCGTGCAGGTGGACACGGACGACTGCGTGTCGGTGGCGGCGCGGTCGGACAGCTCGTGGCCGCGCCGCGCCTCGCACCCCGACGGGGCGCTGCACCACGCCAGGCCGCCGCAGGTACACCGCCATACACACTACGATACACACATTTATTTGTGTTGTTTGTTCTGCCATCAGCTTTATGGCTATGACCATTTTTGTTATTAATTAATGTTTTATTTTTCTTTTTCCTCTCTATCTGCCATCAGGCCTATGGTTAAAATATTTTTTTTCTTAATTAATTTTTTTATTGTTTTTTTTTTGTTTATATTCTACCATCTGCCTTATGGCTATAATCAGATTTTAAGATATTTGAACCTTTGCACTCGGAATTAGCGTAACGGTTGAGCGCATCTCAACCGTTGCGCTATTTCCGAGTTATTTGATCCCTTGGTCCCTTGGTCCGTTGGTCCCTTATACGAGCACAATGATAAAACAAGTGATATCTCCCGTACGGGGACATACGAGTCCAAAATTTAGAGATATGTCCATCGACAACATATCTTAATGGATGATACTCACCGTTTCCTGATTATATTATGAACAGTGAATTGATAAATGATCGCGCTATCCACTCGAGTTTAATGTTTTTTTATTTACATATAAAATAAAAAAACATTAAACTCGTTAATCATAATTTTTTTTGTTACAAAAGAACGGCGGCGTGAAGAGGCCGGAGGTAAACATGAGTCCGCGACACACGTCCAGACCCAGCCTACCAAACAGGTGAGTTTCGTAAAATTAAATAAATTTATTAAATTAACTTAATTAATTCTAACACACTACATCAAACTAATTTTAAATATAGGTTGTGTTTATTGAGAGTATATTTATAATTATGGACCAGTTAGAAGTATAATAATATACCCAGACAATTCACATAATGCCATCTAGTTCAAATGCAGTAAGCAGAGATGTGTTATGGGTACTAGACAACTCACATAAATACTTAAATATTTATAAAATTTGTGATTGTACAGAAGTGGTGGCTACCTGTCGGCGACGGCCGCGTTGTCGCGTGGCGGCGAACTCGACCTTGCGTCTCAGCCGCCGCTCGCGCTCCACAATCACTACGCCATAGAGAACAGAAAGAGCATACTGGTCAACGGATATCCGGTTAGTGCACCAATGAATACAATATCAACATACTTCAGGTATTTTGTCATGAATTGGTTTACTTCGGATGGGGCGAGGCAATCCTTAGAACGATAGATTTGCATAACGCATGCATTTTGCGATTCTATAGCTGCCTTTTTTACACGTAAATATAATTTAATCTGGTTTTTCACGCGCGAATACGGATTATACTTTTTATTCCAAAAACAAAACGCAGGAAAGAACGTGCATACAATTTGACAAATTGAAGGCATATCAAGTGTAGCGTTTAAAACAAAATCGTTTAACAATGCCTCTGACTACCTCATATTGGAAAATGGTCGTGTTGTTGTTAGGTTTATATATATTTTCTTAATAATAATAAATCTTAGTAATACATAGTTACAGAGTGACACAATTATACAAAAGTTTTATAAAAATATTAACAATAGCTACAAACTCGTATAACCTATTGCTGAACTGATGTGTACGTAAATCCAGCAATAGCTGAGCTGGGCGTACCCAGCGCTGGTTTTCTGTTTGTACCTACGTGGGCGTACCTAACCTACAGTTACATACTCGCATATGCTGTACACCTTAATACAACTAAATAAAGTTTATCTCAAATAAATAAATTTTAAGATTCTGTAATTAAAATGTACAATGTTCTCATATATCAGGTAATGACTTGCTACGCGTCCGCACCGCAGAGCCCCAGCCTGCCTCCGCACGTGTTCGACTACGTACCTTCCGACAGGTACAATACTACGTATTCTTTCCACTAATAGTTTCGTACTACTACAGCTAAAAATACTGTTGGCTTGAAAACTTCATTTATACCTTGAGTTGGGGGAAAGAAGAACTGAAGTCACGTGACTTTCACGCTCGGATACTAATATATTGATACTAGTTGTTACCCACTACTTTGAATAGCCTGTATTCGTTTTTGTGATACGATGTTAATGTTAAATTTCATTGAGATCAATTTAGTTGTGCTTCCGTAAAATGGTAAACTAACAGACAGACACACACTATCGAATTTAAACAATATGAACACAATAAATGTACTTTTTGTTACTATAATAATATGTTGATTAAAATAATTTCTTACAAAAAATATTTCCTAACAAACCTGAAATAACATTCACATGTTTGTGAAGCTAAATAGTTTCACTTCTCACGCACAGTCCTACAAATAACAGTCGTTTGTTTGTTCCTCACAGCAATAGCGCTCAAACGGAGTCTACTCTCGACGGCGCCAATAACAGCCAGTCGGACGCTACCAGCCAGTGGGTCGACGACAGCTTCCCTGAGCCCCACCACTCGCCCGACAGACCCTACCCCTCCACCTCCAAGTATGACCTGCCCTCTACCTCGAAACCTTACGACGACAACGACAACAACGACCTCATGGACCGCTCGCTGAACTCCAGCGAGAGCTCCTTCAACGCGCTCTCCGTGTCGCAATATGACAGGCGATACGACGGCGAAGAGCAACCGGAGTCGCGATCGGCTATAACCGATCTCATGACTCGTATGAGTTCCGCCACGATCTCGACATCCGCGAACTTGGTGAACAATCTGACAGCGCGCATAGTTAAATCGGAACGCACTAATAATTCCCACGAGATTCGAACGAGCATCGTGAGTATTAGTTCGTCGAGGATCGAGAAGAAAAGAGACGGCACTAGCAACATGTCGTTGAGCACGCTCTCCGTGAATAGTGCGGAGACGTCAGTGTCGGATAAGAGTTCTAGTCAGGATGTGAACTCGGAGAACGTGACGGAGAGGCGAGTGAGCCCGCCGCCGGTGAAGACGGCGTCCACCGGCGCTATACCCAAGAGTATCAGCTTCGATGCCACAGCGGAAAAGTCGCAGAGGTAATTTGAATAATATTTATTGCATTCGACCGATCCTGCTTGTCTCATCTAGTTTTTGTCTTCTACAACCTGCATTTCTAACTACTTCAATATATTATTTATTATCAATCCTAAATAGTATGAGTATGTAAATTTCATAATTGTCACTTATTATTAATCGACCCACCTGCCTATTTATCTTCGTAATTTGGTCTTTTTCTAGAGAATTTAAAATTGTTTTATCCGGAATGTAAGACAAAATGTCTATGCAAAGTCCTGCATCCTGGGTTTTGATTACACAAGGAGTTTGATATTAATAAATAATTTTTAGAATATAAAGGCTCATAAAAATATTCCCAGTTACATAAAAAAGGCCAACAATTAAGGCTTAATTGTACTTTTATATGTAACATTGAATATTGTGTAAACTGTCCACTGATACTATAAAAAGCCATTATATACATAAATAGCAATACCGATATTATTTAACACACTGCAAAGTCCTTAGTTACCATTCATGTGCTGCCATTGCTGAGCATAAAGTTGTTGTACCTCTATACTCTGTATTTACTTTGTATCTATGGCTTGTATTCTGTCTATGGCTTGTATGTCTGATTCTATAAAAAGCTAAACATTATATACTATAAAATTAGAATTCGTTAACGATAATAATGTTTTTATAGAAAAATTTAAATCTATACTGACAATATTATCTGATTACATTAATAATGAGTGCGTACCATTGATTATCGCATGCCTCTTACTTGCCATTGCTGAACACACAAGTTTCTTGCTCATTCTTCTTGTGATGAATCTGCATTCTGAATATATGACTACTTTGTATCTATTTGAATAAAGATTATTTCTATTTCTATTCTTATTAATATTGTTTATATGACAAACAAATTTATCTTCCAGGAGGCGGATCGTCACTGATGAAGGTATAGTGAGCAACTTGGATGAATTAAAGAACAATGTGAAGCGCTCGGGCGGCAACTTGCTGCACAAATTCAAGATGTTCCGACATCGAGGACGCAACCACCACAACCACAACGGTGAACCACGTGAGACAGCTTTAATATTTACTTACACATTAACTTTCATTCTCACTATCTTTCAAATGAAGAAAATCGTTGGCGAGAAAGGGACAACATAATTCAATAGTTAAAACATTGTTTATAGGATCATATAATATTGTAAATGAGAAAGTTTATTAGTTTGGATGGATGGATGTTTGTTGCTCTTTCACACAAAATATCGTAAAAAAAATAGTTTATATTATAATCCAAATGCAATCAGTAGTTTTTGCGTGAAAAAGTAACAAACATCTTTTTACAAAATTGCACAGACAGAAGAGTATGAAATTTTGCACATTTATAGTCCATTTAGAGAAGGAGTGCAGAATGGTAATATTCGTTTTCAAATAATGCATAAAAAATATATGAAATCTTTTAAAAAATCATTACACACACATACAAACGTCTTTGACATATTGTAGATTTTTATTTTTATTTTTCATAGTTTTTTTATATTGTTCAAACTTATAATTTAAATTAATTATGATCGAACTTCGATCATCAATGATTGATCAATGATAATTAATTTAGATTACTAGTTAGTGTAGATGCTTGTACAGTGATAAGTGGCACAAATATATTTTTATTACATTTATTTATATACCGTATTTATATGAAACTATTTATTTTGCTTATCGACATCGTTTGTCGACATGGCAGAAGTCATAAAATTACTGATTGTTACGTACTACATTATGAACACACAATGTAATGCAATTTTGTGATTATCAAAAATTAAAATTATAATCAAAAATCATTTATTCATGTAGGACATTGTAGCTGCTTATGAACGTCAAATATTGTTATGTGTAATTAGTAAAAATCACGGTATCTTTTATTGAGTTCCCAATATTTCGGCGTTTCAACCGCCATGATCATGGGTAAACTGAAGAGCAGCGGGTAGATAATCAAATGTTTTGTATTATAATTTTTCCCTACCGTCCAGCTCAGTATACAGATTCAAATGTAAAGAACTGGCAAGAAACTAATTTTTTTGGTGTTTGCAGAGATTAAGGTCCCGGAAGAGGAGTCCCGCAGCGACGAGGGGTGTGCGGAAAGTTCTGAGGAGATCCTCGCCAAGTACCGCCGCAAGTCCTCCGCAGACAGCTCGCAGCAGCGCCGCGTGCAGCCGCGCAACTCGCACCCCAACGACGCAGCCGCCGACAGGTCGCTAGTCACCATCCCACACTTCAACGATATATTATGGGGGTTTTGGGCTATTGTCAGATGCCAAAGACCTGACCTGGATAGATCAGGTCTGGTAAAAGTGACAAGAAGTGAAGGATGTTCTTAGGAGCGATGGTACATCGATATTACAAAGAGAGTATTCTGTGGTGTACAACCACATTTGCGTCTTCATATTTGCGACACCAGAGTAATATATGAACTAAATAAATTAATAAACCATCAGATAGAACCTTACAATTTTATGCATAATGTTTGTAAATCGAAAAATTATTGTGGTCCTTAGAGCCGGATTATTTTATTTTTATATACATTTATTTGTAAACAACGTTTTACTCTTCCATTTTATTTATATTAATTTTCTCCTTTTATCCTATACTAAACATTTTATGTGTATATCCTTTTGTAGAGGTAATTACTTTTTTAATAATTAATATATTTTATACTTGTAGGTGTGAAGGCGTGATAGATCTGAATGACCCGGAGGTGTTTGACAGCATGAAGCGCAGATTACGTGTGGTGCTTTCGAACCCAGACCTTCATTGTGTTGAATATGTGCCCAATGTATGTATATCTCATTTTTTTATGAATATATTATATTTGTAGGAATTTGAATATGTGAACAAATTTTTATAATCGAATAATCGATCATTTTCTGGTTTCTGCATATATAAAAATTGTTTCATTTATACAAGTTACAATTAGCAAATAGAGATTTCTACAGTAATTACAACCGTACATCGGGTTCTATCTATATTTCTAATCTATCTACATTTATAAACGTTACCATCGCGTGTAGTGCGGAGTCCGCTATCGCGTTATGAGAGTAACAGACTTGTCCGTTGAAGTTTCACTTCTATGTGTACCGGCACACATTCCTTTTTCATATTTGGTTGCATTCGTTACAGCGGTGTACGAGCACGTCGCTCGTAGAGTGGGTCCGCGCGGCAGCAGCGTGCGGTGAAGGAGGTGAAGCGGGGGCGGCGCACGCGGCTGCGTTGGCACGTGCGCTGGGTCCGGGGCCCGTGGGCGGCGCGGGCGGTGCGGGGGGCGCGGCGGGCGGCGCGGGGGGCGCGGGCGCCCGCCTGGCCGCCGCGCTGCGGGCCGACCTCGCCGCGCGCCGCCCCTACGCCGCGTACCTGGCCAGCTGCCGCGCCGCACTCGTGCACGCACGGCACTCGTTGCGAGCGTGAGTACTCTCGCTGTACTTCTCACTTGTGACTTTAATTATAATTCAACCGCACTAGTGGCTACTGTTCGATAGTCGATGCTACCGTCTTAATGATTTAGTCATTTCGCCCATTCAAATTAAATTGGAATTGTTTAAAGTTACGATTTTAATACATATTATTAATATTGTTAACCGGATATTAACAGGAATAATTTTATAGTAAATAATTTACCTTACTGACCACTGAGTCAGCTTATAAAATGTAAATGGTATTTACCTGTCTCGCCGTTTTGACTAGGTTGTACTAACCATGGTCACGAGCTGTCTCAAAGGTCAGTCAGGTAAATACGAGCTAAGACCAAGTTAGCAATATAAATAAATAATAATTGTATTATTGACAACTCGGAATTAATAGCTTAAATACTTTGATTTCAAACGAAGGATAGTAAAACGAAAGACACTGAATAATATATTAATATTTGGTGTGTACAGACAAACCAACCAGGTGCGCGCAGAGTGGTCGTGGTGCGCGCGGGCGGCGGCCGCGGCACGAACCTCCGACCTGCTGGAGCGGGGGCCCGCGCTACGACGACTCGCGCGACCCAACCACGCGCACGCAGACCTCGCACACGCATACGGTAACTAGCACACGCACTCTGCACACATACAGTAGTAGCACACGCGCTCACACACCCCGTACACTCATATGGTAACTACCGCACGCACCCCGCGCACGCATACTGTAACTAGCATACGCACACGCACCCCGCACATATACGGTAACTAGTACACTCACCCTGTGCACACGCACCTCGCGCACGCCTACAGTAACTAGCATACGCATCCCTCGCACGCATACTATAGCTAGCACACGCACGCATACGGTGACTAGCACACGCATATGGTAACTAGCACACACTCGCATCACGCGCACGCATTCTGTACATCGCATATTTCGGTCTGCGTCTCTATCACGCTCTTTCATGCGGTAAATCGCACTCTCTGGCTCACGTCACCACACATTTTATTCCATACAACGACACTATTAACACTATGATGAACTCGGTCAATAAGCGCTGTACCTAATCTTCCTAATAATAAAAGAATGAACTATACTTTGATATGATTCATGTACTAACTGATAACATTTCTCGCACGCAGGTGGTGAGCTAATGGATGAGAAAGCTACAAGACTGACGGCCAGTATAAAGGCAATCACAGCGGAGTTAAAAGCCGACCCCTCATGGGAAGGTGAGTCGTATACTATTCTTTTAATACCTAAAACATGATAAGGACAATATCTTTTTAAATATTAGATACTTCAGGATCTTTAGTATGAAAATAGAAATGAATACACAAAGTGAACATTTTCAGCCTCTTCTTTCAGGAAAGTTGTAGCTATGGCATATATAAAATAAAAATGATTATAGATAAAATTTTTGATTTCTTAAAATAGTAAATGAAAATGTTCTTCCTAATATGAATGTTTCTAACTAAGCTCAGTGAATGTATTGGTATGTGTACACTCGCAGGCGCGAGCGGTCCGCTGCTGGAGACTCTGGAGCTGACGGTGGAGCGCGCCGTGTTCGCGCGCCTCTACCTCCACGTCATGTTCCCCAACGGCGACGGCGACATCGCACGCGACCAGTACGTATGAAGTGCGCATGCACATATATTATGTGCTACTTTTAGTTGTCTTGTTAATAATAATAGATGAAAAAATACAGTGTTAGAGCATAATATGTAAAATCATCTTATTGTTTCTTTTACCTAGAATAGTCTTTGAAAAATAAAATCTATGTATAAATGATAAAATTAAAATTAAGTGATATGATGATTAACTATACACGCTATCACGCGCCAAACCGTGAATACAAAAAATAGTAAGATGGCTCGCACTGATTTTCCCGTGCCAATTCCCACGCATTGTACGCGGTATTTGAAAGAACATTACGTGTAAAGGTAGCGAAGGTATTTATGTTCATTCATGTCCAGCATGAAAGAGCGTACGTGTAGAGATAGTTCATATAGCATGTGTGGTGTGCGCAGGGTGCTGAGCGAGCACGTGCGGCGCGTGTCGGGCGCCACGAGCGCCGCACGCGCCGGCGTCGCGCCGCGCCACCTGTGGGCCGCGCCCTACCTGCGCGCGCAGCTGCACCTGCGGCACCTGGCCGCGTACCGCGCGCCCCGCGACAAGGTGAGTGACCCGCAGTGGGGCGGCCGCCGCGCCACCTGTGGGCCGCGCCCTACCTGCGCGCGCAGCTGCACCTGCGGCACCTGGCCGCGTACCGCGCGCCCCGCGACAAGGTGAGTGACCCGCAGTGGGGCGGCCGCCGCGCCACCTGTGGGCCGCGCCCTACCTGCGCGCGCAGCTGCACCTGCGGCACCTGGCCGCGTACCGCGCGCCCCGCGACAAGGTGAGTGACCCGCAGTGGGGCGGCCGCCGCGCCACCTGTGGGCCGCGCCCTACCTGCGCGCGCAGCTGCACCTGCGGCACCTGGCCGCGTACCGCGCGCCCCGCGACAAGGTGAGTGACCCGCAGTGGGGCGGCCGCCGCGCCACCTGTGGGCCGCGCCCTACCTGCGCGCGCAGCTGCACCTGCGGCACCTGGCCGCGTACCGCGCGCCCCGCGACAAGGTGAGTGACCCGCAGTGGGGCGGCCGCCGCGCCACCTGTGGGCCGCGCCCTACCTGCGCGCGCAGCTGCACCTGCGGCACCTGGCCGCGTACCGCGCGCCCCGCGACAAGGTGAGTGACCCGCAGTGGGGCGGCCGCCGCGCCACCTGTTACCTGCGCGCGCAGCTTGCGGCACCTGGCCGCGTACCGCGCGCCCCGCGACAAGGGGAGTGACCCGCAGTGGGGCGGCCGCCGCGAATCTACCTGCGCGCGCAGCTGCACCTGCGGCACCTGGCCGCGTACCGCGCGCCCCGCGACAAGGTGAGTGACCCGCAGTGGGGCGGCCGCCGCGCCACCGTAGGTACTGTAGGACAAAAAATATCAGTAAATTAGACTTCACTATCATAAGTGACTAAAATGTCCGATGTGAATAAATTATTTTTGAATTTTTTTTATTATAAGCGATTGTCTTTATTAATCAGATTGCATCTTTGATTATAAGCTTGTTGAGGATATTAGAGAGAAGGCTGAATTGTCCCTATAATTAAATGGTCTAAATAACTGTATTGATGATTCGACAGCTGGCGTGCATAATGCGGTGTATGACGTCGATCATGGCGGTGCTCGGGCTGACTGAAGGCAGCGCGCCCTCCGCGGACGATCTCACGCCCGTCCTCGTCTACGTCATACTCAAGGTGATTTTATTTTGTTAGTTTATAAACCTTAAACGTGTCTAAAATCTATTAAAAAAAATTGTGTAATTGAATATCACAATATTTTTTAAAGAAAGTGTAATGCTCAATGCATCAAAAAAAAACATGATATGTTAAATACAATCTCACGTGATTGCTTTATTGTTCGATCGTGAAAGAATGTGTCGTATAAAAGCAGCTAATGGGGAGAGGATTGTAGTGAGATTATTACAATCCACTCCTGCTTTGTGGCACTTTATCGAGTTAGATTTTGTAAAAGACAACTGTGTATACAGTGTAGACTATTTCAGCCACCAAACGGATTACTTTATGAGCTATTTCGGTTGTAGCCTAAGATTAAGCAGTGAAATTACAAGGTGAGGGGACGAATATCTTAATATTCCGAAATGACAATGCATGAGTGCATGCGATATAGGGAATGGATTGCTTTGTGAGCTGTTTCAGTTGCAGGCTGAGATTAAGCAGTGAAATTACAGGGTAAGGTGATTTGCATCTTAATCCTCTAGAATAGCAAAGCATGAGTGCATGTGATATGAATGTGGTGGTGACGTGAGCAGGTGAACCCGCCGTCGCTGCTGTCGACCATCGAGCTGGTGAACGCGCTGGGCGGCGCGGCGCTGCAGGGCGAGGCGCTGTACTGGTGGACGCAGTTCTGCGCAGCCGTCGCCTACATCAAGACCATGGACTACCCGCGCCCGGACGCACAAGACACCTAGCGCATACATACACGCCTGGTGAGTCAGACCATTTTTTTAAAGTGAAACTCCTATTTATTAGGATTTTTGGTCACGAAAAAGCGTTACTATCGCATGAAGGAAGTTTATCGCGGATATATATTTAGGACAATTTATCGCAGTTGATATATATATAAATGGGCCAATATTTATATAAATGTAACTCAAACATTATTTTGCTAACAATCTATTAAAAAAATGGATGGGAAAATTTAAAAATGCCCATAATAAAAAAATAAAATCCTACATTTTTTTTTTTTTCGCGACAGATATTTTATGATTTCCTCTGTATGTTAGTATATATAAATAATATTAAGTTGTCTGAAGTAAATAAATAAAATAAAAATATACCACATTGATTGCAAACAGACATACTTCCGTTAGTCGCCTGTTCAGTTGTTCAGTTGTACCGAAAATGCTCTCTCTATGTTATCGACCTAATATTTCATTATTTTTTTACTTATAATGTTTTTGTACAATAGAATTGTATTAGAGTTTTTATAATATACGTTAACGTATAAAGTTAATAATAATTGGTGTATTCTTTTCAGATGTCAGCGCGTGTCAACGAATTCAAATTGGTCAATAATCGGCAAACCGCACCGTCTCGTGGGCGATGCTACTCTATTTAAATGAAATGATTCATCAGACCAGTAATGTAGTTATGTAGAAACTTCGTCAATCATGTATTAGTTTGCGGTGATCAATACGGTATTTAAAAAAGGAACTGGTATTTCATTCTATTCAGCACTTACCTTATTTCGTGCAATTAAAAAAATATTAGAAAGTTATATTTTTAAATTGTTTCTTTAGGTATTTGGAATGTTTGGACGCCGTACTTCAAACTTGTCATCTGTCAAATTACCACAGAGTAATAACAAGCTATTTATGAATTTACGAAATTCAAATGTGTTTAAAGCTAAGAATGGATATGTCAAATAAACTAAAACAAAAATCTATGAATATTTTGTACCAAAAAAGTTATTTTCGAATATTCTTTATTGAAACTATTTTAATATCAATTATTTTAAATATCATATTGATCACCAAAAGCACTATTAAAAAAAGTGTTAATATAGCGCATCAGCTTGTACACTTCTAATATCATGTAGTACCTTAACATTAGTAAGTAATCACTTAAAACTATATTTTGAATATAATCTGTACATAATATAGGTGTATAACAGTTATTTACTTTAACATTATTGAACATAACTATTAGATTATAATACTTTATTTATATTTATAAGTTTACGGCCGTGAAATTACCAGGTATATAACATCCTAAACGTTATGGTGGATGGTCAGGAATGGCAAAGTATAAGAGGCCCGTGAACACAATGATTTTTGTTATGTTTGTGGTGCTTTTCATGTGACGGTGGTAACCATTTACCATCAAATGGACGGCCATTTTGTCCTATTTCAATCGTAACTCGTAATGTGTAGAGATTTAGTAGCTTAAATATAGAACCGGAGGCCTACATATTCGTATAGCCTAAATTTGTAGTGAAATTACACTTTAATGAGATATTCGTAGAGTTTACACTCTTGTTTTTAATTATTCAGTAAAACTTTATCTAATACTCGCGTACGTTGTGTTCGTGCCTCTTTGTTCTTGATATATTTTCATACACAATTGAAAACCTATTCTAATTAAGATACTAATACATAATTGTACAAAATATTACATTACGAGCTTAAACAGTAGAAAAAAGTAAATTAAAAAATAAACTTAAAGCACACAACTACACTCACCTACTGTGCGGATAGGTCAAACTAAATTTGGTTAGTATAAAATATTACTAATGTAAAAAAAAATATTTTATTTATTATTATGTTATTTCTTTGTGTATTCGAGAAATACAGTTTAGTTATTATGTCAAATAATATACACAAATAGGTAAAGTTACAGAATACAGCCACTATTATTAAATTGGTAGAAAGTTGAATTCTCAAAATTTGGTACTAAATTGTACAATGTAAAAATTAGTAATTAGTTCAAAATTAATTCTTCCATTGGTGGTCTTGGCGTATTGATTGAGGTTGATCCTAGTAATTAGTCGTGTCAAGAATTCAGTTAAAATGTAGTGACACTCGACTGGATTATATTAATGTAAACTATTTTAATGCCCATAATGAGTAACGTAAACTTTATGTTCATTATATTAAAGACGTTTACATTTGATTTATTGAATAAATATTTATTGCCAGCATTAAAAATTACAGAAAATAGTCCTATTTAAAATTAAAATAAAACGTACTTAGTTGGCAAAAGGAGCAGTCTCAGCTGCTGTGTTGCTGATATAAGCACAGCCTCAGTGAGGTGTACCTATACAGCGCTTGTTTTCAAGCAGCCATCATTACACATTAAAAAAAAAATTACAGACTTGCGAATTTATCTAATTCAGCTACAGCTACTATACATAAAATAAAATTTAAAATATCCAATAATAATTAGTAAATAAGACCTGGAATATATACACAATATATATAATGTGTATTACAATATTAAATGCTCATAAATAAATTAAATTATCATTTACAAATGGAATACTCGTCAAATCCCGTAACGATTCCTTTTTGGACGGAGTATATTTTTTCAAAATTTGTATACGTGTATATACAGCCGAAGGAGATTATGAGTCACTCTAGAGTCTAGAGTAACAACGAAACTTGCTAATTTAGAATTCATCGATGTCTAATGAAGCCTTAACTGTACATTTTAGGAAATGTTAATCTTTCATCTACATTAATGTAGGCACTTATTCAATATGCGCTTTTATGTACATTAGATTGGAATATAAAAAGTAGACTAAACAAAGTTTGAATGAATAGAATCGTCCTGTGATTTGAGTGTGAAAACAGTAAACCCATCTCTTACTCTCCACTTTCGTTTAAATATATATTTTGATACTTATGAAAATAAAACGTAATATATTATTGGATGAAAAACGTGTTTGTAAATCAATAAATTGAGGACATACCTAGAGTATTTAATAATAAATTTATATTCTAAATTCAACGTTTTGTCTTGTCGTGTGTCAATAATAAGCTGTGTAGATTTATTACCTTTATAATCTCTGAATCTTGTAAAAAAAACACAAGGAGGTCAAATATGCTCTCACATGAAACGTAATAGATTTAAACAGCTTTTTATAGTGTGTAACACTGTACGGAACAAACTAGGAGTGAGTGCAGATCTCTTATTGCTTCTAGCATTTAATCCATGATGTTAACGAATTTATTAACCTACTTTTTTTTTAGAATTACAGACTAGCTTACTTTCCGTCTAGCCTTTTCAATGTCTATGACTATTTCACTATGTTTCGTATATCCCTTAACCAGTTATAAAACATGGCATTCGCATTGATTGAATAAATATGCTATTATTTGCTTACTTCAAGTGTAACAATAATAATGAAATTAAAATGGCCATATAACATGGTCCATGTTATAATAGTAACGACCTGTTCGATTGGCGCATTTGGCATTACGCCCCGCCCACTTTGAATATCCGCCAATCGGAACAAGCTGGCGGTTTAAGTGGTGACGACGTTTATTGGTGGATCCGGGAATTCGTCTTCTCTTTGCTCTTCTAGTTTGTTCCGTAATATTTAATTTATATGTAATTACATGCGCCGTTCAGATTGCCTAATAAAACCATCTCGTTCGACTGTGATGTTAGGTTGCATAATACTCGTTAGAGGATTGTATTTTTGAAGAAATTGTTTGTATAGGATATTTTGGATATGAATTGATATTGGAAAAATGGAATAGGTGTAAGGATTGTCGCACTTGTGTGCTAATAAATGTAAGTCTAAAATGGAACTGCTACTTAAATGAAGCTGCTATTTGCGGAATAGAAAAGCACCTTATGTTATAAGTGCGTAGGTTACTCCCACTCGTATCTGAATGGTCAGCATTAGATGTGAACTAAAGAAGTTAACTAAAGGGAACTTGAGAATTTAAGAACATTGAAATATAGTACATATTTTGGGTCTACAAGTGATAGAGCAATGTGAAAGAGGCCTTATTGCGTTACGGTTAGGATATAAAATCTGTCTAATACATTTGAGAGAATGATATATAAGGTATCGCACTTATTATCCAGAAAATACCTTCTTTTTCTATAGAAAACTAATTGTATTACTAATTAAAAATATTGATTATAGATATAGGGAATTAATTATACTTCTAATTGTACCTACTTAGTAAATATGTTGGTTTTGTTTTTAAGTCCCAGCGTTCATTATGTTGCACATGTATCTAATTTCTTCATACAGTTCAGAAAGGAATAGAATAGAAGGGAAAGAAGTTATCTTTATTTTTAAAAACTGTTGTAAGAAAAGTGTAAATAATTTATAGTCGCTATTTGTATAAATACAACAGAACATGCTTGGAACCACATTAAAAAAACAATTTGTGTGCGTGTTATAGTATAATATTTTGATATATGCATGTATATATATTAAGTAAGCGAGTATTAATGTACGTAGGTATATATCCAATGCTGACTGACAGATACGAATTTCGGAATGAGGTTTGAAAACGTAATGTATATTATATGAGAGAAATACGAGTAGGACGATATTAGTAATGACTTTAATAAAAATAAATTTTAAATTGTAATATACCGAGTGCTCACAACGTCGTATATAAAAATAATATAAAAACATCTGTTTGTCCATTACAGCACCGATCACCATATAAACGAATCAATGATCGAATATAACATGTAAAAACATGCTTATTTTTTTTATTGATGTGACTGTTTGGTATACCTACATTTGTAAAAAAGATAGCCGATGAAAAAAAAAACTACACAATGATAACTATTTTTATTTATTTAGAATCTCTAAACGTGAATTCTGATTAGAAAATACTAGAAACATACTTTGTATGGTGCAGCTAGGAAATGTTTATCAGCTTAAGTTCGTTCTAAAGTAGGCGTTTCAAATTTACCAAACTTAGAAGGCCTTCCTTAGATTATCGTCGACTGGAAGCTAGCATATTTATTATTTTTGCCGCATAAGAAATTATGTCATCACATTCCTAAAAAATGTTTAGACTGATTTAGGGAAAGCTGGACTAGATGGTAAAGATATTATTCGTATTATTTCCTCAAAGAAAACCTACTAGACAATTCGATTTTCTACGAGGAAATGACTATGAAATGAGTACCTAACTGAACAACCTGTTTTACGAACATTTCAGCTTTAAAAAGCTGTTACTCCATTCACACGCAATATGGTTACATCAATAAGCAAATTGTAACAAATCAGGCTCTTAATTATATAAACTAATGTTGCCTACAGCCCGTTATATTATTTTGTATCTAATTCTTAAGATCTCTCTTTAAGTCCTTTTATAAAGAAAAAGGCAAAACATTTGTAATACTGTTGTACGTAGTTGTTAAAATCTCTTTATTAGACTTCTGGCATTTTTAGGTAGTACATATATATAAGAACATCAATGTACACCGTAGCTGAGGTAATGTAATATTATACATTATTTTCAACTAGCGACCGTCCCGGCTTCGCACGGCTGCATTACAAAGCTTCGAATTTCTCTGCTTGTTCTATACAACAACATGTATTATACATATAAATCTTCCTCTTGAATCACTCGTATCTATTGCTGAAAACGACATTAAAAACCGTTGCGTAATTTAAAATATATAAGAGGACAGACAGCGGCGACTTTATTTCATACTATGTAAATACGTATGTAATACGTCCATAATGCTAAAATTTTCAGAAAAGTAACATTAGTTATAATTTGTACACAAATGCTATTTATAATAATCATGTTTGTATATTCAACATGTCCTTATAGGTATTAAATACACGTCTGTGTGAGTGGAGTCAACAATGTTACTATTTATTGAACCTAATTTAGGCTAAAGTTGTTTTAAGCACCAGTTTATTTCGCACTCAAAATAGATATTCTGTGACTTGTCCATTTTATTATTTTACGAATAAACGTTAGTTATATAATTAATAAAATACTAGAAATACTAATATTTTCATTGATACAAATATATTTACTGCATAATGTTACTCTAATGTCATTTCTTAAGTATTACAATACCATAAAACATTAATTTTAGAAAAACAATAGGAGACATCTTCGTATGTAAAATCGATAAGATGTATTTTAATGACACTGTAACTTAGTACCTATATAAATAGTTGTAGTTGTTATTGTATTTCCATACTTTAAGAGCTGGCAACTTTTGGAATTAAGTGTTTTTGTCCTATAGAAATCTGTAATGCTTGATCAAAAATGTTTTCAGGAATTACGAATTCTGTAAATTTTTATTGTAGGAAAGCCATAACAAAATTGGATTCAAATTTTATATCATATATACTGCAATTACGTACTTCATCTACTATTGTATTATAATAAACATACTGAGATTGTGTACAAATATAAACTGGCAACACCTATCAATTTAGCTAGGTCTTAGAATTTTATTACTTTAATAATAATGTACCTAACATTCACCAGTTAATTGTTCACTATATATATCTATATAATTTATATTCCAGCGTAACTATTGAAATAAAAAATATATGGTAATTCTATAATAAAGTACCATTTACTGTTTATATAGTCAAGTAGCATGTCACCAAAAGAATGTTGATTTTTGTATTTTAATATTTTTATTTATATTGTTTAATAATAAGAAATTTCTGGATAAGTTATCACGAGTTAATTTATTATAAACTTAAGAAATGTAAGCATTGTTCCATCCAAACTTCCTCAATGTCATGGGAATCAATTTCTCTTCACATTGTGTAAGATCAACACAATAGCTGTTAATTTCGTAGTAAATCCACTTATATCCAATTATTGTATTTAGTTTTCAAATCGTGTATATTTCTAACTGTCCTATATTATAATTAGAATTAATATCGTTGCATAGTGTTGAGTATCCGGTGTAGTTGCTAACTTTATTAGTGTAAAGTCAGTCGTGTACCTATTATAATCAGAGCAATGAAATTATATTTAGCAATAAATAATTATGTTAACGATATGAGTTTGCATTTATAACAAACATACCATTATAAGAGTATATATCTCTACATTTGTCCTACACAATACATATAGGACGGCCTTAGTGGTCTAGCTGTAGCATAACGCTTCCAATGGTCGCGGGTTCGATTCCTCGTACGGTACAAACATTTGTATTCATAAGTATTTGTATTGGTCTGGGTGTTTTTTATGTATGAAGTCACCTTTTGTTGTAAATAACATATTTACAAAAAATCAATATTAGTTGTTTAGTACAATAATACAAGACTTGCTTGCCTTGACTATAGATTGATTGTTGTTCAAAGTATTATTATTAATATGGATGTTAGTTACATAGCATATAATGTAAGTATAAAGTTAGGAAGTAAGGGAATAAAAAAAAAAGTACACTTGGTTGTACATAAATTTATTTACGCACTTGATTTTACATTTTTATAAAGTACACTTATAAACAACACCACTTTTCAGCGGCAGGACACTGAAACAAGGAAAAAGAATATATTTAGAAACACATAACTAGAATGTGTCCATCCATCAGGATAAATGTAATCAGTACTTAGTGTGACGTCATGGCATTCAGCAGTAGCAAATAAAGTAAATAGCATCATATATAATAAATAATACATTACTTCCTGTTAGATTACTTTATAGACATCCTACAATATCGCACTCTGCGTAAATGGTGTAAATTACAAAATTACTTCATTTTTTTATTCCGGTCTTGGAACAAATAAACAAACATAAAAACTAGATTTTATTAAATTACATAAATTTGGTCAAAATTAATATTAATTTCGGAACAATACAATATAAAAAAAAGAGTAATAGACTAAGAAAAACCATATTTTTTTTATTCATAACACTAGTGTAGGTGCGATATTAAATTGTTTTAACAATTATTATCTGAAGATCTAAACTTAAATATTAGTTTTAATTAATTTTGAAATCAATTACCTTATCACAGTGTAGGTTGTCTATGATCGTGGCCTCTCTTTCTTTTCTTTGTATAAGGCTAGAAGTGAGACGTTAGCTACCTTCACGACCTGTAAAATTAAATATTCTCAGTAAAAATAATAGTACGACAATGAGACAAGACAATCTGGTGCTTCAGTTAGCTAGTAACATCATGGCACTCAGAGTAGCAAATACTCTGATCATAGCAAATCATCACTTAATGCCAAAATAATATACTATGCTACCTTTTCTTTTTATAAAACTGATAAGTTTTACAAACTATATTAAATCTATCCTACTAAAAAACTGGATAACAGACAGAAGCATCCAGTACCAAAGCAAGTGTATTATGAGTACCAAACACTGATAGATATATTTTTGTCAAGATACATATATATAATATTTGTTTATTAAGAATGAGAATGTGACCTGGAACCCCTAAAACACTAGTGTACTTAGAGACCCTAAAGCAAAGTTCAACATATTTACAGTTATAGTTAGATGTCAGGAGTTTCTACAATCTTTGTTTACAATATGTATAAAATGGTGGTTAATATATATTTCTGTAATAAATTCATTCAGTGTAAATTTATCTTGTATTACCAGGTGTATAGCTATTACTAAATTATTTATGTACTAGAAGTATGGCTAACCTTAAATCTGACTCCGGGAATATCACCAACGGCGTGACCCTTACGACCGAAACCCGCAACCAACACTTCGTCGTTCTCTTCAATGTGGTTGAGACAACCGTCCCGGGGCACGAAGGCCGTCACCTTCTTACCATTCTTGATCAGCTGGACACGCACACACTTACGGATGGCAGAGTTGGGCTGTTTGGCTTCCACACCACTGTTGAAAAATACATAAACCTTTTATATGTTTATAATTGAAATCGTAACTAAAATAATCTATTCATAGGACATTCTAAGTAACTTAAGTACATGAAATATATTATTTTTATGCTAGCACCCATCTTGATCAATCATGTCTACTTAAAATAAGAATTGATAATCATTGATAGGAAACATGTTTTTAAATTATTATTATTATTATGTGTTGTTTACACAAACAATGGCCCAGATGAGAGGCTGATTTCAAAAAATGAAGTATATGTGTTGTTATTTCTAAGTATTTTTATTAGCAAAGACATGTGGGCGTCACAATATAATTCCATTTATTTGCGACAGTTATCAAACAGGATTTAAAAATATATTAAATAGAACAACAAGTGAATGATGAATGAAAAACAGGTGAATGAACCAATAAGCCACACTACAGATAACCTTAAGATTAAAATTAAATATGAGTTTAACAGCCAATCATTTTTCTCCAAGTGAGATATACTTAGTAAACAATCTGTTGTGATTGTTTACTAAGTATATCTGACTTGGTATTAAAATTCATTATCAATACAATTATGGATTTTGTTTTTAATCATTTTAAATAAATAGAACAGATCATCCTATTAATATTAAATCATAGTTAAACAGATATACAGATACCATCTACTAAAGCCTGTGTAGAACTTTAACGCAACTGCAAAAAAATCAGTTATCAGTATAAAAAGTAGGCAGCACTTAATTTTTATGAGTAAATAATTTCACGACTACTAACCCAGTAATTCATTTTATAAGTCTAATTTTAAATAAAGTAGATATACAAGATCATTGCGAGTAGGATTGTTAACTAAAGACATTACATAAAGATATGTGCACTGATAATAAACTACATTTTATCTCAATATATGAAAGCAATAAAACAGCATATTTTTAAATAGTAAGAAGTACCTAAGTAAAATTCATACTATCCATTTTGCTGAAATTGTTTTTTTGTATGGATATTAAAAAGACATATGTTAATGTTTTTTATACATAACAGATAGTGAAGATATTATTGTACTGTCCTATGAACACAAATAATGTTCAACATTGTTGGTTAATCATACAGTTCACTATCACACATATGTAGTGGTAATAGTCGGATAACATTATGTTGCTTTCAACTCCTTTAGAGGCATTTATACAGCTGTAAACAACTTAAAATTATGAACGATAACACCATGATATGCAAATTACTATCGTTAAATGAATTAAAACTAATGTACAAATGATAATTGTATTTACTGAGAATATGTCAAGAATTATTATCTCCAAAAATAATAAATCGGCAGAGAAACGAGGTCTTCTATCCTTACATACACCTAACTCTTGTTAATACAAATATCTTCATATAATCCTCACAAAGGTACTTTAATAATTTCAAGAAAATACAACTACTTATAAAACCACAGTATGTTTTTTTTTATATGAAAATTAATTAACATGTAAAATAGTAAATGCACGAGACCAAACAATATAGTGTGTTGAATTGTAATGATCTAATTTAAATAATTTCTTTACCACAAGCAGCAAATTAATAAATGAAATATAAAGTAATATTGAATTCACACAGATATTCAGCAGGTAATAATTAATGAGGTCATATAGTGAAACACGGTCTTCAGTTGACATGAGACAACACCACTCGCAGTATTATCCTGTGATTGTAGCTAGAACACATTCACAGGCATAATACCACGCGCGGGGGCGTCCTCATTACAAGCACGCGTCGCTTCCCGATGATAGTACAAAGTTTGCTACACAAGTAATCACTTTTTATATCTCTGTAAAACAATGATCATTATAGCATTTCAGGGTTGACTTGAAAGCGTTCTCGAGACCTACTGACACTGATGCAGTCACGGGTGGCGTCTACGCGGTTAAATTGGAGAAACGTACTTACACTTTTTCTAGGACGATGCCCTTAGCGTGAGATGCACCACCGAAAGGGTTGGCCTTCCATCTCGTGCCCATGTGGGCTTTTTTGTAATCCTTATCAGCCCATCGTTGCTCACGCCGATGGTTCACGTGCTTACGCGCCGTGCGTATTCCCCGGGGTTTACCTGAAACGTCGATGTCGCCGGTTAGCACTAATGTTTACATGATCACTGAAATCGACCAACTGTATTTTTATTCATATTATATGAATGGAAAAACTTTTGCCGGACCTAGTTATTATAGTAGAATTTAAGCGATTAAAACAGATTAATTTTACACCACGAGAAAAACATGTCTGCGCCATGGCCGACACTTAGCGTGCAATTGTATTTTCTCGAGAAATTCGTCATAATAATATAAAAAATTCACTACAACAATTATGTTCAACTATATTACACTAATACACACATTTTAAATAAAATTATTAGTTAAATCACAGCAAAATACACACAAAACTATTGCTTACCCATTTGGATAGCACGACACCAGTCCGCTACGGATGGGAAAAAGAAATTCTAATGAATCAAGTTCACCAACCAATAAATGCAATTTCTCAATGTGACCAATCACAGAGCACAATTTAAAAATTGCCATAACTAAAATTAAAATACTACCACTGTCGAAAGGTAAAGATGTACAGAGAATGCCATTCCGAGTTTACCATTGTTATCTGTCTCGCTCATATCAATGAAACATTTTTTTTCTTATGCACAGAGAACTTTGTTGAAAAATTTATATTGTCAATGTCAAGTTTAATGTTTTCGTTCATTCATTTCATAATTCACAGATTAGTAAAGTTTTCTATTCATTATCATTCGTGTTTGTTTTGGGTTTATTGAATAAAATACGAGTATTTTAATTTTTACAAATTATATTTCAGAAACCATTGCTCTAGTATTTAATTATAAAAGTGCTGTTATTAAATGACATAATGACGACTTTGAACCTTGCTAGAAAAGACGGTGGCCCAGGTTATGTTGGTATACAGTTTTGTTTGGAATGCAACAACATGCTTTACCCGCGCGAAGATAAAAACAACAAAGTTCTGTTGTATGCTTGTAGAAATTGTGATTATAAACAACTTGCTGATTCTAACTGTGTTTACGTGAACAAAATTATGCACGAAGTCGATGAGTTGACTCACATTAATCCCGATGTAGTGAGTGATCCGACATTACCTCGTACGAAGGATCACATGTGCCCAAAGTGTAGCCACAGGGAAGCGGTATTTTTCCAAGGGCAAACAAGACGTGCTGAAGAGGAAATGAGATTGTACTATGTGTGCACAAGTTGCAAACACAGGTGGACTGAGTGAAATTTACATAATATTTACTTCAAAACATTTAATATAACTATTTTAAGATTAATATTCTGTTTCATTTAAATATTGTCCCTGTAATTTCACATATCTTGTCTGTATATTCTACATGGTCAAATGAGTATAAATTTCTTGAAATTTCCATCCAAAAGTCTAATTATTAAGAATATTGAATATATTCATATGTTTATGATACATATTAAGGTAATATAGTTACCTGCCCTGAACTCATACTCACCTTATCATTCTGCACGGCAGGTAGGTGAACCATTCCATTATCATCCATCAAATAAAATGTGACTCTTTTTATAAACAATGATAGAGTTTAAATTTGTGTAAGGGAGTGAATTCAAGGTAATCTATTTGTTCTGCTTTCTTCATTGTCTTCTTATTTAGTGTTTAGAGTCGCTGCCTTGAACTAGCCTCTAATGTCAACATTGTGAGTGTTTTCAAACACTTCCATAACATTCCAATTCTCCTGCAAATGTAAATTTAACACTCATTTACTGTTACCATTTAGGCAGTTTTTTTGTAAATGATAATGGAATGTGGCATCTGCCTGCGCTAACGGTTTACGTTGGCGGGGCACCAGTGGAAGATGATTAATGAACATGAGGTCAGGTCAGTTAGCCCATCGTGACAAATTCAGCAAGAATTTATCACACTGGTTTCCAGGGGAACTGCATGGAGGTCAACCTTACTCCTTTCCACCCCCCCCCCCCCACTTTTGGCGGTTGTGCATGGCCAAAATCACTTTATATACAGTAATGACTATACTATGTTGAAACAAAAAGGTCAAATTAAACAAATTCAATTGCTTTATATTTGTTTATTAACTAAATATTGCCAAGCCATATATGATCTAATAATAACAGTTAACAATTCACAGCCCTTGATTAATTAATAATAAAATGGAATTATAAATCTTTCACAAGTCTAGTACAAAGCACTAGCAACCTATGTGTCATACAATTTAACAACTTAACAACATTGTGTCTCACACAGCACATAATGTGCACACCTACACATACATTATAACAATTGGAACTACAGCATTTGGCACATCCAGTTTTGAGAACTAACATTATGCGGTTTTAGGCCTAATACCATTAGTAAAATAACAGTTGCAATGTACTGAATATACCTAAATATATGATTAATTAATAAATGTAATAGTTCTGTAGAAGTAGGTGGTATTGAGATATGCAGTGACTTAAGAATTCTTGGAATACAAAATAAAATTACTTATCTATTATAGACGCAAATATAATAATATCACAGAATAACTATTTACTAAATATAAATAGTTATTCTATGATGTAAGTAGGTTACTAGAAAAGTCGCTTACAATAGCCTAAATAGTGCACAGTTACTTATCTACGCGTGCAGGGATGGAAGAAGATACACCTTATCTCTAAATCTAAAGCTTAAGCTGTAAAAGCAACTTTCTTGATTGAAATTTTTGAGATAATATGTATTATATATTTTTTTTGTACTATTAAATGCTAATATGGATGTATACCTAAATACATGGAGCTTTTTAAGGGAATTAGCACTGATATCAACTTTAAAAAGACTCACAAACGATCAAAACGTTCGTGTGTCTATACAGTTATAAACTTGCTGTGAACATAGATAAATATCACAATTTCAAATCGATTTGTCAATTCTGTTTAACAGAATAAATAACTATAGGTATGTATATCTTTTTTAGATATTCTATTATTTGTATTGTTATGAGTCAAGTTATTAGAAACAAATTCTGAATATATTTCATTATTTTTAGAAAATACTGTAAAATAGACACATATTTGAGATGACAATAACTGATGAAATTAAATGCAACGAAATTATCAAATACACGGATTCGAACTCGCAGCTTAGATACCCGCGCCAACTCAGTCGTGAACTACATAAATTGTCAATGTATTTAATATTCTGTTGCTTTTATAATAATAACTATGTTAATCAACATTGTGTGCTAAATAATCAATAAACTAAAATAAGTAGGTATAAATGAAACGTAATTGTATTTAGCTACTTATCCCAAAATGTGGACGTAATTCGTATACCTACATATATAGGTGAGTATATATTATTTCTCTCGTATTTTTAGTCCATTATACATACTAATTTAATAAGTAATTCAATATCATATTATAATTATAATCAACCTCGGAGGAAGACGGGAGAGGGGCAGTGAAATATACATATATGGCTTTACCGAGAAATAAATACCTTATTAAACCATATATAATGTTTATGAATACAGTGCAACCACATATATGGAGCTATCTATCTTAGAATGACGACGCTTTCAGGAAAGACTGCTGCCGACACTGGCGTAACTAAAAAATATTAGTCTGTAAGCTTATTATATGGGCTATACAATTAACAATAATAACTCAGGACAATTCACACAGCGCTATCTTGTCTCAAACTAAGCGCGCGCTCAGAACTTGCGCTATATGTACTAGACAATAGCTATAAATATCTAAATATATACATAGATTACATATGTTGAGGTTTTATGTATAATTCTTTTTTATGTCAATATTTTAAAAAGAGAGAATGTCGTATTTTTTATGTCAATTAGATATTTAGAAATTTTTGCAATAAACATATTTTTTATATTCAGCTTTTCTATTAGTATTTTCTTTTCCTAAAAACGAACCGTCCACAACATATATACTGTTTTGAATTTGACGCGGTCATTATTTATATGTATAATTAGTAAAAATTACGGGATAAAACGTGGTAAACGTTTTATATTTATTTGCTGATTTCCTGATATTTCAAAATATCGGGAACATGGTAAAATCCCGTGATTTTTACTAATTATACGTATAGATTACATAGTTGCTACATGTTTACATGTTATTTTTGTTACATAATTGTTAGAAATAAATAAATGACTGAGAAATAATGATAATATTATTCTAATAAGCTCAATCATATGAATATCAATTGATACTAAAGTTACCATATGAAGTTTATAGTAAACCGACACACACATGACACACTGATTTTATAGGTATTTTGACAAAAAATAAAACAGAAATTTCACAAGAATATTACCTACGTGCTAAAGTTAAATAGCCGGTACATGCGATTATTTTATAAAATCTATTTAACATAGGTATCAGTTTAACTGGACTTAATTTCGAATTGCAATACAGGCAATTCATAACTGCTAGCTCTATTATAAGTTCGTTGTTTTACGAATTAACATAATGTATATATAATAATACAAAAATCTGCCGGTCTGCGCTTGAACCCAATTCCAATCCAAAAACATTGGATTGCGTTGTTTCGTATTTATTTATACTCTTCAATTATACATATCAACATATTTCTTGTTTAATAAAGTACAAGACATTGTTATCGATTAGACTCCAGAGTAGAACTGCTAATCGATACCAGGGATGTTAGGGAGCTCCGTAACCTTAACCGAAACTATCGGATATCCGATATAAAAAAAATATTCGTAACCGTAATCGAATCCGACATAAAAGTTTCGGATAACGTCGGATAGGGGCGGAGCCTAATTGAGATATATTATGTAACCATTTTATTCGCTATTTATATTTTACTGTTGAAATTGTTTAAAAAATTAATATCCGTAACCTAAATTATCTGAAACTAATGGATAATACGAAATAATTTTATATCCTTATCCGTATCCGGTATAGGTAATAGTCATTCCTATATCCGAAACCTATCCGTATTCAGAATTTCATATCCATAACATCCCTAATCTAAACAACAGGTATTGGGTGGATTCTGTAATTCCCAAATATTCTTACGACCTTTAAAAAATATAGTACGACGTAACAGTTAGTCATGGGAGTGATTTATTAAACAAAACTTATTTCTTTTAAGCCTTCAATATGGCAGTAACGCAGGCAGGCTTATGGTTACAGTTCAGAACCCGCTCCACTACCTACTATAAGCTAATGTACCTAATTCTAGAGTAAAATACATATTTGATACCAAAGTACCATAAATCTATATTTAAAGAGTTTCGTTATTTACGGCTCTAAAATAATGGACAAATAAGTTCGAATTTTAAATATTAACACAAAATATCACAACGATGCCGTCTAGTCTAAAACTAAGCATTCTTGTTACTTATATAGACATAATAATAAATGCGTAGGTACTTATTTGTTAGAACCGCCCAGATTAATATAAGATATACTCATGGATACAAATATTTATACTGTTAGGGCTCGAACCCGCGATCGTTGGACGGTGTTGCAATGTATATACCGCCTAGCCGATCAGAAATAATAAACGTAGGCTTCTGTTTTAAGCACCAGCAAAAGCTATAAGCTTTTCTATTTTTAATTATACAACAATAAACTGTGTCAGCTTAAGTACCTATATATTTTACGATTAATACAAAATCTTATCTGTGCGTTCGACTATTTATATTGGGTGTATAATCTAAAATTATTATCAAATCCAAGCTCAGGCAAAACAACCTAGGTCACAACGATTCTAATTGACTAAACGCGAAGCCAAAGTGAACTTTCATGCACATATTTGTTTATTTTATTTATTTTTAGTTATCTACAGATTAGGCCGTTGGTGTTCTGTATTAATTCCTTGGCATACTTTTTTTACAATTTTTTTAAAATAGCATACAGAGTGTCACAATTTTCGGGCCAATTTTTGCCAATGAAATGGCTCACAGAAATCCCTCGTGGGGAATTATGAAAAATCTTTTTATTGTTTTTCTTTTTAAACCAAGGAATTCCTGTTCAAAATGTAATATTTCTGTATACAAAAGTTTGAACATTCAACCTCTATGTTATACGCGACACAGTTGAATCAAACGGTATCTATACAATGACTGCTGAAATTTTCACTATACTAATTAACTATAAAATTTCGTTGAAATTGTTCAGCCATTAGTCGTATAAACAGACAATTGTAGAAATTATTGATTTTCGGTTGTAATATTTTCTTTTCTAGATGTTTTATTATATTAAAGGTTATTGATATTATATAATAACAAGCTTATTATAGGACGGTGTTAACAACTATTAAGATGGACTAGTGCTTACATATACGAAGATCAGTTTAAAAATGGCAATATATTAGGCATAGACAGCTACAAGAACTAGAATGCACCAAGCGATTACGTATGTATTACATTGTACCGTCAAAAATAAAAATAATCGCGTCAGAAATTCGATAAAAATGTAACGCTTAAAATGGATGTTAATATTTTCTGTTTAATTGTATATAATAAATAACGTGAACATAATTTACTTTTTTTGATAAATATTGTCGTTTGGTGAAATTGTGAGCTGAGTAATTTATATTACCAAACGTTTGTTAAATTATGTTCTTAAAAAAAAATTTTACTGCGGACTAGTGAGAACAAAATGTATTAGGGGCCAAAACGGATCTTTTTTTGTATTGCCGAAGTTATTACGTAATGTAATATAAAGTGTCACAAACAGTGGCGCAGCGTGGGGATGCCATAGCCGCGGGCGACAAACTAAAAAGGGATGCGAAACGTCGCCTTTTTTTAAGTAAAGAATGGAACTGGAAAAGTAGGTACATTTTTTATTAATCGTCAAAAAAATATTTCTGATGTATTATTATTGTGCTTTATTTGAATTTTCCTCTTTATTTGTTTAATAATCAAAATCAAGGGAGCGACGAAGTTTCAATGGCCACGGAAGGAAAGACCGCGCAATTCCACTGTCTTAAAGTATTTAATATAACCGAAAATATTTGGGAGTCAGTTGAAAATGACGGAAAACAAATGGAGGGCGAATTTTTAATGGCCAGGGAAGGCCAGCCACGCTGTTCCATTGTCATGAAGTATTTAATATAATCGAAAATATTTGAGAGTCAGTTAAAAATGACGTAATATCAAAGAAAATATATAACCCGCACCTCACTTAATTGGGTTTCTGCCACGTGGCATCGATTTTGAATCGTCTGCCACGTATCGATAGTCGTCAGTGGGTCGGCGGTGGCGGAATCTCGGGGAAGTTTTCGGGTAATGGCGGAAGTACGTTGGTCTCAAATTGGCCAGATATATTACCAGGTGGAGAGTAATGGGCGACAACGATGATTTTGCCAGCGCGCGAACGCGCTTTGCCAACTCCGAAGAAGCGGGTCGCGACCCATACCATCTGTGTGAAGTGACCTGCGAACAATTAAAGTATACTAGTTTCTGCCTGAAGCTTTCTATGCATCTTTGACCAGGATAAAAGGGACACAATAATATGTCGTTTTCGATCTCAAATGCTACGTAACTATATGATGATGCTTATTTAAGATAAAAAAAATATTCTTTGCTTATATAATATAATTAAATAATCAAGATTTGTAAAATTAATTATTAAATAACTGGATTAGTATTAAAGTACAAATTAAAGGTAATGAGGGATCGTTATAATTTATCTATTTATAATTTTATTTATACGCTTTATTTACCAGATGCAGAACAAGATTAAAAGAAACAATTTTTATTATTAGTGATGAGACTTGTGAAAGCTTGTTTTGTCAAGCTTGAACAAAAAACGTCTGCCACGCCTTTAATTTTACGACCTATTTAACTACCTTCCTATAATCACTATATGGTTCTCTCATAAATTTAAAAGTTTCGCACCTGCATTTACGTTAGCGTGAAGAATATCTGGCTCTTTGAAGAAATTATATTGGCGCACTGCTGCATACCAATAGGAAGACACTTCTTGTCCTGAAATTTTATCAACAATCGATTATTTTTTTATTTTTTATTTGATTATTTTTAATATGATAGAAATATTGATATAAACATTTTTATTTTATCGCTCGTTCGGATTCCAAATTCAACCTAGAAGAAAGAGCAAGAAACTTGTCTGTTGCCTAAACAGATATTATGCAACATTTTAAGATTTTGTTACCAACAACTAAAATGGGCTCCAATCGGCACGCTATCGTAGCGGATGTGGTTTGGGGTTCGTTTATACTCGGTAAAGCGGTGTATAAGGCAGTGCCGCACTATTCTGGACTACTTGCATTACACAATACTTTTAGGCGGTATGTTATTGTAATGCATTTAGCGTATACGGTTTTTAGGCAAAGACAAAATGGGAGATTGTTGCATCTCACGCTCTACGTACTTCGGTATTATCGTACCGTTCGCCGCAACGTAAGTAACGACGTGTGACGTCTCCCTTATAATTTTATAGATTACAACTATTAATATTAGTTAATGTGGTGACAGCCTTACCTGTGACGTCAGGTTGGAGCGCGCTGACGGGACGCTGGTAGAGGTTTTGGCCAACATCCCGGTCATTCCTATAGTGAAACTTGTTTGTGTGAGCCAAATGGTTGGCCCAAGCTTGGGCGTAGTCGCACAACTATAAGAGATGAATCAAATACAATATTATTTGTGATACATATACTAACAAATGAAACGATTTGGCTAATTCCTGGTGCATTCACCACATAGGCTAACCGACCTAATTTCATCCTCATCCTATCATCTGCCGTATACCATCGCAAGCGTAATCCGGTGGATAAAATACTACAATAGAGGTCCTGATAAAAAATCAACAAGACGACCAAGTAATGACGTCTAAAACAAAATAAGAATGCCTTTCTCAAAATCGTATTAAGATAAAGAATTCGTAAAAGAGCTGTGGACTAAATCCAGTGTGTGTGTCGCGAACTCTTATTGTTTAGACCTCAGCTGTCATATAGAGTTGCCGTCCGTAGCGTTGCCGGTACACATTGTGTCAACATAGACACTCCGTGATGAAGTCGCAGTCATCTTGAGGTTTAAAAAAATAGACCATCTTTTAAGGCCTTGTCGTTGGCTAGACAAATATTTTCGGATATGAATTGAGAGCGAACGAACTAGTTCGTAAAAGAGCCGCGAACTAAATCGAGCGAGTCACGAACTCTTACGCCATATAGAGGTGACTATTAGACTATAGTTAGAGTATACCTCAGGCGCCATATAGAGTTGCGTGGCTCCGTGCCGCTGCCGGTACACATTGTGCCAACACAGGCACTCCGTGATGAAGTCGCTGTCCTGCCAGGCGGTCCGCACCTCACTCCACTGTACTACCATGCTCACCGGCTTGCTTCGTAGCACCTGCATATTCAAATTTTATCGTAAACCTAAAACTTCCTTAGAGAAAAACTGATATATTGCGAGTGAAACATAGCGAAGATTCAGATGGAATATTATTCACTAGCTGACCCAACAGGAATCTTAAGTATGAAACGTATTGTACATAGTGGGTAAATATTAAAGAAAACTATCATATTGACTAATCTAATGTAATCTAACTTTTTTTTCATAAGAACCTTCTCCTGTTTATAACAAATACAACAAAAAAGAATTTTCTAAATCAATCCAGCTGTTCATGAATGATGCCCTGACCAAAGGATATAGGGATTCATTTATATAGGTGTAAACTATATACAATAATTAGATACAAAAAACATACTATCAACAAATATTAACTCCCTTGGTACGTGTTGGGTGGTTCCTATATTTTTGGTGTACATATTTTGTCATAATTTCTCAGAAATTATGCTAGTTTAAAACATTATTCGCGTTTTCCTGCAATGTTTATTGCAATGAATTTTATCGATTTACAAATGTGGAAATTAAACCATCCATATTACCTAATATAAATCTGATAGTGTTTATATGTTTATTTTTAACTTTTTACTATTAAACGCTACAACGGACGGTGAACGAAATACGTCGTGAAGACAGACTACAATCTGAAAGTCAATATACATACATGACAAAAGAAAGAAAGATAAAATATTTATTCAGTGCTTTTACAATACAAACAAAATAAAATAAAAACTAGACACATGAATCCGTAATAAACCGTATATATGTACCTGCTTGTACATAGGAGCGCAGGTATACAAAAATGGGATCTGTCCAGCTGGACATGAGCCAAACAACTTGATACAACAAAACTTGCGTCATCAAACTTACGTAAGGTTTCTGCAAAACTTTGTAGGTATATTATTATAATATAAAAGACAACATGATACCTGTTTTCCTATTTTATTTTTAGATGCCCTAATGTAAAAGAGGACTTTGTTTGTCCACAATTCTTGTATTATACTAGCGTCCGTCTCGATTTCATTAACATTTCAGTGTATATATGAAATATATTTTTTATTTCTTTACTTTATAGAATAAGCTATTACCCAAGACTTCGTCTGCGTAATCTTTAATTATTTAAATCAACATCTTTCAGAATACGTTTTTAGATAAATAATTGTGTCCGTGTCATGACACAATCTTCATGTCGATTTTCATTAAGATCTGCTCATCCAGTCAATTGCAAAAAGCTAGTTTATTAGCTTCAACTTTCGAATTTATATAATTAGTATGGACACAAGGAAATTGAGTAATTCCTGAAGTCGGTGTAAAAGTGGTGTAGTGCGATGATTACTTCACTAGTGTAACGTTTATATATTATGTGGCGATGTGTAGCTACTTAATTTATTTGTTTCCTGTAGTATGTAGATAGTGAGTATACAGGTGAAAATGATTGTACTACTTTACTAAGTTTATTTTGATCGTGTACTACATATGGCTTATTAGAAACACGAACATTTAACGCGGAGACGTTATGCACAGACTTTGCACTGCAATTAAATGTAAGTTATGTGGAGACGTAAGCAAATGGAGTAGTGCTGAGTGTTGAGAGAATTATTACAGGATTAGGTTCATCACTTCATCTCCTTAGAAAAAAAACATAATAAAAGATATATTACTAACATATCAATGTTATAGTGGCAACACAAATCTACTTATTATTTGCTTCTTGCGTGCAGCTAGTCACTTCAGTCAATACATTTGCATATAGCAGAGCCCAACATTTACAAAGGGGCACTTTGCCAGTTCGCTATTGAATAATACGAACTTCATTATTTATTTAATGGGTTTGTAATACCATGGACTGAAATGTGCCACAGTAAATTTTAATTTATGATACTGGCAATGATATTTATTTACATTCTAAATTTATGTCATCATCGTTTTTCTCTTCCATACATCCCGTAGGCATCTCTTCTTTCTTCTTACTTTCTTGCCATATTATCTCTCACATAGTCTATCAATCTCTTTTTCGGCCTGCTATCTTTGTAACCATCCACATCCAAATGTAAAACCTTTAAAATATTATCATTGTTCCTACGCATTACATGCCCATACCAAAACAAACGATTACTTTTCAACTTCTCCGACACTGGCGCCACTTTCGTATTTCCTCTAATGTATTCATACTTTATCTTGTCCATTCTTATCGCACCACACATCCTTTTCAATATTCGCATTTCAGTTGTATACAGTCGTCTTTTATTCGTCACCTTGTAAATTTAAATCCACTTCAATAATGTAATGGTGCACAGACTCTCTCTACCATTACGAGAAGACTATTGAAATTTTCAACTATTTTCACAACTACCAATGCAACGCAACTGAAATTATTAATATTAATTATTAACACCTCGACTTTTTTCTATACAGTTGCATCTCAAACGTCGACCTATATACAATAGTTTTTAGCGTACATTTAATTGATTGTATTTTTTGATCTCGTTCTACGTTACGAAATTATTAACAATCCTATTTTTTATTTCTTGTTAAAGTAATGAATGATTGTGATTAGTTTTGAGTAGACATCCTATAATAGAATGTACTTTTTCAGTAGTATTTATAACAACATATATCCTCTGAGGATACGATTCCTACGAACAATCACTTGGTAATTGGAAAAGTTTGAAGACTCTCGGTCCTGTAAGGGCTGTGTCATCATATAGATAAGTAGAGAACTACTAAAGCATATAAGTACTTACAACAAATATCCCATCAACATCCTAACTCCTTAGGGACCACTTTAAAATTGATTTTTATTTAATAAACGTAGTATTAAAAAAACATTATTAAGCAATTTACGGAGTACCATAATTTTTATTCATTAAGAATGTTAGGTATAGGTATAAAATAATAATTTCTTTTGTATCTATTATATGTAATAGTTATTTACCTCATTTATATTATTATCTATAATATAATTGTGTTATGTTCTAGAACAGAAACCGCCACTTAAATTAGTGCGACATTAAAGTTTCTTGACCAACTCGAACAAATTAATTTCCGTCGTCCATTTCCGGTAGTAGTTCTACAATTGCGTAGATGGTCCCGCAACTAATAGGTGAAGTTATAACACGCGAATGGCCGCCTCAACGAATGAATTTCTGAAATTAAATTAATGTACAGGCACCTGTTTAATTGCCTTAAATGCGTGTAGGCATGCTAATTTTTATACAATAAAATATGTTTACGAGAGATTAATTAAACGCTATTTATACATTATGTCCATTAGAATTAACTAATTAAATGAATATTTTTTTATACTATGTAGGTGGCAAAGAAGCATACCACCCATCTGATGGTAAAGGGTTATCGTAGCCTATTGACGCATGAAACATAGAGATGTGACGTCTGTGTTGCCAACACTTGAGAGACCTTAATATACCGTGCTTGAAAACCCCCATGCTGTAGTTTCTCTAGAAAACCTCAGCAGGTAGTTCATCCCACAATCTAAGTGTATGCGATGGGAAGTTCTTCTGAAACTGCACAGTCCGAGAACACTTAGGTTCCAGCGTGTATAAATTCACAATAATAAAATGACTGTCAGAAATAATAAGTATATAGGTATACAATAGAAGGAATCAGATATAACAGTAGTAAAACCCAAGACTGTAGTATATATACAGTCATAGTACATTTAGAAACGTTTTCTAGTTACCATAGCTCTTATTAGACTTTCATATCATACATCGAATAAGTATATCTAAGAACATAAAAATAATATATTGTCTTATAAAATAAATATTGGTATCGCTTTATAAGAATTGGAAACTTTTTAAATTGCATATTTTAATGAAATGTAGTTATTGTAAAAGATATAAATAACCTGTAAAGTGCGCAACCTATATGTAACATGTAGGTACGTACGTTAGCAAAAGTTCAGCAAATGTCCAAGAAAACACATATCTAAACGTTAGTCAATCTTAGATATATAGATACGATAAAACTTAGCGAGGCCGCAAAGTGAGCTAAATATATCGCGAGTTTCTTAAGTCGTTCTCGTAACTGCTCTGCGAGAAATGTCGGTTGGGCAGAGTTGGGTAGAGATACAAAGCCTCTGTCCTATCGAATAAATGCCACTCGTATACGTACTACGTAAACGTTTCGACCTAGTTCAGATTCCAGACTTTTACAAGGAATATTTCTCTTACTTACGCAATTATATACCACATTGTAATGTTCTTTGCGGTAAATAAAAAAATCTAATCTTTTCACTTTATAACATTGGTAGAGACCTGCACCGAAGTGAAGTCAAAAATACTTGACAATATTTTTTTATCGTATAAAAAAATATAGTCAAGTATTTTTGACTTTGTTTTTTTTTTGTAGATACTAACAAGGATACCAATATTAAAATATATCTATGAATCGGTGCTGGTCAAAGTGAAAAGTTTTTATTTTTTTTATTTGACTATATTTTTTATCGTATCTATACACTCAGATGCAGCTTCTAAATATTAAATACAGACTAAAAATCTTTACACTTACTTATTCTAAGTAATATAAAACAATATTCTGAAACTCACTGTTTCCTGACTGTATTATAATGACCAGTGAATTGATAAATGACCGCGTTATCCACTCAAGTTTGATGGATGGCTTTTTATATGTAAAGCTTTTAAGGCATTTTCTTACGTGAACATCGGAAATTGTTCCTTTTTAACATTATTACAAGAAAAGGGTACAGTGCTTATGTATTATTACGCACATTTATATGTAGACAAAAGAAATCACTTATGTACCTATAATATTTATTAATTGTGTACCGTTTGTGTGTTTTGATATGATAGGTTTTGCCGTAGTATATATAGTTTTTAAATTGATTATAATGGAATGGTGTTCGGACTAGTCTACTCAAATGCTGTTAGCCGCAGCTGGCCTTTACAGCTTCACCCGACGATAGATAGCGAGTGCAGATGGTACTCCAAACCCGATGAAGGACTTAAGGAGCGACTGAAGGTCAAATCCCGCTTGACACATATGATTTTAGTCTGAGGGCACCGCTAGGAGCTCAAATCTCTGCTCAGGCCGTCGTAATTTCGATCCCCGTTTGAATTGGGAGGGGGATCAATCGGAGGGGACACCCACCTGTGCCATGGTTTATGCTGGCGGGGCACGCAAAAGACTAATTCACCTGGTATTTATCACTATGGTTTCCAGTTGGAACCGCGTAGAGTGCAACCTGATGTGATAAATTGTTAACAAGGGGGTGATATTACTATGTAATACTATCTTAACTAACAATTCCCTTGCCCTAATATTTTGTTTATAACAATTTGTAATACAGATTAAACACAACATTGCTCTTTCGTGATATTGCACATAGTAATAATGTGAGTATTCATATTTTACGTTCTACTGCACATTGTATCTATTTAGACTAAACAGGTTCATTTTATGCGAAAACACGTCTAGCGATTCAGCGTCAACACCGTTTAGACTTTAGAGCAATAAGCTGGTAGTTTTATTAATTTTGAAAACGTTAGTGGTTGTTTTTTAAGTAAATTAAATCATAGTGAGGGTAAACTCTATTTTAATTATCATTAAATTTTTATTATCATATTTTAATAATCTATTAAGGGATGTCACACATATTTTTTTTAATGTTTAAGACAATTAAAACTACGTCATCTAGTTCCAAGTTAAGCGGAGCTTATGTTATAGGTACTAGATAAGTTATATAAATACGTAAAAACATTTTTTACAACTGATATAAACACATTTTTTTGTAAATACATGATATAGAAAACACCCAGACCGATACATATAATCATAGTCATGAATACAAATGTCTGTAACGTGCGAGGAATCTAACGCGTGACCGTCAGAAGTAAGGCGATGTTCTAAACCTATGTATATAGACCGTTTCGGCTACACATTATACTTTTCGAAAAGTCATTGCAGTTGCTGGCAAGAAACTACTCAACTAGTAATTTTTTTTATGATAAAACTTCGTTTGAGTTTTAAGTGTGTTTACATTACACACGCTGTGGCTATTATTGCTGTTTATTGCACATAAACTTGAAATATTGTTTATATAGGGTCACCAGCTGAAGGTTACACATGATATTAAGGCTTCGTTAAGGTGAAGGGCACGTCCTATATTCATAAAAAAAATACTCGAGCACCTGCCTATCATTTACGTTTTGTAATTTTGTATAGCTGTATAGGATCTAACCAATAGCTTGATAATTTAGATCGCCGACGAATAAATGTCAATTAACCTTCTTATTGACGGCTTCGGTGGTCTAGCGTTTAAGCATACCGCTTTACTTCCGATTGTCGCGGATTCGATTCCTCGCATGGTTCATTTCATTTCATTTATATATTTATGTCAGTTTTCTGGTACCCACAACACAAGCTTACACTAGCTTGGAACTAGATGCCGCTGTATGAATATTCTTGTGATATTATTATTACTATTTAGCGTAAAATTTTATTTTATGAGTTTATGTTAGTATAAACTCGTTCCATTGCTTTAGTAAAATAGTTAGTTAAAATATTAATTGATTTTGTATTTTGATGCCATAATTTTAATGATCAATTTCGGTAAAATGCTATGTCGAGATTGTTTATCTACTAAATAAAAACAGAATAATAATGTAGATGTACCATCGCACGGATTGGCACCGACTGCCGCTAAATGATGGCAGTAATATACCTATTATACTACGGTATACGCAGTGTAATCCTTACTAATATAATGCGAAACTAACTCTGTCTGTCTGTCTGTCTTGCTTTCACGCCAAAAATACTTAACCGATGTAAATTAAATTTGGTACACAAGTAATCTAGACCCTGAGGATATGTCTTTCCTCATATTACTACTCCTCATTTCGCTACTTTTTAATTCGATAAAAGGGTTGTAAAGGGTCGAAAGGGGAGATGAAATGTTGTACGGAACTATCGTAATTTTTAAAGCTTGAAACTTATTTATTTATTACATTTATAAAGAAATAGTATAAAATATTATTTCTTTATTTGGTCAAGGTCACAATTCCACGCGGACGAAGTCACGGGCACAGCTAGTGCCTATATAGTTGTACTATCCACCTTTGTTATTGGAACAATGGAATTTTAATTGGTTAGGAAATTGCAAACATTTGACGCCATGGAAACCGCAAACTGCACTTGACGTCATTGTTTGCACGTTGCAACGAGCACGGTATTAAAAATACTTATTTATTAAATATAATACAACATATATTAGTATATTACCATATAAGTGCGTTATGATTGTTATAACACACGAAGCGAATTTCAGCTTGAGCCGAAGACTAGGGCGTATAGATCCGAGTGTGTTAAATACGAACGTAGGTATATCGTACGACGTTTTTTAAACAAATGATTTTAAATAAAATCAATTATAAAACTGTTATAAACGTTGATGCTTTCCCGCCGTTATACTTTTTTATATTAGCGCTAATTGTACAGCAATTAGCAGCAGCGAGGCGATCATATCGAAATGTGATAAAAGAAATAGTGCGGTTACAGAATTTAACTTCACTATTTATTATTATTATTATTATTATTTATTATTAATATCACAAAAATTTGCGTTTATAACGCACTTATATTTTATTAATTGCTTTATATGTATATCGAAAACCGGTGAAATTATATCCACTTTACGAGCAAGTGTGTTGAAAAATTGTTTAGCTATCAAGGATAACTTTTGATAGTTTTATATGTATTCATTATATAGAAGGTTTATATGTATAATACATGTACACCCATGCGACGTCGGGGCGGGTAGCTAGTAAACTAATAAACATAAACTAACAGTTACTTCATTGTAATTACTTAAAAATACTTTCCTGTACGACATGAGTGTAGTGACTAAATTACATAACGTTATCCATCTACGCGGTTTAATTATCCTGATCTAGTAAAGCGTTGTCTCCGACATCCCACTAAACCCTGATAATTATCAGCCCCTATCTAAATTACCTTTATCGGCACACTCAGCTCACATCGGCGTGTTTATGGCTGCCGAAGCTTACGACTGTTTCGTGTGTGAATCGTAAATACTTACTTCTTTACACGTAATAAAATGTTAACATACCTTTAAGAAAACTGTACGTTTGTACTTTAAAGCTGTGCTTTATATAAAGCACATAAACACAAAATAACATATAAAGCACATAACACAAATAAGATAATATTACATAATTAAAGCAAATAATATAATAATAATAAAATCTCAGGACAATTCACACAGCGCCATCTAGTCCCAAGTAAAACAGTGCTTGTGTTATAGGTACTGGACATACTTAATATACATAGAAAACACCCAGCCACATACAAGCAATCATATAGCAATAAAGAAAAAATGTTAAAGAAAGCTGAGAAAAAATTAATCACAAAAGGGTAAATAATTGTTTTTGTATATACCATCATTGTACATATCTAAGTATATATATTGTCACTGGTATATAATGTATCTATATTTTTCTAAACGTCTCTATCACTTTCATAATTAATTTATTAATAAACTAATTCGTCATATTGTACGTTTTACTTATTTTTAGATACTGATTATGATCAAAAGGTGGTGTTACAAATGTACACACGTCGCGGGCACAACTTATAATATAAAAAGTTTAGATCAATTTCGTTGCGTATTGATTCATTTTGTGCGTCATATGTTGGAGTACAAATACGAACGATGTAGCAGAAAACTTCTATGGATTAATATATTGATAAGAAATACCAAAATAACGTATTTCTTAGTTTCTTTTCTTAAGATGTATGTAAAATAAAACATATTTTTTCTAAGAAACATAAAGCTTGATCGTTGAATCTAATATTTAAATTCGAGGTCGATTTTAAAGTATTTTAAAATAATTCAATTAATCTATTATACCGTACCTTCTGCAGAAGTTTGGGTCTGTTGTCCAATTGTTCTTCGTTGTCCTCTTTACTTGATTCATTGTTATTTTTTGAGTTCCTGTTTGAATAAAAATATTATTGTTATTAGGAGTCTGTTTTGTTTGTACAAAATATTGCATAGCCTCGTCATCTAACGTCGTCCAATTCAGGACCTCCTTTCCAAAGTCATTTAAAAGGATATAGACCTCTAATGAGAATCACTGAATTTTTATGTATTCGTTTATCTATATTTAATATAGAAGTATTTTTTATATAAATATTTTATATATCACTTCTGTCACTGCGCTCTGCAGTATTATTCTTGTCGATGATAATGGAATGGTGCACCCGCCTGCGCTAACGGTTTACTTCGCGGCGCGCCAGGACACCAGTGGAGGATGATAACATGAGCATGAGGTAAGGTCAGTTAGCCCATTGTGGCAAAATCACCAGAAATTTTATATGATGGTTTCCAGGGTATAATACATGGTACAGTGGTAGCACAATCCCATTCCCCTCCCCCCCCCCCTCCCCCCCCTCCCCCGCTTTGCTGTATTAAACGGTTACAAAGCATATTTCTTCTTATCACTTATTTATTACTACAGGTAATTGCAAATTCACCCTATGCACCGTAAAAGGGCTACTTGCGTGTTGTAAGCCAATCAGTATTCTAGCGGAGCTCAAGGTCTGATACGGTAAGAAATGAATTGATACCGGATAGCACTCATTTGTTAAGATACCATAGTTATTTATAGTGCAAGAAAAACGCTCTCTATTCCAGTTTATCTGTCGTAATAAATGCACACAACACAAAAGCATATTTCGAGCAACATCCTTTTTACAATGTGACTGAATAATACCACAGATAACATAATACTGAATATATATTTATATATATTTATCCGTTATTGCACTATTTAACATAATGTACAATTGGCGAGCTATCTACTATTGGCGAATATCTGAATTCCAATGTAAAATTATAACATTTACAATTAAGTGATTTTTAATTAGTTTTATAGATATGTATATAATTTAATTTATTATTTTGAATAGTTAGAATTGTAATTGTGATATAATTATATTGAAAAGTAATTACTATTGACGTGCTATTGTGTAATGAGATTTGTTACATTTGTGAATAAAATAATATGAAATATGAAATGATAGGGTTTAATATAATAAAGGAGAGGTCCTCAATTTGTTTTTTTTTAGTATCCGTCATCAGTTATGTACCTATATTGATGTTTTTTAATCGAATGGACTTAATAATCTTTACTTACGATCGTAAAGTTATGTATAATATAACGCTCAACCAAATCTTTATCACTTCTACGCATGAAGTGTACTATGAAAGAAGTGAGAAAATAGGGATATTGTGAATAAATAAGAAACAAGTTACTCATAACCATAATTAGGCATATGTCTTATAGGAGAAAAAAAGCAAATTTTGTATGAACAATGTAGTTTTTGACATAAACTGACATTGAGGGTGACGCAGCTGGAATCGAGTCACAACGCGAGCTTCAAAGCGCTCATGGCCCGGGTGGGCAGCCTATGAGGGGTCATATGTTGCCTACCTTCATGAATGAGGTCTACTAGCCGAAAGGGGTAGCGTATCGGCGCTACCGTGGCATATTGCCGTCGTTAGTGCCGTGACCATAGAGACAGTTTGAATATATATTTTATTATTTCTTATTAATTAAATACCTTTAGTTAGTCTATAAGGTAATTATAATATGGGCCATGTAGTCTGAATTAAATAAATAAACTCACTGCAGTAGCGCCGGTGCAACTTTCTTTCGCAGGTTGGCGAGTGCCGCTAGCTCCTCGCGCTTGCGCGACGGCGGCGGAGCGCCACATAACGTCACCAGTGGAGTCGGCGTCGGCTGTGTTGTTTTTGATAGTAATCTAGTAATAGAAACATATATTATATTACGTATATTTAAATATAATTATTATCATATCTAATGAAAATGTAAACGAAGCATGTTTAAAAATTAAATTTTATAAAAAAATAAATCACATTTTGTACAATAGTTATCGAGATCAAAAATAAAAGTTTTTATCATTTTTGACTATTTGTGCACTATGTCAGAAACGCCTTAGCCGATTTGAATGCGGTTTATACTAATTTATCGCAGAAAGCTACATTTAGTGTTTGTCTCGTTCTAATAATAAGCTCCCAAAAAATATCTGCAAAGAAAAAAATCGTAGAAAAAACGCGTACGTATAGAACGAAACTCGTATATCGTAAAATATTTAGACGCCAGCCTCTCGTAGCAATTTTTTATCATAGTGTATTTTGCATTATGTTACTAAAAATACTACATGTATTGCCATCACTGTTACTTTTAGAGAACTGATATAAATACTTAGATTTTTTTTTAAAATACAAACGTAATATACATAGAAAACACCGAGACCGATACAAACAATCATACTCATTAATACAAATTTTTGCATTGTGCGAGGAATCGAACCTGCAACCATCGGAAATGAAGTGGTGTACTAAACCGCTAGACCACCGACACCGTCAATACTAAGCACACACAAATACATAGCAGTTTTCAATATACCATACGAGTACTAATAACTTGTGTTTACTAATTGGTTACTCTCACGTGTTCATATTCCAAGCATAACATTATAAAAGTAATTTTGTACAACAGTGTTCAGTGTAAACAAATTCTAAATGGATTTACTTGAAATCAAACAATTCAGATTGTTTTATTATGTTAGTACAAGAAAATTAGCATTGCTAACGGCACGCGGTGCTGAAAGTGGGTGGTTGTTGTTTTTAATAATATAAAGTAACGATCTCGTTCAGTATAAACGAAAATATAATATTAATTTCAGATGGAGTAGAAAGGCTTGTTGTATTGTCATTTATCGAGGTTTTGGCATTCACAACTCTTGTCATACAAACCTTTTTGCGTATCGTCGTCTATGATTTTGTTAGTTAGAAATACAAATTGACACAGAGATTTAAAATATTCGATCAGCTTCGAACTTTAAACCTTTGGTGTATAGACCTCAGATAGGATCGTTCCAGACTGAGTATCCTGGCTTACATAAGTACGGAATTCTAGAACAATGTCCCTACGCTTTTTCACTTACTGAACATCTGTTTTCTTAGTTATAAATGCAAATAGACACAAAGATTTGTTAAAAGCCATATTCGACCAGCTCTAATAGGATGCTCAGATAGGATGAGTATGAGTATCCTGACTTATATAAATTGGGTGCTACGACAGTGCTACGGAGTTCTAGAACAATGTACCTACGCTTTTTCACTAACTGAACATCTGCGCGATATACTTTTCTATTCAGTTAATTTACAAATTTATAAACTGAACAAAAATATACATGTCTCTACCACGAAATAACAAATCAGACAGACTTGTCTGGTAACAGATACGACAAGTTAGACCCAAAGCAAATTGGCAAGTCACTTCACCGAACTGCATAGAAGAATAAAAGATATAGTAGAGACTATTCTTGTACTCTAAAATACTTTATTCCATTTTGTGGAGGTATAACTCCTTAGTTTTTGTGAAATTGCATGATATTAATATACTGTTTCTCCTATACGACAAGTATGAGTATTTATCGTGTAGTATTTTCATTCAACATATATATCTAATTTTATGAGTAAAATTATATATAGTACCTAAATATGTTGAATGAAAATATTTTACATACAAATAATTCAATAAAACGGATAAAACAAATTGATGGTACTTAATTGTCTAACAAATATTATTTTACCGTCCTCTTTCTTCTACTCCCAACTAAATTGTAAATTTTGAAACTATAATATTTATCTAATCAACTAACTACTCAATAGTTATGTGCTGAGTAATTGGCCATATCAAAACGTATAAAAATAAGATTTAATAACAGCAGTAGGACAAATAAAAACTACAGAAGTGATTTAATGGTGGACATATATTTATAGGTGTATTCTATTTATATAATACAAATTAAAATAAAGACATTATCATACAATATATCAGAAAACTGTCGTAAAATCTAAATATCATAAAAAGGTAGGGGAAAACATATTAATACAAAAAATGTGACGATCATAAGCGGCTACAATGTCCTACATCAATAAATGATTTTTTATTTTGTCACGAAATTCTATCTCAGATTCGATATCCTATCATTTTATCTCGCCAATATTAATAACATACCGTTTGGAGGCCGGTGTCCTTTTTGACAGAAGCGTGTATTCGAATAAATTGGAAGTCGACGGATTGTTGTTGAAGGCTGGCTGCGGCGGGTAGTAGGCGTCGTCATCTCTGTAATTATTGTTTACAAGTGCCGACTTTAACGGCAGTAGCTCTACGTTATCGTTGGACCTCGCCTCGCGTGGTGTACTCATAGCGTACGTGGCATGGTGCAGACTCGCCGGCTGCTTGCAGCCCACTGAGAGATGTAACCTTGAAAATGCTGCAGTGTAGTGTTGTGACAATAGATGCGAATTTAGAATTTCTTCTAGAAATAAATTATTACTTTATTATGCCAAAATTTATTACATATTTCATGTAAATGTAAACATAAGATACATACAGATTATAGTACCTTAAATTCGGTTATATTAGATAGAATAGTCGACAATTCTCTATAAAATTCCTAAAATTATACATAGTCTGCACAGCGTCGCGTTACACTATAAAGGCTACACACTACTACATTATATTTCGTAGCTTACTACGCCGTAGCAGTTTGATTAGACGTAGCACACAGTCTACAGTTACGGCTACGACTGAAGAAATACTTTTTATACTCTACCTCGACGTGATGTGCTACGACGTTGCTTCGTAGAAGGATTTACCTTAAAATGTCCTTTCTCTTAAAATTCAATTACTTTCCATTTCGTGTGTTCAATAAATGATAATTGCGATTTGATTTTTTACAGTATTCGATTAAAATATATAAATACTGTCGCCGATTTTTGAAATCAGATTACTGTTTACTTGAAATAGATTAATTGATACCACAAATTAAGTTTCGGTTTCGTATCAAAGGAACCGTATAGGCCATCACTAGGAGCTGGTTACACGGTGCCAGGCGATTTTAGAGGGACCCGGGCCACGCATGCGCAAGACACTGCGCGATCTGACACTTGCATTTACCTTTAGCTGAAATCAAAGCTCACCTTGTGCTCCTGTGCTTCTATAGTAAGGTATACAGATGTATCAATTACAAGGACCTTGGGCCGCACAAATATTTCGTGTTCCGAGTCACCGTATTCCTCAAAACGTTAGATTTATTAAAAAGTAATTAAAAAATAGTTATGTCTAACCCTAACTATTTTTTAAAATAGAATGTAGACGTGTAATAGGTGACTATTTACTAAGTTCTAAAATAATAATAACAAATAATAGGTATTTATTCACGTCACGATTATTATTCTAGATTACCCCAGTCAGAGACCTATAGTCAAATGTCAACAACGTGATACATAACAATACATATAATATACCCACATTACACTGAATACATTTTAACCTAACGGGGCCAATCGAGGGACGACTCCCTCTAATTATTTTTCCACGTGGTCAATCTAGCATCGTCCCTCTATTTTTTTTTTGTGTTTCCATCACTACATTATATTTGAAATATAAATTGACATTTTTACGTTGGCCAGATTCAAATTTAGAATCTTTGTAAATCACTAAGCCTCGTCTTCCTGGCACTGATGTGACTGTATTGATCAAACCGCATACTGAAATTCTAAAGGTGATATTACGAATTTCAAATTTCGAACGAAAGTCACGACAATTTCTTTTATTTTACGTGACTGGAATGGTTTGATTGACCACTGCGGAAAAAAGAAATGTCAAGCGTGTGTATAGATGACCACATGTTACGCCCCTTGGTAATCGTGAAATTGGTGATAATACGAATTTCATATTTCGAACGAAAGTCAGGACAACTTCTTTTATTTTACGTGACTGGAATGTCTTGTTTGTTACCACTGCGGAAAATAAAAATTGAAAGTGTGTGTGTGTAGATAATCATATGTTAAGCCCGTTGGTAATCGTGGAATTGGATAGACCGAGAATAGAACCTGTAATCACTTTTATTCAAACTTAATCTGTTTACCATCATGGCACGGGATTCTTCGAGTCAAAATATGTTGTATAGATATTGTTCAAAAACCCAGAGGCTATTTTAAACATTAAAAATTTCATCATTCAGTTCCAAACTTATGAAACTGACAATATAAGTTATTTTGATACCGATGTATGCATATTTATCTTTCATCGGACCTTAAAACGTTTAAAAAAAAATTATAGTTTTGAGAAGACAGTTTGTAGTTTTTATATATTTTACCGAGATATACTTTCTACAGTTTGATTATCTAGTGTTCTACAAAGCTTTCAGCCATCAAGAAAATGCTGTACGGTGTTACAGTTTAAGAGTAAGAAAATGGCAGAAAGACAAGAAATGTACAAGTGGATAATGACGTATAATAAGGATTACCTTATACTTTTTTTTATTCAGACTCCTAAAAAGGTTAAGTATTTATCATATTTATCATAGTTAGTAAAAACATAATAAATACTTCTTATTATTTATTTATTTGTACCTTAAAACAGTACATAATTATTAAAAATAATGTGAATAAGGGTGGTCTTATCTCAGAAAGAGATCTCTTACAGTCAACCTTAGTAATTACATAGATAGATATTAGAATATTCTTCTTATAAGGTGAAGTGCATAAAGAAATTGTAAATGAAACGCGAGTGTTAACGTGTGAGTTAGTTTATTTTAATAGATAAATAATAACAATATAATCATTTAACTATGTAGAAATTAAATATCTACAGTTACTACTTATTGGATTTATATATTTTTAATTCCGCTATAATTAGCATATGTAAGAACACAAATATTTAGTGTGGAAACTTGACTACCGTTACGACCTTCTTTAATGGCGATGAAATTCCGATCGTTATTGAGTCTACACCTTTATTGCGACACGTGTTTCGTCTCTGAACGAGGCATCATCAGGCATTGAATAGAGTTCGGATATAGCTTGGAAGCCTAGTTTTTACGGCGACCAATCCGCCGAACAGTAAGTTCTCAAGTTTTCACATTGAATATTTGTGGTCTCACACATGCTAATTATAGCGGAATTAAACAAATTAATATAAATCCAATGAGTAGTAAAATGGACTTCCGCAAAATAACACCTAATTCGATTAAATATATATCTACAATTATTCTCTACTTTTCTATATAACAAAAACCGCGTGTTGGGGATGTCAGTCCACAGTTCTCATAGAACTGTTGACTCCATTGCTAGCAATATATCAATGTCAGATTGACCTCCATACGGTCCTCCTTGGAAACCATCATGAATTCCTGGTGATTTGTCACGATAGGCTATCTGACGGCCTCATGACCGTCTTATCATCCTCCATGGTGCTTCGCCAGCGTAAACCGTTATCGCAGGCACACTATACATTATCATCCATAAAAAAAACATAAATATATTATTTAAGTAAAATTATATAACATATAAAAAATATTCTTATAAATTTATACTAATATTATAGAGAGATAAAATTTACGAGTGCAGATGTTGGCGCTAATCTTCGGTACTAATTATCGGATTTGAAAAAATAAGTTATTGTTGGATAACATATTTACTGAGAATGGCCATTCAATAGGAGAGGAACTGCAATGAATGCCACAATTGTGACACAGACGAAGTTGTGGGGCAAAACTACACATGAGTACATTATAATAATTTAAACATTTGTATCCCAATTATGACACAGAAATTGCGCGATAAAACTAGTACATTATATTAATTTAAACATAAGATATTTAGATGTTTGTTAGACAACCATGCTGAAGTTTTACACATATATTAATGATACTCTAGATCAGCGGTTCCCAATTAGTTTTTGCTGCGTACCACTCTAAAAAAGACCTCAATCTTTGCATACCCCCTATTGTATAAATCACACTAATATTATAAATGACAAAAGCCGAACTGGCAGGAAGCGGAAACGGGTCCTGAACATTGTATTAAATACAACGATAATATTATATTATGGCCGAATTTCAAATACATTTTACAATTCGGTCAACAGCCACGCGGATCATCTGTGGTCAACCTCAAAACAAGAATGCGTAGAAAAAGATTCAATGGGGAGCTCACACAGACGTGGTATTGAATTATGTCTGAAGGACCCTCTTGACGGGTGGCGGGGGCAGCCGGATGACGAGATGCGGCAGGCGCGGGATAACGCACGGTGGGTCATAGTACTCGGTGCTCCGTGCTTTTACGATGATGATCGTTATAAAACAATATGTTTCTTGTTTTTACTGAAAGCCGCACGTACCCCTTGTTGCAATTTCACGTACCCCTGGGGTACGTGAATTGGGAAACACCGCTCTAGACTGTATCCTAAAATCTAAAGGTATGGAGGTAATAATTAAATATGGCCAAAATATAAGAGAAAATTTGGCCACAAATTGTTAATGTTGTTAATAGTAGTGTAGTTCACTATTATTGCATTCATGCAATTTACAACTTTATACTTAATAACTAATATAATAATGAAATAATCTCTATCTGATGCACAATACTGATCACAGACAAACAAATTAAGTATTTCCATTTCACCATTTTTAGTTAGTTTATGATTAAATATATATGCAGACTGCTTTAATAAAATTTTATGCCAATAAAGACTTTAAAGATAAATATGGTATTGACTTATGATTGTGAAAGCGAAAACAGAGTCATTATTCTTGTTGTGTTTTTTTGTGCAAGCATTACTCACATAATTACATCTTCTATTACTGGACACAGAAATAAGCTATTTCTGTTGACTGCACAATTCTAGTATCATTGAATATCTTTTACTTAGGCTTATGTGAAATGATAAGCTAGATCATAACATTTAAATTGATACAAAGGTTTTATAATAATGATTACACATACTATATTTATATTTATATATATCGAAAAGTGGTGAAATGGTAACTACAAACAACTACAACATAATATTACTGAGAAGGCACCAAATATTCACAGAGCTCTCGAGTTAAATCAACATTTTTAATTTCTTTAAACATATCAGTCTTTATAATTGAACTGTTTTTCTTGATGACCTTCATGGCAGCCATTTTGAGAACGGTAGCATTGTACATATCGGCTACAATTAAGGTTTCTAATGCATTTTCTACTGTTAAATGCTGGGCCAATACATACTGACAAAGGTCAACCAAACCACGTAAATTAAATCTATCTGCAAGCTGTAAGAGGTTAAAGAAGTTGCTACCTTCTATATCACTTACACTACCACTATAAATAAACTCTAAAACATTTTGGAAATCCTCTTTAGTGACATCTATAAGCTTTACATAACCAGTTTGACACTCAGCCATTTCATCTTTCAACATAGCCTTAAATACTTCACTGTGTGCTGCCAGAAGTACTTTATGGACTTTGAATTGGTGACCATCAGCAGACTCTATGGTGAAATCGGAGCTCACTGGATCCTTTAACAATGCACTGAAGTCATGATTGCTCTTAACATTGTCTATGATTTCATAGCTTAGCTCCTCCGAATCCTTACAATCAAATGATACAGCAATATACAATCTCCTATTTTTAAGAAGTTCAATGTCTATTTCTTTAAATGTAAATGTTGTGATGTAATGTTTAGAGATTTCTTTCACTTTTTTAAAGTCATGTTGTGTTAATGTTCTAGGCAGGAAGACGGATTCACTTTTTTTATCTACTAGTAATTCGTTACCATCACTTACAGCTACTCGGATAATACTCTCCTCGTGACGGTTCCAAACAAACAGGTGGAGCAAGTTAAGGTCTGCTATCTGCTCAGTTTTGTACACAAACCAGTAGTCGGCCACGTCATCAATGTACGTGCCTCCGATATCATAGAAGTTGGGTCTGTGGAACTTTTGATAGATATCTTCAATACACAGCCAGTTTGCTTTACGAGTCTGACACACTTTGTGTCCATATATCACACTGACACTTTCCTGCAACAAACAGAAATATCATAAATTTAATTTATAACACTTTGGGAAGTTCTCGTCGATTTCACAATGTTTGTAGTTTTTTTCCAAATACACAATTAGTCATCGTCTATATGCACATGATGATCAGACACCTTTATAATAGGGTCAGCATTTGAGCGGAGACTAATATTTAACCTCTATTTAATTACCAATGACGAACAAAGTGGAATTGTAGCAATTTAAAAAACAAAGCAATAATTACTACAGGTTAAAATAATTAAACATCCAAAAGTTACCGGAGAAATCTCGCTAGTTTGAGACTTCATTTCGTCAACCATAGTTATATAAATTTATAATCAATTATATGTTGTAATAAGAGCACTAGTGTTTATAACTTATCAATTTAGAATCGCAAATGTATATTATAAATTAAATAATAAACAATCATCAAAAATATATCAAAACAGAAATTTAAAATGAATGAATGAAAAAGATAATAATACATACATATAGTGTATGTAAATATTAATCATGAATGAAAAAGAATTCCATTCGTTCTAGTCTGGGATTTTTTATTTATCTTTTCATGAAAAGCAAAGAGCGTAAGCCGATGCAGCCGTCACCTGTTTTGTATATTGTTCAAGAAATGTAGTTGGTAGGACAAATAGTAAAGTAATTTTAAATCGTGACTGGTGCACTTTGTAAATAATATACCTAGAAGAATATTGAAACGTATCCTTCCTTGAGCATTTACCAATTTAACTATTATGTTTTTTTAACCGGAAATGACCTATCATGTCAGTTTCATTCCAACTGTCACAGAGGACATTTCGAAAATGTTTATTGTTTTTGTCAGTCAATACGTCAGTCCATCATACAAAGTGTTTCAGAAAAATTAGTTTTATGTATCTCTATTGTTTTTAGATTTTTCTTTTCATTATTTGGCAATAAATAGTAATTCTAATATAATTTACTAATGCTATGACAATTGCTGAGGCTTTAAGCCTCTATCAACATGGTTCTAAACGCTGCTATGCAAATGTTAAGGTTAGCATACTTTATTCATATATAACCTTCTCTGAAATTATATACCCTGATGATTTTTAGTTGTAAAACCGTAGTTTCTTTTCAAGAATCAGTTTCATATTTCATATTCTTAATTTCTCTCATTCTATTATCAATTAGTGTTCTGTAAATCCCTACATGAACACACAGTTACTAATTTTTATAACAATTCAATGACTCAATGTTTGCTTATTTTGTTCTTGGATTTGTATGATCTGCGTTTTTCCCTACGATTTTCCCTTAATATCATGATGTATTTTTTTATAACTAGCATGATTAAAACTCAATCTAAGAACAGCATGCAAAATATAACACAATTAATTAATCACTAATAGTAAAAACCTTATAGCCATTTCTTCATTTTATACAACAAAATAATTACAAAATATTCCTCTATATTATTTCACTATTTATTCGTTACTTTTTTTTATTATATAAAAAAAATAAAAAGTCATATTTTAGAATTAATTTGCCTGTAGCAAATGTAGGAAATCCATAAATTTTAAATTGTATTTAAATTTCTAATGTAATAGTCTGTGTATTATGTATTTATGTACAAAAAAAGTGTTATTTTAGACAGTACATTTGATATTTTAGACAGTTAACTAGTTATTTATAAATTATGTAATAATTCAACACAACTGTAAATTTGTATGAATAAATAAAATGAATCAATGTAATAATTCAACACAATGTAAATTGTTATGAATGAATACAATAAAATGAAATGTTAGTATCCATAGTTCAATATCATGGTAATTTGGCCCTGATGGAGCTATGTGAAGTGATATGTGCCAACAAATCGGTGATCATGTGTTGTTATTTTTGAACACAAAAACCCCAAAATAAATATAGATAAATAATGTATTATTTTTATCATTATGACAGAGAGGCAGATGAGCTGAAGCAGAAAATTCTTAAATTCAAGAGTGGGACATCAATGCTTCAGGATCGAAGTCTGTGGGTTACACAACAACAATTACAGAAGGTAAAGAAGGAAAAATTCAACTATATACACATTATTTTTTATTTCTTTAGATAATTATTATTTGTATAATTACTAATTGTCTAGAAAAGTAATAGTGAATAAGTTTATTAACAGTTATTGTTTAGAATATTGTAAAATTAATAGTAATTAGTAGAAGAATAATATAAATGAAAGATTAAAAACTCCGTATAAGTCATAGTTTTATAAGGACATATCCGTAAGTGTATATAAAAATATAATTCCCAAAGTAAACTCAATTTAGATAAATGGTTACACTTGTGAGGCGTGAGATATTGAATAGAAATAATCTCTATTATAATAAACTTAATAAAAACATTTTCTAATAATCATATTTTTTGTATTCTACCACTCATTTGAAAAGCTGTCTTTTCACAAGAAGAATGAGAAATCTTGATTGTTGCAAGAGTGTAAGATAACTGTTAACATTGTTCACAGATATATCAAAAACTATTGGTATTGGATTTAGATTATGCCTTGGACAAGAAAGTGGAGCAAGAACTGTGGAATGTGGGTTTCAAGCAGCAAATCGAAGCCTTACAGGCCATCTCCAAAGACAGAAAAGTATTGTATATTTAGCAATCATAACAAACCATCAGTTTTGAGTATCATCACTACATGAAATATACTTGATTCTAATTTTTGATTGCAACTTTCTTTATAAAAATTATGTGAAAAATGTTAAGACAATTTTACTTAAATAGATTTTTTTATGTAGTAATAATTACATGACTTTTTACTTATATGTCTAACACATTTAAATGGTACAATCTAGTACACTTTTATAATATTGTCTTACAAACTATGTCATATCTGACTACAAGTGTTTTAATTAATAATTTTTATTAATTAACATTCAGAATCCTCTCAGAAGTGAGGGCCAGGCTATGTTGTCATGGGTGCTCCAAGCTGCTACAGGATTCTACCTCTGCCTACTTCATCAGATATGCACCACATTCAAACTAGACTTGCCATTCAGGTATTAATTCAATCTATATATATAAAAATTAAATTCTGTTTGTTAGTCTGAATAAAACTAAAAAAAAAAGTCTGAACTGATTTGGCTTATTTTAGTCTTGAAACATTTTTGGAAGTCCAGGGAAGGTTTGGATGGTGAGAAAATATGAAGAAATTGAATGTAAAATAGTAAAAACAACAATTTTATTTTCCCATACAAACTGCTGAACCCATCAAATAAGGTGGTGCGTGTAGAAATTTATTGCGTAACTAAACTTCAAAAAACCTTTAGTGTATTTAATATAGAATCAGAACAGAATTTGCAGGATCACCCAGTTAGTCAGCGTCAGTTATAATAAATATCATTCTCACATTAAGAGCAGGGTGTGCTTCCAGAATATTAGTTGACTGGGGAACATACATGTTCAAGAGATGGTGATATTTTAATTTTTTAATTCTAATTACAATATATTTTAATATGGAACTGCTCGTTTGTATTTAAGCTGTATAAATAAATATTTCAGACGCCGGGCGTCTCTTCTGGGGTGGGTAGAGGGATGGGGTGCGGCCGAGGTGATGCCCGCGGGGGAGGCGGGCGCGGCCGCGGGGGCGGTGGCGGTGGCGGGGGCGCGACTCCCGGCGCCGGCTGCCGCACGATATATCTGCCAACACTGTTTAGTACACCTGGGGGACCTGGCGCGGTACAAGCAACAGTTGCGCGTTGCACATACATTCTACAGGTTGGTGTATGAAAATATTCTTCTATTCTATTCTATAATTTAATATGTGAATGAATTCATACCGCATTCAATAATATTTTTAGGTTTATCTAAAAAATAAAGTAGATTTTTTGTTGTATATATATATTAATCAAGATTTGAGTTGACACTTCAAGCAGAACTTACAAAAAAAATTGTTTTTGAAAATTGTACTCTTCTTTTTATATTTCCATATAATAAAATCATGTTGAGATAAAAACTGTCAGTTGATAGTTTATATATAAAGATAGAAGCTCATAAAAGCTTGTGCATAAAAATAACTGGAGGAGTTGAATAATGTGGGTCACATATAGGATACAGTAATCTTAGAAAAATACTTCAAAGGAGTAAATTGTTTTTAATTTTTAATATGCCATCTCATATTGATAATTATTAATGAATAAAATAACAAATGGCGTCACGCAGACTACTCACTTTTCCCCTCGTAAAAAAGGTAGTAACACTACCACTGCTAATACTGTAATACTGAATTGCCCACTTAATTTTATTTTATAAGAATATATTCTGTTATTGATTTGAAAATGGAACAAGAACAATTAAATTTAGAAAGAAATATCATTGGCCGGAGCCGAAAGAAGAGGAAAAATATAATTGATTTTGAATTTGGAATGTGTGTGGTGCAGGCACGCGCTGGTGCTGTCGGCGCACAGTGGGCAGCCGTACAACCAGCTGGCGCTGGTTGCGTGGCGGCGCGGGCGGCGGCTGGCGGCGCTGTACTGGCACGTGCGGTCGCTGCTCGTGCGCGCGCCCTTCCCCCCCGCGCCCGCCAACCTCGCACGTACTCTTCACGCCGCCGCTGCGTCTACAGCATCCTCCGCTTCCAGGTGAGTCCACCCCGCAGTCCATAACCAAGTTTACCTCTAATTATTGAATCCCTAATTATAAATGATTATTTATGTAAAGTCTTTTAGTTACTTTGTTTTTTATTTACACAGATATAAAGTCCGTTTCTTTATTTCATTATGTTATTCTTATTTTATTCCATCATAACCGTTTACAATTAGAATTCTTAATCTATAATAACTACAAATTTCATACTCATACTCATAGTGTATTTTTGATTAGTTTAAAGCTAAGATCAGTATAATGCTATTGATCAATATAATAAATGAAACCCTATATAAATTTATAGTCGCCTTCTAGTCACTTATGCATGTTAAGTTCTATGTATTAATACATTTTTCCCTACCATGAATGAAAACTGGAACTGAACTGGAGGTCAACCTAACGTACCTACCTTATTACTAACAATCCTCTTCCCTACTACGCCAACGTATCGCATATAGTATCACAGATATTGGTACAGTTTCAATATTTAATACTTGATACCAAGCATTGCGTTTATATACCATTTCAATGCGTTATAGGCATGTGTAAAAGTACGGGTCGTATTACAGTCGCGAGCCGCGAGCGCTGCCAGTACTGGGCGGGGCGCGGGCGCGGTCTCCGCCGCCGAGTCCGGCGCCCGCCCCCGCTCGTCTCGACGCGCACTCATACATCTCGGAGCTTATCCGTGCACTCCATTTCATACACACAAATGAACAGTAAGTACACTCTGACTGGCAAATTTGAACTTTATTATGTACATTTAATGAACTTTATCATGTATTATGTACATTTGTTAACTTTTTCTTATATGCATGAAATATAAGATCAAGTCCATTAGATATTAAATACGCGGTGGTGTTATGGAAAATAGCCACCCTGCACTTACTATAATAAGCATGACACCTTTTCATTTTGAAACAAGTAACCATTTCATTTATAATTTTAAATAAATGTTAATTTTAATATTTCAGCTTAGACACAGCAGCAACAATAGTAAACACCCTGAATTCCTCACTGACTGCTCTCATTGCAACTGACAGCTTTGAATCTATGACTCTAATCAAGGTAAGAAACTTTAACTATTTTGAAAATATAATTTTTTTTACCCTAATTACCGTGCGGAATAAATATAGCATAATAAGTACACAAAAAGGATTGTATAGTAATATGTTTTGATAATTTATTGACAATATGTACAAATGTAATACGAAACAGACAGTTATTTATCTGCTAAATGGTTTTGCCTGATCCACGCTAGTCATCCATTATTCAATCTGTGATTTCGGCCGTTTTGTCGTGTATCTATGTACGAGACGTGTGGTTTTTTAACGATTTTTTTAGATAGACCACTAATTTTTGTTTGTAACTACTGCTTGACTATGTTCTTATATTTATTATAGTGGATTTTATCTGAACATTAAAAAAAGATGATCTGGTATATTAAAAAATATATTTTTATCTCACACATTATGAGTGATGACCATCATCTCGTGTACAGATGGCGTGCGTGGTGATGTGGGCAGTTCACTCGACGACGGAAGGGCTGACGCTGTCTGCGAGCGCGCTGTCGGCGAGCGAGGCCGCCGCCGCAGCCCTGTCACACGCACTCGCCGCCGGAGCACTGCTCGGGCTGCTGCTGCCCTCACCCGCGCCCCTCGCGCCCCGTACGTACCGCCCGTAGTGTCGGCCGCGCCCTGTACGTATCGCCCGCAGTGTCGGCCGCGCCCCGTACGTATCGCCCGCAGTGTCGGCCGCGCCCCGTACGTACCGCCCGTAGTGTCGGCCGCGCCCTGTACGTATCGCCCGCAGTGTCGGCCGCGCCCCGTACGTATCGCCCGCAGTGTCGGCCGCGCCCCGTACGTATCGCCCGCAGTGTCGGCCGCGCCCCGTACGTATCGCCCGCAGTGTCGGCCGCGCCCCGTACGTATCGCCCGCAGTGTCGGCCGCGCCCCGTACGTATCGCCCGCAGTGTCGGCCGCGCCCCGTACGTATCGCCCGCAGTGTCGGCCGCGCCCCTCGCGCCCGTACGTACCGCCCGCAGTGTCGGCCACGCCCCTCGCGCCCCGTACGTACCGCCCGCAGTGTCGGCCGCGCCCCGTACGTACCGCCCGTAGTGTCGGCCGCGCCCCGTACGTACCGCCCGTAGTGTCGGTCGCGCCCCGTACGTACCGCCCGTAGTGTCGGCCGCGCCCTGTACGTACCGCCCGTAGTGTCGCCGACGGCCTTCTCGAGCTTCTGCTGCTGTGACCTCGAGATCTGCGCCATGCGCGGTATCATTTAACAAAATACTCTTCAACTGAAACACAACTTACAAAATAAGCGGGTAGACGACAGCCTGCGTGGGTACCTCTGTCGCATGTAATAGCGACAGAGGTACCCACGCAGGCGACTATAATTTTGTTTTTAAACTTATGATAATGAAATGGTGCACCAACCAAGTATCGTTTAGAAAAAGTCAATAGGTCTTTTATGGGAATAGGTATAAATTTACAATAAGATACCAAAGGATATACTTCTAATTACCTTCAAATAAATTCAAAACATTTATTAAATCATATTTACTGAGCAAAACTTACTACTCACTAAACAATTACTTAAATGACGAGCATTCATGGCAATAGTATTTCATGCACAGGATTTTCATTTTATGTTGGACATAGACACCTATATAAATATACATTGTAAATAAACTGGCTTTAAAAAAAAATCTATTGAGATTCGTGACAATTCTTCTCTATTAGATCTATATACTGAATTTGATCATAACCGGTTAAATGTCCTACATGAATAATTTTTTTATGAATTTAAATTTGGAAAAAAACGTGCGCTAACGGTTTACGCCGGCGAGACACCAGTGTGAGGTCAAATCAGTTAGCCCGTCATGGCAAATTCACTGAAACGAGTGATGTTTGGCTGGTAGTTATATGGTGTGTGTCGTGTTGCAGTGCGTGTGTGGCTGTGGTGGGTGGCGTCGCACCCGTCCGTGGTGTCGGAGCCGGCGTGGGTGCAGCGTCCGGCGCTGTGGCCGGCGGTGGCGCAGCTGCTCACGAGGCTCCACGCCGCGCCCCCGCCCGCTACACAACTCTACACGTGTGAGTTAACCCGCGTCTCACGCTTTGTTGCTCCAACATCTCTCTGATGGTAATTGTCTGCGAGCCAGGAATAGTACAATGTGACCGATTTCTCCCCGATTGAAAACTTCTATAATTGTTAAGGTAACTCAACTAAGTTATGTAGGTCAGTGAACGTCAGTAGCGGTTCCGAGGATGGGTTGAGGAGCAGGAACCTAACAAAATTTTCAAATTGTTGATATAAATAAACCTTATGTGTACTACGACTTTGAAATTCATTTCAATACTTATTTATGAAATTTATTTTAATCGACCTTTTTTACCTACTGCTTACGCTAGATGACGCTGTACAAAATAAGCGCTATTAAGTTGTTTTAACTTTTGATATACTTTTTGATAAAAAGAGATCTTATGCACTACAACTTTAAAGTCCATTTCAGTTCTTCAGTTAAAAGCGTATAATTTTAGATGAGAGCGTACCCCTGCCGGAAGACGAAGAGCTGCTGGGCTTCCAGCCGCTGGAGGAGATGTGGCGGGACCTGCGGTTCCCGAGCCACGCGGCCTGGGACTTCTACGGCGGCCGCCTGCCTGACCACGAGAATGACCAGTCAGTTTCTATTGCTTTTTATTATTTGTTCTATGAACCGACATGTGCCAAAGTATATTACTAAATATATTAATTCTATGTGCATGAAGGTACGTTTTTTTAATGAGTAATGAGTGCTGCCAGAAAGCTAGAGTTGTATAAGTGCATCTCATAGAGGTTGTGGTTATATCAACAACAGCTGAGGCGGCTCCTATTGCCTTTGTATGATTTTTTCTTATATTCGTGTATGCTTGTTAATCCGCTAAAAATGCTAAATCTTTAAAATGCTGTCTAACTTTTAGTTTCTTTGTTACAAACCCCTACTTTTATATATAATAAGATTCAGTCTCGCTTCTACATTGAAGAGGTCGTCCTCTTCTGACGCACGCCAATTGGCTTACGGTGCGCGTAGCGCTGTCCTTATCGCACAATGCCGCTATTCTGCTCGGTTTCCTTTGGTCAATAGGCCAACTTGCACAGTCTAGTATCGTATTGCGTGGATCGCGTAAATATAAACCTAAGCTTGTCGATTTTCGCAGAAGTTTTATGGTTTATGTGTGGGTTATGGAACTCCTATATGTTTATTGTCTATGTATCCAAGGTCGCCGGCGGAAGTAATGTCGGTGTGCTTGAGCAACGAGCCGGAACTGGAGCAGCGCGTGCGCGCGTACCGTATTCTACAACTGGGCCGCCGCCTCGCCGACTGCCGACCCGATCTCCTCACCTACACGTAACTATCCCGTGCACATTTACATTACTATTTTACATTTATTTATAATAAAATTCCCATATCACAAAGTTACCTCCGCCGTAACAGCTAGACTGATTTTAAGAAATTTTATATGCAGATTCAGTAGGTCTGATAATCGGGTACTATCTATTATTCATACCCTCAATTGATGAGGGTTATTCACTTCTAACGTTTATTTTTTATTTTTTGAGCAATTTTTTTATAATGTGAGTTTCAAAAATATACACAACTCAAAATTTTCACTTCTATTATGAACCTCTATTTTTAATGCCGATTTTAACTTATAGGGCAAAAAAACATTTGGGGGGTGAGCTAGTATTTTATAAAATCGTTTACCAGCTTTTTTTATCGCGGAGAAAATCAGAAAATCCTCGTAGATTCAAATTCGATTCAAGGGACAGGTTGGATATGTCAGATTAGTACTCACTAAAAACTCCACGGTGTTCATCACGCCCCTCCGATCGATCCCCCATCCAATTCAAACTGGGATCGAAATTACGACGGCCCGAGCCGAGTTTCGAACCCCTAGTGGTGCCCCCAGACTAAAGTCGTATCCGTCAGGCAGGAGTTGGCCTTCAGCTGCTCCATAAGTCCTTCCGCGGGTTTGGAGTGCCATCTGCACTGGCCCCCTAACGTCCGGTGAAGCTGTAAAGGCCAGCTGCCAACAGCATTAGAGTAGTCCGAAAAAAAGGTATTCACCAGTACGGTCAGCATGCCACGGAAAGTACATTTATATTCTACCGCGACTGCTGTAATCCGCTACGGAGATATTGAGAGCCGACCTCTTAACATCTTTTAAAGCAATGGTTTAAAAGATGTTTAGTAGGTATCCGGAAACACGCGCGAACGTGTACAACCTAACTGGGATAGTTCACCGACAGCGAAGACGAGGAGGGCAAGCTGTCGTTCAGCGCGGTGGCGGCGGACGGTGACCACCTGTGGCGCGCGCGCGCTGAACTGTGTGCGGCGGGGGGCGGGGGCGAGGGGGGCGCGGCGGCGGCGGGGGGCGGGGGCGAGGGGGGCGCGGCGGCCGAGCCCGACCACGACAGCGAGGACGAGCCGCCCCCGCCGCCGCCGCCCATCATCATCTCAGAGGCCGACTTCCGTGAGAAAGGTTTTTTTGGTTTCGTTTTCATTTCTTTAGTTTCATATTATTATTATTTTTTATTTTTTTTATTGATAAATTCGGTTTATATTTTATTTGCGTTATTATTTATAAACTTATTTACTGTCAATATGTACTATATTGTCAGAGTTTATATTTTATTTATGAATGTAGCTTTTAAGAAGAGGATATAAAGAAAAAATAGCTTATGCGACAAGTCCGCCTTTTGTACCTTATTACTCTAATTTATGATCTTTATAATTTACTTTTATACTTACTTTTATAAATAAATCTAAAGCTAAAACAGGTTTTTTTTGGAGTTTTTATTACTTAAATGTACGTGTTCACAGTTCGTGAGAAACGCGTGGGTATCCTTAAGCCGCAAGGTTCGCTGGAGCGTGCGAGAGAGGAACGGGCGTTGGCCTCCACACAAGACGATCCGGTAATTTTATTATAAATATATAATCTCATTATTGCCTTGCCTGCCTATTTAGGGTCGGCGCAGTATGACATCTTCTTCCTCTGATCCTTATATGATTTTTTGCAACATCCATCCATGGTTTTTCGGTCGTCCTCTCCCTTCTTTATTCTCCCTAATTTGAATTAAATAATGAATCTGTTTTTCTGTAAACATGTACAAACTCATTTGAAACAAATAAGAGCTGAGTTTCTTGTTAGTTTTTCTTAACTCGAATGCACTTCGACGCCGACGGTAGATTTGGCATAAGCATAAGAGTTTGTATTCAGGTGGCGATTTCGCTCTGAATTAACTAAGAGGATTTCCAATGCAAACTGCATAGAGGTTTACCCGGTACAATGCTAGCGATGGGTCTACTAATTTTATTACTAATACTGGCCTCCTTCACCTCTAGGAACCGGATTTCAGCGAGGAGGGCAGCAAGAGTGAGGACAAGAAAGAAACGCGGAAGGCACGAGTCAATATTGCCATGGCGGCCATCATGAGAAAACAGGAGGAGACTAACAAACAGGTGACAACATTGTTTCCGTATGAACACTGATTGGTACCATAACTTTGATCAAAGGATATGATAGATGTGTCTATGTAGATAGTGTGTATGAGTGCTATTTTCAATCTTATGTCTATTGCAACAGTGTACTGATTTTGATGCAACGATTACTATTAATGCAATAAAATGTAAATAGTTTTTTTTTATTATAGGTGAAATTCGTAACTCCACCTCCGACACCAGAATCAACAACTGACTCAACAGAAGCAAAGGATGACAAGCCTAAAGTGATACAGCCTAAAGCCATCAAATCACTCGCCAATCTACCAATCGGCAGAAAAACGGGTGGCATCCTCTCACTCAAAGATAAATCTGCTGGATATCCACATCTTGTAAACACCGATCCTGAGCCGGCCAAGAAGAACGACAAAGAAGAAAAGAAGGATTCAAAGAGTAGTCAGCCTAGTCAAAGTTCTCAACAGAAGAGACAAGAGCCACCTTCTCCTAACTGGAGCTCAAATCAACCACCACAGCTTTACAATGAACCGCGAATGAACTTCCAAAAGAATTACGGTATTAACACCACAGGTATCAGCTACAACCCTAACTACCAATCGAATGTTAATAATCAAGGTATAAGGTTGCCCGTCGTTAATCCTAAAGAAATAGACGTGAGGACCGCTGCAATGCAGAAGCAGAACTCCCGTCAGGAACTATTCCAAGATGGACAGAAATTCGGCAACCACAACTACCAGATGTCGGGCGACAAGAAGAACTTTCTCAACGACCTACCGCCACGGTTTGCTAACCAGTACCGATATTGGCAGAATGCTCAAGAGAATCAGTTCAACGAGAACAAATTTAGAGACGAAAACTTCAAACCAAATTCGCTTTTTAATAATCAACAGCCCAATAGTTGGAGCAACTTGCCAGGAGCCGATTACCAACAGCAGACGTGGTGGAAACCGGATAACCCGCCTCCGAATTTCAATACAAACTTCTCAACACCACCATTGAATATGCAGCCTAACTTCTACTCTCCACAATTAAGCTCCAACATGTCGAGCCCTTACCATAGCATACCGTCTTTCAATCCATCTCAAAATATAGGACAAAATAAGCCAGATAATTTAGTCAATCCAAACTACCTTCAGTCTGCCGTGGGTCAACCCCAAGTACGGAATCTTGTCCCATCTGCAAACTTCAATTCTCCATTGAGTGGGTTTGGATCATACCCAGCAGTCAGCTACGATTCCTCGATGTATCCCCAATTTAATAACAAACTTGCATACCAACCAATGAATAAACCGCAGGCCTACCTGGGCAGTAATGAGATGGTTGATATGAACATTGGATTTGGATCCAACATAGCGGATAGACAACAGATGAACTTCAATGAATCGCTCAACAGTGATATTGGAGGGATGAAAAATTTGGAGCAAATGGGGGTTTGTAAAATTGTTTTATTATGTAATTGTTTGTATGTAGATAAATAGATAACAGATTCACAAAGCTACACAGGTATTTTTAAATTCATTACATCCTGCAAAACTTACGAGTTAGTCATATACATCTTTATTTATATTTAAACTTGTTCAAAAATTAGGTGATTAAAATAAATATCATCATTAATTAATTACCTTGCATATCACATTATAATCAAAGTATAATTTGTTAATTACTTTGCGATCTCTTAGTCACTTTATCACTATTGTCTTCCGTAAGTACAATCTGTCCGTACATATAATAAAAATAAAATGAATATTACAATTATTTCTGAATTTCTTGTCTGTTCTTAGCTCGAATGCACGCCGTACTGACGGTGGTTTAGACATCGTAAGATTCTATAATAGATCTACATGGATAAAGATACTTTTGTTTACATTTGTATTAAGTATAAAATATATATAAGTAAATTATAAAATTATGATTATGCACGTACAGGGAACGTCAAGCTCAGTGGGCAGTGCGAATACGGCGCCAGGGCCGGGGCCGGGGCCGGGTGTAGCGCTGGGCGCGGGGCCGGGCGCGCCCCCGGGGGCCGCCAGCACCTACTCGCTGTTCAGCGGCGCCCCCGGCGCCGGCTGGACCTCCGCGCAACGTCATCCGCAGCAGGTTTAATAATTTACATTTATTGTTGTAATGCATGCATGCAGATCACTATATATCCATTCTAATATTTTAATATTATTTATTTAGGTAATCAACTTATACATTCCATATGTATTATTTAGTATTACATGTAAATCCAATAACAGATACCTCATAAATTTATCGAAATGTATGAACAGAGTGACATCAAATAATTTTAAATTTAATCTAAACAACAATAAAAAGTACAATAACGTGTGTAGTTGCAAAACACAAAGAAAACAGGTTGATCATTTAAAACAGATAAACAGGTCAGAGCAAAAGTTAAAGAACAGGAAAGGATCTGTGCACAGTGTATAATAAGTAATGTAGGATGATACAATACATAATATTCATTCAAATAATTATAAATGTGAAAGTGTGTCTTGCCTTTTTATCTTTATAGTAATCGTTGAACCGTATACGAATATTTTTTTATTGAGAGGACAAACATAGGCTATATGTTAACAAAAGCCAAAGGTACTTAACTTATATCTACTACTATTCTATAAAAGAAATTTTTGTACCCCAGTCGCTATGGTCCGGCCCGGGGCCATCGCCTCTCGAGAGACTCCTCGAACAGCAGAAGCAGATGAAGCAGCCCCCCGCGCCGCAGTAATCAACAACGCGACCAAAACTCGGATAATAACTTCCAATATATTATACACTGAAACACTAATGCGCCTTTTGTAGCATATAAAAACAACTTTAAATATGCCGATATAGGCGGAAAGTAACGTTTTGATATGACAATATTCTTTATACGTATAATTATTAAAAATCACGGGATCTTACTAAGTTTTATTTTTATTGAGTTTTTGGGAACTCAATAAAAATCAAATTCTCATGATTTCTACTAATTACACGTATAAATAATGACCGCGTCAAATTTAAAACAGTATATGACAATATTCTTGTACAAAATTTAAAATAGCTTCGTTGATATTTAATAGGATCATTATGCTAGTGTTTGTGTTATAAGCTGCAACTTTTTTATACACAATCGGAGGCTGTATGACGTAGTTCCTTACAATTCTTTTTTGACCCGTAAGAGTTTTGTAATTACAGTGGACCCGCGGTAATCCGGCCCCCCTTGTAATCCGACATGGTCTATTATTTATTACTGAATATTTTTTTGACAATATAGTTCAGAGTGCATATACCTACATACATACATATATATATAACATAGAATCTTATCACTGGATCTGTAATTTGTCGGATTACAAGATACTCTTTACTAAAAAATTCCGGACTATAGGGGACCCTTAGGCAGCACTCTATAATCCGACAAATTCGATGGTCCGACACTGCCCTGCAAAACGTTTGTCGGATAATGGGGGGTCCAATGTATGTACGAAAAAGTAAAGAAAAACCATTTAACACTTGTAATCGTGACAGTTGTTGCTGCAACATTCTAATAAGTCATATAAAATTACCTAAAGATTTCATTGGAAATTGAAACTGTTTATATGCAGCAAATTTATTTAGTACAAATAAAATTAATTTTTTATATAAATGTGATATGTGACAATTATATAAAACTAGCAATTTGGCTATAAATGTTTGTTGCAGCTGTGTTTGTAATAGAAAACAGCAAATACTGATTGAATTATTTACATTTACAACATGTATTTTTTTAAATATTAAATATAGATATTATTCTGATACATACTGTTATGATGAGCCCTTCCACACAAAAACCGAGTGTGAAATTTGGATATTTATATGGGTATTATAAGAATAGATAAATATATTTATGGTTCATACGATGCCTTCAGCACAGGGGTTTAGTAGGAGAGAACTAAGGGTCGTGTTTTGTATAAATTATGTAGCTTACATTGCCTTTCGAGTCGTGATATTGCTATGTCATTGTAAACTTTTGTATAAATGTAAAGTTTGTTATATTATTGTGGATTATATCGTGAAAGGCCTCATAAAGGCCTCGTTAGTCTCCAATGAACATGTTATGTTGTTAATTATAATTTTGTGCTAAAATTATGTGAATGCATATAAAATATGCATGTAGAAGTATTGCATGATATCACTAAATCTTTTAAAGAAGACACTAGAATTTGTTAGTTTTCGCTGTACGATTATATCAATGAATTACGAAGTGAAAAGTACATGAATGTTTTTATTTTGACTGTATTTTTTTATAATTTGATAACTTCAGAAAGGTAACCCTACACCTTTCTGAAGTTATCAAATTATAAAAACCCCATAAGGTAAAGTAACAATGTACAATTATGTAAGTGTTCCCTTGACTTACAATAAAATGCCCAAGACAGTTCAAGTCTGTGTGACTCCTAAACATCACTGGACAAGAGATTGTATACTCAACATACTGGAATGCTAGGAAATAACGAGAGACATGTTTATATGAAATTTATAGTTTTTTTTTAAATATATCTTGTAATCAGAAATTTAATTTTTCTTATACCTACATTATTTATGAGTAATGGTTTTTTGGTATAATTGATCTTGGATCCAATCAAAAGCAAATCGGACCTATAAATGTAATGTGTGCATAATTAGGTTCTGGTTGGAAACATAAAAAACCATATTCATTAATATTTGAAACTCCTAATATTTTTTATCAATTCCTAAATACGACTGATATGTATTTAATAATACATATATAATAATCCACTCTAAGAATTTTCTTCCAATGTTTTTGGTGGGTATAGTGGGCTTGTAGGATGGATGGGATATATTTATAGATATCTTGAGGTTTGGATGGGTCTGAGACACCTTCGCGAACATACACTAGCATTCGTATATGTACATTAAATAATTTTTATTATTTACTAAGCGAAGATAAATTGATGCGATTGTGAAACTATATTTTGTAATAAACTTATTTTTTGTTAATTCGCTTGTTTTATTGTCATAAAATCTTAATGTATACTGCTATAATTGAATTTTTGTTCTAATATAAATAATGTCAAACAATTTTTGAAAAGTGTATAATAAAATCAAATAAAAAACCATTTAATCAGTCAATAATTTAATATTTCTTAAATTTCAATAATGAATCTAAACAAATTATACATAAAAACATTGAACAAGAACAACAGGGGACGCTCAGTATACACCATCTGCTACATCTGCCAGACTAAATCCGCAAGTAAATAACTTAGCGAATTGGAATCAATTCGGAATGGCGTCTAATATATATGAATGGCATTTTTGCTCTTTTATGGCTTCATTAAAGGTTTATTAATAGATAAAATATATGTGTACATTTCTGTATTTTTCACTATTTACACTTCTGTAGCAGTTTGGTTACACATATTAATAAATACCATTTGCGTTTGTTCAAAACAAGGCCTTACCTACAATCACTAAGTAATTTACACAATTTTAACTCAGTTTGACTATTGAGCAGTAGGATCACAGGTGTAAGCGACACGTCCCATACTTAAAAGTATGGCGAATTTAAACCAACAATATTAAAATAATATTTTTGTCTATGTTTTTGTCTCTGCGTGCGGTGTTGTGATAGTTTGAATATATAACCGGCGTAGCGGATGCCGAACCTAAAAGTAGGCGACACCGCACGTCCCATTTGTAAAAAAATAAATTCGTATGTGTCGCAATAAATCCAATTATTTTGTAGTTTTCGATTCCATACAATGTGACCTATCATATCCACACAACTACAGCATTTAATAAACGCAGCTCAAAAGATGGTACCTACTCTATGCGACCACTACACAAATAAGAAATATTGTTCTTAACGCTAACGTTGTTTTCTTATAAAATGTCTGGCAGCGGCACGACACATGCAATCTGAGACTGTCGCCTAGTGCAATTATTCTATGTAAAAGTACATTCTCTAACACATAAAAAAGCATACTAATTATTTAATTTGATTACAATAATGGTATTTACAATAATAAATATTTGATACTAAACAATTTACATTCTATATTTTGTCAATTTTATAAATAACAGCATACTATTTGTATAAAACATGTTTTACGGTCTTTTATAAATAAATGAATAGCTCAAAATTAACAAAATTTGATTAGTGAACATTTTATTATGCTACCACTACATATTTCCTATACTTTTAAGAAGTAGAAGTAAATCGGAATACATGAATACTCCAATTTTTCCAATCATGAGATATTGATGTGTAAAATGTAAACAAAATTTAGCTACATTCAAACGATTTCATTATTTACATATAAATCACGAATTTACAGCTTTTTACATCATTTTGAGAGATATTAAATTTATAGAAAGTATTACATAAATAATAAATAGCCCCACATTGGGTAAATAGTGGCATTGTCGACTGTCAATGTTGCCGTTTACCTCCGTGTAGTGTATACAACACCAACCTTATATAATATAAATAAAATGTAAATTGTCGTCTTATTTATCACAATAAGTATTCTATGTCTGAATTCTGAAGTGATCATTTGTTATATAAAAATAACACACAAAATTATTAACAGACCAGAGAAAATACCAAGAAGTCTTAGCAAACATCTATACACGCTGCAAATCCCCTCCTCTATTTTAGAACTATTACAAGAAGCTGTCATTCTTAACACATGTAGTATTGTACGAAAATTTCTTTCGTCATCACATGCATCATCCTCATATAACTAAATCAAAACAATCATTAAACTGATTCATGCTTGGCTAAGCCCGCACTTTTGATATAAATTGAATATTGCCATATTACCCCCGTAAAAAGGGAGATATATAAAATATATATAAATAATCGTAATAACTTTTTATTGTGCACAGTCAAAATAATAATAAAAGTACATTAAAAAATTGCAACGCGCACGTTACCCCCTTGTGTTTCATGCGTCCATAAGCTACGTAAGTAACCATTTACCATCAGATGGGCCGTATTCTTGTTCCACACCATCATAGTAAATAAAAGGCGGTCTCATCGCTATAATCAAGCTCGTGATACTAATTATTATATTTAATTACATGATTAGTATTTACTGTTGATGTTCTATATAGTACACGGACGTAACAGTCTATATGGCTTAACTTTAACTTCAAATAATATAATAGTAAATTAAATTAAAAATAAACTAGAAATGAATCTACATTATAGTTTGATCTCCTTAAAGCCTTCGTATTAATTTAACAGTATCGGTAGCCTAAAATAATCTACAACAACTCACATAAGATATGTACAACAATTGACAAGTTTGTTAGAAGCAGCTTGGAAAAAACTATTGGGCGGACTACGAGACAAGTGTATATACCAAAAATCATATTATGGCTTCTCGGTGTACTGTATGTATTTAAATATATTATAAATACAAAGAATACAGCACGAGCGGACGTAGGGAGTACGACATAGACAATATTTAATTCATTTATATTACTCTTTTCATTTTTGCAAGTTAATCAGTAAAATTTACATAATTTTTGTCATCCAGATCCTAAATAATCTTGGTCTCTACAATTCTGACCACGTCGGGGTCACCACTGTTGCGGGTGAATATTACGATGTTGCTGGTCGAGACGATGTATATTACAGATGATGATAAACTGACAATATGTACATAGAAATAATGATCTTATATACTAAATAAAAGTAGGAAAATGTAAGGTGGGGTGACACAGTTTATGCAGTTATTATTTTATGTATCTAGGTCTGTGTCCCATAATATTACTCTTTTCATTTTTGCAAGTTAATCAGTAAAATTTACATAATTTTTGTCATCCAGATCCTAATTAATCTTGGTCTCTACAATTCGGGAAAGTGAACAATTATATTGAGTCGTGGTCTACGTACTCAATATTAATTATAGCAGAAAGAAATCTTTAATTATTATTTTTATATTGTACTGATTGCATTCGTCCGTTGCTCTATTATATTACAAGATGAATTCTTACATCATTTTTTTTGTATTTGTTGTTTATATAATAAATATACTATTGTTATATTTTGTGCATTACTATGTAAGTTGATATACAATAATAAGCACATCATTGAGAAATGGTATCTAAGTATTTTAGTACCACTTCACAATGGACGAGAAATGTAGGTTGCATAATAAATCATCGCTTACGAGATCGAATAACAGCGATCCTATATGATATTTAGTGTTTAATAACAGCTTTAATTATATGTAAGTTAAATCCTACAATTCCATATATTTGCACCTAATATGATAGCATCATATGTATAATAGGAAGCTATTGTATTAGTTTGAAACATGGGTGGCCATTCAAATCTGAGAATACTTCAATTTGTGATGTAGTAAAAATAATCACATTCATTTTATTTGTAACTAAACAAATGCTCTGGCGTCTACGCTATGTTATCCGCTGCCGCTTAATAACTGACAAGTCCTGAAACTAACTTGTATTAAAAGATGTGAAAAAGTAATGAATTGTGTAGCATCTCATTTTTTAAACCTGTTAAAAACTAATTCCAGTCCTCACAGACATTAATGATAAATATATTAAAAATCGTAAACCACAAAGACAATTTTAAAAAGTAAATTGGCAGACCGAACATATAATCGTGAAATGAAACAATTTTTATGTGATGGAATGAAACAGAATACTACACAATATATTGACATCTGAATTCGCCCTAGAGTAGTATTAGAGTAGTAGTAGCATTAGAGTAGTCCGAAAACAAAAAGAGTGAGAGAGCGGTGAAGTACAAATTATATATTTTGACATTTTACATTTCCCATAACGTCTACTACTACTGTTTGAATGTGGTATGGAGCATGTACATAAGCGGCAGCGTATATAGTAACCAATGAGATTACTACAATGACAAAAAGGTTTACATTGACTAGCTGGCTGGCTGGCACGCGGCCGGTAACCGAGAACACATTACTATACTGCGATTGGCACAACACGAATACAACGTATAATTGTATTCAAACACTGTATTGTATAAATTACAATCAGTGTCAACAAATCATAATCATATTTAAAACTTATGTTAATTTTGCACTAATATTTTATTACTATGTACAGGAATTTAACTTCCTAACTATGTTTACGTTTCCATTAGGTCTTTCGCAACAATTGTTTTGATTTTATCCGCAAGTATTCTTCAGGGTAAGTACGGCACGTCCGTTACAAGCAAAGCGAGACGCTGTAACTGATGCACCACACAAAACCATAGCAAGTACGTAAATTCCCGTACAGTTATAAAATAAATCAATATTTTGTACAAGAACTAATATTTACGTATTAAAAACAAGTAGATACGTATAATTCATATATGTGTACAGTATATATGCATAAAAACAGATGGAAGGAATAGTCCGAGAGATAGGCGCTTATCAATTTTTGAAGGTAAAAATACCTTCAAAAATTGATAACTGCAAAGGAAGTATTTAAATTGATTCACTACTGAGCAGAGGCCGTGTATACACAAAATTAGTGGCCTAACTTATACAGTATTAAATTCAAGTCATTTAAATTAGATTATCAGTTGTATAATAAGTCGAAATATACTACAAAGTTGCATGATAATTCTAAATGTACTGCAAAGTTGCTTGGATGTGTTCGCACCATTGCTTACCTTTATATTGCTGTTTAACTTATCAGCCATAAGTTAACTTACTTATTTATCAAAAGATATTTGAAGAAGTAATCTTAAGGTTTACAATTAATTCAGAAACTTGTGACAAAGAGATCGAATTTTACACAGATTCTTTGAAAATCTCCATTTGAAAAAAAATTTATAAAAACATGTGCAAAGTGTACCTCTTATTCACCTACCACCACAATACATTATATGCTTCCACTATATATTATCCACTTTGAAACACACGGCGTTATAAATATATTAAGTCAATTAAATCAATCATAAACAATCTAAATGTTTTGACAACATTTAAAAACAAATCGGATACTACAGGGAATCCAATATCCAACGTCATCTAACATTTATGGATCAGTTTCTTACATGTACACATCAGTCTACAACGCGTTTGCGCGCGGAAAAGGCCACAACATCACACGTTACATACAATATTCAACATAAGAAAAATTGGCTAAAATTTTAAATATAAAAACCTTTTCGCATCTTTTACTAGTATGAAAGCAAAGACGTTTAAGCCATGTCTTAATTAAAATCATTATTTGTGTTGTGGTAAAATAACTTCTAGTGGTATAACATCAATATAAATAAATAGGCTATGTTAATAAATGTCAACATTTCGTGTTTATGGCATAGACAAACCATAATGTCTACGAGTTATTATAAATGAGATTCCATGGAAATGAAATATTATTATTTACCAAACTCAGTAATAGTAGTACAATCAAATTTGTAAACTATAATTTTTTTAACTATAATTTCATTCCCATATTTAATACAATGTCATAAACATAACTTTAAAAGCTTTTCATCATATATATTTCAGAAAAATTATTATAACCACTTTCTCTCACTTGGACTTACTTAGTACGTAAGATAAAATGGTCTATACAAACATCCTAGTTCATGATCTTTATGATTATTAAAAACTAAAATCATATCTAAGAGTTAAAAAAATATATGCAAGTTGAAATTTTAGCCAATCTTCATTTACCCTACCATATTCAAACCTGTGGCCTATTACTGTTCACATTTGGCAATAGAATACAATATTATAACTGTCAAAAATATATAATATAAAAAAATGTATTAAGACGTACATACATAACATACTAAACAAGTAAATAACATTCATAAAACTGAGTCGAATGCATGCAAAAAACTGCTAAACTCGTATCAAATACATAAAGGAAACTACAATACATTAGTATTAGGTATATAAAATAGTTAATATGTCATATTTCACTCGTATAATTCATTAATATACACAACCATATGTAAACATTCGTACTTTATCGTGTCCCCATATAATTCAATAAACTTCGATAATATTATCTGTGTCTCTACATAATAACTTTACATTTATGTTTTATAAATATTATGGAATATTATTTATAACCTGTGGTCTTCATTTAGTCAACCTTACAGATAAAAGTCTACGAAATCTTAAAATTGCGTGGTGTATTCTTCAATATAGGTACCTTACATGTATTCACAAGTTATAAAGAGTACCTTATCACCAATTTTTTATCTTCACCGGAATAAACGCGACATGATACGTGCGCATTTCATGATCTCTGACATAACGACAACAACACTGATAATATTGAACTTTGTTAATATATATCAGGGTATCCCAACCTTTATTTGACCAGGCACCATTTGATTTCCTTGTTGTTAGTGGGGACCATTAATAAATAATATTATATACGCGAAAGTTTGTGAGTATGGATGGATGTTTGTTACTCTTTCACGCAATATCTACTAAACTTATTGTGATGAAACTTTACAGTAATATAGCTTGTATATTAGAATAACATATAGGCTTTTTCACTTCACCCGGGTGACACCACCGGCACTGCTAGAAAAGAATATTGAATATCACACAATAATCTGTATTCGAAAGTAGAATATCTCTTTCTTTTTCTCCTTCCATTGTCCCACCCACCTTCGATACTACAACAACGTTGATCCGAATTTAAAACAAATAATATATTTAAAATTAGTCGCGGATCATTTTCAGTTCTGGCGAAACTCCGGTTGGGAACCACTGATACATACCAAAACCATTCTATTACAATAATAGCAAATTTGGGATTGTGTACCTTAAGTCTGTTAAAATTAAGTCGTATATAGATCTCACGTCTGTCGTTCTACTGCGAAGTTGTAAGAATAATCTCGGTCGAGTTCAAAGCGCGTGCGCCGCTTTATCACTGGCAACTGTGTCTGTAATGGAAAAATTTGTATTTTGTAATATCATCAATAGCTGAGGATTTTGAGGATGCAATGGCTTATTAGGGCAACGCAAAAGCAATGTAGGTTTCACTGAGCTTGACTTTGTATAAAGAAGGCAAGCAGTTTACGTGGTGTTTTGGATGAAAGTCAGACATAAAAGTGATACTACAGAGTACAGAATTGGGTTTAGGACAGGAAGAGGGCTTGATAGTAATGGGGAATATTGATACCATTGCTCAAATGTATGGTTGTCATGTCAGGTTGACTTCCATGCGGTTCCCCAAAAAACCACAGCAGTAAACTTCTGAGGAATTCGGATTCCTAACTGACCTAACCTTATTCTGATTATATTAAATTCTTCTAGTGAATTACCAACGTATAGCATTAACGAAGTCGGTTGCACCAACCATTATTATGGAATAAAAGAAGAGAAACATCACACAAAGGAGTATTGACTTACCAGTGCATCATTCGGAAGTCCTCTCAACTTGGGGTTGAGCACGAACGGAACGCCATCCATTCCGTTGTACAGCCCTAGCGTCTGGTAGTTGGGTGTCTTAGGGAGCGGCGCGGGGCCCTTCTTGCGGGAGAGCGCGGGGGGCGAGGCGGCCGCGGCGGGGGAGGAGGCGGGCGAGGGGGCGCCGGGCGGCGCGGGGGGCGACAGCGGCGGAGGAGGGCGCGGCGCGGGCCGGGCCGGCTTCACGTTGTACGAGAGGCTTAGCGCCTCGTAGTCATGGTCCGACGTGAACTCCTCCACCCGGGGGTACGCATTTGGGGACTTGAGGTTGAGGTTGTTCAGCTCGGCCACTATGGGGGACAGTTTCGGCGGTCGCTCGGGCACTGGACGCAGTCTGTGAATGTGAACATGTGCTAGATAAATATAACATATACAAGATTATAAGTGTAGTACAAAAAAGCTATCTTATTGCTAATCAAACAAATCCTATGAAGAGAGGCTCATACCGCATAGTACGAATTTAGTTAATAATTTCTCACGCCAAACCCGCCCGAGGCAGCTTTCCCCAGCCAAAGGGGACCTCGCAGACGAGGATCCCCAGTTTCAAGACGGGACGGAAAGATCGCGGCAGGAGCGCCACAGCTTCCAATCGCAACCCAAAGGGACGCCCACGTCCCACAGGGAAGGCGAAAGGAAGCTGCTAACACGCCCACACGCAAGCAATGTATCAGAGCCAACATTGTCCAGGTCAACTTACATCATGCTATGGCAGCAACAGCGGTCATAGAAAACCTCTTCCGCAAAAACGACCTGGACCTTGCTCTGATACAAGAGCCATGGCTCAACAAAGCCACGCCTTTAGGCCTCAATGCCTCAGGTAATATTCTTTTTAATACCACTGGCACTAAACCTAGAGCATGCATTCTTTTTAATAAGAAACTAGATTTTCTGACTGTTCCAGAACTATGTACAGATGACCTAGTGACAGCCTTCGTCAATTTCCCTGGATGCACAGGGTCAAAAGTACTGGTCTGCTCTGCATACCTACCTGGACATGATGAAAACAACAAAATCATCAAAGACCCGACAACCGGCCTACAGCCTGTGGTGGAATACGCCCGTAAGCACAAGGCCGAACTCCTCGTGGGCTGCGATGCAAACGCCCATCACACAAACTGGGGAAGCTCTGACATCAACACCAGAGGTAAGTCACTTGATGATTTTATACTAACCAACTGTCTTCAAATCCTAAATACAGGGTGCACACCGACGTTCGTCACTGCCACAAGACAAGAGGTACTAGATATAACACTCGCGACCGACAAACTGGCCGAATATATCACTCATTGGCATGTCAGCAATGAGAACTCCATGTCTGATCACAAGCACATCAGATTCACAATTGAGGCTGCAACAGACTCAAACCCCATACTCTACAGAAACCCAAAGGCTACAGATTGGCCTAAATACAGAGACAGTCTTACAAGCCTAATTGCGGACCTTCCGAAGAGTATCAAATCTCCTCTAGAACTAGAACTCGCTGTGGACATACTTCTAAGTGGCATAATAAGTGCCTACCAGAACAACTGTCCCATCAAAACCAAAACCGCCAAATGTAAAACACCCTGGTGGAATAAGAGTCTAGAAAAGCTGAGGAAGAAAACTCGCAAATTATCCAACAGGGCTAAAAAGGGACCTTTCGAATGGGCCCAATATAGTAAAGCCCAAACGGAATACTACTGCGAAATTAGGAAAGCCAAAAGAGCATCATGGCGTGCTTTCTGCGAGGAGATAACTCAGACTCCCCAAGGATCCAGATTACACAAAATGCTTGCCAAGGCGCCAAATAACCAAATTGGACTTATGAAAAGGCCCAATGGTACCTATACGACATCAGAGGAAGAAACTCTACAGCTGCTATCTACAACCCACTTCCCTGGCTCGGTTCATATCTCAAGAGATAAGGAGAACCCTCCAAGCTCACATCTACAAAAGCCCAACCATGAGGCGTGGAACAGAGCTGCGAGGATTTTTCGACCAAAACAAATTATATGGGCTATAAAATCTTTCAAGCCATATAAATCATCGGGAGAAGATGGAATTTTCCCGGCCCTGTTACAACAAGGGCTTGACATCCTATCTCCCTATCTGGTAAGAATATTTAGAGCCAGCTTTGCCTGGGGTTTTATACCAGAACCATTAACGAAGGTCAAAGTTACCTACGTACCGAAAACCGGTCGAAGAGACTACTCGCAGCCAAAGTCTCACAGACCTATAAGCCTAACCTCTTTCATAATAAAAACCATGGAAAAGGTTCTGGACCAACACATTAGAGCTACAATCCTCGAAAATGCTCCCCTGCACAGGAATCAACATGCCTACCGCAAGGGACATTCCACAGAGACCGCCTTGCTCGAACTCACCGACAAGGTCGAGAAGGCCTTTGAGGACAAACAAATAGCTCTATGTGCATTTCTCGATATTGAGGGTGCTTTTGATAACACGCCCATAGAGACCATCTCACAGGGACTCATCCGCAAGAAAGTGGATGAAACCACCACTCAATGGATCAAAGCAATGCTCTCAAATCGAACCATTAAAACTACTCTTCACAACAGTACGTTAGAAATCCGACCTACCAAAGGATGCCCTCAAGGAGGCGTTTTATCGCCACTGCTGTGGCTACTAACGGTAGACCAGCTCTTAGATGTTATGACCAAAAACCAATTTGAGGTACAAGGCTACGCAGACGATTTAGTAGTCATGGTCAGAGGGTTCTGTGCAACAACAATATCAGACCGCATCCAAAGAGCACTAAACATCATAGTTAAATGGTGTAAGGAAAATGAATTATCAGTAAATCCTGATAAAACAGTAATTGTTCCGTTTACAAAAAGGAAGAAACTTGACAAACTTGTCATGCCTAAAGTAAATGGAAGAATATTAGAGTGCTCCAAAGAAGTCAAGTACCTGGGCGTAACCTTCGACCAAAAACTGACATGGAACACACACATAGACAACATAACTCAAAAGGCGAAAACATCCCTAGGTATAAGCCGACGGGTAGCGGGGCCCAGATGGGGAATCAACCCCAAAATTGCCCTATGGCTTTATACAGCAGTGGTGAGACCACTTACCACCTATGCCTGCGCAATCTGGTGGAGGAAAACCCTCCAATCCACAGCTGCCACCAAGCTAAACAGCCTACAGAGAATTGCTTGTCTGATTATTACAGGAGCCATGAGCACCACGCCGGGAGCAGCTCTAGACGCATTATTGGACTTGACGCCCCTTCCTCTATTCATACAGGAAAAGGCGAAAGCCAATATGCTCAGAATAAGTTCCCAAAGGAGGATATCTTGGCATTCCCTGGCCATAAAAACTATACAAGACTCGATTATGAGTGATCCTATTCTGGGAATGCCTGAAGACAATATGGCACCACAGTGTAACTTTGTACAATATTACAAAATCGAAATATCTGGAAGAGACGAATGGCAAAATAACCATATACCGTCTCACTCAGAGCATGACCTAGTCTGGTTTACAGACGGGTCCAAAATAGGAGATGATGTAGGATGTGGAATATGTGGTGTAAAACCCAAAATCTGCAACTATATAGGCTTAGGAAAATACGCCTCAATCTTTCAGGCAGAGACTTACGCCTTAATTAGATGTCTGGAAGTAATCCTAAGCCTCAACTACATCAATCAGAACATATACATTTATTCGGACAGTCAAGCTGCTCTACTAGCACTTAACTCGTACGAAATCCGTTCTAAACTTATTAGAAACTGTATCCTGCTACTAAATGAAGTAGGAAGCAGAAATAATATTATACTGAGATGGGTCCCCGGGCATTCAAATATTGAAGGCAATGAGAATGCCGACCATCTGGCAAAGTTAGGGGCAAAAACCGTCCAACTGGGCCCCGAACCCTTCTGTGGTGTGCCTCGTTGCCTAAAACTGGGACATCTCAAATTAATAACCAAACGAGAAGCACTGAATCACTGGCAAGAAATGCCAGGAGTAATACATTCAAAAGACCTTATATCGGGCTTCTCGACCAAATACTCCAATAGATTACTGCAATTGAGTAAAAACAACATATGCATGATGACTAGGGCCCTCACAGGACACTGCAAATTGAACAAGCATATGGCTAAGCTAGGCCTATGCACGACAAGTATCTGCAGATTCTGCCAAACTGAAGAGGAAACGCCGCTTCACATCCTATGTGGTTGTAGCCCACTCATGCATAAACGAAATATCTCCTTTGGAAAGTTTACACTCTTTCCCGAGGAGATAAAAACGATCGCTCCTAAGAATATCCTTCAATTCTTGTCCCTGACGGGTCTAGGTAGCGAACTCTGAAAAGGGCGAGCACAATAGATCTATGTAGGTCGCAGTGCTACAGGTGCTACACATCTGACAATAGCCCAAACAACCCAATAAAAAAAAAAAAAAAAAAAAATAATAATTTCTCTGGCACCGATTTTACTGATCTGTCTACTAATCTTTATTTCAATACTGTACCAGACAATTACTCACTACTGAGTAACAAACATCTATATATATTTTTACATTAGTCCAATAAGTGGACGCAGAGTTCCACATGTAATAGGAACTATTTTTTTAAATATGTTACAGCAGGGGTGCCAACCGTACGCGCATTACATACGAGTGTGTACTAGTATGGAACCTACGAAAATTGGTAGAAGTATTATGATGAGGTTGACTCTCTAGTCAAATTCAGCCAATGTAGGAGATTTGCGTTTCAGGGTTGTCAACCCTGGATGTTAGTTATGGTGGTGGTACCTCCTGGCTGCTTCCGGCGTGACGTTGCTGACCACGTTCTCGTACTCGTTGCCACGGTGAGTGGGCGACGTGTCCGCGCTGCCACCGCTCACTTTGTAGCATACCATCTTGCCGTTTACCTCACTGTGAACAGTTTTAAAATAATATTTGAAGTATTTAAGATTTTTATATATTTAGTAAAATCATTGACAAACAAATTTATTAAATATCTAACAAAATATATTAACGTGCTTACCCCTCCGTTTCAAATAGAGATCGAAATTACGACGGCTTGAGCCGAACTCTTCGAACTCCTAGGTATTTAAGTTCTTCCGCGGATTCGGAGTGTACAGCTACTTTAATCTTTACTCGCCCTCTATCTTACCCGGCTAATACAAACCCCTGGGAGCCTTGCCTCATATTGGACCCTGAGCTGAAGTTCAAACCTTTAAGTTGAAGGTGCCCTTGACTAAAATCGTAACCTTCAGCTGCTACAAGTCCTCCGCGGGTTTGGAGTGAAATCTTCACTCGTCCTCTATCGTTCGACGCCTTTACAGCCAATAAAGGCCTACGGTCAACTTCATTAGGACAGTTCGAGAAAAGAAAACATGCTTACCCGGCTAATATAAACCCCTGGGGCGCCTGCCTCATCTTGGAGCAGACGATGACGTCAGTGACGGGCGGCGCGGGCGAGCACGCGGGCGGCGCGACACGACGCGACACGCGCGTACACACGCGCCGCTTGCCCGCGCGGCCCGCCACGCTGAACCCGGCCGGGGCTGCCTCGCGCTCCCCCACCACCATCACGCCGTCCATCACGTACCCGGGCACACCTGCCGACATCACTCTCACTCAAGTACTTTGTAGGCTTCCGACATCACTCTTAGTACAGTACTTTGACGACATCGGTGGTCTACCGGTTTGGCACGACGCTTTATTTCCGATGGTCGCGAGTTCGACTCCTCGCATGATGATGTCCGAGGTTCTAATCATGTAAATCGGCGACATCAGCTTTGCTATTGCAATGACAAACTCTCACTAATAGCTGGAAAGCTACGGTGCCAGTATTAATAATTTATACTAATATTATATTATAAAGAGGTAAAATTAGTATGTTTGTTTGGAGTAATATCCGGTTCAGCTGATCCTATTTTAAAAAATGAAATGGTGTGTGGGTATATCTGTTATAGAGCAAGAGCCCATGACGGGCAGACCTTAGTATTATAAGTAAATATGAAAGAAGAAAGAAAGACTGGCTGAAGGAGAGAAATTGTTATTAGCGAGGCCTATTGAACCGATTGTTAGTAATTTACCCTGTTAGTTCAACCCCGCGCTCCTAGTGAATTCACAACCAAGGATTGAGTGATAAGATTTCAATCATATCCATCTCCCTATCAGTGCGTCCCACCAGCAGTACCTAATCACAATTTCATTATCCTATTAATATATAAAACTAATATTTGTGAATGAATGTTTGTTACTTTTTCACACAAACGCTACTAATAATATTATATCCTACGAATTGCCTTGAAATAGTTAGTCATAAACAAAAAATATTTTATCCAATTTGGAGTTATTTCGCGAAAGTCCAAGTATTAACAGTTCCAGTTTGGTCACCGAACAGTCAACACTAAGCTTCCGATCTATATCCGAACTAATTCAATGCCTCATGATGCCTCGTTCAGATGACAAACCCATTTTGCAATATGGATGTAGACTAAAAACTGTACTATACAATTTTATCACCACTAGAGGAGGTCGTAACGCTTCCAAAAGCGGCAATCAGGTTTCCTGAACATTTGTGGTCAAGTTCTATATAGTTGTGGAAGACAACAAATATTTAGAATTAAACAAAATAATATAAATAGATTGAGTAATACGCAAAAACATCCGTATTTAGCATCATAATCTACGGAAATTCGAGAAGGAAGACATTCGTCGCGGTTAACTGTACACCATTCTTATACATCAATAGCTATAACTGTGACCATTAAATCAAACTGTATCATTACGGTGGCGGAAATTAGCGCAATCACGGCACCCGTCATACGAGAGTAACCACAACAGATTCGACCTTCGTTAGAATTAATGAATGTGAACGCGCCAGTATCTGCCGCGATACGAATACAATACAGATAATCTTTATAGTGCACTTTGCAAACAACTGTTGAACAGCTTCAAATTATGTGTGTATAGTAACTCATTTCAATTTATATTATAAATAAATCGCACACATGATGTCTTTTAAGCCTTCTGTAATATTAGTATTCATCCCTATACAATTTCTAAACATTCTTGTTCTACTTACTCACTAGATAGTTAGCTAGCTTACCTTCAGTCTTTGATAAGCAGATATAATGACTAGGTTTCTTTGTGAAGAGACCATTTTGGCGCAGCAGTCCAGCGTCGGCGTCCTCGTCGTAGGTGCGGCTGACAGGCCAGTAGCCGGCTGGACACTTGGCTACACTCTCCACAATCTGCAGCGACAGCAGCGGCCGCTCGTCCGGCAGGGCGCCGTCGAGAGCGCTCAGCACTTTCGACATTGTTGACTATGTCATTCTTTGATAATTCAGTCTTCTATTATTGCAGTGGATTGAATGAAAATACCCCTGAAATTAGATATAAATTAATTGTTACAGATATATGAAAAAAAATACTCCTTCTGATAAGATTAGATTCCATAAAACACTGACTTCAAAGATAACAAAATAGTATAGAAACTACAGAAAATTAAATTCTGTTGATTAGTTAATTAATCATCAAAATCAGTTGATATGCTCTTTTATAATAGTAACAATAATTAATAACACAGAACAATACACACAAGACCATCTACTCCCAAATAAGCAGAGCTCCAGTTATGGGTAACATATGGACAACTGATAGAAACTTAAATATATAGATAATAGACACAGAAAACACCCAGATCAGGGGAGAAGAGGATTGTTAGTAATGTGAAATAATAACCCCATTCCTAGGAATGTACCATGTCAGGTTGACCTCCACATGGGTCCCCGTGGAAACCATAATAATAAATTCATGGTGAATTTACCAAGATGGGCTAACTGACCTGACTTCTAGCTCATCTTATCATTCTCTACTGGTGCCCCACCAGCATAAACCATGTGCATCATACTCATGAATAGAAATGTATGCACCATGCAAGGAATCAAATCTGTCATCATAGGAAATTAACTGGAGAAGCCCATCAATAATATTAAGTTTAATGTTATATAATATAAGTTTCTAAACATATTACAAGTACCACACCCTATTAATTTCTGTTAATTTATTTTAGTTTATCTAATACCTAATTTGATAAAAAAATCTATAATAGTTATATTCAGTTTGTTTGTATTTGAATAAATATTACTTTTAATATATTAGAACAGTTATTCAAAATTACATTGCAGGATAATATTTCTTATGATGAAAGAGAGGAAAAGATCCAATGACATCAAAGCAATTAAAAAAAAATTTGATGAGTGTAGCTGCAAATAGAAAATCTTAGAGAAAGTCGGAGGAGACTTTTATCCACATGGGATCATATATAAAGAAACCAAATTAATTAAACTTCAATATATACTTTAAATTGTAATTATATGATGGAAATAAAGCTTAAATAAATTAAATAGTCTATCTTTATATGAAATTTTGGTAGTACTTTTGTATTGTAATTGCAAAATAAATATCCAATATTTGCAGGGCCAAGATTATTTTCTATCAAAAGTAACGTAAAGGAAAAGTGTATACAACACATATTTTGCTGAATCATGTTAATCTCCTGATTCACCTGTTGAATCAGTTCACGACTTAATTATTACCATGACACTGTGTAATTTCTATAACATTACCAGTATATAAATTTTGCTTATAATCCCATATTATAAAAAGAGTGAGTGACAATTTTAATGAAAGGTAAACTCCGATATCATTACACCATTTTGATAAATTGTTTATCACATAGATTACCATAGTATAGATTATCATTGTGTAATAGAATATAATAATTATTTATTCAAATAAATGTAAATTTATTCATTTTTTAAAGGTCAAACTTTTTTAATCTACAACTCATTTGGAAAGCTTTCTTATCACAAGAAGAAGAATGATTCCACACTAGTACTTACAAGACACCCTTGTCCTACTCCAGTTTTATATGTATTAATTTTATCTAATAAAAGTCACTATGTTAAAAAGTAACTTATATAAAAAATAATATTAAAATTACTTAAACTCAATGTAGGTGAGCACTACTACTCTTTTAATATCACCATAATAAATGTGAGTACTGTATTTATCAATCAATAGTACTATAAACTACTAAAAGATAGGGTTCCATTGAAGAACATTAATTGATGAATGACCCATTATGTATGCACACAAAGACAAAACATCAAGTTGAAACAAAACAAACATTGAAAGAACTCTAGTCATTTGGAAAATAATAACACATAACACTGTTACAATTATTTTAAGATCAATTCGCAATGTTACCCGACAACCTACTTGGCACTATTCCATGTAGCAAGTGTCTCCAGTGCATGCAGACAGAGGCAACAATTAAAAACAATTGTCCAAAGATGAACGATATATCGACCATTGACCCCGCAACTGATGAGACATCTCGGGTGCACTAATATAATTGTACCGTTATCTATCCTTAAAATAAACTTACGGTAGTCATGACATCACGTGTACAATAGAACGGAATTCTTCGCCCAGGCCTAGACCTCCTTTTTCTTCTCACTTGCAAGTGTTACAAAACAATACGCGACCATGAACTACTAGTAAACTTCAAATAACAATAACTAAAAATATAGAATAAAATTAATAAAGAAATGAGATTTAAGAAATAACGGGATAATATTTTAATTTAAATATTTTGTTTAGATGGCTGAAATATTCTTTAAAGAATATTTTGACACAAAACTGAATACGAAAAAAACGTAAGTAAGAGCAATGGAAACACCAACTAGGGTAGCGATGATAGATAAATCAATGTTTTTCAAAAATATCGATATTTTTACATCGTTGTCATGTCTTCGATAATATCAAAACATTCATGTTAAGTCACCATAAACCTATAAAAAAGGTCATTCGAAATAGGATTACCGATAATCTATACAAATTCATTCGAAACTCAATCATGATGCGTCTCAGGCATGCATCAGTTAGGATCTAATAATTTATGATCTAAAAAAAGTATCCAAAACAAAAATGGATAAAATTCCATGTAAGTTCATCGCCGCCTCGATAAAATCATCATCACCATCATGGCTTTTCATATATCCCTAAATTAGGGAGATCTATATGTTGGAAACTAAAATAACATGACATCATTTGGGATGACTACATATACTATAAATCAATATTTGACTTAAAAATGATTATATGTACTTGGAAAGTGACCGGAAATAGTAGACGATAATTTTATGGATATTATTATGAGTATAATAGTAAAGTGTTTGACTGGTACTTTAATGTTAACGAGTAGATATCGATAACCAGTATGTGTTGCATCCCTAATGAAAGATTGTCACAGGTTAGGTTCTTAGCTGTAAGATATATAGAGTATTTTTATTCGTTATCTTTTAATCAAATTCATTGTATAATACAGAAATAAGAGTTATGAATGGTAGACTGATGACTAATGTATGAAAAATTATTGTGGTAAGAATTGCTATGATATAAATGAAATATTTTGTGATATGGCTTCGATTTTGTAAACAAAGTATCGAAATTCTTATCATTCGTAGTTCATCTCTTTCACGAATACAGACGAAACATTAAACAATTAATTTTAGGTCCTTACACTCAATCCAATTTTAATGGCAACACAGGTCATAAAATTCAGAAGAAAAAACCAATTATGTTTACTTTTCTAGCTCTGTAGCTTTATTATAGAAATGTTATTTCAAACTAGAAATAATTATAATGTATATGTATATAGTAATATACTTATTTAGATCTAAGTAGTCTTGATTTATCATGAAACTTGGACGTCGGTAATATTTAATTGCGATACTAGCGCCGAGTGGATTGCGGAATTTAAAGGAATTCGTTTTCCTTATGGGGCGGAGATATTATATTAGGCTTTGTCGTACTGGCCACTTTGATCTCAAATATGTACGCTTTAAGTATGAATTCCAATTTCAAATTTATACAGCTATTTGCTCATGCATTTGTTTTTCGAAAATCGTAATCCATATGTTTTTTCCATCTTTGATTTGTTCTTTGCGTCACTCAATTTACAAAATGGAATACTTAAAATATCGCGTTATTTACAAGTAGAAGTTCCGCCGTGGTACCAGTGCTGCAGAAACGGCTCGAAAGATTATATTAACTAGTAACTAATATATTAGTTGCGCACCTAACAGCTATCAACGAACTCACACAGATTAATGAAGAAATTATTAAATTCAAGCTATATAAAATTTTCTTAATTTAATTGTACTTTCTTACGGTTTTTCCACGATTTATTAGTAATATTTATTCAAGTGTTAATTAAATTAATTAATAAATAACAATAATAACGTTGGAGTTGTTATAAGTGGTGTACACTTTAGTACTTTGTGGGTATAAATTTTTTTGTATTTTTCTATAGAAATCTTTTAATGATGAGTTGGAGAGACTTATCTCTTGTGTGCAATTTAAATGATATTGTAGAAGGGTTATAAAAATTACGGAAATATTTGCAACATGGTTTATTGTATCGAAGTACATAACTATAGAAACTAATGCAATGCAACCACATATAATATCTAACAAATATCACTCTATATAGCACTTTACGAAATTAATCGTGTAATAAATTATGCAATCTAGTTATTTACATTTATTTTTTAAAATATTTCATTACATTATTATTCAAATTCATGTCATAATTAATAATGGTATTATCGAAAGCATGAACATAATGTTAATGATTTAAAAACACTCGAATATTTTTATCACATCTACTTTATGAAATAATTGCTACCAAGTTATAGTAGAACTCGAGTATTCACAGCGATGTTGCCAGACTCTACAATATTAAATTACAACAGCAATTGTTTCAATACTATTGGCCACAGCCCGCATTTCTAATACATATGTCAAAGAAGTTTGCAAAGAATTTTGCAACCAAGTAGAGTATGTAGTAAGTAGAGTAAATAAATAAACAAAATTTAAGTTAATATGATCTACAATTAATGTCAAAAAGGTTGTAAAGAAAATTAAGACATTTTGTAAACTTCACTTACTGTCGCTCAGCTGTGACATTTACACAGGGAAATGATGTGACTACAAATAAAGCTCTTTGTTCTCACATTTCCTTGTACCTACGTCACAACTAACAGAATGTAGGTGAATTTGTAGAACTAATTTCATGTTCACGTTTGAATGTCCTTTGCTTACAAACTTCGTGCATACTATATTAGGATAATAACACAGATCACTCCAAAACTTTGAAGGGCAAAGGAGTAGTGTCAGCTGTGCCTGATGACGAACTAAAGTATGGAGACACGTCGGAGAGGTAGTTTCGAGGTAGTAGTCCAATCAGGAGCGCTATTTTAGCTGCGATAGGAGCCTTTTCTGCATCATCAATTATAGTGTCTTGGTCGGGCATGACCTATAACAGATACAGTAAAGTGATTTATTGCTCGAAAAAAGAATTACAGAGGGAACTCATTCATATAGTTTCCACAACATCACATTTGCAATAACCTGTTTAAGGTATTACATCTCATATATATATTTGATCAGAGAAAAAAACGATAAAAAAAAACAGACAGCTGAAATATACATAAGTAAAAGTACAAATTTATAAATTTAAACAACAACAAGTATGTTGGTATGTTAGACTCCATTCTCCGCAATTAGCCTCACATTCGGGCCGTTGTGCGTGTAACAACAACAAGTACAAATGTATTAATAAATTTGTACTTAGTTTCATTTTCTATTTATTTCATATCCCGTAAATGCATATTGTTTTATTACCTTGTCAGCAATATGTTTATGAATAAGTCCATCGCCGCCAACGTAAAATGTCGAGAAGCCGTCATACCATCTAAAACATAGATAACATAGTTAATTATAAAATTCATCCATCAATTGGATGCAATTAAAAAAAAATGTACCCATAACACAAGCTCTGTTTAGCTTCGGACTAGATGGCGCTGTGTAAATTGTCCTGAGTTATTATTATTATAACAAAACAACTTACAACTGCTGATCATGAAACACCTGCTTCATATTCCAGAGCTTGTATTTCCAGAACATGAAGAATACTTTTAGTGCTGATATTCCTCTGACTCGCCACCTCATTCTGAAAGTAGTAAATATGTTTTTTTAATATAAATAAACATAGAATAATATAAATGATGTTCATAGGTATGTGTAATAATAAAGGTATAATAATTATAATACAAACGACAAGATATTTATAAATACGAGGTTCATTCTATGCCTATTTGAACACTTGAGCCACAAGTGTTCTGTTTGAATTATGGCATCCTTTCATTGAATATGATTTTCAGAAAATTAACAAAACATATATGTATTTTAGGAAGAGACGATGTTCCATTTTAAATCGTATTAAAACAATACAAGGAATGAAAAAAAATATTAAAAAATAAACATCAAATAGTTAAGTTCATAGAAACTTTATACAGAATATTGAAGCCATTAAATTGGGTAATATAAATAACATTCTCAACATGAACATGTTGAGAATGTTATTTATATTACATTATGTGTAATAATAATTATTATATTCCAGTGCTTCGTTCTCGATATATATATTTACCATGTAGTTTCTTCAAATCACTAGGCAACATAACGCATTTTTAGAGCTAGATTCTAAAGCCTAAAATAAAAAAGAAAATTAAACGTTTCACTGTCAACACTTGTCATACTCTATAGACAATAGATTGATACTTGTCATTCTTTACTTTGCGTGGCAACTATTGCATCATAATTTTTAATTGTTCTTTAATTCTCAGTATTTTTTAATTGAAAACATATAACATTGAGTGTTTTTAGCATGCCGAAACGGAAAAATGAAGACAAAATACAGAAATACAAAAATAAAATACGACGTCTTGAAGAGAAACGTAATAAAGCTCGACGACGTAAATCATCATATTGCGTCTCAGATTCAGAAGAATCTATCCAATATAAACAGACAGGTAAGTTTTATATAGTAAATAATTACAGATATGCAATATCCCAATATACATTACAAAGGTTACGGGTACAAAAACTTGAACATGCAAGTTGCGTCATCCCTAGAAAATATCGTTGAGATATTACAAAGGTCGTCAGTACTAAAAACATGCAAGTTGTGTCATGCCTAGGGAATGTCCGTGAGACATTACAAAGGCTATTTGCACTAAAACTTGAATATAGAAGTTGCGTTAAGCAAGGCGATTATACTTAGTATAGTTACTATGAAAGGTGTCTGTTCTAAAACTGGAACATACATGCTGTATAAACCCTAGGGAGCATCCGAGAGATGTTACGAAGGGTATCACTATAAAAACTTGAACATGCAAGTCAAATTAAGCCTGGGAAGCATCCGTGAGATGTTGCGAAGGCAATGTTTACTAAAAACATAATATAAAAGTTTTATTAAAACTGATAAATTTAAAAAGTGGCTTTTCTAAATTTATTCACGCCTTTCAGATCAATCTGAGGAAAACAATTATACAGAATCTTTAATAGATGCTGTATCTATATGTTCACAAGGGACTAATCTGCCCTCAGATATAGAAAATATGGACCCAAACGTTATACAACAACAACTTCACAGAGATACTCAGATAAACCAACCGGGGGGTCCACTGAACAGTGCACAGGTGAACCAACTTTAAATAGTGATATATTGCAAGCTCTTGGTGATGCCATGGAGGAAAAGCCTCTATTCGGTGATAATATCAATAATGAGTTAGCAAAACGATGGAATAAAATAGCGAAAAATGGGTTAGATAGAGAAGTAAAAGAGTCATTACTGAAGCAGTATTTAATACCTGATAATTGCAAAACTTTGCAAGCTCCTAAGCTCAATCCAGAAATCATGGCCACAATTTCTGATACTGGAAAAAGACGAGATAAGAAAATAGAGGCTGATCAACAACAGTTAGGTCAGGGGATATCAGCTTTGAACAAGGCACTATCCTTGACAATTACCGACACAGGTGATAGTCTAAATATAATAAAAATATTAAGTGATGCCTCAAAAATATTAACAGACTTACATTGTCACCTGACATTTAGTAGGAAGAAAATAATCTCAACTTCCTTGGACAAAAAGTTTTTAGAAATTATAAAAGATATAGATAGAGATGAATATCTCTATGGAGAGAATTTATCAGAAAAAATAAATGCCTTGAAAACCGCACAAAAAACTGGACAAACAATTAAAAAATCTGACAATTTCAAGCCCTCAAACAGAAGAACATTAAATCCTAGCACTTCGGGAAATTTCCGGGGCCTGCCTCGATATGCAGCACCAAAACCCTTCAACCGAGGTGGGCCAAAACGCCTGATGCAACGAAACCTTCCATACAAACAGCAGCATTATACAACAAGGAAATCCAAACAAGAAATGAAACCTCCTGCTCGGAAGTAATGGTATGTCATGGTGGCAGATTATCACATTTTATCCAATGTTGGGAAAAAATCACTGATGATACTACAATCATCCAATACATAAGAGGTTATTCTATACCTTTCACCACTTTACCATTTCAAAACATTATTCCAAGTTCATTTCAGTATAATTCTGATATAGAGAAGCAGGATATGAAAATTGCTATTACTAAATTACTTAAATTAGGGGCCATTTCTGTTTGTGAGCCCCATCCAGGTCAATTCATTTCCTCTATTTTTCTAATTCCTAAACCAAATGGCAGTAAAAGATTTATTTTAAATTTAAAACAGTTAAATAAGTTTGTAGCTACAGCACACTTTAAAATGGAAGATCATAGGACTGCGGCATCCTTGATAAATAAAAATAATTTTTTAGCAAAAATTGACCTTAAAGAATCATATTTGCTTATATCCATAAACCCAGAAGATCGAAAATTCCTTCGCTTTAAATATGATAGATTATATGAATTTAATTCACTACCATATGGCCTCTCCTCCGCTCCCTACATTTTTACAAAAGTCATGAGAGTAGTAGTCACATACTTAAGGAAAAAGGGATATAAGAATATAGTTTATCTGGACGATTTACTGTGCCTAGGCACTACTTACCAGTCATGTTTAGAAAATGTTAAACAGACTATTTTTACTCTGGAATGCTTAGGATTTGTTATAAACTATGAAAAAAGTTTTTTAGTACCTTCCAAATCTTGCAATTTTTTGGGTTTTATTTATGATACAAGTAGTATGACAATGCAATTACCTTTAGAAAAAAGATATCAACTTCAAAAGGTGACAAATAAATTCCTTAACATTTGTAAATGTACAATACGGGAATTTGCCCAACTTATAGGGTTGTTAGTGTCAGCCTGCCCAGCTGTACAGTATGGCTGGTTATACACCAAATATTTAGAACGTCATAAATACCTAGCTTTACTAAAAAATTTTAATAATTATGATTGTATTATGGATTTACACCGAGATACGAGGTTAGATCTTGAATGGTGGGCAAAAAATATATTGCTAGTATCAAAATCAATATTAGTCCGTAATTATGATATTGAAATTTATACTGATGCATCTAGAACGGGCTGGGGCGCGGTCTGTAATAACAGTAAAATTAATGGCGCATGGAAGGAAAATGAATATAAATTTCACATAAATTATCTAGAACTGCTAGCTATTTTTCTGGCATTGAAAACTTTTGTTAAAAACAAACAAGAAATTCAGGTTCTGTTAAGAGTAGATAATAAAACGGCTATTTCTTACATTAATCGTATGGGTGGTATTCAGTACCCACACCTTAATGACTTGGCTAGAAATATTTGGAAATGGTGCGAAGAAAGGAAAATATGGCTCTTCGCCTCTTATATAAAATCTTCAGATAATGTAGAAGCAGATATAGAATCTCGAAAAACAAATACAGATATCGAGTGGGAATTAAATTCACGCGTTTTTAAAGAAATAATAAATAAATTTGGTACACCACAGGTGGACCTTTTTTTGCGTCTAGGGTCAACACTAAATGTCCCTTATATTTATCCTGGAAGCCAGATCCAGATGCATTAAATGTAGATGCATTTACTGTAAATTGGTCAAAGTATTATTTTTATGCCTTTCCACCATTTAGTCTAATTTTAAAATGTCTAATGAAAATAAGATATGAAAAAGCCTCAGGAATCATAGTCGTGCCCTACTGGCCATCACAACCATGGTTCCCCGTTATGCAGGAAATGTTGGTTTCTGATTTATTATATTTTGGGCCAGATAAAGATCTGTTATTTTCGCCTTACAGGAGCTGTCATCCTCTTCACCAGCAACTTATCCTGGTGGGCGGAATCTTATCAGGCAATCTATGATAAGACAAGCTATCCCCACTATCGCTTTAGATACTATGATAGCTTCACTATCAAAACACACACTAAAACAATATGATGTAACCTACAAAATATGGTGGGCTTTCTGTCAAGAAAACCAAATTAACCCTTTGTGTGCCTCAGTACCAAAAATAATACAGTTTTTAACAATTCAGTTTGAGAAAGGCTCTTCTTATGGAACCCTTAATTCTCATAAATCTGCTCTCTCTCTAATAATTGGTTCGCGTATAGGGAGGGATGAGCGTATTAAAAGGTTGTTGAAAGGTTTTTACAAAACAAATCCTCCAAAACCGAAATACTCTTTTACTTGGGACCCATCTATTGTATTAAATACACTAAGAAAATGGCATCCTTGCATTTCATTACCGTTGGAAATTTTGACGAAAAAATTGGTTACATTACTAGCCTTATGTACAGCACAACGTGTACAAACACTTTCTTTAATAAAGATTAAAAATATATCTTATGTAGAGTCAGGTTTACATATAAATATCACAGACATAACTAAAACATCTGCGCCAGATCGTTCACAACCGGTATTGGTCTTACCATTCTATACCGAACCTGAGATTTGCCCATCACTTACTTTACAGTTTTACATTAATTGCACCAAAGATATAAGAGGTGATGTTGAAGAACTATTTATAACCACTAGAAAACCACATAGAGCGGCTACACCATCCACATTAAGTCGTTGGATAAAAAATGCGTTGACAAATTCTGGCATTAATACAGATATTTTTACGGGCCACTCTACTCGTCATGCTTCAACATCCATGGCCAAGATGAAGGGTGTGTCTATAGAGGCTATTAGAAATACCGCGGGTTGGACAGAGTCTTCGCAGACATTTGAAAAATTTTATAATAGACCCATTATGCAAAATACTAATATTTTTGCAAATACTGTTTTATCCGCAATGTGAGTGCTAACTATAGTACTTATATAATATTTAATATAAAAATAAGTGTGTATTAAGGGATAATAATGTGATAATAATTGTAACTTGTTATAATTAAGAACTGTGTAATGAAGAATTTCTTATATGACTGATTAATATGATTAATAATTATGTTTAAAGACTTGATAATGTTAATGTTAAAAATGAGAATTATCCATAATTTTAATTTTTGTAGTAAAAGACTGATTTATACCAAAAATAGAAAGATGTTTTATTACAGCTTATACTATCCAGTTGTAATATTAAGGAAAAATTAATCACAAACTCACTGAGACTCTAAATATCTACATGGTAAATATATATATCGAGAACGAAGCACTGGAATATAATAAATGATCAAACGAACTTACCTGTGATGTTCGATCATTATTATATGAAGTGCTTCGTTCGAAGATATATACCCACCCAGAGAACATATATAGTAGTAATACACCTGGTTTACTTAATCCCACCCTTTGAGTTTGTGATATAGTCTCTAAAGGAATGACAAGTATCAATCTATTGTCTATAGAGTATGACAAGTGTTGACAGTGAAACGTTTAATTTTCTTTTTTATTTTAGGCTTTAGAATCTAGCTCTAAAAATGCGTTATGTTGCCTAGTGATTTGAAGAAACTACATGGTAAATATATATATCTTCGAACGAAGCACTTCATATAATAATGATCGAACATCACAGGTAAGTTCGTTTGATCATTTATAATACAAACGACAAGATATTTATAAATACGAGGTTCATTCTATGCCTATTTGAACACTTGAGCCACAAGTGTTCTGTTTGAATTATGGCAGCCTTTCATTGAATATGATTTTCAGAAAATTAACAAAATATATATGTATTTTAGGAAGAGACGATGTTCCATTTTAAATCATATTAAAACAATACAAGGAATGAAAAAAAATATTAAAAAATAAACATCAAATAGTTAAGTTCATAGAAACTTTATACAGAATATTGAAGCCATTAAATTGGGTAATATAAATAACATTCTCAACATGAACATGTTGAGAATGTTATTTATATTACCTACCATCAGGTCCTAAAACAAGTATAAAATATTCATTATGATTTTGTTTTAATGTAATTGATATCGCAAACAAGCTGACGGCGCTGTGGGTTATTTCCAGAGTGTATGTATGTGTATATTACGTATTAATCTCAGAAACCAGTAGATTGAATTCTTTTTCCCAATTATTGAGGAAGTATGGCTATATAAAATTACTCATCAATCACTTGGTTCAGAGCTTCAAAAATAGGCGAAATTATGTGGATAAAGTTGTGCATATTAGCTAATGTGTGAATACTTACTTAACAGAGGAATCTTCAGGGTTTGCAGTGATCTTTAATATTTCAAAGCTCACATATGCGAATTTTAAATGTCCAACAGTACGCAACAATGCTATTTGCTTCACATAATGAAAAAGTCCTCTGAAAAAACAATAAACACATGTGCTTATTACATTAATAGTAATAGTCAACTTAGAAAAACTATGAGCATAATAGATCTATACAAATCGCAGTGTTACAGGTCATAGCACCTGATAATAACCCAAAACCCCTAATAAAAAAAACTATTGACCTTGCTATTTTAACTGGTGCATGTTTTGTGTCTAATTATGTAATACATTTGAAAATTTATATTGTATACACATTATTACACATTTTAGTATAGTAATAACTTTGATACCAATAATTATCAACAATCAATCATTTAGTTTACTTATGTAATATTTGGTTTTCATATATATATTAGTGTACTTCAGTCATCTGTCACTAGATTTGTACCACTTGCCATTATATCGCTGTGGTGTAAACTGTACTTTACTATATAATAATATTATATAGTGAAGTATATAATAATATATATAATAAACTTACACAGTTGTCATTCCTCTAATATTGTTTATAAACACCAAATTTGGGTGGTATATGGAGTAGTCTAAAGGCTTGACAAACAAATTTGGCATCTGAAATTAGATATTTTGCTTGTAAGTATGATTACTAAATAATAGCTGTAATGAATTAAAAAAACAAAGTGTTAGGACTATTAATATTAATCACTATTATTTAAAAGCAAATTAAGTCAACTTCAATGATCTCAGGAGCATAAGCAGTCAATTATAAATTCATTTGGATACTGTCATTTTTATGCATGTAACTGGAAAAGCAAACTGACATGGGTGTTATGGCAAGTAGTAACCATAGCCTAAATATTTGAACAGAATTACAGATTTCATGCTAGACCTGTTTCATGTAAGGCCTATATATATATCAAAGCAAGCTGCTTGACAGCAGAAGTAGATGAAACTGAGGTAACCAAACAACCTTTATATAAAGTCTATCTGAATAGTGCCATTCTCAGTTGCCTTAATGTTTTCATAATCATAGTTAACCATAAGTTTGTGTTCTAAAGAATAGACAAAAATTATAAAAAATACTGACAGTAGAGGAGAGCACATGAAACACTTTCATGAGTTGCTCTTCACTAGGCCTGCCATCCTGTGACTCTGTCCCTGTGGCTGGTGCGGGCGCTGGCGACGAGGAAGTGGGTCCACTGCAATATGCTACTGCTTCCCGTTCAAAGTCCGATAAACAAGTTGGTACTATATCCTGAAAAAAAGGTAATTTATAAATAAATTCTAATAAGGATTTTATGTAACTTTTACCAAACTAAGCAGAGCTTGTGTTATTGATACTCAATACTCAGTTTACAGCGGACAATGTTTATAATTGGTACATTAGATCAATATGGCCCCTGTTAGAGCATGCACAAAATTATTATTACAAATTATCAATACTTTCTAGTATTTATAACTTATATTTATGGCTATTTTCTTTTGTAAATTTAATGGCAAATACTGAATGGTTAGCATTAACCATAGCCTGAATACATCAGTAGTTTTGCAAACATTGTGTTATCATGTAACACCCACAATATCATATGCAGGGGACTCTTATATAATTTATAATAAAAATAATAATCCCCGGACAATTCACACAGCATCATCTGGTCCCAAGTTAATCAGAGCTTGTTTTATGGCTGTGGCTACTTTCTATGAGTATTTCATTATTATTTAATGACTAATCTGCATTCTACAAACCAAACTTATAACCATAAGCTGCTTGTCAGCTAAAATAATTGTAACTGATGTACCAATGCAGATGACTTTTTCCAGTCTACCACATGTGTTGTGCATAGAGATGATTTTAGATAACTTAGAATATACAATGAAATTATTTAAATAATAATACAAATTGAAATTACATGGAATAAATCTTCATGGAAACATAATTAGGTCATGCTATGCATACATTCCACACATATTTTGCAAGGTGAAGTTGATTAATGTATTTGTGTTAATACTATGTAATGTGATAAATACAGTTAAATAAATTCTTTTACCTCATACATAAAATAATTATTACAAGCATAACTTAGCTTATGCTTTAGATTATAATGATTATCTTATTTTATGTTTAAAATAAGTATATTAAATATGCCAAACAGGACTAACAGATCTATGGAGTAGTATTTAAATTATTGTCATGAATTAAAGCTCTTATTTATTAATAAAAATAAATAGTGTTGTTCTTATTTCCATTCTTACTTTGGAGAATTTGTTAAAAAACTGTATTGCATTAAATACTTACATAATTACCATATTTTGTGAAATCTATATTATTTAAACTAGTATAGGACATTTCATTTAAATTGTATGGCTGCGTTTTCTGCTCTATGTAGTCGTCATTAGTTAAATCCAAATGTTTTACTTCGATATGATTGTTCTGGTCATTGCTATGTATACAACTTTTGCCTCCTAGTTGATTTGTGTCTAATGTACTGAATTTATGGTTTTGCTCCACATCATGGCATAAATGAGCTGCAGCCAATTCATGGAAATAGATGTTATCGATGTTGCCTTCTGTGCCGCATTTAGGAGCAACTTGGCAGCTAGATATGCGACGATTGTTCAGCAGCTGCAAAAGAACAAGAACTCCTTAGAGCGACAACACGCATGTAGTTTTTCATCGATTGATTTGTTTATATTAATCGTTAAATATTGTGTTTGATTAATAGATTACTTACATCTTCCAGAAAATGTGCACGCACTGGAATTTTCCGGGACAACCGATTAGTGTGGTTTTTCGTGGAGACAATTCCATTTATAGGCAAAATCTTGTGGGTAAACGTACGCAGGCAAATGGCCATTTTCGCATCGATTGTAATTATACAAAATATGAAATTTGCGAATTTTTTGATAAATAATTAGAAGAAAATTCAGACATATCGGAATCCGCACCGCACAAATGACTTTGAAATTGACATATTTTTGATTGCATGACCACAATTATGACATTGAATTACAGTGTAATATTTGAAATTCAATCTTCCTAAACTTCCTTCACATTTAAAGGATGTAGTCTGTATTTAAAAATATTGAATAATTATAGCTATTTGAGTAACATTGTAATCATGTTGGTTTTACGTGCATTAAAATCAAAACTGTTGTCATCCCTAAAGAATTTATATTAGTAGAAAACAATAATTATTTAAATAAATGCGATGTGACTTCTTCAAATTAAATGTCCAAATCCCTGAAATAACTGTTTCCAAACACCTGAAACAATTGTTAACGTCACTGTCAGGTGATTGATATTGTCGTTGATCAATCAATTTCGCAGAACTGAATTTGTCACATTTTGTTTGTTATTCTTGTTTTCAATTTTATTTTATCTTTTCACGATCACAAGCATTATTTATTATACCGAGTGGTCTGGTGCTTTTGTTGACAAAGTTGACATTTTCATACACTTATAGATTTAAATATAAAGTGGCATATATACGATGATAATACAAAAAGTGATACAGAGACTGAACGGTCACCTTTTGATCTCCAACATCAATCATGTAAAATATACGCATAATATTTCCATTTTACGTCGTCTACTAATATTGAGACCAAAACGTAAAAAAGTTAATGTCGAAAATAGTATTGTTAGTGGACGTTTTGCTTTCAGAATTTACCGATCGTAAACACTATACGTTATAAAAGCACTAATAATGATCTCAGCGAACACAAAGCAAAGGTTATGGCTCGCGGGCTGCCGGAGAAGAAGGCTCTACCTGGCGTTAAAAGTATAATATTGGTTGCATCTGGTAAAGGAGGCGTCGGAAAAACAACCACAGCTGGTATGTGTATTCTAAAATATAATTCATTCATCTAGTAAAAAAAATAGGTAGTTGTAAGGTTGACACCTTTTTTGGTGCCATCCTGCAGTTAGTGAACATAAAAAGTAAAACTAAAGCTAAACTGTGGTATTAAATGAGAAAAATATAGTTTTTTTTTATTTCTTTTTAAATTTAGGGACTTTTGTACCTTCTAAGTACATGTCAGTCCCATTGTACCCTAAAACCAACCACTCCATTACCTCACCAGTGAACAAATTGCCTTAGCTGCACCACCCAGAAAAATATAGTTTAAGTTTTGGTTTGGTGTTTTAGTGAATCTCGCATGTGCAATGAAGGTGATAGAGCCTGATAAGGAGATAGGACTCTTAGATGCAGATGTCTTTGGTCCCTCAGTACCACTAATGATGAATATCACAGGGGAACCCATGTTAAATGATGATAATCTTATAGAACCCATATTGAACTATGGTGTCAAATGGTAAGGAATTGTTAAGATACATATACTATAATATACAATGTTACTATATAAGAGACAGTTTTGTTTAAATATAGTGATGATGACACTCATTTAACCTAGTGAAATTAAGTTAGGCAGACAATATAAGTTTAATAAAGTAAATATTATTTACCTACTAATAATAGAAATATATTTATACAGTTGCAGACATTACAAATATTCCATAAGTACATAATATTTAGACTTGCTGTTGCCAACGTCCATACCATGTTGAAAACACCAGTTCTCGTCTGATCACCGAAGTTAAGCAACATCGGGCGCGGTTAGTACTTGGATGGGTGACCGCCTGGGAACACCGCGTGCCGTTGACTTTTTGTTTCGATATATTGAATAACATATACATACATACATCTTAAACTATGTTACAAACAGTCTATAAGATTGTTTAAAAAGTTGAGGAGACTCATGAAATTTGTAGGATTAATAAATAATTATATTTATTTCAAGTGTCCCCTTGTGGTATTCCACAAGTTTTCCATTCTGGATATAATAAGAGTATATAATATAATAATGACTGAATCTGGGTAACGCAATAATATAATCGTTTGTTTTCCACCTTCAAAATAAATTTTTGTTTCACCAATACAATCAATTCAAAGATTTTTATAGCACAGATCTGACATGTATCATCTCAGATCAGTGAGTCTTATTTTTGACATTTCTTTTTTAAGTCAGTTGTTATTTGTCATATCATTTCTTTACATTTAGCAATATAGATCATAGTACAGTGGCTCCCTCTGCACTGTAAGTGTGGATAGTGAATTTTGCAGTATATTATTTTTACTTTTTTTTTTATATGTTCTATTGAGCGACTGTATTCCTTATTTTTTACCTAATATTTTTCTTTTGGTTAATGTTGCTTTACCATTTTTTTGTTTTTTTTTTCTCCATATTAATAATTGTATTTTCTATTGTATGAAATTTGCTATATACTTTTATTGTGTGTAACAGTTTGTTACAATTTAGATGTGTTCATATATTTCATTTAACTGGCGGGTAGAAGCTCTATCTCTGTTATACTCTAGTATATATATTTTTATTATTATTATATTATATTTGGTTATATATTATTATATTTATAAATCAGTATTTAATTGTACACATAATTATGTCTAACATGCAAGATGAAAGCTTTCACTCTCTCTCTACTTCCTCTTCTGCAAATTCTAGTTTCTACAGTTTACCAATTCCTCTAGACGAAATTTTACATAAAGAGTTCGCCAACGTACCAAGAAATTTCAATATCGTGCATATTAATGCACAAAGCATTCCAGCTCATTTCCCAGATATGCTGGCATCCTTTAATGTAAGTAATGTCCACGCTGTTCTTGTCTCTGAGTCTTGGCTGAAGCCCTGTCTCCCTTCCTCTTGTTACTCGTTGCCAGGGTTTGTTCTTATTCGGAATGACCGCACTGGTAAGGGTGGTGGTGGTGTGGCTATTTACCTGCGTACAGAAATTCCCTTCAAACTTATTTCCTGCTCTAATAGTAGTAACCCTTCCAATGAAGCTGAATACCTCTTCACTGAAGTCACTCTTTCCCACTCCAAAATTCTTCTCGGTGTTTTCTATAGTCCTTCTCCTACAGTTGATTATTTCTCTTCTTTAGAATACCTCTTAGAAAATTTGATCCCATCCTATGAGCATACTGTAATCATGGGTGACTTTAACACGTGTCTCCTTAAAAACGATTACCGCTCTAATTCCCTACGATCTGTAGCCAATGCTTGTAATCTTACTATCCTGCCCCTTCAAGCTACCCACTACTTTCCTAGTTGTAAACCTTCACTTTTAGACCTTATCCTCGTTTCCTCTCCTGATCATGTCACAAGACATGGTCAATATACTGCTGATGCCTTCTCTTTCCACGATCTCATTTTCCTATCCTTTAGAATAAGAACTCCTAAACGTAAACATAAAATTCTCATGGAGCGTAATTTTGGTGCCATCGACTTGGACCGTTTACGTAAAGATGCCGTGGATACGGATTGGACTGCAGTTCAGGATGCTACTTCTGTCGAAGATCAGGTGGATATGTTCAACAAAATTGTCACTAAGCTATATGATCGTCATGCTCCGGTTCGACCTGTTCGAGTGAAACATCTACCTGCGCCTTGGTTAACGAAAGAAATTAGAGCAATCCAGACTAAAAAGAATAAGGCAAAAGCAAAATTTAAAATTAATCCCGATAGATATCGAGACCAGTACATTAAGGCTAGAAATCATTGCAATAAGGTGTGTAGAGAGGCACAACGTCGCCACATTCATAAATCTGTCGAGAATGGTGATCCGGCTAAAGTCTGGAAATTTCTCAAATCTCTAGGGGTTGGTATGAATAAAAATTCTGAATCCACTTTCTTCAATGTCGATATTGACAACCTTAATAGGCATTTCTGTTCTTCTGTTATTTTTGATAACAATATTAAAGCTAATACAATAAACCTCCTTTCTACTACACCAACCCCTGATTATCCATCTTTCTTCTTTAGTCCAGTTACCAATTGTGATGTTGAGAAGAGCTTGCTATCAATAAATTCTGATGCTATGGGTACTGATGGCATTGGTCGTACTATGGTTTACCTTATCCTTGATATCGTCCTTCCTACAATCACTTTAATTTTCAACAATTCCCTATCCTTAAGTATCTTTCCTTCCATTTGGAAAGATGCCCACATTATTCCTCTTCCTAAAAAATGTAAGCCGTCTTCTTTTTCCGATTATCGTCCTATCTCAATCCTTCCCTTCCTTTCCAAAGCACTTGAACGTCTTGTCCATGGTCAACTCAACAAATTCCTTATAAGTAATGACCTTCTGAACCCTCTCCAATCAGGCTTCCGACCTGGCCATAGTACTACCACTGCTCTTGTAAAAATCACAGATGACGTTCGGCACGGTATGGATAATTCGCAACTGACAGTCCTTACACTGCTGGACTTCAGTAATGCTTTTAACAAAATCGATATCGACATCCTATTGGCTTGCATGCGCTCAATCAACATATCTCCAATGGTAACCGACTGGTTTCAGAGTTACCTGTATGGGCGCCGGCAATGTGTCCGTATTGACAATACACTTTCGTCGTGGTGTCAAACGACTGCCGGCGTTCCTCAGGGTGGCGTCTTATCCCCACTTCTCTTCGCTTTATTTATTAATTCTATTACTGGTAAACTTCATTCCTCCTACCACCTTTATGCAGATGATCTTCAGATCTATACGCAGGCTCCGCTGAATGACATTGATACTGCTATTCATACAATTAATGCTGATCTAGTTCACATATCAAACTGGTGTAAATCGTTTGGTCTTGTCCTGAATGCCTCTAAAACTCAGTCTATCATCATAGGCAGCTCTCGGTACATTACAAGAATAAACTGGGGTTCTCTTCCTCGAATAGTATTGGACGGAGTATGCATTGACTATAGCGACAGCGTCAAAAATCTGGGCATCCACTTCGACAGGACCCTCTCTTGGTCAGTGCAGATCGCTGAGGTTAGCCGTAAATTTTTTGCTGCTGCAGCTTCACTGAGGCGTCTAGGCTTCTTTTTGCCGATTGATACCAAAATTTCGCTTGCGCATACCCTACTCCTTCCTGTCCTTGATTACGCTGACATATGCTATCTAGACCTCACCGAAGACCAATTAAACAAACTTGAGCGTCTCCAAAATATATGTATCAGGTTCATATTTGGACTTCGTAAATATGACCACATTTCTCATTATCGTTCACAGCTCAAGTGGCTTCCTATTCGCCTTCGCCGTGATTGGCATATTCTTTCTCTTCTCTACTCCATTCTTTTTAAACCCACTACTCCTCACTACCTTAAAGAAAGATTCTTATTTCTCGGTGAGGCACAAAGTCATGGGCTACGCAGTGCTACAAACCTCAGTTTAAAAACCCCTATCCATACATCCTCATTCTATACTAAATCCTTTTCTGTACTAGCTATTCGTTTGTGGAACTCACTTCCATTCTCTATTCGTAGCGCACCATCACTGTCCGTTTTCAAAAACTCTGTTAAATGTTACTATCTCTCCAACTAAACTTTTCTTGATCTGTCAGTCTTCATCCAGTTAGCTCATTCGAAATTGCGTGTTACATAATTACTCTTATTCAATAATTTACTTATATACAAATACAAAATAAACACTCCTGTGTGTTTTGTATTTGTATATAATATTTGTGTGTATGTATGTATATAAATTGTATTATATATATATATATGTATATATGTATGTAAGTAGTATATGTAAATTATTACTATATTATATTATATATATTATATATATTATTTAGTATTAATATGCCTTTTATATTTCTCTAGTCCATTCTTGCGCCATCTACCACTTTCTGTCTTCTCTCCTCTACCCAAAGGTTGTCTGGAAGAGATTGCTTAAGCGATAAGACCGCCTATTGTACCTTATTACTTATTACTTGTTTGTTCTTTATTTAATTGTTTGTCTTTCTGGTGCAATAAAGTGTTAATAAATAAATAAATAAATAAATAAATATCACATTATCATCCCTTCATAGTGATATACAATATTCTAATAGTTATAATATATAGGAACAAGGGGGAAAGGGATTGTCAGTAATGTGGACTTATGAACACATAGCTTGCAATGTACCATGTCAGGTTGACATCCATGCGTTTCCTCTCGGAAAACCTTTGTGATTCCTGGTGAATTTGTCACAATGGGCTAACTGACCTGACCTCATGCTCATCTCATCCTCCACTGGTGTTCTGCCAGTGTAATAAGGTACAAGCACCATACTATTGTTATGCTATATAAAATATATATACAATTTCAGTATGTCAATGGGTTTGCTAGTATCTGGAGAGAATGCTGTAGTGTGGCGCGGTTTAATGGTGATGCAAGCTTTGGACAGGCTGACACGGCATGTGGCGTGGGGTCCACTAGATTGCCTCGTAGTTGACACGCCTCCCGGCACAGGGGATACACATTTATCTCTTGCGCAGAATCTCCCAATAGATGGTATGTGCTGAATTACATACTTAATAAAATATGTTGTAATATAACTAACAAAATTTTAGTCTTTGTGTTGAGCATTTTTTTAATGCACCTGTAATGGAAAACAGGCTTTGTCGTCCTGTACTGTTTTTTATAGATGATAATAGACTCATGCACCCGCCTGCGCTAAAGGTTTATGCTGGCGGGGCACCAGTGGAAGATGATAAAATGAGCATAAAGTCTGTCTGTTAGGCTATCTTGGCAAATGGCAATTTACGAAAATGGTTTACATGCGAGTCTCTCGGTATTCAACCTAATAATTGCAATTAACTTATTAGTTCACATTAGTAACAATCCCCATCCCCCCCAGTTGCAACTATTGCCTTTGTACATAACTATCTTTATAGAGTTTAAAAAACGTATTTATGACACCCGGTGGTATATACTAATATATGTTGCTATATCTGACGACTAAGGTATCATATATATTAAATTGTGATCTGTCTACCCAACCTCCTTATCTAGCGTGAAGATAGATTAACTATTATTATGCAGGTACATATTTAAATTGATAAGCTTGTTTACAGGAGCATTAATAGTGACGACTCCCCAGTCGGCGGCTCTACAAGTCACGAAAAGAGGTGTGAATATGTTTGAAAAGTTGAAAGTTCCCATCATCGGCATGGTGGAGAACATGTCTCATGCATTATGTACAAAATGTGGTACCGTCAATTACGTTTTTGGCAATGAAACAAAGAAAACCGCAGAGCAGATGAGGTTAGAGATAATTGAAAGCTTTGAGGCTGATCAGAATATGTCAGACTGTATAAACAGTGGGAAACCAGCCATATATGCCCTCCCAGACAGCATACACGCAGAGAAGTACAGGCAGTTAGCGAATAAAGTGTTCAAATACATAGATGATAAGGACAAAGAGCAGGTTAAAGCCACAGAGCAATAGGACGCACAAAATATTTACATAGTATGCAGTTGTTAAATTATTTATTATTAAATATATTTTACAAATATATGTTATATAAAAAGATGTTGTTTTGTCTTATACAATTAGAAAATTATGGCATTTGATATTCTACTCCCAGGTACAGATTTAAAGAATAACTTTCTAAAAATATATAAATTTACTACTGACTGGTTACAGAAATAAAACATAAATTATTATGTAAAATTTATTCAGAACAAAATCGTGTTACTTAGGAATGCAAAAATTATCTATGGCCAAATTAATATTAAATAGAAAAAATACTATAAAAATATTTGTCTTCGAAATACTTTGATGTGTAAAGATTAAATTGGATATAATAAAAATAAAAATTAACCTTCAAATAAAATTTGTGATGATAGCCTAATTTCACTTAAGGCTACTGGAATTAATTTATCTCTATATATTTCATATCTATGGTCATAAATCTCATAACATTCAGAGTCCATACAGTTACAGTTGGTTTCGTCAATAAGTACAAAATATATATTTACATTGACATCACAACAGGTAGAAATAATTCGGAATGAAACATTAATTCCGTAAGGACCGATTGGTGGCGGCCCTGCAACGCTCCAGACACTTTACTTTCTATAGTCACATTTTCAATGGTCTTACACGTCACTAACTATATTATTATTTTTATTTTTACAAAAACACGCTATTTTAACAATATATAAAGATAGCTCTTGTCCAATTTTGTTAATTTCGCTGACCATTAGCATCAAAGAACTAAGGCAAGTGGTAAACAGGAAATAAATTTATTCAATTAACGTCCAATGAATTGAGATTTTTATGAGCACAGTGGTTGCTTTAATAATAGTGGTGCTGCCGTAAATATGTGAAGGTAAACTAATTTTTTTCTCTAAGCTTCTATAAACAAGGCTCATTTTTATTTTAATTTGCAGCAGTAATAAAATATCAAATAGACAAACATATATATTTTTAATAATTGTGTTTACCAGTTGTCTATGCCCACGGGGAGCCCGTACAGAATTTTCTCTTAATTCTAAAGCTATTGCGCCACAACACCGGTCCAACATACACTTCATACAAAATATAACATTCCACTAATATCACTTATATGTGGGGAGGAGGAAAGCAATTCATACGAGATAATGATATATTTCACAACGTAACATGCGGTAGATGTGTGCTGAAAATATTTATATAGAAAGCGTCAGAATTCACAATTACTGTTTAAGTATTAAAATTTACTTATATAAATAGGACAGTCTCAATAGTTCTTATGATTTTAGAGATGTGGAATCTGGAAGATGCAGATATAAGAGTAAACAAACATAATTTCAATGTATGTATACAACTCCCAACCACGTTGTCTTGGCAGAATTATACAAAATTGACAAACATTTAAATATTTTATAAAATCTAAAATGACGACAGATTTATGTTATATATAATTACTTTCACAACAATCACAGGCATATTCAATTTAGTAACAAAAATATAAATATATGAAAATAAAATCAACAATTGCGATAATTTTATTTTATTACGCTCTCTTATAATAAAAACGTCAAATAATTTTTTTTTTATTAATCAAACTGTGTTGTCGTTTTCTTTCAAACTATTATATTAATCAGAAAGAATATGACAAAACAGTTGTAGGAGGTTTTATGAGTAAGAGTATAGAGAGTATATACGCACTGCGAATTTTCAACTCGCCGCGTTTCTATTATTATATATATTAAAAAAAAATCTTGAATGTTTAATTCATTTCCTTATCGTATTACCGCATTGGTTAGAAAAAATGACGTGGTGAAAATTTGCAGTGCGACCTCACCCTTATATAATAGAATTTACATAACAGTAAATCGCACAAGAGGTTGAAATAAGAAACAGTGATTGTAATTCTGTCGCCGACTAGTTTTGTTTGGGCACTGATGATAATTGTCCGCTTCTTTCGCACCACATAACAAATCTTAGCGTAAATTTCAAGAGTCTCTGCGCAGGCGCGGGCCGTGCCGCGGCCGCTCCTACCACTTTTTCTTTTGCTCGTCCATACTGACGCCGCCCGGCCCCAAGTACACTATCATCAGCAGACCACCGATCACGGATAGCGTCTAAAACATATTTAAATTTGTATTCACAGATTTCGACTTAAAAATATAAAATTACAACAATTATTTAATAAAGCAACACGCAAGTTTTTTGGTTTTCTTTTGCCGGGAGATTTAAAAAATAAGTATGACCATTCAAAACTAATTAAATTTGAGTTTATTTGAATAAAGTATTTTCTATTCTTATTTGCAGGTAATTGCTCATCAGAACATACAAAGTCTTCCCGGCAGTGAATTAATTATACAATTATTTTTGGAAAAATACAATATTGACATTATCTGTTTCACTGAACATTGGCTTAAAGAAAGCAATATGATGTTCAGTTTAAATAATTATAATGTTGTCAGCTGCTTCAATATAAAGTCAGTTAACAGAGGTGGGTCTATGATAATTGCAAGAAATAATATTAAAGTAAAGGAACGTGCTGACATTGTTAGACTTTCTATTGAGTGTTGTACAGAAATCTCATGTATAGAACTAGATAATTATATACTTATATGTGTTTATAGGCCTCCTAATAGTGATTATAATGTATTTGAAGAGGTGATGGAGGATATATTAAAAAAAGTATTTAATAGCAGTAAAAAAATCATTGTGTGTGGTGATTTTAACGTTGATATTCTTTGTGATACACCCACATGTACAAAAATTATTAGTTTATTTCAGTCTTTTAATTTGAGTAATGTCTTTCAGGAACCCACTCGTGTAACCGCTACGACTGCTACTTGTCTTGACAATGTTTTTTGTAACTGTGAGTATATTGAAAAATTAATAATAAATAAACTTCCTTCGGATCACTGTGGTCAAGTTGTTAAGTTTAGTAATCAGACTAAAAAAAATACCAATAATAAAAGATCAAAAAGACAAATAAATGCTTACAATATTAATAAATACAAAAGCACGGTTAAATATAAATTAGACTTAGAGTTACAATCTGTCAGTCTTAATAATCCTGATATTCTTTACACCAAGTTAATTAGTCTTTTGTCAAAAGAATACCAGAATATTTTCAAGAAAAGAAAATATTGTGTTAAATCTAAATTTACAGAATGGGCAACAGTAGGAATACTTAAAAGTAGAAACATTTTATTTGATTTATATGATCAAAAAAAATATAGATTTGATGACAAATTTACAACTTATGTGAGAAATTACTCTAAAATTTTCAAACAAGTTTGTATTGCAGCTAAATCTAATTTTATAAATAAACAAATTAATCAGTCCTCTGACAAAATTAAGACCATCTGGGGAATTATACACAAAGAAACTGGACGGTCTGAAAAAGCCTGCAATCAATTCTCATTAAATTATGACAATAAGTTAATAACAGCAACAAAAGATATAGTTCATATTTTTCAAGATTTTTTTGCTAATATTCCAATTGATATTACATCTTCTCTAGACTCATCTCCAATTCGGGCAAAAACATTACTGGAGGCTAATGTCAGCCCTTGCTCTTTAACATTTAAATTTTCACATGTCAGCCCTTTTCATGTCATAAAAATATTCAAACAGTTAAATTTAAAAAATACGGAAGATCTCTGGGACATGTCAGTTAAAGTAGTTAGTTCATTCATAGATATTGTTGCTCCTTATCTAGCTACTATTTTCAATAAATGTGTTGATAATGGCGTGTTTCCTCAATTAATGAAATTTAGCAAATTAATTCCACTCTTTAAATCTGGAGATAGATTTGAGCTAGGCAACTATAGACCAATTTCTATTTTGCCAGTTCTAAGTAAAGTATTTGAAAAGATTATGTTTAACCAAATGTTAAAATACTTCAGGGATAACGGACTGCTTCACAGTCAGCAATATGGTTTCACTGCCGGCAAGTCTACTACTGATGCAGGTGTAGCGCTTATTACACATATATTCGAATCATGGGAAAAATCACAGGATGCTCTCGGCGTTTTTTGTGACTTGTCGAAGGCGTTTGATTGCGTAGATCATGAAACACTTTTGTACAAGCTCAAACACTATGGTATTAGAGATAATGACCTAAGTCTAATGAAAACTTATCTAGAGGATAGGGTGCAAACTGTAGATATTGATGGTGTAAAGTCTAAGGGAACTAATATAAAAATGGGCGTTCCTCAAGGTTCAATATTAGGCCCATTTCTCTTTTTAATTTATATAAATGACCTTCCCTACATGGTAGAGAAAGTTGCAGACATAGTGTTATTTGCGGATGATACTTCGTTAGTGTTTAAAATTGGTCGCCAATGTAATCAATTAGACGATGTAAATTATGCTATCTCTGCTATACTAAATTGGTTCACATGTAATAATCTATTATTGAACTCCAACAAAACTAAGTGCATTAAATTCACGCTGCCTAATGTAAAACAAGTAAATACGCAGCTATTGCTTAATGATGAAATAGTAAATTTTGTTAATGATACAGTTTTTTTTAGGAATAACAGTGGACTCGAAGTTACAATGGGGGCCCCATATTTCAAAATTAGGCAGTAGACTTAGTTCTGCTGCTTATGCAATTAGAAGGATAAGGCAATTAACAGACGTGGCGACGGCAAAACTTGTATATTTTAGTTATTTCCATAGCATTATGTCATATGGCATACTGCTATGGGGTAAAGCTGCCGATATAAATACTATATTTATTTTACAAAAGAGAGCCATACGTTCTATTTATGGTATGGGTTCTAGAGAGTCATTACGTCAATGCTTTAAACAATCAAATATCCTCACCGTTGCCTCACAGTACATTTATGAAAATATTATGTATACAAGGAAAAACTTAGATAGTTTCAAGAAACTTAAAGACTGTACAAGTAGAAACTTACGCAATAAAAATAAGCTAATTTTACCGAAATGCCGTCTACACAAAGTTAGTAATTCATTTTATGGTAATTGCGTAAGATTCTATAATAAACTGCCAGAGTCTACGCTAAATCTTACAGAGAGGCAATTCAAATCTTATATTAAACAAATGTTATGTAAAAAAAGCCTATTATAAGATAGATGAATTTATAGATGATAGCAATATATAGCAAGAATAAGTTTATTTGCGGACAACGTTATAATTTTAATTTTCATACTGCTTTCTTGATATATGATAGCGTAGCGGCTTTTGTATTGATTGCCGCATGCATCCTTATGTAAAGTGCGAATACTGTAACTACCATATAGTAATTTTTGTAGCTGTGACGTGGTCGTGTGGAATGAGTAGTCATGCTCACTAAAATGTCCAGACATGTGGCGGCGTGGTGGGCCGGGTCAATGGGCTCCCTAAAATATGGTCGAGCGCAGTGATGGCTGGCTCATCCGTCATACTCGTGAACGAGTGCTGCTTGTAGGGACTGGTCTGCTCTTATCACTACGACTGATTTAATCTTATTGCATGATTATATTTGACCCAAAAAATTAGTGCTTGTTGGTAGTTTGTATTCACACGTTTCGACTTGTAAATGTAAACTTACAAGGATTATTTAAAAGAGCAACACACAAGTTTCTTGCTCGTTCTTCTTGTGATGAGACAGCTTTCCGAACGAGTGGTAGATAAAAAACAAATTGTTATGACTATTCAAAAGTGCTTAAATTAAGTTTATTTGAATAAATGATTTTCTATTCTATTCTATCAAGAAAGAAAATTTAATTTACAAATATGTTCGTGCTGTGATTCCCACTGCTGTGTCCTAATGAAGAAAATGAGAATATCCATCCAATTCCATTACGAATTAGCTCATTATGAATGATATGGATTGAAAACTTATTTCTTTTTATTAGCATTTATAACATCGCCTTCGATCAATTACCATTCCAACTGGGATGGATATATGATGAGTTAAGTCTATTGGTACCCTAAGACTAAGCTCATATCCGTCAGGCAAGAGTTATGAAGATAATTTTAACAACTTTTGAAAAGTTAGTAATACAGTTCGTTTGGTTTGAAACATTTTACAAATTATTCTCAATTATGCAATTAATTAATGGCTAAAATAAAATTAGTAGATAAAATTACCTGGAAGAAGTCATATTTGAGGAAGTCCCTAAGAGGTTTGTACGAGGGCACTGCCCACCACGCGTTGTGGTACAGATTGAGGACTGTAAGCACCAGGACGAGCATCAGCGCCGACAGCTTGGTGCGGTAGCCCACCGTCACCAGGATCATCAGTATACTGCCCAGTAAGTCTTGGACGATCTGCAAGTAATCAAACACAAGTTTACAATGACGAGTCGCAAAAACGTGTATATTTCCCAAATTACTTATAGCTTAGTCGTAATAGAGCTTCAATAATTCTATTATATCATCTATAATACCATAGAATTATAAACATATCCATATCATCTATCTGAAGACAATCTTTCAAATTATGAAACTTTAACTAATTATGAAACTAACAAACGGAACAAACAAATAAATATACTTTTTTAAAGAGACCAAATATGTAGTTTAACAAATAAAATAGATTTTCTGCATAAAATGTTTGACAATTACTTTCAAGCAATCCTAAGATAATATAAACAAAAACAGCGACAGTTGAGGATAGTGTGATGTGTATGAAGTCAGGGACGTTGATGTACCCTGCCCAATTAACCATTACTATTTCGAGGGATTTAACATCTCTGTTCATGTTTGACATAATATCGTAAAGGATGCGTAAATGCAGACGACATTAGGTCGTTCAATAGGTCTCTACATTACGTCGTTCAATGTCCAAGCATAAATAAACCTTTACACGGTTTTATTTACAGAATACACAAACTATATTGCAATCAAGTACAGGAAAATATTCTATACCTATATTTCATTTACTCATTAGTGACCTATAGTTCTGAAATAGTGTGGTTCAGAAATTTAAATTCATAGTTTAACAAATAGTCTTAATTCGAGAAAACTTTGGACAATTTTTGACTGTGGTTCTAGAAATTTAGGGTTACGGTTACAAAGTCTAAATGAACAAAAATAAAAAAAAATAACCACAAAAACCGAAAAATGATTACAGTCTGACCAGATTTCTAGGATTTCCTTAAATGCCCATAATTTGAAAATATATATATTGAATTGAATATATATTGAAATGAATATATATTTTTTTTTCATTTTTCTCATGATGTTTACAACCAATCCTATCACTTCGTTTCGGATTGACGTTAAGTTCTGGGACACTCTGTATAATTACAGTCGCCTATACACATAATCATGGACATTTTGTTACCATGTGATTCACCACTCGTGAGTTTCTATTTCGAAGGATTAAGGTGTTACACATCCAATCTAGTTGAGCCTAGGTGTTATTCAGATGTATAAGCTATATTACTGCAAAGTTCCATCAAAATTCAGACCCACAAACTTTCGCATTTATTTTCGCAGTAAGATCTTATAATTTCTTGAACCCAAACACATCTACAATAATGTTGCTTTGTAGATGTGCTGAGGCTTGGAATTGGGGTGAGGGGTCTATGAGACACAAACACACGACTTTTACAAAGCCTGTATCGGTTTAGAAATTATTGATGATATACTAACAATGCCCTACTACTTTTTTGTTACTGCAAAGATAAGAAAACTGACTAAAAATAAAGATTGGGTGGAACAAGTGAATGCAGTGATCGCGAACTTGGGCTAAATAAAGATATCGCAATATTTAAAAAGCATACATTTAACGATAAAATATTCATAAATATTAATGAACTTTGTGACGCGGACACGATAATGTCGACCTCGACGTGTACCGATTTGTAGGTGTCTACGTCGGAACGATTTTCCGGTGAATGACTCTGCAATGATAGCTCATTTAACAGTACATTTAAGACTGACGTGTGAGATAAACATTGTTTTTTTTTCAGACCAATGATAGGATAGCAGCCGATTAACTAGAGCTGATTCTTTTATTGAACGTAAAGAAAACAAATGCTGGCAGTAAACATATTTAAAACGCACATTTTTTTTACTATGTTTTTAACTATTTTACAAAGAAAATATTTGACCTGTAGAGTTTTTGAGATATTTTCTTATGTAGTATTTAGGTAGGTTTACTCGTCGTCAAATAAATATCTAATTTTATCATAATAGAAGTCACTTTTTTTAACACAATTTAATAATATTAAAGTTGTAATAAGGAATGTAATAATTAAATCGCGCCATATTCTAACAGTTTATTGTTGGACTAGTTTATAATAGAAGAGGCAGAATCTTAAGAGGTCCTTAACAGAAGAAACTCCGAACACACTAACATATGGCTGTCTCTTCTTTTCTCATTCTCATCTTTTTTTTTTTATGTAAGTGAAATAATAATCTGACAGTACATCTGATGGTAACGATACAGCATTACGGATATCATGTTATCCTGTGACATCCCTACTGATACTGTGAAACCACATATACCTATTGCCAGAGGACTAACATGTCATGCCTCTTATTTTGTAATTTCACTGCCTAATATATACCCTAAAACAAATACAGTTTACGTAGGTGCTTGGCGGCTGAAATAGGCGAGACTGAGATACCCACGCACATGACTTTTTACAGTCTGCCTCTGGTAGAGCATGTTTATCGCTATGGTAGACCAAATACAGCAATAATTTCTAAAACTAACCTGTATAAATGTGACTTCAAATCTCAAGAGCGTGATAAACATAAACGCGAGCAGTATCCTGCCAGCCAACTGCAAGTAAGTCTTGGGCTTGTTCTCGCCGAGGCTGGGCACGCCCGCGAAAAGACTGCGTCCTTCAGCACCTCGTGCTTCGGCCAGGACTAACAACAGCGCACCGATGAGTGCCAAGTTCCTTAGTAGGAACTGTAAGTCCCATAGTATACTGTATGCAAATGTCTGAAAATGGTAATTTTTTAAAATTTTAATTATTAAAAAATTAATGAACACTGCATATTTTTTAGTGGTACGCAATTGCAGTAAAGTAAGTACTAATGACATATTAGTTTTCTAGAGTTACTATTTATTACACAATATTATCTGTACATATAAAATCTTAATAATAAATACAGGCACATTTATTATTAAGATTTTATATGTAATGATGTGTGAAATTAAGATATCACAGAGTTCACATATATTCTCAATGTATACAGAACACATATGTTCTCTAATTATATGTACGTATAGTTAAGTATGCGTCACCATATAAGCTAAAGAAAACTGAGAAAAATACGCCTAACATAAGTAATTTTATTATATATTAGATTGCTTCTTGTAGATGTTTTATTTATTTTTCTTGTATGACGGTCACCATACTCGCGCTGGAACTCCCGAGCACAATTAGTGTTCTATATTACATGTACATATACACCTACATTGCTTATCCATAAACTACGGTCCTCGCTTTCATACAACCCATAATATATGCATAATTCAAGTCATAAAAATCATACCTGAAGTACAACTATGAAGAAAAGCACACCGCAGGCAATTTCAACCTTTAGTCTTCCTAACACCATCACACAGCCACCGAGCTGACCCACTAAGTTTATTATCTGAAAAAAAAGTAAACACCCGGTAAGTTTATATAGGTAGTAGTAGGTAGGATTATCGAGGTTACTTATGACCCGAGAGCTATCTACTTTTTTCAGATAAAGCTATGGCTATTCAAAGAGATAATGCTGCCAGTATCTGCGGTACACTGCATCCATGTTCCATATTAAGTCGACCTTCACGCGGTTCCCCCTGGAAGCCATGATTATTAAATTCTTGTTGTTTAGTCTGACCTAATCTCATGCTCATCTTAACATCCTCACTGGTGCCTAGCCAGTCATAGCATTAATATCTATTTAAAAAAAATACTATGTCCTCTGAAAATCATGGTGATTAATTGCTGGTTCCTTGATCACTCTGAACCTCATGCTCATCTTAATATCCTCCACTGATACACAGAGTCATTCCATTATTATCTATAAAAAAAAAATATAGACCTATTCCTAAAAATTATATATATATTCTTTATTGCACAGATAATACAAAAATATTATAATTTAGAGATAATGTGAGCAAAGGTGGACTTATCCCTAGAAGAGATCTCTGCCAGTCAACCTAAAACAGTGGCATACTGTGGTATACGGTGGTACTGAGTGGATAATAACTGGTGCAAAAAAAAGTTAAACATATACACAGTATGAAAAATATTCGTTTTAAAATGCCTACATTTCTATCATCGACTTTGTCCCCTTGACCATGAGCGACCTGGTTAATGACCGGTGATAGCTTATTTGTCTTATTCATGTATTGAATTACTATCGCAAGTTCAGTCGCATTCTTAAGAAAGTAAACAATTATTCGTCAAGTCACTCGGACATTGGGGTAATAAACTGCAATCATCTGTTGTAGGTCAGCAGCGTCCATTTACAAATGTGATAAGCCGACTATATTAAATGCAATAATCAGTGTTAATCAACTGTACGTATAAACCAAAATAACTAGTCAATGCAAACGGATAGAGGTGTAATGAAATATTTTTTCATGTGATTCGCTAAACGGCGTTGCAAAACGGCAAATTCTTATGATTACTTTTTTCCTTTTAGTACAAATACTATATAAGTATAATAATAATTATACTTGATAACTCAACAGTGTAGCCTATTCTAGGACCGAGCGGTTCGAAAGAAAATCGCCAAGAGTCTCCCTAAAAAATTTGTTGTTTTTAGTATTGTGTAATATATGCCAGGAATTGGGATATTAGTAAGAGAAATATTACAGGATTACAGGGGTATTTGAAAATGATTTAGCGTGATGTGGGTGTTCTGCATTAGGCACGTACAGCGGTGTAATGTGGAGCGTGAACAATCGAAACGTGGTTGTGCGTACAAAACATCGATTTACACACTTACTGTACACTTACACTAGCTGAAATAGGAAACAATGTAGAAAATTTTATTTACCATATCGCCATGTGACAGAATTTAATTTGATTTTATTTATGAGAACAACAATAATACCAGAGAAGACTGAACAAAAAGACGCCCTCAGTAGTCTAGGGTAGCTCAGTAGGCTAGCACACCGCTTTACTTCCGATGATCGCGGGTTTGATTCCTCGCACGGTACAAACATTTCTACACATGAGTACGATTGTTTGTATCGGTCTGAGTGTTTTCTATGAATATTTTTTTTAAATATATATCGCTTTCTTTGTCTCAACATCCTTTTGAGCTAAGTCTATGAATATAAGTATGTATTTACAAAAAAAGTATCTAAATATTATATCAATTGTCTAATACGCATAATACAAACTCTGTTTAGCTTGAGGCTAGATGGCGCTGAGTGTATTGTCCAGGTATATTATTATGATTAAAAAAGGAATTGTAAGTGTAATACGCGGTGTGATAGTTATTCACAATAAATATCCTGTTATCTGTTAAGACCAATGATTCAGTTGAATAAGGAATAAACTTTTTGTATTTATAACTGCAATTACTTGTGTATACCAGATATTTAAAAAAGGTCTATGGGAGGACATATGCCTTTTTAAAATATATTTTGTAATATCTTTCATCTCAATTAATTAATTACAGTTTATATCTATTTTATACATATATAGCAGAACTATGTAACAAGTATTTTAAACTAGCAGTGCCCGCGGTTTTACCCGCATGTAATTTATAGTCTTTGTGTTATTATGCATAAGCTATATTACTGTAGTTTCATTATGATTCATTCAATAATTTTTACGTGAAATAGTAACAAACATCCATCCATAAAATTTCGCATTTATAATATTAGTCAGATAACATAATATGGTATGGGCCGTATGCTTGTTTGCCACCATAGTAGTATAAAAAAAATATACTTTAAAAAGATCTTAACTGTTTTGGGCGCGATATTTTTACAGAATGTGTATTTTTTTACTACAGCAACATTTCTTTTCCTTCATACTGGAGCTTATCATACTTTAAAAAGACGTTATCAACTGTTTCGTGCGCGATTTTTAATAGAATATGTATATATGGTTTTGACTATAGCAAATTTCTTTTATAATATACTGGAGCTTACCACAAACATGGTTGCGAGGAAGACGCCGCAGCCCCACGACATGTTCATGTAGTCCCGCTGCTCCGACCATTGAAACCACATACGAAGTCCGTCTTCAAGAAACGTCGATATGAGGCATAACCTCGCCACTGTTGGCAATACATTTTTGCCCTTACGTATTACCTGAAAAAAAAAATTAAGTTAATGGTATATAATTACGATATAAGTGCGTTATGACGGTTATAACACACGAGACCGCATTTAATATTTCATTCATAATAGAGCCGAGTCTGTTAAATACTGTTAGAACGAGGTTTGCAATCGATGTCTAGACTGGCTGGTATGGCAGATGAAGTATGTTTGAATATTTAAAAAGAGTGTGTTTTGTTGTCTTGTCTGTCGTCGTATTGATGTATCTATAACTTATCTGTATATTGTATTAAATGTGTTTTTATATTATTTTATTTTGATTAGAAATATATTTTGTTTATCTTATTCTACGTTATTTACTTGAACACCACTATAGTTACTCTGTTAACGTGAGAAGTTCGGAGGTAACTTCCCTCACAAATACACGTATATCAGACGATTTTTTCCAACATAAACTCAACCATAAAACTGGGATGCACACTGTTACTTTTTTCAAAGTAACAGTAGGCGCGCTGCCTACTTGTGGCGTCGCGCGGTGGTCAGTTCGAAACTTAATAAAACAAAATATAGCAAATAGGATTATAGAATATAACTTCACTATTTGCGTTTATAACGCACGTGTGTTTTATGAGCTGCTTTATATATCGAAAACCGGTGAAATTAGATCCACTTTACGAGCAAGTGTGTGGAAAAATCTTTTAATAAAAAAACTAATTTTCGTCGAGGTATACAGTACAAAGTCGTCTGTATAGGTTCCTCAGTCCCACCTATTTCAGCTCTTAATAAGTACTTTTTTTAGTGTACAATTAGAATTGAAACAACAGCATAAGAGACATGATGTACAGTCAACCCTCCTATAACGCGGTGAGTGCGTACCGCGTTGTATGGAAACCGCGCTATAAGAAACTCGGATTTAACCATACAAACCAGGCTAATTCGTAGCGCGTTCTATGGAAACCGTCTACCGCGTTGTATGGAAACCGCGCTATAAGAGACTCAGAATAAGTACAAATCACATCATTCGTACCGCGTTATATGGAGACCAATAAATACAAAAGACAAGATAAATTATAAATTATTTTTATTGAATTGAAGAGTATGAACTCTTCAATTCAATAAAAAGAAATGATGAAAAAAATGAAACAAAAACTAAACTAAAAAACTGTTTTCCAACAAAAACAAAAGAAAGACTTTTGTAAAATGATGTAATCTTTCAACAATCCTCACTGTCAGATATGAGTCGCCTAACTCGCCTTCTTTTAATGGGCAAAATGTCTTCCTCACTTGGTTGATCTTCACATTGGTTTTAAGCGGCTAAGACATAAGCAGAACGTAGTTTTTCTATAGTTCACGCGACAATGTAGTCAAAAGATCACATATATATCTTTCATGTTACAGTTTCGTTAGACACACACACGCATGGCACGCTGTCGATGCGAAACTATTTAGTTAATAGAAGTGGAAGATAGCGCATGAGGAGAACCACCCACCCGTGAACCACGCTGATATAAACATATCCAGTTAAAACCATTCATTGGGTGCACGGAAAGAACTGATGGGACGTTGTTGAACGGAAACCGCGCTGTAAGAGTACCGCGTTATAGGAGGGCTGTCGCAATTTTAGCTCCGCGTTATATGGAAACCGCGTTCTGAGAGTACCGCGTTATAGGAGGGTTGACTGTAGTCCTAAAATGTTACCGCATGATCATATTACTGGTGTTATATTAAAAAGATCTGTACAAAAAAGTCTAATGTTTCCTTAATAATGTAGTTGGCACAATAAGAGGATTAGAAATAATGACAGAGTACAAATTGAATAATTACGATAACCAAGGACATAACACAAAGAGTTGTAACTTTTAAACGGTAGAGAATGAGTTGTAGCTTTAAATCGGACAGTACAGTTAACATCAAAGTACAAAACATTTATATGAGCATTTAATATATTTTTAACTGGAGTTTCATCGATTTTTAATGTATAATCTTCTAAAAGATCTTTTAGAAGAGCATGTCTAGAACTGAAGTAAGTTCTATACTAGAACGTGTATCTAAAACTGTACTAGCAGGCTCCTACGAGATTTGGCTGGGAAGGGAGAGAAACACGAGCATGGAAGGTGAGTGTTGACATAAGTCGGGCTAGCTAGCTCGGAGGGCTTCTTAAACCTACACCCGGGTCACAAAGCCCGGGAACTTCTCGGAGTTTTCCTTTCTGCTATAAATCCGTCTTGTAGCAGAAAGGGCAAACGCGCTCGGTAGATCCATGAAATGCTAAGAAGTTCATGTCTTTCTCTCTCTTAAACCTAGATTTTCAATTCGCCTACATGTTACTAGGTCTCTACCGCAACCGCATTTTGAGAGCTTGTCCCACCCCTCCGTATTTCGCATTAATTACTACACTAAACGCACAGAACATAGATTGCCTCTCTATTTGGTTTTCTCATGTATTCGTATATCGGAGGGAAAAAGACTGTTAGTTACGAATATTGCCTAATGACTAATTTGCTAGCGATGTACCAGGTTAGGTTGACCTCTACGCAGTTCCAGTTGGAAACCATCGCTATCCTGGTTAATTTGTCACGATGGGCTATCTGTCTTGACCACATGTTTATATTATTATTCTTTACCGCTGCTTTGCCAGCATAAACAGTTAGCGCTGCTGGGCGCACCATTACATTATCACCTATTAAAAAAAACACCCATATATCCATTAACGAAGACCCACAACCGAATTGCATTTAGTCTCACTAGAATTTATACTAGTACTAATGTAAATAGTGCTAACTGACAACATCACTTTCGCAACTTTAAGCACTCGCCAATCAAGTTTGGAATGAAATCAAAAGTGTTACGATCGCTGTGTCATGAATAACTCCTAGTATGTTCTGGCTAGTATTAAATTTATACAAACCTTTATGAATTTAAAACAATATTCATTGATGATATCATAAACAATTGCTTCTATAATTTAGAAAATTAATAAAGGTGACACGGCCTGACCTTGTTCGAACATACTTATTTTATCTGTGTCCTAATTTACGAAGCGTAAGGAAAGTGAATGTAGAATTGCTAGAAAGTGAAATCACATTACACGAATATGTGCGACAGTTAGCAATCCGCCATGAAATATATGTGTAATTTTAAGTTGTATGAATAAAATTATTCCTTATTAACTATATATAATGAATAAATGAGATTCACAAAATTGTTTCACATGTTTATAATTTAAACCGATAATATATATATAGTATATATAGCTAATGCTCTGATAAATTGTAATTTATATTAAAAAGACCCTGAAGTTTAAAGTATACGTATGTGAAACCGTGTCTATAGATTTATGTTATCACTGTTATATTACCGGAACGATTAAGTAAAATTATTGTTACAGAGATAGTCCACAATTCAAGTACAAACGTAGATGTATGTGCTTGATATTGTAGGTATAGAACTGTCTCTACTCAAACACGTGTCATAATTACGTACAGACGTAGTAAGTTAGTACATTTGATTTCATAAATTGGCGTTTTAGATGACAGAAAGGTCAGTGATAATAAACAGAACATATCTAAACAAATTTTAAGAAATCTATTTTATAACCTTACCCTTATAGTCGATTTTACAATACTTTTTTTAATTAGTGTAATTTATAATGCGTGGAAATGAATGGTTTTAAAAAAATCATCAAATCCTAGCGTTTGATGTAATCTATTATTAATGTTATTGTTAATAACCAAAGAATAATAAACTAGTACATACTTCATAGAAAAAATTAAATGGACTAAGTATAACGAGACGCGAATGAACGCTATGGATTGATAAGGAAACCAAAAAACTGTTTATCAAATTACAATTTCTTAAAATATTTTCAATTTGCGGTTACAATGGTAGCCTAGTTAATAGGTCCACGAATTAATATAAAACATTGCGTCTTACAAGTCACTATGTACAATTATGGACGGCAGTCCAAAGTTAGATACGGAGTGATGTTGTAGTACTATAAATTTTAATTAGATAATATATAGTAGATTTTAATCTTTTATTACGAAAATACAGGCGCGTTAAAGAGGCGCAAGTATCGAATCTGCAAAGACCGTTTTGGATTTTATCCTTTGCGTCATGGAGCTGTTGGACTCAGGGAGTCCAGAGCCAAAATGTTTTATGACAGACATTGCGGCTAGTCGAGGTTTGGTGACCCAAGAGTTGGTATATATTTTGTCCAGAAGATGAGCATGGTGATTCAGAGGGATATTCATCTTCTGGGTTGCTAGTATCTTGGGTATACTGCTTCCATGTGCCACATTGGACAATAAAGAAGTTTTTTAACGACATATAATTGTTTGCAAAAAATATTAAAACTTTTTGAAAGTCTACAGTATTCTATATTTGAAAATAGATATAATACTGTAAACCTTTGAGAGCCGGTAGGCCCACTCCCGCCCGACATGTACGACATTAGCGGTCGTAATGTCGATCTCCTTTTGAATTTGAAAAATATTAAAATTATAAATATTGCTTACAACTTACACTTGTTTTATCCGATAAAATTACTAAAATGATCCAGTTATAGACATGTCGTAATGGTAATATTTATAAGTAACGTAAAAATACACACACAAATATACGATTATATGCAATATATTGTAACCTATGACATGTAGTAATTTAACAGATAACATTTCTGATTGTAACATGACATTCAGTATTTATTCATATTATAAATTAGTCCATTACCATGACATGACTCGCGCAAAATATTTTTATTCTGGGGGAGTTTCTGGCAACGCTGTTTGTAATGAAAGATATTTTTTTAAGAATCTCAAATGAAAGTAAAATGCATTTATTCCTATAATAATTTTTTTTTTTTTAATTTGGTTATCAGCAATCAATATAAGTATTATAAGCAATTGTTGGAAATTGGCATGGGAGGATGTCTATCCATTGGCCAAACTCCCTATATTTCAGCTAGATAGAAATCCTTCATCCAGCTCCAGAACATTTGCCCTTTTTAGTCTCTTTGCTAGGTTATTGACTAAAAGTTTCTGAGTCAGTTTGAACGGATGAATAGCAAGGTGTGCCTTGTTATTTAGTTATTTAGTGTTTGTTTTCCCAATTTCTTCCCTGATTGTGGGGATATTGGCAAAATGGTGAATATCAGACTTTATGAACTATGGTGCTTTTAAAATGCGCCTTAGATTTTGACAGTGTAACATATCCATAATATGTCCTAAATTTTTAAGTACTATTAGCAAATTTTCAGCTCTAATTGCAGTCCATAGGTATGTTGGACAATATAGAGATAGAGTAGTGTGAGTAGTTTCCATTGATTGAAATTCACTAAAATAGTAACATCAAATACAAATTCTTTTATCAGGTTTTATTTTCATAGGAAAGGTACATAAAAATTAAAATTAATAAACTCTGGCACCTTATGGCATAGTATGGCATCAACCTGGCAATTTATGACATGAATTATGAAAGTGGTAAATATTCATGTGCAGATGCAGTGTATGTCTGTCGAAGATAATCTGGGGAACAGGGAGAATTGTTGCTAGTAGTAAGGAGTATTATTTCTAAATAAATAAAAATTTAATGCATATCTAATATGTACTCAATCAAATTCCTAAACTAAAACTCACACCATTTATTAGGCTTAATTAAAATATTACTGACATCATTAAAACTATTATTTAATACAAATATGTAAGAACACCACAGTAAGCATATTTGTGTTTAGGTTTAATTATTAGGTAATTATTTCTTTGAACTTGTGTATAATTCTCTATTGGCGAACTTGATGCCTCACTCAAATCAAATAAGGTATGTAAACCCTTAGATTTATGCTTATAGAGCTTTCATATCAGAAATATATATTTATAACTAAATAGTTTAAATATTATTTCTCTATCTTTACCCCTGCAAAGGAAGACTTGTTAGATTTCTTTTTGTAAAACTAGCATTCTTGTATGTACATGAAATTAAATATAAAGAGCTAGTAGCACAACAATACTTCATATTTCTTTTTTTTATTATAATACAGAAGTTACCTCAAAAGGTTTAATTTTATAATAGTGCTAATAGCAGCTCCATAGATGTTCTCTAACCTTACATTGCAATTTCTTATTGTAAAGAAAAACTGATGATTTCAAGTGAACCACTTAATTTATAAATTTGTTACAATCCTGTAATATCCCATACATTACAAATATATGGTATAATAATATTGCTGTTGTTTGTATATCAGTGGGGTAATATCAATGACGAATTAATTAAGTTTATAGAAAATTAGTCATCAGATTTATCACAACAAATTGATGTCTACCAAAATAACAACCAAGCTAACTAGTTTTTTAGTAACTACGAAGTTATTTTAGTAACTTCACTTCACACGTCTTTTTTTGTAATTTTTGTATAATCTCTAGTGTGTGCATTATATTCAGTTTTTGTAGTTGAACAAACGACATCATTCATATTATTCAGTCATGACATGGTGACTGGACTTTTACGACATTATACTACTTATATTTTACTGCAGACCTTATATATATTTTTTTCTTTATACTGCGCATGTACTGTCGATAATAAAATTATACTTTAAAGTTTATATACGAAAAATATAGGATAAGACATTTGTAGTATGAAGTGACATACAATATTATTTTATTTTACACACTGCAGATTCATGTAATAACACATCCGGACTTGGCAGCGATACAGGGACAAAACAAGACTATTTTTAATATTAAACAGAATGTTCTTAGTCGTTCAATAATAAGCGCCAACAAGAAAATAAGTTCGGTGACGTGACATATCAAAGTACGGCTACAAAACAAATCATATTCCAAATGCACAATTTACGTATATTAAATATTGACTTACTTGATCTGCAAAATCCTCTGCTGTAGAAACATATTCATTTGGTATTTGCATTTTTCGTCGTATTTCACGGACACAATCGGCAAAAAGAAATTTCGTTGTGGAAGAAATCAAAATCGTCACGTCAATCACTTGTTGGTTGTCAAATGACGTGTGGATAGTTGGATTTCAAATCAGCGACCAATAAAATAAATATAAATACCCAGAAATTTTGAGGTGTAAAAATAATATTAAAACTAGTTAAAATCATATGTCACGTTTGATTAAAATTGCTTAAGAAACGTATTAGCTACAATACACAGTTCGAATAAAATGCGACCGGATGTTTTGACCATAAATTTTATGGGTTTCATTTTTAATCATACAATTTCTACAGAGTAATTCATAGTATGTAGTAATCTCGTAATCTGTGGCAAACGGTCGATCTGTGCTTTTAAAATTCTCAACTCTCTGATGACAGTCTGTCTGATCTCTGAGATTGTTATGATCTATACCATATTGTGTTCATGATATTTTTCTTCGTTTACATGAATTTGTTTTGCTGTTCACTTTTACAAAATTCCATTAACAAATAAAAAAAGCTTTACATTTCTTATATGCCACAATAAGGATAACATTAATATAATTTTATTAAATTTATATAGAGTATATCTAGTTAACCTAGTTAGCTGACAAAGTGATCACGGCGTAGTGTTTAGAAAATGTTAGAAGTTACGTGCAATGACCGGTTGGGCAAGAAAGTAAGAGTTAAATGCAATCCCGACGATACTGTTGGGGATTTGAAAAAGCTTATCGCAGCACAAACTGGCACAAGATACGATAAAATTATTTTAAAGAAATGGTACACAGTCTTCAAGGATCATATAAAGCTATCAGATTGTATCCTTTTACAATTTTATGGTTAAATATACGATGCGTGCTACAATATAATAATAATAACACAGTATAATGCACATGCCGTCACAACAACCCACAATCATAGTAAGGTGTTATGTTAAACTGCTAAACCACTGAGACTGTTATATACTTACAATATACTTTTTAAATTAATAAACTATCAGTATTCTACGGTATAATTTTATCGACATTATCAACCCGCAATATTTTATTATTAACATACTATATGTGCTTTTGCTATTAAATCCAAGTCAATATTTAAATAATAATCCAATCAAGTCAATTCTAAAACTATCAGTCAAATCTCTTAGAAAATATTATTTGAATCTACCACTCGTATTTTGTTATAATCCCTCTTTGTTTTCATAAGGGGCATATTAAATATTATTAAACATTTGCCGTAGCTGCAGACTGTCTTGTATAAGTTCTTGAGTAATTAGATTGTAAATGCTTCTTGTTATTAAATATACCAATCCATAAACACAACAATTACACACAATTTTTCATTCACAATAATGTCCCAAGTCTTTCCTCAATTGTAGATTATCAAAGAAATTCTTATTTAAACTTAGTATTGTATATTTTTTGTATTTATTTTGTAACTCTGGACAGCTTGTACTACCCTTTTGTTCTTATGAAAATAAAACAAATTTTGTACTATTGTACAGGATTTCTATTTTGCCTCCAATGATTGCCTTAAGAATGGTATATTTAAATGCGAGATCTTTATGTTCATTTTTTAAAGTTACAAAATACAGTGTTGTATACACTTATAAATAACACTACCTAACTTCTTAGACACTGCACAATATGTACTTTTTTACTTGATTTTTTAAATCAATTGTTTCCATAACTAACAATTACAGATGAAATCCATGATGGCATGAATTTGGAGCTGTATTATCAATAGATCGTGTAGTATAAAATGTTACCACTTAATCTAATATAAAATAAAATACTTATTTAATATATTGTTTTCTTTATTATTTTATAACAGTAATTGTGTATAAGCAACAGGACCACAGTCCATAGTTGGTTATTAGTACTTATAAAATAAAAAATATTTTTCTATAGTTCTTAAAAAATCCTTTAAAACTTGTTACACTTAATTTTTTTTGAGACTATTTTTTATTTGAATACTTATATTACAAACGTATGTAACATCCGGAAAGCTGAAACTACTGAGCAAGTACCTACCTAACTTCTTTTAGAGAAGTAAGATTCTGTAATTTCAGTTGAAGACATTCTTTCCACTATTCCAACAGTCGTCGTTAAAAAGTATTATGGAAATGTTTTACAGACTATTTAATAACTACGAGTTTTTTTAACAATTAAATAACCATTTGAAAATACAGCCATAAATATAACAAAAAACATTAATAGCTAGCATCCAAAGCCGTAAAGGACAAATAATAAAAAATAACGCGTGACATGCGAGATACCGTTACTTATAATACTACATATAGATATTTAAACAAAAAGTATATTTGTATTGTTTTATCTATATATATCTATAAACTATTAAAATAGTTGTCATTCCAGTTGTAGTTGTAATTTATTGCTAAATCGAATCGATAAATCCTAATATATCGATTACATCAGCAACAAGTCTGGATTATATTTACATATCGATACTTTCTTGACTTCTTACGGTATAAATCGCACCACTTATCGATTTAAAAATAATCGATTATTTTTAGGAACACAATAATCGATATACAAAAAACTTTCTAATATCATTATAAAATAATCCAATAAGTTTTTTATAGAGAATATGAAAAAAATTGGGCTTGGAACGGTTTTTGAACACTTTATTTTTATATATCAGACTTATTATAAATTACTTATCGAAATTTTGGAATAACCATCGAATGATCGATAATTTTTTTCGCATCACTAACCCCACCACTTTCGGGTCTCTACCACCCGCCATCTTTTTTGTTTTCAATTAAAATATATACACTATTATTATGTAAAATACAATCTTGAATTACTAATTGTTATAAAATAAGTACTTAATAGCTTTACTACAAATAAATCTTCACTTTTTTTATAAGTTTCTAGTATATTTAGTAATAGTACAATGACTGATGAAGGTAAGCGTTGTACAAATCGTCTTCGAAATCAATCTTGATAAATTTCGCTAATATATTGAATTTTTCAGAGTATAATCAACAGAAGCCCGCTAAAACTAGCAAGCAGCATAACGTATTACCAATATGGGGTAATGAACAAACTATGAATCTGAACCCTTTAATATTAGCAAATATTCAAGGTTCTAGCTACTTCAAAGGTAGGTAAGCAAACATAACAACGCACAGGAGTTTGGATTTCCATTATTGTTATTTCTTTTTAGTAATTCATTTTTGTAATATCCCATATATTTATTATTATTAATTTTCTGCAGTGCATCTGTTCAAGTTGAAGACATACCATGAAGTAGTGGACGAGATCTACTATCAAGTAAAGCACTTAGAGCCGTGGGAACGTGGCAGTCGCAAGACGGCCGGCCAAACTGGCATGTGTGGCGGCGTGAGTATGTTCATCAACATACTCTTAATATTTTCAACACACTCCACTCATCATCATTGCATGATGATGAGTGGTGTGTGCCTGAGAATAGATTTATTTATCTTATAAGTGCATATGAAGTTAAAAACCTGTATTTTTACTCTGCAGCAAATCTGTGTTTATTAATACATATTCATTTAAGATGAATGTTAGTAAAAACCTACATTTAACCGAATAAATATGTACTTAAAAATGCCACCAGTGGTAATAATAATAAACTGAAACATAAATATGTTCTAGGAAATGATATAAAAATAAATAAAGATCACACATTTCCTATACAATTAGGACGACTCATGCCGATAACATTATTTGAATGTGTAGAAACATCCCAATATATCAACAGCATGAGCCATCTAAATCTGACAATTAGACAGTTTGTGGCCAGGATTACTGTATATTTTACAGCATGAACCCAACATGTGTATTATATACATATGTTGTATCTACATACTGTTTATTAAACATATATTTTTTATGGATGATAATGGAATGTTGCATCCGCCTGATCTAATGGTTTACGCTGGCGAGGTACCAGTGCAGGATAATAAGATGAGCATGAGGTTAGGTTTGTTAGCCCCTCATAACAAATTCACCAAGAATATATCAAGATGGTTTCCAGGAGGTACTGCGTGGAGGTCAACCTGGCATGGTACATTGCTAGCAATAAGATCGTCAGCCCACATTACTAACAATCCCCTTTCAATGGGGGGCCATTAAACATATTAGAAATGCTTGTTAACATTCAACCTAAGAAATTACTGTTAAATAAAACTATTATGAATTATGCTAACAGAAATGCATTTCTGTTGCCATACATAAAATTATGTGTATAATTTTAATGATAGGTGCGAGGTGTTGGCGCTGGTGGCATTGTGTCAACAGCATTCTGCCTGCTCTACAAGCTGTACACACTGAGACTGACTCGCAAGCAGGTCAATGGTCTTCTGCAGCACACTGACTCGCCATACATAAGAGCTCTTGGTATGTGTTATAGACTGTTTTATAGAGAACATAACTTGATCCACATTTTCTGGTGTGAACAACAAGTATTTACTTGGTGTTGCAGGTCACCATAGACTTTGGTGAGATCTATCACATATATCTAACCAAGTCACCCATTTACTTCTGCATAAGATGTATTCAGTACTATGTGTTGTGGGACTTATATATGCCAGTGAAAACATTGATTCTTCTTCTTTTAATTTGAATGGCTTCCACCAAATGAGGTCGGTGATTTTGCCAACGTCATAGTTTGGGAAACATAGTGGTGGTGGTTTAATATATATTAATTCATTTGTCATTAATGAATATTTTGATAAACCAGTTTTGTTAAAGTACCTACATACCTAGCCAATAATGGCTTGTCATTAATTTTGTCCAAATACACTTGTTTGTAAGTAGATAATCAAATCAAAACTAATTTATTCATATAGGATATTTTAGCCGCTTATGAATGTCAAGTTTTTGTATTAATATTTTTTCCCTACTGTTCAGTTCAGTATAGAGATTCAATTGAGAAGAACTGGCAAGAAACTCAACTGAATTTCTTTTTTTTTTTAAAGCAACTATATTTACCTTAGGTACTTATATAATTATATATTAAATGAAAATCCTGTATAATATTTATTAAATGAAAATCCTGTGCATGAACAACTATTGCCAAACTAATGATAGAAACTGCAATGACATTATGCTGTTTCAGAATATTACCTAAGTGAGGTAAGGTTTGTATGATTATTATCTACAGTGCCCACTTTGTTATTAATTTCCAAAGATATGTAGCAATCAATATATGTATTATAATGTGTGTTACCATATGAAAGGTAAAAAAGCATAAGAACAAACTCTTATCAATACTGGTTTCAAAAGTGAAGTACTACAAACACATTGGCTGCCCCCTATATGAAATCTGGTTCAAAGTGCTATGATTTTACAAGGCATTTAAATCTTAGTCCTAAGGAATAACACATGTAAAGTTAACATATAATATAATATAATAAAATTTAGAAAAAACTTTCGTAATATGAAAGTTAAAAAAAAATAGTTTTTCCAAATATCATCTTATAGAAAAACCAGGCACTAGAGGCCTGAAAAATTTGGGAAAGAGTTGTCCAGAGAATATTGGTTTAATACCCCTTGAATAATACTGATATCGTAACTATCTGGTAGGTTTCATGTACATTCGGTACACGCAGCCCCCAGCAGATCTGTTCGACTGGTACTGTGAATACTTGGAAGACGACGAAGAGGTGGATCCGCGCGCCGGTGGAGGCGGCACCACCACCATCGGTACACTGGTCCGACAGATGCTGATCAAACTCGACTGGTTCAGCACTCTCTTCCCAAGAATCCCTGTACCTATTCAGAAACAGATCGAACAAAGGTAAGATATGTTTTATATTATCTTTCTAAAGTCACTTGTAGGGATATCATATATGTAGTATTATTTTTTTCTGTCTTTTAATTAAATGCTCATGTGTTTCAGTTCATTTAGCAGTGAAATTATGGTATTTATTGTAGCCTTATAATTGCATAGTATCAGGACATAAGTGGGAAATGTATTAGGGCCCTTTCCAAGTTTGTTGAGATGATAATGTTTTGAGGTTTGTTACTCACAATTAATGGATTACAGACAACCTACATCCTGTGTTAATTTTTGAGACACATTTTGGCTAATTAGTACATTAATACTAGGTGTATTAATATCAATGAATCAAAATGTTGTTTTATATTGCTTTAATTCAGTAGTTTATATATTTTTATTGTGTATCTTTTGTTACAGCTTCTAAACTTATTGGATTTTATCCTTCTGTCTGGGTGTCACAACGCTACGGTTTAATATAATCACTGAAGGAGTGAATATTACACACTTTTATAGCATTTTTTTGTATTTACTACTTTTGTCACCCTTATGTGCCATACAAGTAGAAAGTAATACAATAAAAGTTATCTCCAATAACTTCCTGTAACGGCCCCAAAATTTTTAACATGTCATATCTGTCATTATTACTACATACTACTGGAAGCTCTTTTATTATTTAAATGTGACGAAAAGTATTTTCAATGTGAAACTACTATCTCACATAATCTGACAGAAATAAATAGATACATACATGGAAACTCTGACATCCAAACAACTAACAAATAAACGTGAAAATATATGGCATGAACTTGACATATATGGATGTTTCTAATCATCAAATAATCATATGTTCTAAACATATTTTCTGACATTAGATTAGCTGAGCACACGAGACAAACTGCGGCGTCGAAGCCACCACCGAACTTCCGCGGCGGCGGAGGCGGCGGCAGCGGCGGATTAAGCAGTGGCGGATACAATCCTGGCAGGATGGACACTGACCGCCGCGAACACGATGACAGGGATAGACGTGACTACGGCGAGGTGGATAGGTGAGTAGTACTTACATTATCTTTATCAAATTCTACTATCGTGCTTACCTTACTTACTTGCTTATCTTCTTTTACCTGGCCTTTGTCGTATTTATTTGGGCCCGCCTGTCCCGCCTGGTCGATTTTCGCCAGTACACACTCTCCTGATTCCTCTATAGTGTGTGCTTGTTTTAAAAAAATAATTGCATTCGGTGGGCAGTTATTTTTGAAAAATGTTTATTAGTTAATATATGAATTTTTTTTCGCTCTTGTAATTTTCTTTTATTTAACATGAAATTTGCACACTGCATCATAACCATGGTGCATACTTTTTTTAATTTGACATAGATACCTAGTTTATGAAATATCTGATTGCACAAAAAAATCATGTGTAGCAGTTTCTATGTTGATTATCGCATGCCTCCTACTTACTCTGTATTTATGTATATATTGAAGTTATTTTAATGAATGTTATTAATAACATTCATTAAAATAACATCAAAAGAGTAACACGCAAGTTTCTTGCTCGTTTTTCTTTTGATGATTCTGCTTTCCGAATGAGTGGTAGAATAAAAATATGAATATTCAAGTGTTTATATTGGCTTTATTTGAATAAAGATTATTTATATTTCTATAAATGTTTTTCAGATACTCAAAAGACAAATCAAAACGAGACGATAGGGAGAGAGACAGAGAACGAGATCGCGACAGAGATAGAGACCGCGAGCGCGACAGACGCGAACGCGACAGAGATCGCGATCGAGACCGTGAACGCCGTGACCGCTACAGAGATCGCTCCCGGTCAAAAGAACGTCATCGCCGATCGCCGAAGGACCGCCGCTATAGATAATGAAACGCTATTTTGTAACTGTTGAAACAATGATTATTATTTGCCTGACAATTGCAATAAATAAGTAATGACTAATGTTAATGTTTAGTTTATTTTTTATCAACAATGACTGTCTATGTGGGTTCCTATTTCAGCCATAAAGTAGCGTAAAAAGGCATCGCTAGTAATGAAGTTTGGGGGCATTATTGGAAACAATAGTGGTTAATTCCATATTAATTTCGATATCATGATCGATGGGCTATATGACAGTATGTATCCTGGTAAAATAATCCATATTTTAGCCAGATAGGAAGCTATCATGTCATCCCTAATTGGTCCAGGTTCACCAATTGGGGACGCTGGACGATTGGACGGTTTACCATACTAATATAATTACCTAGAATGATTTATTATCACATACTATATCAAGTGGGCCGTCCATTTGTTTTGATTACATTACAAACAACAAAAACGCCGTAAAATGTTGAAATACATAAATATGTGGAACTACCAGTCGCACTTACAGTTTATTTACATTTGTAATATTGAAGTAAACATCATGCTACAGCTATTAATAAATAGGCGCGAAATTAAATTAATCGGCAGGTAAAACCACAGCACAGCTAGTTAATGATAAAGAATTATTGCAAAATAATACTGTTCTTATAACCTAGGACACATCATACTGTGGCAGTTAAACAGAGCTTAGCTTATTAGAGTAAACAACTGATAGAAATACTGATATACATTTTTTGTAAACACGTAATATTGGTATGTATATAGAAAACACCCAGACCAATTTAAACTCATACTCATGATCATTCATACAAATATTTGTGCCGTACGAGGAATCGAACCGCGACTCGTCAGTAAGGCGCTGTGCTAAATTGGTAGACCACCAAGACTCAAATAAAAAATAGTAATAAAATTATATCAGCAATTTAATAAGTATCTGCAAAACTAGTTTGAACCAGATATTCTTAATAACAAAACTAAAGCTTACAGATTACAACAATAAATAAAGAATTTTCATTGAACTTAAAACAATACAAGATCATTAAATACAGCTGTGCAAATGGCAATGTTTGCGTCATATTCTACGCCGCTGCACCTTTGACGTTCTCTTGTTGTTCAAATTTTGGGTATTTCTGTTCTACACTACTCCATGATATTTTACTGTTAGCAAGGTCCCTCACAACAATAGGAACATCCTCTATAGGAAGCCTCACCTGCCCCATATTGTCTCGTTCTCTCAATGTTACTGTGTGAGGCTCTTTGACAGTATCAAAATCTACTGTAATAGCATATGGTACCCCTAATTCGTCAGTTCGCGCGTAACGCCGCCCAATAGAACCTGATGAATCATCAACCTTATGTGAGACATCAACATTTGTTAGAAGTTGGTTGAGTTCTCTCACAAATGGCTGGAATTCAGCATTGCCACTAAGTGGTAATACTGCACACTTCATAGGTGCCACAGTAGCTGGTAATGAGAAGTAGGTTCTCTGTTCATCACCTTCTCTCATCTTGAAGTTGTGTTCCAATATACAATAAAGAATTCTTCCAATGCCAAATGAGGGTTCAATAACACTTGGTATAATTTCTTCGACATGGACTGTTTTCTGACTTTTCTTGACACTTACCAAATTTGGTGTCAATTTGAATTCTCCTACTGAAGTGCTAAGTATGTATTCACCATTTGAGTCTAATTTGCTCTGCAAGTCATCAAGAGCAGCAGAATCCATGGAGCCTAATGTATCATTAATTACTTTTGCATCTTTCTTGAATTCTTTACCAATTGCAGCCTTATTAGCTACAGCTTCTACTACTTCAATCTGTTTGGGTGCTGGTAATTTCTTTTCAGCTGCAAGTCTGATACCTGTAGCTTTTGTATGCTGAGTAAGATCATATGCAGACCTGTCAGCACAACCTACACATTCTACCCAACCATAACTGGACAGACATTCAGCATCCCAGCAATCACATGCATAATGAGCCATCTCATTGCCCATATGTTGTCTGAACCGCAGCTTCTTGGGGTCTATGCCCACAGCTAAAAGATAAAGGTGAATTCTTGCCATAAAGTAACCCAAAGTTTCGTTATTGACAATGCCTTTTGAGACTGCTTCTCCAATAGTAGTAATTTCAGCTGGTTTCCCTTGCTCTTGATTATCAGCTGAGTATAGTAACATTTTGGTATCTTTCACAGTGTCAAATTTAGGGTGGCTTTTAGAATCACAGAAATGTTCAATTTCACACATTGTAAATTCTCTAACTCTCAGTAGACCAGATCGAGGAGAGATCTCATTCCTGAATGAGTTGCCAATTTGGGCAGCAGCAAATGGCAGGCGACCCTGGTTGAATTCTAAAAGACGCTTAAAATTTACAAATATCCCTTGAGCAGTCTCAGGCCTCAGGAAGCCCTTGACTAGTCCAGAAGGACCAATCTGAGTGTTGAACATCAAATTAAATTCAATAGGTGGTGTAAGCTCATTGCCACTCACTGGGGACTTCATCTGGAACCTTTGCATCAGTGCTGACATATCATCGGCTGTCATACCATCAAGTTTAACCAGAATATCTTCAATTTCAGCTTTCAGTTCTGCTTTTGTATTTTTTTCACTTTTAATTTTTTCCAGGTGTGCTTTGATTAGGTGGTCTAACCGAAAACACTCTCCAGTCTTGATATCTTTTGTCATGAGATCAGCAAACCTCTCCACATGGCCTGAAGCTTTTAGAACAGGTTCTGGTGTTAAAATTGAACAGTCCACTTCCAACATTTGTTCCTGAAGAATAAAGTACTTCCTCCACAGTTGGATCATGTTGCTTTTGAGGGCACAACCCATAGGCCCAAAGTCAAATTGACCTGTTATGCCTCCGTAAATCGCGAATGACTGGTCATAAAAGAATCGCCTTTTTATAAGATCCTCCATTTTTGCGCGGTCGAACATTTCTTCTGAAGGTGTAAGAGCCAATTCTTTATCTTCCAACAATTTCTTCCTTGCCTTCAATTCAGCTACAGCCTTCTTTACATCGATTTCTGGTGCTTTGTCTTCCTTTAATTTTCTCACTAAATCACCCTGTTCTTTGACACTAGCTCTGAAGGGAGCCAAAATTTCTTCAATTTTAGGATCAGCCATTATAATATCTTTGTAAGGATTTGGAATTTTAATTTTTCTGTGTACTTTATTGCTTCCCCACTCAAGATTGTGCGAAAGTCTGAATGGAACAAGTGAATAAGATCTACTAAACACACTACACTTATATATAAAATTGAGAACTTGTCTCATTTATATTTGATATATGTATATTGGTTCAAATATAATTAGATATGGAGAAAGGAACATCGAAAATTAATTTTAATTTGCCGATTGCTCGCGTGGTGCTGACGAAACTTCTTGCAATGCAATCTGACAATTCTGACAACAATTTTGACAGTTTGCCACTGAGATGTCACAATCATTTGACACTGAAAATAGTTATAATTCTTCCTTTGGCGGGTTAACACACAAATTTATTTTTATATAAGAAAATCATGAATAACAAAGTGATAACTTGCTCAATGTATATCGCCTTTTGCTATCAGCGCCATATAAACATCTTCGCAGAATAAAAAGCAATATCAGCTATAGCAAAAATCTTTTAACTTAAAGTTGAAAAATATTAGATATTAGAGGGTTAGGATTAGATAAGAGGGTTGTAATTGGTAATCTTGGCTCAATTGTTTCATTTTATAATGGCAACTTTATCTTTATATCTCTTTCTCGTGCATGTAATTTACATATATACAAAAAAGAGATAGAACTATCGTAATAAGTCGTAAACTTTGATTATTTGTTTTCTTTTTCATTAGTTGACAGCACAAAGAAAGAAGTCGGTCGGCCATTTTATTTGTGGCTCAAAGAAGCTGTACTTCTTCATCCATTAAATTTTGTTTAGTTTTATTACAAAGGTTTTTCTAAATACCTATTTTAACTTCGTACAAATTTGTATACGTACTTACAATAAGTTTTAGGCATATGTATTGATTGCATTCGTTAGAAATGGACGATCCGAATCGGATGATGGCGCACAGCGGTGGATTGATGGGACCGCAGAGCTATGGACTCCCTGGTGGTGAAGGCACCCCAGCCGCGGGTGAGGGCGAAGCCCGAAAGCAAGACATAGGTGAAATCTTACAGCAGATCATGAACATCACGGACCAAAGCTTGGACGAAGCACAAGCTAGAAAGCATACATTGAACTGTCATAGAATGAAGCCTGCCCTATTTTCTGTACTGTGTGAAATCAAAGAGAAAACCGGTATGTGTATGTGCTATAGTTATTTCTGCTCTATTATGGTCATTGTAATTAGAATATTAATATTTTGTAACAATTTATATACATTATTTTTATATATAATCTATCTATCTTCACGCCAGATATCGTACGGGTTTATCCTCTATTAATAAAAATATACTCTGTAAGGTTGTCTGGAAGAGATTGCATTAGCGATAAGACCACCTCTTGTGCTTAGTTATATTTTTATGTTTTTAATTTTGTTCATGTCCTTTATATGTTGGTGCAATAAAGTGTTATAACTCATAATTAATTTTAGATACATATTTTCACAACCAACTTCCATAGGCCTAGGCAGAGACTTATGGGTACTATATTATAAATAGATGAATATTCTAAGTTACACACAAGTGAGTGTATTACTGATGTCTTTACATTGTGCTGTTCTGAAGCCTGTTTCCCAAGGAAATTGTATAACAGCATCAAATGGGTGGAGCAACAATAATCAGCTAGCATGGTGTACTAAAGGGGGATGTTTTAATTATTACAATACTTTTATATTGTTTTTGTTATGCTCTGTCATTATCAATTCTAATATCTGTTTTACTTATCCATTATTAATCCATAGTTATGGCATGACCATCATATCATGATCCTCCGCTGGTACCTCACTAGCATATAATACTCTTAGTGCAAAATTTCATTAACATTTATATAAAAAAAGTTTAATTTCAAGGTCCTGAAAGTTTTCTAAGTTCTTCATTTAATTGCTATAAATAAAAAAAAGTATTTGTTTATTCAGTTCTGTCTCTGCGCAACACTCAAGAGGAGGAGCCTCCAGATCCTCAGTTGATGCGTTTGGACAACATGCTCATTGCTGAGGGTGTTGCTGGCCCTGAGAAGGGTGGGGGCGCTGGGGCCGCTGCCTCTGCTTCGGCTGCTGCTGGAGAATGGGGTAATTATTTTTTATGATTTTTATATTTCAATGTTATTATTTTTCAAAGAGAGATATCACTTAAAGGCATTTAGTTTCCATGTACGTAGTATGCACAAATTTGAAACACAGGCATTAAAAAACAAACTTCCTGCTTCTATTTAAATATTTTTTATATTTCAACTTCTACCTCAGCAGTAAATTGTAAGCAGGTTATTAATGGTCTACATTTTCAAATAAAACTAATAAATATAGTATTATTTATTCAGTTGAAGTAAACATTGGAGATAGTTGGTTCATATCAATAATATTGCAGCTGGGTGTTTGGATCCTATGCTTTTATGACTAACACTGTACTTGTATTCATTGTTATCTCTGTGTGCTGTACCAAAGACATTATAAATTTCACATTGCATGTTGTGATACAATAAAAATCTTAAAGTATGTGTGTGTGTGATGGCCACTTTAAAGAATGTTGGATAACATTCAATATCAGCAATCATAAATTTATTTAAATATTTTTTTGATAAAAAAACAAAGTACAAGAAGCATACATAATAGTAGAAACATTCTCTACCAGGTAGCCTTTGGGATTATCGGTATTTGTATATCCTCTCATCTGCAAAGGAGTCAATTATTGGACTCGAGCACTATAGCTCCATCTGTGAAGTATTCAATAATTTTTAAAACCTAAATTTAATAAATTATTGGACGCTCTACATATAACAGCTAACAGTTGAAAGAATATACTTGTCACAAGTATAAAAAAAAGTAATAATAATAAATAATAAATAGTCACTGATTGAGGTTTACACAAAAATAATTTTGCATGTAGCTGATTATGTCAGCTGTTTTATGTTTGATGCTTTTTGCTTTAGACTGCTTTGTTGTACATTGGTATGGTATTATATAGGTCACTTCTTGAATTGTCAGTTCAGTATTATTTCAACAATTGATAAGCTTGGTCATTTTATTTATACAATTTTATTGTAATATTCTGGTTCATGTGTGTCATAAATAACACTGACCAATCATAGAAGTGATCTTACCTGACTCTTACACACTAATTTGTCTGTGACCTGAACCCGTTAAGACTTTTATAGATAATATCACCATATATGAAATGGAAAGAGATAAATAAGCAATTTTTTTTATCAAAGGAAAAGCAGATTCTCCAGCTAGGAGTTTCTAATCAATTATTAAACTTTGCCACTAACCCTATAATATATTGAATACTAAGATATTTAAAAATGTATGTTAACAATTTTAACAGACAGTATTATTCAGTGTATTACTATTAAAATCAAATGTTTTAGATAATTAAATATCACTGTTACTCATACAATACAAAATTATTGCATTAATTGCACTAAAAATGCATTAATGTTTTGAAATTATTACATTATGCAAAATATAGAAAGAGAAGATGCCTAAATTTGCAGATTTCATTTAAATACACCTCTAATTCTATAACCACTCATTAATTTGCCATTACTTTAGCATTGTTTTCTCCTTATAAGAGTAGTAATACATACTTTTAGTATAGAGTTTATAAATTAGAAATGAAGCCTAAATTTTGAATAATAAGTGGTCATTTGTTATACAAATTTTAGGATTATGTTGCCATAGTTTACTAAATAAAGCCTAAACAACAAACTCTATAGTCTGTTTTAAATTGCATAATAATTAAATAGAAGGTTCTGGATCTTCACTGCTGCAATTCCTACTGAATGTAGTATAAAATTGTGAAAACCAGAATGTATATGATGTAACTATATGTATATAGGATATAATATATATATATATATATATATGTAGTTCAAGTGTTAAAAAAACAAATCTGTCCTCTTTATAATATTAGTATATGTAGATATATAGTATTATAGAACATTATGGGTAGACTTCCACGGCGGCTACTAACAGGCGCATTGGGACGGAGGTTGCATGTTGTCTTTCTTTCCCCCGTGTGCTGCAAACTAAGGCACTGTGGCTCAAGCAGATAACGCCATCGAGCACTCGGACTACCGCGCGAAGCTCGCCCAGATCCGGCAGATCTACCATCAGGAGCTGGACAAGTATGAGAACGCGTGCAACGAGTTCACCACCCACGTCATGAACCTGCTGAGGGAGCAGAGCCGCACCAGACCCATCACGCCCAAGGTGAGCCAGTCAAAATTATAACAAATATTACTATCTTAGTCATTCTACAATAATTTATATATAGATTTATAGACCTAATTTATAGGGCACAGACAATGGAAATCCATGTCTATTAATGTTTTGAAAAACCAAGGTAGATTTTGTAAAGTGGTCTGCGTAGTTATCTCAGTCTCACCAATTTGGCTAAGCAGCTTTATAAGCTGTGTTTCGAATGTATGAAAGGTACGACATCTTAGTTCTCCGAAATAGCAACACATAAGTGAATAGAATAGAATAGAAAATCATTTATTCAAATAAACTTAATTTAAGCACTTTTGAATAGTCATAAAATGTTAGTCTCATCACAAGAAGAACGAGCAAGAAACTTGTGTGTTGCTCTTTTAAATAATCCTTGTGGTATCATCAAATGTTAGCATGATGTCCATGGTGCTGTTTAAGTATATAGTTGACGGGTACTACTTACCATCTGATGGGTTTTTGTTTTTTATATCATTTACATAAATCTAGTTCTGATGAAATAGCGTAACTTGCACACAAAAAACAATGTTGTATTGAGAAACTCCTTCTTCTGCAAATACAATTACAATTATGACGCGCTATATTTGCGATATCCAATAAAGTAAATATAATTCGCCTTTCATTTTGCAGTGTGGTTATATTGTAATAATTCCCTATATTTTTTATTATATGATGACAGGAAATTGAACGTATGGTGCAAATCATACATAAGAAGTTCAGCTCCATTCAGATGCAATTGAAGCAGTCCACCTGTGAAGCCGTTATGATCCTACGGTCTCGGTAAGTTCAAATACAACATAAAGGCTACGTATATACCTCTATGTTGACAATTAGTTTTATATATAAAATGCTGCACAAACGCAGTGGAAACAACTGAATATCCAAAGTATCTGTTTATCTACTTATAGATTTGAAGTAATTGTAAAAAAAAGTAATTAATTCGCTACTTCTTAACTAGTCGCCGGGTGGGATGTTGTACTGTTTCGAGGTAAACCAGTGCTCTGCTAAACTAGTCTAATTTAGCACTCAAACAGTCATGGAAAACAAGCCCAAATCCATTACGACAAAACTACAGTATCTGTATTCGAACACCTTAGTGAGATCGTTTTGTAATATGTAACTATCCCGTATGGGGTACTTGCATGCCAACATCTCATGGCCTCGCAAAATCTAGCAACACCAACAATTACCGCTTGCAGTTTCCTGGACGCACGCCGTAAGCGGCGCAACTTCAGCAAGCAGGCGTCGGAGATCCTGAACGAGTACTTCTACTCGCATCTCTCCAACCCGTACCCGAGCGAGGAGGCCAAGGAGGAGCTGGCACGCAAGTGCGGCATCACAGTCTCGCAGGTAACCGGTCATTGACCCGCTGTTTGGTGCTTCCAGTTTCCTGGACGCGAGGCGTAAGCGGCGCAACTTCACGAAGCAAGCGCTCGAGTTGCTCAACGAGTACTTTTACTCGCACCTCGCTAATCCGTACCCGAGCGAGGAGGTGAAGCAGGAGCTGTCCAGGAAGTGTGGTATTACTGTATCACAGGTACTCGTCCTGACGAGCTGCCACCGCGTTCAATGTTACATGTAACAATAGTAACGTACATTATTTGAGGTATAATGCTGATATGATTCGTCTACCATTATCATACATATAATAAAGCCTTAAGAGAGCCCTGTCTGGGATATTGATTTAAGTTGTAGAGGCTAAAATAATGTTTTTGTATTTTGTTTGTTTGCCTGTGCTTTTGCATGCTAATCTCTTAAGGTCTCTAAATGACAATAGACTCCAATAATAATAATCCGAAATCGCGGGGACTATTTGATAATTATCTAATATATTCCACAAAAACAAAATTAGTATACAGTTAACACGGGAGTAAATAATCTAATAATTAAAAAAATATATACGAGGTACAAAAGTCATGGTTAACACGTTTCTTCTCTTGACTGGAGTATTCACAGTGTCTTTCAGCGGAAATTATTATAATTATTCTGGTAAAAAAAAGCTATGATCCAATTAAGCTCGCCGGCACATCCTGTTCCTCGGATTCCGCACCTCTTCCTCGTTATCATTGTCCACATATTTTATAAGATAATAATCCAGATATGTTTTACAGGTGTCTAATTGGTTCGGCAACAAGCGTATCCGCTACAAGAAAAACATTGGCAAGGCGCAGGAGGAGGCCAACCTGTACGCCGCCAAGAAAGCAGCCGGTAAACAAAATTAATACTGTTTATTATTTTATTATACCGGCCATGCACTCTCAATATTGTTATATCAATTTGCGTGAACACAGGCTCATTTGATCATTTCCAATATCATATATATAATATATCATATATATAACATCGTGATTTCATATTTTACAGATTATAATGTTTAAAGTATATATTTATAAGCTCTGTAGCTAACACAGTTGTCACGACTTCTGTTTGCTAATTGACTAGAGGATATATTAATTTCTAATAAGCTTATATATATATATCACTTATTTTTCCACAAATAGTACCAGAACTCTAAAATGCTAATATTCATGTTTTGAGTGGGTACATCCATCGAATAGTGTAACCGAAATATAAGAAATTTTACAGGAAACTATACATACTAAATACTAAAATGATTAGGACGTTTTTATTCTACTCACATGTTTGAATAGAATAAAACTCATTCACAAGTTAATTTTTATATTACGTTTAACCACACCGCAACGATCATGCAAATTGATGGATATATTATTCTAGTCCATGCGCAGCTGGCTTTAGCTAACTTCTAGCATTACACCTGCACCTTTTAATATAGAAAAATAAGTATTCTCGCGAATTATATACCCAACTTTTATGATTTATAGTTCATAACATAATTATAATTAATACTATCATATATATTTTTATGGAAATAAATATACAACCGGCGAACGGTTCTAGTACTAGCGGCGCCACTTCCCGCGTACTATACTCTCGTTTTCGCACACAGACCTGCCTTGGATGGGCGCGTGCAGGCGCGATGCTAGCTCCCCTCCCGCCAGAGCCACTCCACACCACAGTAAACAATTTAATAGTCCTTATGCAGGCCATATGCGCTTTATATACTGGCCATAGAGCCAAAGTTATGTAATAAATAGATGGAACATTAATAATTATTATATGGACAGGCGTTAATCAAGTGTTGTCGTTCTGACAATTTTAAACTATTGATACTAGGATTGGTTGCATGCTTTATTTTGGAATACATGTAGTTATTCCACTGTATGGATGGTAACTATGTACGCACAGACATGGACTTGCATCTACGAATTAAGCGTGTCAATTTTTTTTTGCCCTAAGTTAACTTGATTTATTCGGATTATGTTGAAATATATATATACGATTGAGTAAAACTAACTAAGAATAGAGATGTAAAAAATATACTAAATGACGTAACTTGACTTGTATAGGAATAGGTATAGATATTTATACGAATAGAAATATCTTTATTCAAATAAATTTAATGCAATAACTTTTGAAATAAATGTTGTTCAGAATTATATTTTTAAGAATTTTGTGTCAATACATACTGCCAAATAGCAAAGTTGACAAAAATAAATAAATAGTTGTTGAGTAACACCAAAATAGTCATATCAGTCAACATCAGAGCAGACCAGTGTAAAGAACGAGCAACACCCGTTCACGGGTATAAAAATCTATTTGACTGATTATTATGTTTAGTCAGTAAAGGGTTTATTATGTAAGTAAAACAATATGGCACGCTTAGATATGATAGACGTAGTGGTAGTTGCGTGTTCGGTCCGTGTCGGTGCGTGCGTGCGTGCGCGCGTGCACGTGACAAGCGTGAGTTGTGTCGCAGCAGCGGGCGCGTCGCCGTACTCTATGGGCGCGGCGTCGGGCACGGCCACGCCCATGATGTCGCCGGCGCCCACGCAGGACTCCATGGGGTACTCGCTGCCGGCGCCCGGCTACGACCAGCCGCAGCCCAGCTACGACGGCTCCATGGGCTACGACCACATGCACCAGGACCTCTCGCCGTAGGCGCCGCGCACGCACACCCGGGACTCAGGTATTAGACATATATTTTGTCAATGGTACTCATCTATTTGGTCATTCTTTGTGTTGGATGAGAATGGAATGCACTCATTTGCGCTAATAGTTTACGCTGGCGGAACACCAATGGATGATAAGATAAACATGAGGGTCACCTCATCGGTGAACTGATGACCCCATTGCTAGACCATAGCTAGAACTCAGTTTAGCTATGGTCTAGCAATGGGATCATCAGTTCACATTACTATCAATGACATTTTATAATGAATGATAAAGGAACGGTGCACCCGCCTTCGCTGACGGTACCCGTTGGCTGGGAGTGGAGGATGAGGTCAAGTCAGTTAGCACATCGTGATGTAATCACTTGGTTTACAGGGGAACCGCATGGATACATGGTATATTGCTAGTGGTTGTGATCACATTGTCTTAAAGTTAGTGGGTAATTTTCTTAGCAATAAACAATATGTACCTATTTTATCACATTTAGATATACTCCTACACATGCAGTATGAGTATTAAGATATTATTGAATTTAAAGTGGACTATTTAAACTCTTCTCTGATAAAAGGTACTTGCTAAATCTAATTCTATGAAGAAAATCTTTAGCAAAGTAAAGCGTAGTTTCATAAATATTGTTTAAGATGTTTCCACTCCGTTGTTGGATAACAATAATCTGCTAAGTTATTCTTTTGATTGTTTCAGGTTACGGGCGTGACACTTGATTGTGCAGCTTCCACTGAATTGCCATTTACATTACTACATAAATACTATATATAAGTAGCCGGTGTACGAACCGTTGTGCGCGCGGCCGGCCGTCTCTCGCGCCCGGTCGCACATCTCATATTGCCTTAGGACATAGGACATTGTATACTATTACATACACATATTTCTAGCAATCGTATTTTTGGAGGGACATGTAATTGAAATGTATTTAATTTGTATTATTATTCAACTATACGACTGGTACCCAGTATTTGTTTCAAATTATATTATTATTTTTTATATAGGTGTAACGTTTTACGAATGAATTCTCGCGCGGCAACTATTTATGTACTGTATACAAGTATTATTGTTTTTAAATCGGTTTTACGTTTTGGACTGTTGTATTATTTTGTACGGATTATTTGGACAGTATTAATTAATGTTATGTAAAAGCACCACATCGTTCGGCGGGATCTCGTGTTTCTAAGCGTTCACTACTTATTCGTCTTTACTACTACGGTGGATATAAATAAATATACGATAGTTGTAAGCTAACCTAGTGTAATATTAACTATAAGTATTCAGATATTTTGTGCTAATTAGTGTCCTATGCAGTGCGTCTTAAATGGAGTGCCGCTAGCCGCGTAATGGCGGTCTCTCCTAGTATTAAATAAATCAAACTATATTATGCTAGGTACATTTTAATGTATTATAGTTTATTTATTATACAATTATCAACGACAATCTCAATTTGCAATACTATATTATAATTTTATTAGTATGTTAAAGTATACGTAATTATATATTCAATTGGATGTGTACAATGAGAATGGTGATGAAATATGAGTACTTATTCAATATGAATTGATTATATTTACAAAATTTATATTGTAACAATGAAATCTTATATTATTTACAACTAAGTTTACAATTATATATATATATAGACGCATGAATAATGAAATCACTACTTGGAGATACCGCAGTTGTGTGGCGCGCAGCTCTGCGCAGACATGGTGACTTGCGTGCAATTTTAAAACTTTATTAGACATGGTTGTGTTAGTTTCACGCGCATGAATTTTCGGCCCCCGGGGCACTACTTTATCAGTGACCTCGACATTTTTTAAAATAATTATATTCCTTTTACAAATGTTCGGGAGTTGTGAATATCAGGACAGAATATTATATTTTCTCGGTGCTATGTTGTTGATGGCACAAATATTATTTTTGCATTATAGGCGATAAGTTGAATGTTAATCAGTTTACTATGACGCCGAGTGTGTGCGCTGTTACGTAGGTGCCACAGACGGACTTGCATTCAGTATAACGTGTGATTAGTTCCACTTAGTGATAGTTTGGATACGATGAAATTTTGCTAGTGTTAAGTTGATGTGTTCTAAAACAAAATATCTGAAACAGTATACGAGAAAAAATAACGAGAAATTTAATTGAATATGTTAAAAAGATGCTGTGCAACATTGAAATTGTATCACGTCGCTGTCGAAATATTAAGCTTTTAACACAATAATTATACAACACAGAATATTTATAATAAACTGATTTTAAATAAATTTAATATAGATTTAAATTGGTATGTGTCAGCGGCGTGAACACCATGTATACGACGACGAGTTCAATGTTATTGCGACCATCGAGATTGAAATAAATACATTTTTGTGTAGTTAAATAGTTCACGTGTTTTATTCATGAGACTTCCTGTTATTTTTTTTTATTAATATACTTAAATGTAATCTCTACAACATTTAATGGATTATAATGGAATTGTGCCCCGCCTGCGCTAAACGGTTTAGGCTGGCGGGGCATCATTAGAGTATGATAAGCTGAACATGAGGTCAGGTCAGTTGGATCATCGTGGTAAATTAAACAAGAATTTATCAAAAAGGTTTCTATAGGAAACTGCGTGGAGGTCAACCTGAGATGGTACAATGCTAGTAATGGGGTTATCCACATTGCTTACAATCCCCTTCCCACTTGACAAGAATATAGTTCGTCGAGTAGGATTATACATATGTTTAATTGTTTGTGGAAGGAATAATTTTGTTGATTATGTTCGTTGGGTATTTGTATGGGCAGTTCTTGCGTACCATTTTTATTATCTCATGAACAAAAAACGGTGAGTATTCATCCTCGTATTTCAACCTTATAGTAAAATTCAGATTTAAACACGAGTAAACAGGATGTTTTAATGTCATGTTACAGTTATAGATATTTATCTTTAGATCTTTATCGTTCCGTTCTTGACAATCTAAAATCGATTTAACACCAAGAATCATATTCAAGTCATATCAGCTTTAATTATTTCCTCATCTCAAATATAACCGAGGTATAATGAGATATATGTAATACCTAAACATTTTTTGTATTTATGATCAGATAACATTATTTGAATTGCGTCGTATCGCACATTTTATACTTTTTTAATGGAGTGGAGTACCGCTTGTCATAACGGTTTACGCTGACGAGGCACCAGTGGAGGATGATAAGATGACGTTAGATCAGTTTGCAATTTGACCAGGAATTTATCACGATATAGAGAAATTTAATTTATCAGATTCAACATGCCATCTCTACGTAAATTTGATTTGTTAACGATGTTCTACATTAAAGAGAGTTAGTTTAAATCCTAAATTTGAATACACGACCTGATTTAGGAGGAGAGTTATTCACACTCATTTATATACCGCTGTAGCTAAAAGTAGCAATTATCTATATCTTTAGTTATGACGTCACCCCATGTATGGGAAGTGTAGACCTAATAGCTTAATAATCTCCTAATGCATATACGTTACAGTTTTTAATGGACTTTGATGGGCCACTAATATTGATGACAGCGAATTAGCCGGTTCCACTTGATCAAATCATTATGATAAGTAATATTTACGTTTTATCGCCTCTGTGACCTTGGATGAATCAGGTGGCAAATGACAAACGCAAGGCTGCCAGCATAAGTCTCAGTTTGACGTTTGTATTCGTTTGAGAAGCTAGTCTTTTTATTCGAGTGTTTTGTTATGATAAAATCGATTGTAGCCCTAACCAATTCTGTGATATTAAAAAATTGTAAGTACCGTAATTATTAATATGTAAAATAAATACAATATCTTGGCTTGAAGGCCTTTATTGATTTGTGTGTCATTTATCAGTTATATAGATACCTATATGTGCAATTCTGAAGTGATGGTTAGGTGAAGAACGGTAAAGTTTTTGTTGAAAGTTTTTCCTGTTCTATATGAATATTTTATTAAAAAATATCCTTACGAGGAAAATGTGAAATTTATGTTTATTAGTGCTTAATAAAATATTGCACCTGGGTAGTTTGAAATATCAAACTTGTTATGCTTAATAAAGCAGCTCTGAAAATAATTAATTGTCAGTAAAATATAAGAATTCCTTACACAAATAAAATCTTACATATCGTCTCGTCTTAAAAATTTAACAATAAGGACAATATCTACTCTTTTTGATTGCAAAACAATTACCGAACCAAAATCAGTACAGTGCTATTGATATCTAATAATACTCTGACTGCGACATTAATTATTTAATAATCTTAATTGATAGAATTAGTGTTAATTTCAAATTGCCTATTTTCAAACTACCACCACCGATGTCAACGTGCGAAGACGTTGGCGTTGGATTTTGTAATGTTAAGGCTCTACAAAAATTAGTAGTAAATAGATCTAGGCGGTTATCAACGATTTTATCATTTATAGGTAATCCTTCGAGTCACGATCCGTGCATATTTGGAAATTCTTTCGGTAATTTATAAACACAGACTATATTATCATATAAAATAATTATAATAATATAAGTTGTATTGCTTGTTTAGCGATGTATACTGTTCTGTACATGGAAAATATATTTTATCTTGTTTAGCGACGTATACCTACTGTAGCTGCCATAGTTAACAGTGTTAAGATATGACTAGATACATAAGTTTTGTATGGGTGTTACTTGTGTGCTCAGCGGCCAGGATGACAAGCATACACAGCGCGTACAAGGACGAGATACACGATGTTCCGATGTCGGTGATCCTGAGGCCTTTCGAACCAGAACTCAGCGAGGACAAGGTGCAATCGCTAATGGAAACCATACAGGTCAGTACTCAGAACAATCTTTCTTTAGAATATATATGTATATATATATTTTATTGGGGGTTTTGGGCTACTGTCACGTGCTAAGACCACTAACACTATGAACTACATAAATCTATTGTGCTCGTCCTTTTTAAAACAAACATTGAAGGACATTCTTAGGAGCATAGGTTTTTATCTCCTCAGGATCACAGATAATTATTTTAACCACTGTGGTTATTTAGAAGTATCATATCGATAGTCTAGCAGTTTCGCACACCGCTCTACTTCCGATGATCGTAGATTCAGTTTCTAGCAGAGTACTAACATGTGTATTCATGCATGTGATTGTTTGTATAGCGTAGTTTGTTTTCTAGGTATACTATATAAAATAAAAAATATAAGTATTTCTGTCAGTTGTCTAGTACACAGCTGCTTATCTTGGAACTAGATGGCGCCGCACAGTGGGAACTCGCCTAAGAAAGCCATCTCATAAATACTTTTTCTAAAACTCAGTGGATGTGCATATATAATACCTCAACTTGTAGCCAAAGAGTTACTCTATCATTATAAATATGATTCAAATCTCTGACTATTCATACTTCATAGAATAGAGCCTCTAAAGTCAAGGAATGAAAAAAATACAAAAATAATTTTGTAACTTAAATTTGTTTGGTACAAGTTTATAGTATCAAAACAATATCAAGTTATATAGTGTGATACCATTTTAGAATGCTTAGAATGTGTACTTTACTATAAAATAAAAATATATTTAGTTTAGTCGAATATTATTTAACTAAAAATCCATATATCGTTATATGTACTATTTTCTTTTCTCAGACTTTCACTTGGAGATTTGACAGTTGCCGAAGCTTGCCGAAGTTCTAAATTTGATTTTATTTATTAGGAAATATAATTTAATTTGATGGCATAACATTTTTTTTTGCAGTTTCACTGCGTAAAATATTTAAATCGAGTATAATATCATGGTGAGATTTGTTTTTTCTAAGTACGTATATTAAGATTTTCTTCTTTATTTGAGATTCTCTGTCTGAATACTCAAAAAAATACTTTTTGCTCAATTATTACTTTATATTTTATCTTTTGCCTTACTTTTATCAACTATTTCACTCAGTATATAGTTCCCATTCCCATACAGACCTATTCTATACCGCAAATGATGAAAATATTTTTTATCAAGTAATTTTGCACACGTATATGATCATTATCAAGTATAAAATAGTGTATGTATTTGCATATGAAATATTACAGTTCTTCATAAGCATTTGTCATTACTAAACAATTGTTAATTACTCATCTCGCCCCAATGAGTGAATTCTCGTGTACCAGATGCGACTTAAGTCTCTTATTGATTTAAAGTGATACAAATTATGTTGATTCTATCTCAAACTATATACGAAATAATTTTACCGAATCTTCAGATGCCAATATAGCAAAAATTATCGCAAGTATTTAGAAGTCCTTCATAACTCAGTTTCGTCAACGCTATACGAAATGTGGTCGAAAGAAAGAACAGTTTTTAAATAAAATAGCAATTGATAGGATGGTATTTTCACTGTAAACCTAGAAAAAACTACATGCGAACCTGAACCTCCTACTTCGACAGAGAAAAGAGGCAGACCTTCTAAAACGTACGAAGACAGTTCGGACAAAGAAACGGAAAAACAAGGGATTGCTTGATACCTGTGTACTTCATACTGAACTCATATATACAGGGTTTAAGGGTTTCATCGTTGATATTTTACGAGCATTGCCGGCAGAAAACTAGAATGAAATGAGCAATCTTAATGAGTAATCTTATTAATGAACCGGCACATATAACAGCATATTCAAAACATTAAGCTCTTAGCATTTTCATAAAATTGGATCTGAACAAGGCACAGTATAAAAATATGAGGAGTTGTTAGATAGCAACACTAATGACGGCAATACAGCCAGAAGATTTTTCCAAAATTATCATTGTACATTAAAAATCACTGGTATAGATGAGGAATTAATAAAACTGTTTTATGTTATGAAATGAAATGTGAACGTGTGACACGTCACTTTTCTGTCTTGCCTCTCGGGCAACTTTCAGAAGATGCTCAAGAGTCACGGAACAAAGACTATAAACAGTTCAGGCTTCATCATGCAAGACAATGTTCGAGGGTAGCCTACAATTTCTAACAAAGATGTTCTACACGCATTTTTATATACCTCTGACCCATACATAACAGTTTAAGAAAACCTTCCAATTAAAAATATTTAGTACTTTTTGATGAAGCAAAGGAGCTCTTGAGTGACTTGTAAGCCATCTTTATAAGAATTTTTGTTTTTTACGTAGATACTTTTACTTATTTCTGTATAAACTTCTTAGGACATAAATGTAAGTCTACAAATTCTATATTTCTTGTATTCCTACATTTTCTATAACTATTAGAAATATTTTTTTACTCACAAAGCATACATTATTTAAAAGTATATATATTTAAGATTATCAGGAAAAAAAATCATGTATATATCTTTATTAATACAGATGTTATAGATTTATGAGATGAAAATGAGTCAAAGTTCCCACTGTGCGCCGTGTGAATAGTGCTGGGTTGTTATTATTATTATGTGCATCGTCAGTCGTCACGCTTGTTTCTCATTAAGGTAGGCAGAAACAATAAAATTCCAAATAATTTAATACCTGCCGTCCATCGTTTGCGATGAAGACCGTATGCATAGGTGTTTAAATTGGTACTTTGTCACAACATCTATTCGACAATCTGCCATTCGTTTAAGGGTTATTACTGCTGTAATTTACATACAATATTATTTATTGCAGAACGAAGAGAAGATAGGTAATGTGCCACCTATAGACGTCCTATGGATTGTAGGCACAGAAGGTGGTAATTACTTTTACAGTTTCGGAGGTTGTCACCGTTACACCGCGTACAAACGTCTCAACAGAGAAACCATACCCGCTAAGTTAATCAAATCCACTGTCTCGGATCTCAGAACCTATTTGGGGAGCAGTACACCGGATCTAAAATAACATTATGTATGTAGATGTATATATGTCATGTAATAATAGTAATAATATAACTTTTTATTGCACACAGAAAAATATTTAAATAATGTGCTAAAAAAGGCGGGTTTACCGCTTAAAGCAATCTCTTACGGACAACCTGGGTTATCGAAGCTTTGAGTTAGGAAAAGATTTGTGGTTTCTATAGAAATAGACAATATACCGACATAAAATACATATATACATAATTTAGTAAATTATTAAAATAAAAAAACAAAATTTACTATTAACAACTGTTTACATAATTATATGGACTTGAGCGACCGAGCTATATTCGGCGTCCTTTTCATAATCATGTTTTTTGAAAGCCACCTTATAGACTTTAATATAAAATGTACGCATTTGTGTATCATGTGCTTATTTTATATTATTAAATTTTAGTTTATAACAGTTACCATAAATGGCACAGTAAAATTATATCTAATATTAGATATAAAGCATTTGTACACTAAATTTAAAGTTTACAACTTTTTCTTTATATAGAAAACTTAGCAGTATTGTAATATTTATATCTATTGTTTATATTGTCAATATTATATAGTTTACTTTGAGTTGGAAGTCGAGAAGGATTATTACAGGAGTGAAATTTTTGCTCTCCTGATTAATACCTCAAATCTAGACGAATAATAAGAGAGAATGCTAGAGACACTATGACTGTAGGTAAGCGAGGAATATATCCAGGACATTCCTTATACCAAGTAGTGGGATATATCTATATAAGATATGTATTATCATGTATATTATTTTTGTTATTGTTCAGGGTAAAGGCAGGATGAGCTAATAAGATTTTGGAAAAATGAGAATAAGGTCTTAATGTTTGGTACTACCATAGATAAAATTACAAAAATCTTTATTTAGATATACCTACTATTAATTAAGAATACATGTACTTAAAATAAATAAATATACAATTATTAATAATTAATAATAATAATAATACAGATCTATTAAAGGAACTTTGTTATTAGTGGAAGTTCATCTGTAACATAAAAAATATATGGTTATTAAAAAGTATTCTATGCATTTCTATATCGATCCCTATTTTTCTTAAGCCTGGATATAAAACTACATAGAAACACGCCTGGGCTAATAGAATGAATACTTACTCTGACATAACAATGAAAAAAATACATAAACTATTGTTTTTTTATCGACTAATAAATGAAACAATTCAAGTTGTTTTTGCAGATTCTTTACAACAAGAATACGTCATTCAATCGTAACTCGCACTTAACGAAATAATTACAGTTATATAAACAAAAAATAGACTATTAATAAGTAAAACGCACCAATCAAAAGTTTGCGTTTCACTTATTAAACAAGTTTAATGTTAGAAAAAAACTTACCTTCACGACTTTTGTCCACAATGATCCTGCATTGTGTCAAAGTCGTGAGTAGACGCACCTAATTACACAAACACATGTGGGTACATTTAAAACCAACGTAGCAATGAACGAGCCTGCCACTATACTCCATATTAATGAAAAAAACCGACAACTAATCAAGTTCGGTCTTTCTCCACTGGGTAGTCAGTCAATACTATAAACTATCACGAAGTTATTTTCAATGTCAGACTTGAGCTGACATTTTTGCGAAGTAGAAATTATTATTACCACGACAGTCTAAAAGTGAGTACGAAATAAAACAAGTTCAAATCTCCAACCGCGTATTTATTGTGGAGTTGTATCTTACGTATCTACCGAACAATGAGATATGCCATTTCTGTATAATATTTACAAACGTGAACATAAATAATATCAAAATACATTTTGCTAAGTTTGCCTCACTCGAGAAAGCACTTCCCGTCAAATTAATGAACACAAAATAAATTGGCAGCACCAACAGTAACCATAGAGAATACATAGAACATTTAAAAACATAGAAGGAGGCATCGATATATCGCCTCAGTTTAGATAATACAGAAATCAATTATAGATACATACAACATAGTTTGCATTGATACGATTTGTCCAACTTCGTAATGAGATTAATATTATTATCGAAGTTTTAAGTACCTATCTACTTGTGACGTGTTTGTCTGTTCTCTTGATTGTGAGTGATAGGACACATTGTTAAATAGAAATAAAGACATTAGGTACGGATACACTTCTATATTTAAATTAATCAACTGAATGTCCATTCGGTGCATAGCCCAACTATTAAAAAGAGGACGAGATGTATGTATATCAGAAATAGGGTGTAATCTTAGATATTAAAATAGTACAACTCCAGCTATTTGCATATACTCATATACACAGGTATAAATTTAAAAAAGGATTTTAATGCTACAATTTTGAGCCACAAAATATTAATTATACGAATCACATATCGCTTACATGCTGTTGATATAGAAATACCTTTTGTATATAACCAAATATAAATGTATATGTACGCAAGTATATAATACATTGCGCCCTGCTTTCTTTTATAATTTGGCTTGGCAATGCAAATTTAAAACGTATATATTACCATAATCAAGAGATCAAGACGTTTCAATCACTTTTGGCACCATACATCAATCAATACGTCATAGACAAATTGTATACAGTAAATAATATAATATTTATAATATATCCATCATTATATATGTTGGTACACTCTCTTATGCATATATTATGAATGCACATTACTACTACTATTTGCAGTGAGACCAAATTGATCAAACCAACTGATTCCGCCATTATATAGAATCCTTTGTGCGTTGTTACGTATACTACATATACATAATCGGAGATAATGTAGTTTTATAATCGTCCGATCAACTTGTAAAGGCCAACTGCGGCCAACATCATTATATTAGTCAAAAAAAAAAATGTAGTTGTAATTATTTATATTAATAAACATTAAATGCAGTAGACTGTACCAACATGTCGTTCCCCATCGTATTGTCACGTACCGTGCTCGGCCGTCCAACTTAATAGAAAAAATATATTCTATTATGTTACAACAACCATGTTTACAATCCTATTGTAATGTTCAACATATATTTCTCGTACAATATAACAACGACGCCCGTGACGGGACCCTGTCATCACGGACAACTATTACTACACATTTAATATTGTTTTTATTTTAAAAGACTGTTTTAAAACTGCATTAGACTTAGTTAATTTTAAACTTTCATATATTTTTAATTTATTTAAATATTCATTAGAATTATTATGTTCACAACGTCATATAAAGCGGTGGGTACACACATAACCGTGTCCTAACCAATGTCACATTTAAGCAATTTATTTAAAGTGGCACTATATTTTTATATATTATAGTTTATTTATGTAATACATGTAATTTATTACTATACGTTGAGTAGAAGTGGCCGAAATATTTAAGCTGTAACAAGTAAGGTAGATCAACCAAATCAGTAGTACAATACTGTTTCTCTGTACAAATGTTACATAGAGAATATAGTATATCTGAATTAATCTATATGAAGACAATCATAGACAATAATACTCCGCAAATTATTGTACAGTGCAAGCTGTCCTAATTATATTCTTGACGAAACTGCAAACTACCCTATTTATCAGAGTAAAAAAAAACGCGTTGAACTTCAGATATACAAATTACCATTGCGATGTATAGGGTCATTTAATTATAAAATTCTCGAACATATATATTTTAAAATCGGCCACTCCACGTTACATTTATATATCACCTATATTATATAGTTATATACATTTATGACTTATAATATGTTTTAATAATAAATAAATACATCTGCCACTTAACATGAATCCACATTTATCTATTAAGTGGAAGGATAACTTTCATTGTGCTCGTAATATATTTGTAAATAAGAAAATTCTGTCTAATAAGTGTTGGTGGACACTTCTATGATTTACAGTACGACATCGTACAATAGATATCCACAATTTACATAATTATGGGAGAAGTTATGAATTTAACGTAACAGATACAACTTATTATCGTCACTCGAATTATGGAAACGTCTTATATTTATTACTGTGCTAGTTTCATGAATAGACAAATCCTACAATTTCATAAACTGGTAGCTGATATAATAAGTCGGAAAAAATATCTTGCTTCAAGAGTCGTAAGCTACTAAATTCTAAAACAATAATTATATTTTTAGTCGAATGACCTCATAATGTTTATTTGCGACATGTATTTAAGTGGATGAAACTTGTGGCAATTAGAATTAGAAAAAATGTTTCTGAACTCGTATTTATGCTCTGAATATAATATGTATAATATAAAATAAATTATAGTCGCAAGGTAATTTAGTAGGTATATATTATTTTAGATATACGATAGAAGAAAAGCTTGACAACGGGCGGACCATATGGCAGTTTTTCACCTTCGTTGTATGAAGCTCAAGCACTTAAAATGGCGCTAGAAATGTAGCAGTTTTCCAAGTTAAAATTATACAATTAATTACTACACCGATTTAGTTTAAAATTGTAATAATCCGCGCGTTATAACATAGTGCACATGACAGCTGATATTTTGGTACATTTTGCAGTACAAAAAACGCTATTGAATGTGATTTTTGATACTAAAATCTATACAAATAAATAAAATAGAAGTGTCTATTTGTAATTTCAAATTAACAGTATTCCACTATATGCATATGTAATTGAATACGTTACTAAGATAAAAACCAAATATTTTGTGTCCGACTGTCTGTTTATTCTTTTCTGTTAATCTCTGAACGGCCTGTTCTTTTGGGATTTTCAATCACAGATAGCAAAAATTTTAAGGAGTAACTTAGGCTACTTTTATTATGGATTTTTTATATTATTTTAATAAAAGAAAACTTAATTTCTTCACTATGTCGCGTCTAACAGCTATTATTATTCAGTATTAAAGTTATAAAGATATTTTCAAGATATAATATTTTATAGAATATAAATAACGGTCACAAATGACGTATAATTTAATGATTTGTCATACTGCTCTCGCATCATGCTATAACGCGTAATATACAGTATGGTGTAGTCAGAAGAAATGTAACGAGTTTATACGTTGTCTTACTCTAGTACAGGAATAAATTAGCAGTAATTTAAATATACTACAGATTCAATACTGAATATATAACTATTGAATAGAACATTATCTTATACTATAAAATGAAAACCTCATTTACTCGTACAAAGGGGTTGTTATATTTCAATTAACGTTTGTCCAAACCACATTTTCGAGGGATGGGTATTGTTAGTAATGTGAACTAATAACCCCATTGTTTACTATTTACATGTCATGTTGATGTCCACGTGATTCGCTTGAAAACCGTACTGAGATATTTCTGGTGAATTTGTCACGATGGGCTAACTGATCTGACCTAATGCTCATTCTATCCTCCACGGGTGCCCCGCCACTGTAAACTGTTAGCGCAGGCGGGAGCACCATTCCATTATCAACAATTAAAAAAAATAGAGATTTTCACTATGGTGAAGACAAAATGATAAGTTGCTTTAAATATTTACTTATTAGAATTATGTGTAGAGTTAGAGATTATTAACAAGAATTGTTTGGAATAATTGAAGAACACTAGATTGTCACAAATTTGTATATGAAAAGAGAGTCAGTGGAAATAGACCGACGTAGGCCGATTGCGACAGTGAAATAGTTATGGCCATAGTTCAACTATAATAAACTAGTATATAATATACACTCATTACATAAATAAATATTAATATGAAAATACTAAATTATCTTATATACAACATGTAATAGAATTAACGTAAATAGTTAATTTCAAAGATTTTACATAAATATAATTTTACATTTCTTTATTTCATTCACTTTCATTTAAGGTGGGCTTAGCTATATCAAAAAAAAAAACTAATTAGATTTAACAAATTCCACACTGTTTGAAAATAGAATCTTCTCCATATAGTACATATTTTCAATAGATAATATTTGTGCTTTTAAACAAACAACAGCAATTAAAAACCATTAGCAGCCTTTACGCGACAAATCCTTTCACCCGATTAGGAGAGTGCGCGGGAAAGCCAGCTCGCGTATAGTGAGAGATTTTTTGTGTTCACTCTTTCCCATGTGATTAGGCGGGTTTCAAGTCACTTCACTTTCTTTTAAAATCTTCTTTTCCAAAGACATGTTTAACTTTAATAAATTATCAATAACTCTATAAATATGTATTTTCCCCATAGTCAGATGTCCGCCATATTGAAATGATAATTAATTATTTAAAATAGGCGTTCAATCACTCCCGATTGTACAACGTAGAATCCGCTCACTGGCGCGCGCGATTTTTCTCGTTCTTTGTCTACATTTACATGCACATTCTTTCCTGCGTAAAATCCTATTCGTGCGCGAAAGAGCGTACGAGTAAAGGCAGCAATTGTATTTATTAGTATCTTTTTTGGCAAATAAAGGAGGTGGTAACAACAGCACTAAGTAATATATAAGATGATCCCTTAATGCTTATCAATTGAGACTATCACGTGACAATCGATTCCATTGCACTACTGTTTAACATTTACGTCCCATAGACGTCCTAACATGTCGCTCGCTTACTCCATACACTGGGCGTGGGTAAACTCTCTGTGCAGCTACGACTTTGACAAACCATATTACAAAGAATTGTATCATCGTTAAATACTACAGTATTGGCACCGACGCGTTATCCACCTACTTTATCAAACAAGGAGTAAGAAATAAGTGTAACAGTGAATTAATACGCTACACAAGGCCCACGCATTGGAATGTAGAGAATTGAAATTGAGGTATTTAGATTGATAACGCTTACACATTTTTTAGTTTTTAAACTGCACAATAATGCACTCTTTCTTAACAAATTTAAATATCATTTTCCATCAATATATTTTGGTATCCACAAAATTTCTAATAATATATATTGTTTTCAAAATAAGTATAAAGTGGAGAGTTGTAGAGATATATTGGATTCCATTAGTTGATATAATAAAATTTGAAACATACATTCAATATAAAATATGTGTGAGATAACGACACAAATCTTTTAAATTGTAAATAAGAATCCACAAAGATCTGTCATGGTACAAATCATTTGGCACTTTATCTCACTATTGTTTAGGTATACATTAAAATGACTAAAAATTTACACACACAATCGAAACTTTTCTAAATAAACGAACACTGATGTTGTAAAGACAGTGAATATTAAGAGCTGAATGTCATGTAATTAAACATTTGAGCACATATTTTTAATATACGAATTACAAGCTGGGTGAAATGTAATTTGTAATTCTACCTACCTGTACAATTATTACACAAACATTTTAAAGTAAGAATAATTTAAACAACCCTACTTTGATAGATGCTTTAATCACATAACATTGTTTTTTTTTATTAGGGTGTTGGGCTATTGTCAGGTGCTAAGATCTGTAACACTGCGACTTGTATAGATCTATTGTCTCGTACTTTATCAAAGTTCGCTACCGAGACTCGTCAAGGACAAAAATTGAAGGATGTTCTTAGGAGCAATGGTTTTTATTTCTTCAGGATAGAGTGTATACTTTCCAAAGGAGATATTATGTTTATGCATGAGTGGGCTACAACCACATAGGATGTGTGTGGTGTTTGCTCCTCTGCTTGGCAAAAAACATTGGCCCAATCTATACCTAAATGTAGTTACAATATTATTATAGCTCATGTGAGAAGTCATCTTTGAAAATTATGGGTATTATTAACTTTCTTATTATATTGTGAAATATAAATATTATTCTACTGTCATAGAGATAATTTTAAATTATTTATACTTTAAATCCATACAATTTCAATACATTGTGCCATTAGTGGAAATTAATAATAATAATTACTTGATGTAATTGTTGTCGGTCACAACAAACTATAGCCGTGTATGAAACTGTATGGTCTAATATGTTACTCCTTCCGATAAATACAATCTTTTTTTTTATTTTTAATACACAAACAGGACAATACATTATCACTTTCCATTTAATATCATTATTCTAAATTTAAAGCATTTTTACGCACCATAATAACAAACCAGAGTGCTGCGAGAAGAGAGCAATATACAACCTTTATTAAGTAAGATAGGAAACCATAGACAAGTATTTGAGACAGCAATAGTGTGCTGACGTCAGCACGAAGACTAATCTATGTATTTTATATATATACTAAGAAACTAGTTAAAATTTGTATAGATATACATTTCTCGTTTTATTATATATTTCATACATTAAGCTACATTAACAACAATCAATTAAAATTGAGATTGCATTGATTATTTAATTCTGTACAATTCACATTTACCTAATAAACTAATTGGTGGTCAGAGTTAAAAAAATATAACTTCAATGAATGTTTTGATATATTATTCATGAACAACTTAGATATAAACTCTATGTCGTCCACTCCTACTTAAATATTCAATAAAACTGTAAACATTTTGAATGCGATTATCGCGAATTTGATTTCACTCACTGCCTACAATAACAAGTGACACATCTCTTATTTAATAATGACTATACAGCGTGTTACAAAATAAAATTATATACAATGTCACGGAACTGATAATATCAATACACTTATAACGCAGTCTATAATTAAAACAACTGTTTAATTTTATTGACTACAAGAAGCAACTGTGCGCCTTTTTTTACATCGTAGGATCGACGTTACATTCGTCTTAACTAATAACTGGAATACTTAACTTAAAAACCATTCCCGTTCAGATCCTGTCGACTCCGACGCAACCGTTCAAGGATGGGACGTGCACTGTTCATGATTGCGCATGCGTTAGTTTCAAAGTAAAACCACCGTACTGTTGAAATTATTGACTTCGTTGCAACCAATGATGTTCAACAAAAGGAATACTTAGTATGAACATCACACGTGTACTAATTAGGGTTGCGCGGACGTCGGATTCAAACGAAAGCTCAGTATTGTCAGCGGTTTCAAATGAAACTCAATAAAATCACCGTACCGTTGAAATCGTCGACTGCGTAGCGACCGTTCAAGAATAGGATTTCTTCGAGTAAATCACTCGTGCACTTACGTTGCACAGCCGAAAACTCAGTATTGTCAGTGTTAGACGAGATCGCCGGGCGAGTGGTCGTCTTGTGGCGCTGCGGGCACTGCGGACGGTGCGGGCGGCAGCTGCAGCGGCAACTGCGGCGGCGTGGCGAAGTGTAGCTCGCGCTCGGCGAGGCACAGCTGACATCAGTCCAGCGCGCCGATACACTCCGGCTCCTCTCGCACGCACTCCTTCGGGAAGTATCCCGAACGATTGTCTCCCTATAAGTAGCGTAATTTGTATTACTTATGGTCCCAAATCTAATAATCAAGTCAACTTTGAAACTTATATATTGAACATTTTATAGTCTATTAGAAAATCATATTTAATTACCTAACCAATTGGTTGTGTATTTATTTTTTTATTTTAATCACTTAGTACTAGTTGGTAGTATTTATTCACACATTTCAATTAAAAAGATACAACAATTATTGAAATGAGCAACACCCAAGTTTTTTGCTAGTTCTTCTTACGAAGAGAAAGTGTTCCAAATACTATTAAAATACATCATTGTACTAGGTTAACATTTAAAATATTATGATTAAATTGTTGACTGTGTTAAGACTGCTTTTGGTTTGCTTTGGGAGAAGCTGAATTTTATGTTTAATTTTAAATATAACGTTTTCTCTCTATGCTTGTGTTGTGGCAACTGATTCATATGTACATAAAAGGTGACCGGCCAGCAGATACTTACGTTCCCGTATAGATCAACCATGAATTTAAAATAATTTCTATCAATGAACATAATGCCAATGCGTAACATACAAGTACTGGGTTTTTGTGGTCTTATCGATGTAACTTCAACACAGTTCCTTTCGATATAACCATATCAGTTATCTACTACCATAACACAAGTACTGTTTACCTAGGGACTAGATGGCGCTGTGTGAATTGTCCAGGGGTATTATTATTATAATTATCATGTGCGAAAATAGGAGTCAAGTGCGTGCTAACCTTGTCGAGGGTTCTGCCCTTCCACCAGCCGCGGCTGTCGCCCTCCTTGCTGAGTACGAGCACCTTGGCGCCGGGTCGCAGCGCCAGCTGGGACGACTCCAGTGGTCGGAAATCGTGGATTACGGTCGCCACCACGCGCCGGAACGGCCAGCGCAGGTTCGAGTTTAGCCTGATTACCCACATTAATAAACATGTTAAAAATGTATTATATAAAAAATTTCAACATAATAAGAAAAGTATATAGTTTTCCTATTATTTTACGACTTTAGACTACTATATATCATATACGTCGATGTCTCTCTCATATGAGATGAATTTTAACAAACATTGAATATCATATTTATTTATAGCCTAAAAATAGGATTCAAGCTTTAGGTTCAGTAGTTTGAGTGTGAAAGCGCGACAGACAGACAGAGTTACTTTTGCATTTACAATATTACTAAGGATGTAGAATATGTAGTGACATATAATTTTTATGATGTATATTTTTTAGTTTAACTATACATTAGAATTATGTATTTAGATCACTATCATTCTTTGAACATTTTATGAGATACTAGTAATCTTATTTATTTCAATTGTAAAACAAGTACTTTTACAATTTAAATAAATAAGATTACATTGCTCTCTGAATTAGTCAGAGAAATTGTAATGAATATATTGTATACATACCCGATGAAGTTCTCTGAGAGGCTTGTCTTCTCATAATAGGAGACGAGCTCGACGATGCTGCGGAAGAACCGTGACTCCGAGAGGTAATAGTGCGGCACCTGGTCGATAGGTTTGCGGCACACGCGCATGTGTTTAACGGTGTTGTCCGTTCTATAATAATTATGTTGGATGCTATTAAATTTACAAGACATAACAAGTATAGTTACAAGCAAAAAGCACTGTGATATACGTAATTCACATATTATTATTTGTATGTATCTCGTATGTTCGTATGTATATATAGAAACAAATTAGAATTAAATATTATATCATTCGTCCACTCCACGAGTGTACCAGAATGGTAGCTGGTAGTAGTTTTCCATGATATGTAGTATGTTTAAAAAAAACTATGAATTCATATCAGTTATCTAGTACTCATAACTATAATGAGTAGACGGTGGCTCGGGGCTAGATGGTGCTGTGTGAATTGTCCTGAGATATTATTTTCAATATCAGCTATCCTAAATGCATACCAACTAAGAGTGAAATTAGTAATAGCAAAAGGGTGATTGAAAGCAAGAAATAATGATTCTCACTTGAGCGAGAGCGCGTAGTGCGTGTCGGTGTCGGGGTGGTGGGCGTGGTGAGCGTGGTGAGCGAGTGACGGCCGCACACGTAGAAGAAACGTGCCGTCCAGCCGGCGCTCGAGGCGGGCGGCCGCCGTCTCTCGTCCCATCTCGCCCACGTACCACATGTAGTAGTGCAGCGCCTGGTCGGGGGCTGCGGCCGTCGCCACGGTGGCCACGCTGCCCACGCTGCCCACCACGCCCACGCTACCCAAACTACCCGCGCCGCCCGCGCCCCCGCACCGCCCAGATAACGCTATGCAGTCCTTGTGCGCGCACGCGTTACACACCGTACACAAGTAGCCCTACAATTAACATACATTCAAGGTGAGATTATTAGTAATAGCAAGTTTTAACCCCATTGTTAGCAATTTACGTTTTCAGCAACATATAATACTTTTTTTTCCTTTTGAATACAGCTAATTGGCAACCTGCTTTTTATATACAATAGTCCAACCTGATGACTCTTTTTAAGATGGAAACCATGATTAATACCTGGTGAATATCCCACGACGAGCTACGCAACTAACAAACCTAACTTCATCATTCCATTATACCATTTAAAAAACCAGAAGATAATTACCAGATTTTTATTAGGAACTAACTTAAGAAAATAAAAATAATATTATTATATCTAGTTATCTAACAAGTACAATAGATATCCATGTACATTACCTGAAATATTCTACCCTTCAGAAACTTTGAACAATGATGACACGTAGCCGGCTTTTCAAACGTGTGTAACACGAATTTGTGATTGGTACTACGACATCCGGATGGTTCTAAATTGTCTCTGTAAAAAAAATAGTTATTATAATACCAATATGCTGCTACATCAAAAACTCTTCTATTAATTGTTTTATCAGCGAAGTGAAGCTAATTGAGAACAGACAAATGTATTACATAAACCATAAGAAATAGTGCAGTGTGGCACCCCAGGAGGAAAGAACTAAGTAGGAGTGCAGTATTCACTCGCGTTGCAGATGGCCTTGAGCCACTTGCACTTGCAGTCGTCGGAGCGCGCGTAGAGCGTGAAGGTGGCGTCCTTAGTACGGCGCAAGAGTTAGAATTCCACAAAAAGCAGTACTCACATGGCATCGCGGATGGCCTTGACCCACTTGCGCTTGCAGTCATCGGAGCGCGCGTAGAGCGTGAAGGTGGCGTCTTTGGTGCGGCGGACGAGATAGAAGTGTGCAGCCCATCGGCCGTCAGCGCGTGCTCCGCTTCGTCGTCCGCAAGCTTCCTCCACGCGGTACTCCGCTAGTCGCACACCCACGCGGTATGAGTACTGGTTATCCTGTACCAACACACGCCATTCTTACAGATTTTTACTTGACTTATATATGTCAACAAGTTTATACTTTATAGAAGTAGGTACTCTATTTTAAGGAGGAGGAGATTGTTACTAACAATCTCCTATATAGTCTTAGACTTAGACAATATAGTCTTAGGATTCCATTGCTAGCAAATGGTACATTGCTCATGTCAGTTAGAACACGAGGTCCTGGAAACCATCACGATAAATTCTAAGTGAATTTTCCAGGATGGGCTAACTGACCTGACCACATACTCATATTATTCTTCATTAACAGCACGCCAATATACTGCTGGCACAGGCGCCATCATCCATCAAAAAATAACTACTCTATTCTGGAGATATTCTAAAACCATTACTACCGTTATAGTTACGTAGCTTATATATTTTGACAGACTCTAGTGCTTGTTTCTACATATATACGATAGCTATGCGTAGAAGGCTATTATTGGCTAACAGTCACTGATCAACATATGTTAACTTTAATTGTAGCTGTTGCCTCTCCCAATAAATAAATAAATTTTCAGTAGTGTCAGTAAATTGCCGGGAACTCTAACTGAACCCAAACTACTTTTGTTTGTATTTATACAAATTAGATGATTTATTAACAAGATTGATTCAGTACTTTTCCTGTACTAACCTTGACCGGCTTGCAAAGTAACATCAACTTGTCGAAGACAAACACGTATCTGGAGCGTAGCTTCTGATCCTCGTGGGCCTTCACCTTGAGCTCTCCATCAAGCAGCAACCGACCGTAGGCCGCTAGTCCGGCGCCACCCGCACCCAGAGCTCCACCCTCCCAATCAATTATACTCTCCTGGTAACGAACATTGGGTATTTATATTCACATACTATTTGTTTATAAGTAAAATAATACGAAAACCATATATTATAATTTTATATAAAATCTTAAAACATATATGTACAGTGGTAATAATAATAACTCTAGACAATTTATGCAGCGCCATCTAGTCCCAAGCTAAATAGACCTTGTGTTATGGGTACTTGACGACTGATACAAATATTTAAATACTTTTTATTTGTAAAAATTACATATTATAATATACATAGAAAACACCCAGACCAATATAAACAATTATACTCATGAATACATATGTTTGTATTCTGCGAGAAATCAGACCCGGGACTATCGAAAATAAGGCGGTATACCAGATCATTAGACCACCAAGGCTGTTAATAAACCATTCCATATTATTTATTTTGATTTGCATACCATAAAACAAATACATATGTCAGCCCAATGTACAATTTTTTTTATAGGTACTTAATGTTTCCTCTGGGTCACGTATGCAGATTTCGTACAAGAGATTAAAGATATTATCAGTCAAGTTACAACCTGTCTGTATAAGACGATCAGATAAGTCAATTTTTGTTAAACACGTACTCACGTATTTCTGAGATACAATACATTATGTGTGATTATGTAATAAAACGAAATTACGAATATCTATAGATTCTTAAAATAGTTATATTTTCTACAGTGTTGTTATATGTATTTTTTGAGACATTCATATACAATATTTGTAGCCACTTATTAGCCACACATTGTTTTAATACTAATTTTATTTCTAATGTCAATATCAACTGGCTGCTTACATTCTGAAGAGGTGACAAGTATTTTATTCTATTGAGGGGTTTGTGGTATTGTCAGGTGCTTGGACCTGTAGCTCTGCAACCTATATAGATTTATTTTGCTCGCCATTTTTCAGAGTTCGCTACCTAGACCCATCAAGGACAAGAATTGAAGGATGTTCTTAATAGCGATGGTTTTTATCTCCCCAGGATTCAGTGTAAACTTTCCAAAGGAGATATTTCGTTTATGCATGAGTGGGCTACAACCACATAGAATGTTATTGGTGTTTCCTCTTCAGCTTGGCGAAATCTGAGCTGGCAAGTAACTAGACAGGTCTCTTAACATATTTCTATACGACGGCCTGGGTGGTCTAGCAGGTTAGTACACCGCCTTACTTTCAATGTAGGCTAGTTCGATTCCTTGCACAGTACAAACATTTGTATTCATTGAATATGGTTGTTTGTATCGGTCTGGGTGTTTCCTATGTATATCATGTGCGTATTCACCAAAAAAATATTTATGTTTTTATTTCTATTACCTGACACAGGCATTGCAATCCTTACTAGGTCATTGTTACTAGGTCACTGGTCACTCTTTTATTGTAATCGAATTGTTTTTTAAAGAAATAAACATTTTTTCAACAGTCGCTATATCTTATATATAGTACCCATAGCTTGGGACTGCATGTATACTTGCGCTGTGTGCTAAGTCATTTATCCGAAAAAATATTTTTTTGTATTATGGACAATTTTTTATTTATATATTACGAATATATGTCTTTCACCAAACCCTATTTCTAATGCGATATTCTTACAAATATTATAAATGCTAAAGTAACTCAGTCTGTCTGTTTGTCTCGCTTTCACGCCAAAACTACTGAACTGATTTAATTATATATTATCTTGTAAGATTAGTGAACAGGGTCGGTCTAGGTTTTTCATTATTAGAAATGTGTAACGGGGTAACACGTTCATTAGTGCGAAATTGTGTATATTACAATAAAATTTAACGAGAAAATATTATAATGATACATTGCCTTACTACAATATCGTCCGTTAGTCGCGAACTTTCTGGAAACTGAGTAGATGAGGTACTTAGACGAGTCTTACTATACATACGTAGTATACATATGGGTATTACAAATGTTTTTATTACTAGTAATATTACTCTGTTATCTAAGCAAGTAATGTGTGCTTATTAAGAGTTTGATAATATTCTGAATTACGTATATCTTTCAATACTTTAGCGGTCTCTCTGATGAACAAAAATAAAACAATATTCGTATTAAAAATATATTCATCTAATATTTTTAGCATTATTTTTAAGTTTCTTCCAAATATAAGGGGTCTGACATGGGGTGTTATGTACCTACATTAAAAAATACTTTTTGAAATGTATCTGTGTGAAATATGCACCTACATTAAAAGATAATTTTTGAAATGTATGAAAGAAATGTATTGTGCCACGTCCACCATTGCCTCCTTAGCGCGCTCCAGACCCCGGAATTCCTCATGATTCTATACGACGTTATTAAATAATTTAATTTGTAAATCAATAAAACTTCCAAGTGATTGATTCATTAATAATACAAATATTGATTAATACAGATATTCTGGGGTTGCATATTTGACAAAAAATATTTCAAAGCTTATTCACTACCTGAGCACCGCAATATAAACAATTTTCTTTATTTTAAAACGAATAATTATGTATAAGAAAAATGTATTCATATAAACATTTTCCTTACATATATCTCATCTTGACATAGTATAAAATCGCTTCCGCTGTCTATTCGCTTAGACCCTTTAAACCACGCAATAATAATAATGGATGAATATAGACATTTAATTAGGCCGATACAAATGACAACAATGCCATCTATGAAAGCATTTTGAAAACAAGCCCCGTATTAGCACTGATTAAAGTGAATTAAGTACTGGAAAATAACAAAATGAGCAAATATATGAACGCATTATTTCATTTTAACATGTATATATAATTTTTTAAAAATGGATTAAACTATTTTGAAAACACAGTTTTGTTTTTTAAAACGTTTGCAAAACTATGAAGAATTCCATCGATACCAATCACGCCATACTTTTAGCAATAATAATGGCTATTTCCTCATTAGTGCCACTGCCCGTGGGAAGCCGGGGCGAGTACTTAGTATGTTACATATTATCGTTTTTCTTTAGTAGTTTCCAAATGCCTAATTGTTACACCAAATCCGATAACGTAGAAACTTAATAAAAGGTTTGGAACTGACCGGCTGTGTTTCGTGCACTAATTTGTCGAGAAGGAGATGGTACTTGAGCACTCGCTGCATCGGCACTGATAATATATCGCGTAACTGTATCCGCCCGTCGCTGTGTTCCTTTTGACATTTCTGAAACAAATATAATTATGTTAGACTGATATGAGACCAAACTTTTGGCATTTCTGAAATATAAATATCATTCTGTAATATATAAACCTTAGACTGATATAAGACCAAAATTCAATTAATTGGTAGGCAATGGGAAAGAGAAATTAAATGTATCAAATACACTAGTTCATTTCATTCATTCATAATTTAAGAACCGCGCTCTTGTCGCTAGAGCTTTGACATTTCTTACGATTTTCCATCAATCTCTTTATTTCTTGATGCGATACGACTCCAACTTTTTCCTTAATCTGCTTGATATAGCATAACTATGTCATTCACTTCCGCTCTCTTCTATTTTTCCTTCAATAATAACATTCATAAGTTCAGCGTATCGCATCAAGTGTTCTAACAATTTTCCCCGAATATTTTATTATTCTTTTCTTTGATCCTTTTGCAGTATTTCTTATTTTATCTTTCAATAATAGCATAAAATATAACATTTTGTAATTGACTAATCTCAACTTTTACCGCCTATTTTCAATAATATTTATGATCTGCCTCTTTTATTTAATCCTTAGCAGTATTTCTTCTTTTCTTATTTGACGACCTCGGTTGTCTAGGGGTTTAGCACATTGCCTTACTTTCGATGGTCACGGGTTCGATTCTTCGCATGGTACAAATATTCGTATTCATGAGTGTGATTGTTTGTATTGGTCTGTGTGTTTTCTATGTATAATATGTATTTACGAAAAATAAATATATCTATGTATTTGCATCAGTTAACTAGTAACCATAACACAAACTATAGCTAACTTAATTTGGGTCTAGATGGGGCTGTGTGAATTGTCTTGAGATTATTATTACTATCTTTCTGTGGAAGCGGAAAACATAACATTTTTATAATTGACAAATCACTTACTTCCAATTGCTTGCTGAACGTATTGTCTCTCGCGTCGAGTGTCTTGAGCGTATCTTGCGCCTGCGTGAGATTTGAGCAGTAGTCGCCATAGAGCAGCAACCGTTCACGCCACGCCAGAAAAACGTCGGCCAGCCGCGGGGCGCCACTGCCGGGGACACACGCCTCCGTCGCCAACTTCAGCTGACGTAACAGCCCGGAGTGGATATCGTGTAGATCCTATAAATGGACACGCAAACTTAAGCTTTATATTATTAGAAATTTATCCTCAAACAGTTTAAGACTTCACAAAAGTAACGTAATGTCCTGCCAGTTAGTATAAAAACAAAGCTAGTATAAATTAAAAGAGAATCATCAATATTGGTTTAGTATTCTATATTGCGTATCAATACAGATATAATTATAAACTAACAGTATAGAAATACAAACTTAATGGAAACGTTCTTTGACTTTGTGTCGATTGGTCGGAAAATTCGATTGGCACCTGGAGTGCTTTCATGAGCTACAATTATCCTTTATCAACAAGCGTACAGTATGCTTTAGTATAAAATTCCTTACCTTTATGCCGAAGAATATATATTGCAAGTCCTGTGGTTTCAAATACGGTGTGAGCGGTCTTAAGAAGTGCTTTATAATTTTGCTCAGTACATCCACATAGTTGCATTCCGTGTCCACTAATTCCCTTATAACATAATCCCTTTTCTCTAGACTATGCGACGAGGTCGCGAGCTGGAAGAGACACGACTTTTAGTGAAAGTGTAATAACAGACGTCTCATTGCAGAGGTTCTATCGACAAGGGCAATTGAGTCTTATATCAAGCGTGCAAAAACTAGATTTACTTTTCTCAGCAGCTTGCACATCGAACCGTCACTTTCTAATATTGCAATTCGATATCACCGATAAAACCTCAAAATTACGCAAAGCAAATAAATAAAAAGCATAGCGTTCTAACACAAAACTCTTACTAAACACATGTAAACTAAAGTGTGTAGAGTGATTCTAACTACGGGTAATATTTGACGCGAGATACAACAGCGATCCGTATGAATAATGCAGACTATCTGCGGAAAGCCGACTCTTACTTATTTACTCGGGTACGACGGCTAATAACGATTTGTTCCGGTATTTTTTGCAAAACTTACCAACAGATTACTATGATAATTGAGAAATATGTTTTCAAAGGCGCGTGCCGGTTTTATATATATTTTAGGGTTCTATACAAACTACTAGAACACGATCCCTTTCCAACAGTTCAAAATATGCTGGGGCTTTTTGTATATTCGTATATAATAACATATTATTTTTGCAATCATTTTGACACTTGTATCCTCTCTTATATTTACAAAGAGAATTATGTAATTGCTGTATTATATATAAGAACAATGAGTAGGTACTATTTTTAGTTAGCAGCAGTGATTACGAACATATTATTTATATTACACATTTGTTTTTTCAATAAACATAACACAGGCAAAGATTGTACTAATGTAAGAATTCTACCATTACTTAGAAATTCGGTACAAAAACAGAGTCGCCTTTGATACTCGGTTATCTCTGACTAAAACGTTTATAATAAAATGTGATATCATACCCTCATATGAATATTTAACTAAAATACAATAATCAAAATATCTTTATTCTATGATATGTCAAATCTACTCTCAGTTCAGAGTTCTAATTAGCTTAATTAGAGTTCTAATTAAAAAGAACTGGCAAGAAACTCAGCTCTAATTCTTTTCAAATAAGCTTGCACGTGATCAGTAGTAAGATTATTTTTTTAATTCCTTTAGGGAGAATGTAGAATGTATTGACTACCAGTATATGCTATATAAACTTTAATAATCAACGGTAATACTTATTAACATATTAAGAGGCAAACCTTTTAATATAGCTGTATATTGTTGTATCTCGCGCCATGTAGCAAAATAAAAAAAGAAACCAAAAGCGTACTGTGTTGAAAGCGGGCGGATGGTGTGAGACGGGCGGTTCTCTTGCTGACTTGACAGCACACAGGTCGTGGTAGATCTCCTCGTCGTGGATGCGCGCGCAGTAGCTCGCGTACTCACCCACGTCGGCTGCGCCGTTGCCGCCGCTGTTTAACCCCGACATACTCATGCATTGCTGTGCTACGGTGCTCGCTCTCTTTTTTTTTACACATATCCAAGGCACAGACAAAAACAGGCTAGTGTTCAGCCTTCATATTCACATTGAACAGTCGTATGTCATATAGTCGCCTAACTTGTACAAGGAAAATGCAACAATATACAACACTACAGTTGTATATATTTTTAAGCTTTTAGTAATATTTGGTTCCGTATTGTATTTTTGAGGAAAATTAATAATTATAATTTAATTTCACCATTAAAATACAATTATTAATATTACTAACTGTAAGTACTTTTAGTTAGTTTAAATGTTGCAGACATATTTACAAATAAATCAAAATAATAATAATAATTTCAATAAACAAGAAGTTAAGAAGTTTTTATTTTTCTAAATTGGTTCGACCGAGATCGAACCCGTGAACGGTCAACGTATATCTGTGCTATTGTAAACCAGTCAAAAATTTTAATGACACGTATCACTTAAAGTTTTTATTTTTCTAAATATTCTTTGTCCAAAAGTCAGGAGATCGATCTCAGTCAAACGAGATCGATCTCCTGACTTTTGGACAAAGCCCACTTCCCTTATATTGACAAACGACATCAATACGTAAATACAATGTCGTAAAATTGCACCTTTTGCATTATTTAATTGAATTGAATTTTAAAAAACAACAGATCAGAATTTATGGAGCGAGAACCGGCGCACACGCACGCATGCACACACGCATGCAGCGTACGCGAACATACACGCTATATAACTACAGAAGTATGTTACAATGCATTTTATTTCTAATAAAGCATTTTTATTTATATACATTTAATTAAAGTAATAAAGTTCGTATAATTTTCATTGTATTGAACTGTTATTCAATCAGATTCCACTGTGATGTTATGCTTCTGATGATAATTCTGTAAGCATTACATTTAACAATAAAACGTGACGAACATATCAGTGTAATCCTTTTGATGCTTCTATGTTTAAATAATAATAAAATGAAGAATATAATTGCTTGATTTTAACTGAATTATCATCAATATAATTTCTTCAAAAAAAAAAAACTGGTAAAAAGATTTTCTTCTTCTAAATTATTTGATTAAATTTTGTATATTTTTCTTTATAAAATACAATAATTAATTTAAAACAATAAAATGTACATCTTTTTTTTAATGCTGAACTTATAATTATGAAAACTAACTTAGGTATTGAAGTAGAAAAAAATATACATATTTACAATACAAAACAAGATGTATAAAATACTAAAGACATAATAATACGTCAAATAATCGTTAATGTATTATCTGACGGAGTCAATGCCGCATATAAATGTATTTAAAAAGCATTGCACTCTCTATAAAAAAAACACATTTTGCAGTTTTTCATTATAATTATTTTACGTAAGACTAGATTTTGTATGACAGTCATGTGCAAAATTAGCTTAATGAAATTAGGTTCAGGTAATATGAATTTCTAAAATTGTCTGGAAGAACTTGCATAGCGAGATGACCGCCTTTTGTAAATGTATTATTTTCATTTTATTCTGTATCTGTTCCAATAAAGAGTATCCATAAAATATAAAACTTTAAAGTGCAGGTTGGTCTGTAGCGTTAAAATAAGAAATGAATAATTACCATAAACGTAGATGTTGTTTAAGTATAATATTTAACATAAAATAATGAAAAACTACAAAATTTGTTGCAAAATTGACGCTATAATTGTTAAAATATCTTAATTATAAAAATAGATATCAAAATTTATTAATTCCACAGAAATCAATGCAAACTAGTATTAAGAAAAATAAAATCCTGAGCCACATGAAACCTAAAGTCTGGTGTGGTAAGCATATCACCATGCCCATATCGCTGAAGCATTCTAGTCAATCTACACGGTCCAATCTATTTTGTTGGTTAAACAAAACATTTGGCAAACACTGGTACATATCTGAGCAATGCTGTCCTTCACAGTTGATCACTAATTACAATTATTAGCAACCGACGGGTGTGTGAAAGTTTACATACGTGTGCTTATGTGGAGCATGTACCTAATATTATCTCCTACTAATATTTTAAACGTGGATGTTTGGAAGTGTGGATGGATGAATGTGAATGGATGGATATTTGTTATTCTTTCACACAAAAACTACTGATGTTTACAGAACGTTATAAAATACAGTTACTTCCAATTTGTGATGATGAAGTCAGAATACAACGCGTGATATCAGTACTTTTAATGTCTAGGATTTAGAAAATACCAGAGCATACGTACATATTTGTAAAAGAAAAAATAATTGAATTTAAATCATATACCAAGCCACCTCTAAATAAATGCTGCTTAAAACCAACTATTCCATATCTATACAAATAAAAAAAAGTATATGTTTGTAATTTCAAATTAAGAACTTTTCAGTAAATAGCATTATGTTTATGAAAGTCTGTCTGTCTGTTTTTTTTCTAATCTCTGAAACAGCTGGATCAATTTTGACGAAATTTCCACACGCAGATAGCTAATGTTCTAAGGAGTAATTTAGGCTACATTTCTTTTAGAAATTTTCTTTCTTACAAAAAAAATCAATTCACCACGGACAAAGTCGAGGGTAACAGGTAGTTGCATCATAAACGTGACACGTCCCTGAACTTGAAAGTGTAAGTAAATTTATGTGGTGTTTGTGTAACGTTTACAACACGTTATCTAAATCATTATCAAGGTGAGGCGAGTCGACTTACAAATTCAAAACCGTGTTTACAATTTATCCGGGTGGGTGCGTTCGTTAGTCAAAACTTATAAGTATTCATTACGGTACGATAAGCTTTTTCCATACACTTCTGTGTTTTTCAACTCAAACGATATTTTTTTATCGATGATAATGGAATGGTACATCCGCTTGCGCTTGGTTTACGCTGGCGGGGCACCAGTGGAGTATGATAAGATGAGCATGAGGTCAGGTCAGTTAGCCCATCGTGACAAATTCACCAGGAATTTATGACGATGGTTTCTGGGGGGAACCGCGTGGAAGTCAAACTGACATGGTATTCCTTTAATCTATTTTATGCGATTACAACGTATATTGGGAGGAGGAGATTGTAAACAATGGAGACGCATAGCAAAGAACTATAGACCCCCATTAGTGGACTGAACTTGATGTTAATTGTTTTTAAGAAATAGAAAGAAAGGTCGAAAGAAAACAATACATAATTAATTATTTTAAAAAATACAGCTGCGACCAAGTTGTTTTCCACTCAGCTTTGTGTCTAGGCTGTAATGCCCAAATGCTTATTTTCAGTGTAAGCTTTTATTAATTAATTTAAAACTTGTATTATATCTACCTACACAGTATAGAAACTTAGTTAAGCCAGTCTTGTAACTATTTTTTCACAATAAACTTATTATCATTACTTCAATGCGGTTCCCCTGGAAACCATCGTGGTTCATTCCAGGTAACTTCATCACGATCGGTTAACTGACCTGAGCTCATTCTCATCCTCATCCACCTTTTCATTATATCCATTAAAAAGTATAATATTGTTTCTATGGAAAACTGTTGAGATATGGTTACTTGGTTATTTGTATATATGTATATTATAGTAGTATATATTATATTATTTTCTATGTTCGACGTATGTAATATAAAAATACTTGTCCTGACTGAATAACTGACAATCTTACTAATACAATTTCCTATGATTTCGATAGAGAGCTTAGACCAAAGAGTAGACCAATTAACTGAAATTTAAAATATGCATTTCATTTTATAACGTGACGTTAATATTGACTAGAAATGAAATGATCACGAGAAGGGGAGATAACGGTATCTAATAGTTAAACTAAAATCCTACAGTTATATGGAGTTATAATATGATTGCTGTTTAAAATAACAAAGAATATTACAAAAATAATACTTATATAATTAATAACCAATAAACGTGCAAGGATTGAATTTTACATTTTTTTTTTCTGAAGAAATGGAAATGAGTTTTTAAATTTGATGTTATCTGCGTGATAACTAATCAATATAAGAAGAAAAAATGCCGTACTGCGAATTACTGAATTCTAAAAAGTTGTATTGGCTATATTATATTGTATTTGTTTTACGTTAAACTTCTATTTAGTCATCTAGTTAGTTTATGAGTTAAATATGTTTAATTTAATTTTGCTCTCATTTGAATTGATATTAGCATTATAATCAGCAGAGTTTAAGCTACGAACTCAAATAAGAAATAGCAATATTTATGAATTTTATAAGTATTATGTACGAGCGTAGACCGTTTTCTGTACAATTCCCCCATCGATGTGCACAATTACATTAACCCACCATCGACATCAATTCTAAGAAGTATTTACAGAGGCGTTATCATATCTCTTATCCTCGGTGCATTTTAAACGATAAAATTTGCAAGATGATATCATCCATTTAAACAGAATTTCTTGTAAAAAAGTACGTTCCTTACATTGTTACGACTATTAAATATACAAACAACTGTTGAATAAATCTCAACCAGTCGGTTGTTTATATAGTATTTTCTCTATTTGAGTATTTAATTGAACTAGTGCCAGTTGATAATTTGTATTCACACACTTCAACTTAAAAATGTAAAGTAACAACTAAATTATTTAAAAGAGCAACAAGCAAGTTTCTTTCTCATTCTTCTTGTGGTGAGACAACTTTCTGAATGAGCGGTGGATTGAAAAAAATGTGATAACTATTCAAAAGTGCTTCAATGTAAATTTATTTGAAGAAATGTTTTTCTATTCTATTATAAAACGATTTTTTTATTGAAGTGTAAAAACTGTGAAGAAAAGCAGAGCCCAGGTACCAGGACACCATAAAGTCAAAGCACCTCTGGCATGGCGGATGTGAACTTGACATAGCAGAGGTCCTCGTATATCTCCTCAACTCGGTCCTCGCAGGTGGCACTCGGTATTGTAAACTGCACCCAGGGGACCTCGGCCGGGGCCGGGTGCTCCGGACTTTCGTTCATGTTGTAAGCCGGCGTTTCGAGGGATACTCCAGCGCTACTATAAGTTGGGTGTTATGTTCAAACTAATTGTAGAGAAGGACAGGTCATACGATATAGATCTTCTATCCTTATCTTTCAATAGATTTAACTACAACAGTTTAGACTATAGCAACGAAATACTGTTACACAAGAAGAATTATACTTTTTTTCTCGTTCTAATACTACGTTTTTGAATGTTGTAACATCTAAATATGTGCTACATATATAACTTTAATGTACTTACACAGACTGTAAATCTTTATAGATGTCTTCTTCTGACTGTGTCCTCTGTGCCGAGAACGGCCTGCAAAAAAGCGATTACTATTAATTAAAGTCTATTACATATGTTATACATAATGACTTCTAAACGGTTATACTAATTTGTACACTTTGCTTAAATTCAATTTTAATTAAAGGTCGTCATATAGAACTACTTTCTATATAACTAGCTACCCCACCCGGCTGTACATGTATTATACAAATAAACCTTCCTCTTAAACCACTCTATGTATTGCTGACAACTGCATTATATCCTTTTGCATAGTTTAAAGTATCTAAGCGATTAGTCAGCGGAAGCGACTTCATTTTATACTATGTAAAGATAATTTATACACAACTACTTTATTGTAATTAGAAATCAACGTCTATTACTCTAGATAAGTGCATATCAATATCCGGGTGAAATAGAATACCATTTCAATGCATTCATATAATAACGCAAAGAGATAGGAATAAGTTCAGAGCGAATTTTAAAAAGTTGTTTAGTAATAAACTCTCACGGTCCGCGTTGCCGTAAACCAGAGCGCACGGAAACAGTGTCATTGGATATCTATATGAACAATCTCTTTCAAAATTCATTTTGAAACTATATTGTTGTATAATTTTATAATTACAAAAACCAACTTGATCACATCGATAGATTTTATTCTCCATAGAAATATTGTGGATTCAACATCCAGCATTCCGAACCGATACAATATTGAAACCTTCAGGAAAAGAGCTTATTCCTTAAAAGGCCAGCAAGACACTTGCAGAGTGCAGAAGGCACTTCAAACCCGCAGAAACGACCAACTGAAGACTTCAGTCCGAGGGTATCGCTAGTGATTCGTATCTCGGCTCAGGTCGTCATGATCAAAAACAGTTTCAAAGTCTGTTATCTGATTTAGAAAATCAGTCAGTGGATAAAATATAAACAAAATCAGAAACTTTGCTTTATATGATCACTTGTATCCATTTATTTATTCAGTAGGCACAACCGAATGCACCGGAACATCTTTATGTGGCCACATATTATACAAACATAGTGAAAGGAGTCTAGTGTAGAGGCATCTTAAAATTGAAGATCACTTAACGAATAAATATCAGCATCGTGATTTTGCATAAACAGAAACATCGTTATGTACCAGACTACGACTACTAAATTATAATTATTTTATGTTTTTTATATTGAATTAAATCAAGCAACATACAAATGTTATCACATCTATACATATTGATCTAGAAAAACCCTAGCTGTGTCAGTTCGAGATTTTAAAAGTACTTCAGATGGTTGAAATGGCTGGACCGATTTTGACGGGACTTTTATTGGCATGTAGCTGATGTAATAAGGAGTAACTTAGGCTACTTTTATTTTAGAAAATGAAAGTTAAATTCCACGCGGACGATGTCGCGGGGAACAGCTAGTCAATATATATTTCTGAGGAATATTTAGACGAATAATTAATAAGGTTTTGTTTCAAATCAATGTAAATATCCGTGCGAAGACGGAGCTGTAGTTAGTTTATAATATAACAAAAGGATGGTTCACTAGTTTATAATAAAGTTATCAAAACTACTAAAACTAAAAAATAAAAAAAATACTAAAACTAAAATAAACTTAACAAAATGAAAACTAACTACAATTACAATAATAGTACTTACTTGATATTTCTATTGAGTGCTTTATGACACTGGCTTAGTTTGGCCAGTGTGCACAACACTCTGTGGAAGTTGGAGAGATCAAACAGCATGGATGGATCAAATAGATCAGTCTCGCGAAGCTCAAACACCTCATGACATGTTCGCAGGAACACTTTAATGTTGCGCATACACAGGAACTGCAGATACAAATGCATATTCAAACACAAATAACATATATGAATCGAAAAATTATAATAGTGTTACACTATATGTAAATTAAGGAGTTCACTTAGTAGCAAAAAGAAATAGAAGAAGTTAGAATAAAATAACTACATAACAATGTATAAATTATTCGCCTTGTAATTTATAAAAACATTAAACCTATTTTTTTGTGCGACTATATAACCACCAAAATCAACTGGCTGCTCAATTACTACAAATACTTTACCCCAAGCGACTAAATAGAAGCGACATTGTGTAATGTTTGCAGTAGGAGTAGATCCTCCCATTGGGGTGGACACTCCATTCTTATATCCCACATCCAAAAAATCTGCTCATAGTTCTGGGACTGATTGCAAATAGGAAGATAAAAAAAAAATTTTTTTGTGAATGTGAACGAGACTTATTTAAATAAGGATTATTATCTTTATTATTAATTACAAAGAGAAATAACACAACAATTTACTTATTCAATGAGTACTTTAGTCCTCAAGAATGGTATAGCATAAGTGTAACAGTAAACTAGTAATGACTAATGGTATAGTATGTATATATATTTATATTTCTAAATACATAGGAAACACTTAGGTGTATACAACAATTTATTTATGTATGTTTGCATCATAGGATGAATTGAATCTGCAACCTTCAGTAAGTAGTGTGTTAAACTACTAAACAACAAATATCATCTAAATTCTACATTAACATGATGTAATATATGTGTCAACTAATCAGAAACTGGTATGACTTGTACTGTCCATTATATTATCATTACACTGAGATAAATACATATTGTATGAAATATAACAAGAAATAATGTCACCCTATTTTTTTTTATAATAAACATACAGCAGGAAGAGAAAGATAATGAATATGGGTGAAACTAGGGCTGTAACAAAGGTACTCTCAAACAGATAGGCATTTGAAATAATATTACATTAGCAATTATTATAGATGAGGCCCTATATGAGTACTCTGTGGTAAAAATATATATTTAGTAGTGGCTTATTACATAGACTTAGATCAATCATCAATATATGTATAACATCTCTTTGTGTTATTAAACACATGTTTTACAAATATAGAATGATGAAATGTTAAAGAATTTTGTGTAAATTTATTTGACACTCTCCAGTGATAGAAATGAAGCTAATCCAAGAAACTAGGCTCACCTAGGATCAGATATGATTATACTTTTTTTAATTTATGACAATGGTATAGTGCAACTGCCTGCACTGACAGTATATGCTAATACTTGCTACTAGCAATCTAACAAAGGCATTTCATTGAAATAGATAAGTAATTACTAAGACATAATTAATTTATATCTATTGTTTTGTATACAATTATATATTAATATATATATAATTCTATTCAAAACAATGAACAACTATAATAATTTATCTGTAGCCCATGTGAAATGCTTGCTGCTTATACAACATAACAGATGCACAGCCCAGTAGGTATACCTTACATATTATATTTATTAATAAATTCAAATTAAATTTGTATTCTGATATTTATAAAAATATACATAATTTTTAGTAAACAATCTCTGCATATCTTTATAATGCAATTTATCATTTAAGAATGATAATGATACAAAAATAAATCCAGTTATTCATTTATTTTATGCACTTGCTTACTATTTCATAAAAATATAAGATTTAGTATCAATTCTAAATAATCTTTAGTAAATAAGAAATATATAGTACACAGCAAAATAATAGGATGAATAAATACATTATATGAAATCACATTACTCCTATCCATTCAGTCATTTGTGTCATAGATAAAAACCAAACATATTAATAAGTACTACAGTTGTATTCAACACAGGGACATCAATGAAAGCATAATGCCATTCATCACTGCATGCATAATTAACAACCAATGACCATACATCCATTTAAACACACTGACATGTTACAATTGGAAATAATTCAGACAAATATACATGTTAAAAAAAACGCTTAGAACTGCATTTTTAAAATACATATATGACCTACATAGAACTTAAGTGTATAATAGTTTCACATAAATTCACACAGCAAAATGAGGAACTATCTGAATAGCCTCCAAAATAATAGATTTAAGGCAATTACTACGAAGGTCGTGTCAACTAAGTCCCAATTACCTGTGCCATTTGAGGTCGTTGGTTCACGTCCTTCATGTCAATGCAGCCAGGATCAAGCACGTTCAGCAAGTTGCATAGTAACACTCCATCCCTTAGGGTATATGCCAAATCATGGATAGTACTCTTCTCCCAATTTGCCTTATGGTCAGGATGCAGCAAGCCACATCTCGTCAACCAAGAAGCGCACTCGCGCCATAGATCTTCGCCGCCCGTAGCCATGTTTTAAACGCTCTCCACAGTGCACATCGATAGTATCAGTACTAACCACAGCTTTTTAATAATCAACAAGGCATCATTAACAGGGGTTAATTGATAATTGACATACAAATTGATAGCTAGGGAAAACAGATATACAGAAAGATATTATTATCTCATGACAAGTGATTGACTGGACTAGTCGTTTTTTTTTTGTTTTGGCAATGGGTTTGTTCTCAGAGTTGCCAACCTAACCGATCTCTGTAATCAAATATATTTTAATTCTATCAACTTTTGATCAATATTTACTGTATTTGTTTATAGAACTTTTACATCGTGTAGCCTTACCGTAAGGCTACACGACGTAAAAGTTAAATTTTTTTTAAGAACTTATGTAATTTTTTCATTCATTTATAATTTAAGAGCTACGCTATTGTCGGTGGAGCTCTTGCCACTTTCCGCGATCTTCCATGTAATTTTTTATCTCTTTTAAATACAGCATTTAATTTAAAATTCATCAGTTTGCATAATATCTCGCAAAGGGAGTACAAATAAAGAAATAATTAAATTTATCGAATTTAATCGATCGTATTGAGTTAACTCAGTAAATCAAATGTAATTATAAATGAACTCGAACATTTTCATCTATGATAACAATAACAATAAAAACCAACAAGAAATAATTATTTAACAAATTATTGTAACGAAAAATATGTTAGTAATCATAGTATTAAATACTTTCTCTTTGATCTTTTGACACTCTTAGATTTTCTGTCAACGTACACGATTGTCTAATCTGTGATGAAAACATCAAGGTCTAAGTAGTCTATGTTATAGGTAGTCTGTGTCACTCTGTGGATTTGTCGCTATATGTCCATCAATTTATCGAACGAAAAAATCAATTATAGAAAATAAAGTATATAGTTTGCAATTTAATCGTGTATTTTCAGGTAAGTGTTTAAGTATTCTTTATATTACTTTATTTCAATTCTTTTTTGATATAAAAAGCCATTCAAAATGTTGGTGTAGGACACGCCCAACATTGTAATTAATTTTTTTTTCTAGTTACTGTTCCACTTTATTATCAATAACTTGTAATAGTTATAATAATAGTTTACTTTTGCAATATCAATGGTTTATTGAATAACACTGTCTATTTATATTCTATTTTTTTTATTTTGTTCTAAAATAGATTTGCACCGTTAACCATATTTAGGTTTATTTTGGAGCATTACGTCATAGTTCAGTACACAAGACGGGAAGTGGAGAGGTCGGTCGGTGTGTCATTTTGTTACGCCGGATAGCCGGTAGTTATTTTGTATTATTAGTGCACTGTAGACACTATAACTAGATAATGCTTGTTGGGGCGTAAAATTAGAGCAACTGAAGTCATGTAGCCTCCATAATGTTTTGCGAGTCTGCATATCTCGCCTCACTTACTTACTTTAGTTCTACTTTCTACGATAGCATCTAGATAGTACATAAGTATGTACTGATAATACTGTGTAAATGTTTTATTGATAAGTTGATTACTTAACAGCTTCAGAGTGACATCACTTTATCAACTGTTTTTATTGCATTAACTAAACCTGTAATCAGTTGAATTTTTTTGATTAATTATTATATTATTAACTGATGCAGATAAAAATAATTCATTAATTAAGTAGTTCTTTTCTTGTACATACTTTTTAGATAAAGATTTGATTGCCTTTTTTCTTGTGTGAAATATAAAATTGTAGGCAAATTTTAGAAGTTTCCTCCTATGTCTTTAGATTTAGGTCATCAACTGCCCCACCTAACAAGTTGAGAACACTATTTATTTAAATCTTGATGTGTATCATTATTTTTGAATATATCTATGAAGAGTTTTTTAAGAAAATCTAAGTATAAAAAAATTGTAGTTAAAACCATTTTTAATTTTTTTATTATTGAAACCTTTGCTAGAATAATAATAAAAATGTTCATGACTCAGTTTCAACATAATTTATGGGAAGAAATTTATTAATAGAGTAACTGTATCTATACAGACCGCACCCAATTCTTATGATTGGATGAATGAAATAGCTCACATAATGTCTATCTATGTCACATCTCTAAATTGGAGATTGGTGTATATGAAGTACCTAGAATAAAAAATACATTGTATAAATTGAAATATGTGGATATTTATATCAGTTTACTAGCTGTCCTGACAAATGTTGTTTTGCCATATAAATAGGAAAAAAATAGGAGTTCATTATAGATAGATATTTAGAGGTGTATGTATTTTTTAATGCCACATTATAAAAAAAAATTGTTGAAAAAATGAGTAAACCTTTATTGGGGTGAGCCACCCTTAACACTTAGAAGTATAAAAAATATTTATAAACTTTTCTCAGACCTACTGAATATACATTTAAAATTTTATCAAAATCAGTCAAGACATTTCAGAGGAGTATACACAGGAAACCTGTGACAGGAGAATTTTATATATTAAGATAAAAAAAAATAAGAACAACACTTATAAAAATAATTTATTGTTTAGACAATCATTTTAAAGATATTGTGGACCCATGTATCATAATTAACATAATATAAAGTGAATTAGAGGTATTTCATGTCAAGGTTATGGAATGGGCTCTCTATGCTACAATGTTATTTTGGAGTTGATATTATCTATACAATAATATTGCATACTTTCATAAATGTTTGTCATGAGGCAAGCTGCAACTTTGTTCACTACATTCAATAAAAATTGCTGATTAGTTCAGAAATGTAAATTGTTCTTAATATTTATTATCATCATCACTACATGATAAGTATTATTATCCATTATGATGATATTTATTATTATATATTCACACTTACACATAAGTGTCTAGACCCATGTAATGTGTCACTATAAGATACCACTTCTTATACATATACACATTAGACACTTGTTTTTTTTTCCGGACTACTCAAATTATGGTGGCCGCAGCTGACCTTTACAGCTTCACCGGACGATAGGCGGGCGATTGCAGATGGCACTCAAAACCTGCGGAAGGACTTATGGGTCGGCTGAAAGCCAACTCCCGCCTGACGGATACGACTTAGGCTACGGCTCAGGCCGTCGTAATATCTATCCCCGTTTGAATTGAACGGGGGATCGATCGGAGGGGGTAGACGCTTGTGTAATGTGTATAAATGTTTGCGTACTTTGGAAGCAACAATTAATTGTTCCCCCTAAACCTACACCCGGGTCACAAGTTCCGGGAACTGCTCAGACTTTCCCTTCCACAAATACTGGGAGTCTATGGAATACTAAGACGGTTGTCTCTCCCAAATAAATTCCTTGCCTAATTAAAAAAGCTACATATTTATATCTAGCTAACCCCACAGACATTGTCCTGTCTTAACTGTGAATATAGAACTCGCATTAGTATAATTAATCGACCTCGGTGGTCTAGCGGTCTAGCACACCGCTTTACGACCGATGGTCGCGGGTTCGATTCCTCGCACGGCACAAACATTTTTATTCATGAGTATTATTGTTTGTATCGGCCTTCTATGTATAACATGTATGTATTTAGAAAAAAGAATCTATGTATATGTATCAGTTATCTAGTACTCATAACACAAGCTTTAGCTAGCTTAACTTGGGTCCAGATGGAGCTGTGTGAATTGTCCTTTAAAAAAATATCCAAACATACCACGCAACTTATTATTTTTTCATAAGAACATTATAAGGAACCTACTTACAGTAACAAATACAAAAAGAGAATTAGCAAAATCGATTCAGCCGTTCATTAGTGCTGGGGGAAAAGGGGATTATTTTTTATATATACAAAAAAGAATTAGCAACATCCATTGGACCGTTCGTTCGTGTTGCGGAAAAGAGATTATTTTAAAAAATACAGATTAGCTGTAATGTAACTGAAATATAACTTACTATGTACTAGAAATAGGTAGGTAGGTAGATACATGTAATGAATACAAGTAACAGTGCTGACAGCAATGCGATCAAGTTGCCTCGGTATTGATTACGTCGCCTACAATGCTGTAGCAAATGGGACGCACTAATGTACTTAACTATGCATGTATTTTATATTCACTTAGCTCCTTGATAAGCTTGTATACATAGCGTTTAATATATAACGGTAGGTAGTATTGTAGGTCTATGTACAGTTAAGTTTATATACAAAGTTATAAAATAATATTTATTTCACATCATTCCTATGTGTAAATAATTATTTCGTCACATGTATAGGTACTATAGTAATGTAGTATATATAGTATAGTGTTCCATATATTATTTTATGGTATATAAAAGCATTTATCCCTCTCTCAGGAAAGAGGTAAAGACCTTTATTTACCACACTTAACTATATTAATAGGGTTTTACAATTAAAATTATGACAACATCATTTATTAATTTATTATGTGATATATATAATTATGATGAAGGATATTTTAGTCACTTTTCTATATATATGTCATATTCATATATATAGAAAAGTGACTAAAATATCCTTTTTAACTCTTCCATCCTCTTCAGGCGACAGTTTTTGTTATATTTATGATTTGAGAATTTTAAAACGGATTTAATATGAATGACTAAATATATGTACATTGATCTTTATAGCGTACAAGGTTCACGTGAAAGGTATAACGTAAGCTAATGCTACATTGTAGACAATGATACCGCAGTTTAATTACGGAGGCCACTTCAGAGGATGGAAAAAATGCAATTTACTTAATACATTTAAGTTTAATTTATGATCATCTATACATCTAAATAAAATTGGATTGTCTGTTCGTAATATTGAAATAACCGTTTTTACTACATTTATTACATGCATATTAATATAAATACGGTACATACACCAAAGTAACATTTTTTACAATTTTTGTGTCTGTCTGTCTGTTTGTTCCGGCTAATCTCTGAAGTGGCTGGACCGATTTTGACGGAACTTTTATTGGCAGGTAGCTGATGTAGCAAGGAGTAACTTAAGCTACTTTTATTTTAGGAAAATAAGTTAAATTCCACCACGCGGACAAAGTCGCGGGTACAGCTAGTAGAAAATATAGAGATAATTAATTACAACTAAGTGACTCTTCCTCGGTGTATGAATCAGTTCTATTTCATTTTGGCGAGGTGCTCATCACGGGATCGCGTCAGCGCTTCGGTTTCAAAAACTCTCTTAGTAGCGGACCCAATACGGAACGCTGATTATGCGGTATGAGGCAACAGGACAGGGATGCCACACTGAGTAGTTTTAGGGTTGTCACAAAATGTAAAACGTCTGTTACGTTTGTAATAGTGAAGATGCTAATAACCCACCTAATAGTCTACGACATACAATAATGTAAAACCTATATAATTTATATATTGGATATTGGTACCATACAAAGTGTTTTAGCCGATCTTTCAGGTAATGCGGCTAATGCAATTTGCTCATCGGTGAAGTGATGTAGTTATTAATTGTAGGGTACAATGTGACTGGCATGTGCGAGTTTGTACGATAGTCCGCAAATATGAAAGAAATATAAAAAAAATCAGCCAATGGAAAGTATTATATATGTACTATACATGATACCTAGACTAGGCTATCAATGTAGACAAAATGCAGGGAGCACCCACTACTAATTACTATATCTATAACTAGCTATGCCCGCGGTTTCATACGCGTTAAATTTCAATAAAAAAATATAGCCTATATGTTATTCTGATGTATTAGCTACATTACTGTAATGTTTCGTCAAAATTCGTTGAGTAGTTTTTGCGTGAAAGAGTAACAAACATCCATATGTTTTCGCGTTTATAATATTATTAAGATATTCTCCCCAATTCTTTCTATTCTTATATGCTGATATAAGGCTCATCGACGAACCGTTGTAATGATTCTGTCGGTATTACAATGTTGTGTTTGTTGAGTGAGTCATGAAGGTCACGTGATGTAATCGTTAATCAGCCGAGCGGTGATGTCAAATAAACCTCGACCTTATCTGAACGTCTGCATTCCACTGATTAGGACATTTTTTGTCCTGTATGTTCTTGTTCCTGGTAGGAAACTACTGTTATGTAATTTAAAAGGATAATTCCATCACCAAGTATGTAATATGTAAAATATATGCAATACTTGTGTAATAGACTTGTAATTAAAAGATCGCAGTGATTATTATTTATTTATATACATAACTCATTACTTATCCTATCCTATAATAAATAAAATAAGAATGTTTTTGTCATTATATAATTAATTGTGAATATAGTTAAATATAATAGTTTTAAAATAAAACGTGTTGGCAATTAGCTGTAAGTTTATATTATGTTAATAGAATGAATAAATACAGGCATAGGCCCAATATAATAATGTATCACATAAAATACAATGCTATTCTTGTAAATTCACACAATCTACACACAAATAAATCCGTTGTTTTTGCTACTTGATTGAGAGTGGCCAGTGCGTGTATACTGGTATAGTTCATTTGTTTAATAAAAGATACATTTCAGTATATATTAAACTAAACTATTACGAGAAACTGCTAGTTCAGACAAGCACTATATTTAGATTTGATCAAGATTTGACTAATGGTTCTTGAGTTAGTAGTACTAGTTTTTGTGGTCTGAACACGCATATAATTTTTTGTATTTTATTTTGCAGGTGAGTTGACGCATCCATCATGGAGCAGATTCCACCACCGAAGGAGGTGAAGATCCTCGAGACAGCTGAGGATATTCAAGAGCGTCGTGAACAGGTAATAAATGTTTTAATTTTACATTTATTTAACAATATTTCCTGTGAATATATTAAACGGCATTGTTTTGCCTCTGATGTAAAACATTAGGTTTCCATTTTCGAAATTAGGTCAAGCCCTGCAGTAATAGTTTTATGTTATAATTCTTCCGAGCATAAAGTAGCGTCAAAGCAAAGTAGTATGCGGGAAGGCTGTACTAATCTATGTATACAAATAGTACACTTATTATTTCTTAATAACAAATTATAAAAATACAATTGATTTTTAGTAATGTTAATTATATTGTCTGTAAATTAGGTGCTCAACCGCTATGAAGACTTCAAACAAGAGGCGCGCGCCAAGCGAGAGAAACTAGAAGATTCTAGACGTTTCCAGTACTTTAAGCGCGACGCTGATGAACTCGAGTCCTGGATTCAAGAGAAGCTGCAAGCTGCCAGCGATGAGAGTTACAAAGATCCCACCAACCTGCAGGTGAATAAACACTTCTAAATTAACAAGTCTCTATTTTACTCTGCTATGTGTTGTAACATAGTGTAATAGTGAGCAAGGTAAAATAAGTAATATGCTAACATCTACGTACTAAATAGTTTAGTTATAGGGGTTTTGTTTCTTTTGTTTGAAAGACTGTATAGTCTATGTAATGTGTATGTTTGGGAATTCATACCCACACGCTTGAACTTAAGTGGTCAGAAAGATGTCAGAGGAACTTCCTACTGCGTACACTTAGATTGTGGAATTAAATACCTGCCGAACTTTTCTCGAGAGACTATAGCATGGGGTTTTGCCCTGATCCCTCCCTCTGATCCCTCTGGTGTTTCAGACGTCCGTATGTATACAGTAACCGTTTACAATCATGTTGCTTACTGCTTGATAGGCATAGTATAAAATAACTTAAGAACAGGGTGGCGGAATGTATTTGAACTTGACGTGATAGAGTATAATAAAATATACACCAGTATTTATATATTACCTAGTTCATTTAAAAATTTTGTTGAGCTTCATTATTTTTTATTTTTTATCTGGATTGGCAAACAGCTGATTACCTACCTGATGTCAATTGTGCCTATATATATGAAATGCACGGTCACACGTCTTTCGTGTGATGCTCATGTTATGAAGGTGTTTCCATTTCTGAGGAATAAGGTGTCATCGATACCCTGTAGTATTTTATTACAGTTCAGATAAAATATGAATAATGCTTATACAGGCCAAGATCCAGAAGCACCAAGCGTTTGAGGCGGAGGTTGCCGCCCATTCCAACGCTATCGTGGTGCTCGACAACACCGGCACTGAGATGATATCGTCCGGCCACTTCGAGTCTGATACGATCCGCCGTCGCCTGGATGAGCTGCACCGTCTCTGGGAGCTGCTGCTATCAAGGCTCGCTGAGAAGGGCATGAAGCTGCAGCAGGCGTTGGTTCTCGTTCAGTTCCTGCGGCACTGCGACGAAGTCATGTTCTGGATCCGCGACAAGGTCTGTTCTGTTTACTCTAGTTTATTTTTACACATTGCAATAACATTCCTTACACATCCATACATTAATGAGATGTATAGGACATAAACATTGAATTAGGTTTGCGGAACGTGTGTTCGAACAAGTTATATAAAAACTAGTATGTCATCTTTGCTCTTTCTAAACATTACTATTTTTAAATTAATTTTGTTTAGAACATAAATATTTTTTTACAATTTAATATGTACTCATTTCGGTGATAATACTTGAATAAATATAATTTCTGCGTAACTTCAGTGCTTATTGGCAGCAATGTACTGACTTTTACAGTTTACAATTTCATCATATTGATGGCAGTTTCAAAATTCAGTGTGATTAAAATAAAATATCATGTAAAATAAAAATATATCATTTTACCAACAGGAAACATTCGTGTGCGCGGATGAGTTTGGCTCGGATCTGGAGCACGTCGAGGTGTTGCAGCGCAAATTCGACGAGTTCCAGAAGGACATGGCGGCCCAAGAATACCGCGTCACCGAGGTCAATCAACTCGCAGAGCGCCTTGTACTCGAAGGTCACCCAGAGAGGGAGACCATTGTGAAGACCAAAGATGTGAGTCCTCTTAAATATTTAGTGTGAACCATATTTTAAACAGTCAACTCATTAGGTAATCATGTACAAACTCATTTGAAAAGGATAAGAGCTGAATTTCTTGCCTGTTATCAGCTTCAAAGCACCCTCAACTGATAGTAGATTTGATATATCATTAGAATCTGCAAAAGACCTACATAAATAAATATAAATTTGATTTTTATGCTAAGGCTAACATTAATTAACATTACAAATGAATGTTAACTGGATCTCTATTGTGTGCATTTAGTTGTTAATTTAAGTTATTGTGCCTGAAGAACAATGGTCATAGAAACAAAATCTATCAAGTTTTGTCCATTTGCAAAGAAGTTTTACTCAGGGGATACAGGACAATCTTAACTGACTAACGATTTATACATACTGCTGAGCATTTCAACATATGGGTGGACTGATTTAGTGGATAATTTTATACTAAAAGGCACCACTGGCTACATAGGTAATAGTGTTTTTATAATTTGAGCAGTCTGCGGTTAATGAAATTTATACATTTATAATGCATCTTTATTGTTCAACCAACTCATTACTGAAAAACATCTATCAAATGTTACGACTATTCTTAAAACAATCTGACAATATAAATGACAATACTGCAACCAACATTTTATAGAAACTGCCACCATGTTATGGACTAATATATTAGTAAATGCGACAAAATAATGAATCACTTGTATTATAAACTAGTTATTTATTTATGCAGGAACTGAACGAAGCCTGGCAGCGCCTGCGCCAGATGGCCTTGATGCGCCAAGAACGCTTGTTTGGCGCTCATGAAATCCAGCGTTTCAACCGCGATGCGGACGAGACCATCGCCTGGATCTCCGAAAAGGATGTAGTACTTGGCTCCGATGATTACGGACGCGACTTGGCCACTGTTCAGACATTGCAGGTTAGAATTGCTTAATGAATATAAATACAATGGAAGTGTAGTTAAATAGCTTATATAATTGATTTTAATGTCTATCCTTAAACATTATTGTAACTGTAATTAAATTTTAACAATTTATGGTGGATGGTATATATCACATATTATAACCAATTATTTTCTGACTTCTTGGTGTCTCATAAGAGTGTAGCATATTATGACTTTGAGGTGCCAGGAACAGTTGAATAGATGAAATGGAGTTGTTACGTATTTTTTAAAATAATGAAATAAGTCAAAAATAAATATTTCTTAACACACTTCACAAATTATAATATATATAAAAGGGAAGTAGAATAGATAGATTAAATATTTTTCCTTTGTGAAGGTAAGTCGTGTGTTTGAATTGTATCCAATAAATTCCGGAATATGGTCTGCTATGTTTGATTTGATTGCGGTGAAATTCGAGCATTGTGGTTGTAATGTGTGATGTGTGTGTGTACAGCGCAAGCACGAGGGCGTGGAGCGCGACCTGGCGGCGCTGGAGGACAAGGTGTCGACGCTGGGCGGAGAGGCCGCGCGGCTAGCCGCCATACACAACGACCACGCGCCTGCCATACACTCCAAGCGAGACGAAATCACGCAGGCTTGGCAGAAGCTCGTGCAGAAGGCCAAGGTCAGTTGCACCTCCGCAGTCACCAGTCTGTTGTTGTTATACTACATTTTACTAATACTCTTTGTTATAGTTATTCCAAAATTTACATAACATAAACACATTTTAATATTAATTTTTGATCCTACCGCTACATTCAGAGTGTAGTATCAATCAATAACGGACTAGAATCGGATAGGTATGTGAAAAGAGAAGAAAGCATTATGTCGACTCTAGCGCACACTGCTGACGTCATGCGTACATTGAACATTCCGCGGTAACCGGCGAGAGAGAACAGTGGTGTATGTCTGAGAGCCGATAATTAGAAAGACGATATGTGTGCTTATTTTTTCAAGATATACATATGTGTCTGATTTAGTATATAAATTATATGAATATAATCAGAAGATAGTAATAAAATTTTGATGTTGGATAATAGGAGCGTCGGTCGGAGTTGGAGTCGTCGCACGCGTTGCACCGCTTCCTGGCCGATTACCGCGACCTCATCTCCTGGATTAGCGACATCCGCACCCTCATTGCAGCGGACGATCTCGCCAAGGATGTGCCCGGTGCTGAGGCACTGCTCGAGAGGCACCAAGAACACAAGGTTTTATTTAATTTGAACACTATCGAATATATTTAAATTTCTTAGTTACTTTATTATTTCACTAACTGCGAAATTTATGGCCTGGTTTTTCTCATGTGTAAGCTATATTATTTTAAAGTTTCATTAAAATCAATTCAGTAGTAGTTTTGCGTGAAAGAGTGTCAAACATTTGTCCATCCATACTCACAAACTTCCGCCTTTGTAATATTAGTTAGATAGTACCTATATTATTTTCAATTCAATTAATAATCTCGATAATAATCATCAACGACAATATTTAGTTCTAAAGGTGAATTATTTGTTTTAGTTACTAGATCTTTAAATAGATATCACGTTGGATAGCATCGCATATCAATTATCTAGTCCCCATAACTTAAGCTTAGCTTAGTCCGGGGCTAAATAGCGCTATGTTAATTGACCTGAGATATTATTATATGTCGCATTGTAATGTAACTAAAACAATATGTATGAATATTTAGGGTGAAATGGATGCTCGGTCGGATGTGATACGCGCGTGTGCAGCGGCCGGTCAAGCGCTGGTAGAGAGCGGGCACCGCGCCTCGTCGGAGGTGTCCGCGGCGCTGGAGACGCTGGCGCGGGAGAGCGACGCGCTGCAGCAGCTGTGGGAGCAGCGCCGCGTGCTGTACCTGCAGTGCATGGACCTGCAGCTCTTCTACCGCGACACCGAGCAGGCCGACGCCTGGATGCACAAGCAGGAGGTGAACATCACATTTATATATTAAAACACTGCAGCATTACAATCTACAAAGTGTTTCATAGTATGGAATGAACAATTTTCAGTATTCTGGGGACCTATAAGTTTAACAGTTAGAAACTTAATTTTTGAAAGTTTCTAACTGTTAAACTTATAGATCCCCAGAATACTGAAAATTGTTTATTCCATACTATACTATAACTATACTATTTAAAATTTAAGAATTGACTTTGCTATTCTTTTTTGTCCATGATCAAATTGTATCTGACAAAATTAGTAATAATAAAGTTTATTATGGCATCGATGCCCCATTTGTTAGTAATTTTTCATTCAAATCTAATGTTAGTATAGTTTCTTATCTATCTAGTAGTACATTTAAAGTGGTTATAAATTGTTAGACTTATGTCTAAAAAAATATTGTATCACTGGTAAATTAATTTTTTCATCTAAGTTTTCAGAACGATATTCAAATAAAATTATGTATTTTCGTAATGTTATCATCAAAATCATCAAACCTTCCTAACCTGTGTTCAGGCCTTCCTCGCGAACGAAGACGTAGGCGACTCTTTGGATTCCGTAGAGGCGTTGTTGAAGAAACACGAGGACTTTGAGAAGTCTCTGGCGGCGCAGGAGGAGAAAATAAAAGCTCTGGACGAGTTTGCTTCTAAATTGATCCAGGGACAGCATTATGCCGCCGACGATGTCGCACAGAGGAGAGAGATGGTGAGTAATATGTCTTGTTTAGGTAATTAATACCAAAAGTAATAACATGAAGAAGAAAGATTTTATTTTAACTTGACCTAACTTGAATAAATGCTGACCTATTAAAAATATATATAATTAAGAAATCAAATGCTATGTCTTTTAAAAAAAGTGTGAAGGGGGAGAGTCGCTAGTTAGATTAAAATTAAAAACAACTATATTCTTAATCTGATACTATTGTATAAAAAATCTTAACATATACGTTAAAATTGCTTTGAGACGAAGAAACCTTTAAATATGGGTTATGTATGTAATAATTATAGTAAAGTCTACTGAATACATATAATAAAAGAACATTATAGTCATATTTTTAATTAGACGAAGTCAACTGACGTTTACTGTGTTGTCAGTATTTGATGAAATAAAAATAGTGTTGTGACAAAGTGAATCATTGAAAAAACTCCTGAATTAATGGAATTGCCTCGATTGTCTAGTGAATAGTTAGTGTGCCGAACTGCCGATATCGGGTACGGGGTTTGAATTTTAGCCGTGCTTTATACATACCAACGAGTTTACGACGATTATGTTCCTATTGTATCTACCTATACTGAATACCGAGTATTTTAAACGTAAAGAAAAAATTGCGTGGAAACTTTTAAGACTGTCCTAATTACAATTCATAATGTAATTGAAACTATAGATGTACAAAATATAACAATATATAACATAATATAGTTAGGTAATAAAAATAAAAAACTGCGCTTATTACAAAATTTGTTTTTATTCATCATCAGATAAAAAAATCATTGTCGCTTTCAGTGACATTAATTATAAATCTGTCTAAAAATTGATAATAATTTATCTTTGAAACAGTGTTTCGCTCCACGTTTCTCCGGAGACTTAAATTGTTCACTTTGTATTATTTTAATACATTGTAGACTGAGGTCACACCAATTCCCAAAATGTCAGCTGTTTTCGAAATACATTTGTTTTTTTGGGAGCCTCAATAGGTAATAGTGAAGCAGCTTTCTCAAATACGTATTTGTAGACGTTTTGTATCATAAGTTTTTCGGTAACGTCTTTCTTGGAGACAAGCTTTGGCTTGACGTGCTTGGTTGAGGATCCATATTGTTTGTATGAAACAATATAGTAAATATACAATATACCCAACAATTACCCCAAACACAACATGAGGAAAAACTTAACAAAACAGCGTGAGCGCAAAAAAAAACATTGGTGCTCTCAGACCAGAGGTTAGAAGCCGAATTACGAACAAAATGGCGACAGACGCTCGCGACGTTGATTTGTGTTGGCACTAGTAGCCGCGCGCTTTGTAATAAGCCGTCAAAAAACTGATTGTAGTTACTAGTAACTTATATCAGAGCACTTTTATACAATTTTCTTTTGTAGTTTGTAATGATTAACTATTCACACTCATTGTTCATTCATCTAACTGAGAACTGAACGCATCACTATTACTTTAAATATGGCAACATTATTTTACAATGTGACATTAGCTACTGTCAGCTAGCTTCGTCTAATTAAAAATACGACTATAGTGCGGTAGTTTACGTCAAGTTTATAATATTGGTATGTTTCGTACAGTTACTGGAGCGTCGTGCTGCTCTCCAAGAAAAGTCGAACCAACGGCGTGCGTTACTTGAAGACGCCTACAAATACCAACAGTTCGAACGTGACTGCGACGAGACCAAGGGTGCGTGATAGATAAACTGTACAAATAAAAGTTCATAATGGTGGTCTCTATTTTTAGCATTTCTTATTCAAGTACTACTACCATAAGAGTTATATAATAATTAATCACCAAATAATAGTAGTGTTAAATAAAGAACTTAGCTCAATCATTGAAAAATCAAGATATTGTTTAGACTAAAATCGTATACGTCAAGCAGCAGTTGAGCTTCATAAGTCCTTCCGCGGGTTCGGAGTGCCATCTGCATCTGCAACGGTCAACAGCATTAGAATAGTTCGAAAAAAGTTAACATAACATTTAGTACTGCAAAATATTTGTAATGTTTAAAATATTGCCACGTTGTAAACAGGCTGGATCAACGAGAAGCTGAAGTTCGCAACAGACGAATCTTATCTCGACCCAACTAACTTGAACGGCAAAGTGCAGAAACACCAGAACTTCGAGCAGGAGCTGCAGGCGAACAAGCCGCGCGTCGACGAGATCACCACTGTCGGCAACCGACTGCTGGAACAAGAACATTTTGCCAAACGTAAGTTTATATCTTTTGTTTTTAGCAATTAGTTTTTGAGTATCAAATTTGTGGCCAGTATGATATATCTCTAAAAACATACATATAAATCAACAACAAATATACTTAATCTCGACAGCCTCGGTGGTCTAGTGATTTAGCACACCGCTTTACTATCCGATGGTCGTGGGTTCGATTCCTCGCACGGTACAAACATTTGTATTCATAAGTATGATTGTTTGTATCGGTCTGGGTGTTTTCTATGTATAATATGTATTTATTTACAAAAAAAAATGTATCCATGTATTTATATCAGTTGTCTAGTACCCATAACACAAGCTCTGCTTAGCTTGGAACTAGATGGCGCTGTGTCAATTGTCCTGAGACATTATTATTATTAATATTTGCATCTGTGGTTATGACAGACGATAAATATGCTATCATGACAGCAGTTCGCTATGATCACTCCCGTAGGTGGGTAGTCGTGTTTCAAGAAGGTGGATAGCATATTAATCCTAAAACCTATTTATTAACATGATACTCCTATTATTGTACCAAAATATAAGATCATTGTAATTGCTAATTTCATCAATAATTTCTAGAAAAACTATATTACATTTAACAAAGCAAGAGGTGAGCTGATAGCCTTCTCACTAAACTAGAGATTTTTTTTTCTGCTGTATCCAAGTCATGAATTTTACTGAGTAATAAATGTATAGTTTACAGCTCTTTTCAGTCTTAAAATGTGAATTTATTTGCTATCCACAAAAAAACTCGTACATAATGTTGTTTGTGTATATTTTATTGTTATATTTTAAATTTTATCTTTAGCTCAAATCGAGTCCCGTCTGGGCGAACTAGCTGGGTTATGGGAGAAGTTAGTGACTGCCTCCGAACTGAAGGGCAGTAAGCTGCAAGAGGCATCTCAACAGCAGCAGTTTAACCGTGCTGTTGAAGATATCGAACTCTGGCTCTCAGAAGTTGAGGGGCAGCTGCTCAGTGAGGACTATGGCAAAGTATGTTTATAATATATTGCTTTACTAAAATATATACTTGGTCTTCAATTATATACATCATATAAAGGAGATATTTACTTATAATTATAGTTCTTTCTATATCTTCGTAATTGTATAAAAAATTCTTGTCACATTCTTTATTCAAGATGAAATCCTAAAATACTGCAACGATTTTGATACTCTGTAGGTCTGAGATTAAGATTTTTTATACTCCTAAGTGACAAGGCCCAACCCCAAAAAAAAACTTTATTAATATTATTTTAATATTCAGTATTAAAAATTACATACAACCCTAAATTTTCACCCTTCTACTATCATCCCCTCTTTTTTTGTAGCGATATTAATTTATATAGCAAAACAACGTTCGCCGGGATAGCTAGTTGTAATATAATAATAACTATAAAATACTAGCTGTAAATTTATAGTCTACTTGTTATTCTGTTAAGTTTCATTGTATCTGTATACATATCACAAATAATAGAATTATATCAATCGGTCAATGTAAGTTTTTTCCACTTATAACCATGCATTCCATATAAGTTTGTTTCACTTGTGTCAGGACCTGACTAGTGTGCAGAACCTGCAGAAGAAGCACGCGCTGCTGGAGGCGGACGTGGGCTCGCACGCCGAGCGCATCGACGCCGTCCGCGGACAAGCCGAGCTGTTCGTGGAGCGCGGACACTTCGACGCGGACAATATACGCACCAAGCGGGTAACTACTCTGTGCATATCTATTTTTTATGGATGATAATTTTATTTATTTATTTAATACAGGGTACTAATAATAATGCTGCTACACCCACCACGGCAATGTACCAGTCCTGTCTATATTACACCACTAAGGAGCAGGACATTGTCGATTATATACGAACCAAGAGTAACCTGACATTGAGTGACGCAGTTGGGACCGAGTCATAACGCGCGTTTGTGGCCCAGGTCCCACCAACATGCTGCCCGCCTTCAGTCGGTGTGGTGTTTCGGCGCTACTGTCAGATTGCCGTCGACAGTGCCCTGACCACACAAAGAAAAAATAATAATGAAAAAAAAATATTAGTTTTATAATATTAATTAATATGTGTGTTAGTCTATAAGGTATTCTTTATAATATGACTAAGATATGTTTAGATTCTTACTGTAATGAATTATATGCAGGATGGTCTAGTGGGGCGCTACTCTGCGCTTGACAAGCCGATGGCGATACGCAAGCGCCGTCTCCTGGATTCACTGCAAGCGCAGCAGCTGTTCCGCGATCTTGATGATGAAGCCGCCTGGATCAGGGAGAAGGAACCTATCATCGCATCCACTAACAGAGGTATGTGTAAGAAATTGCATTCTTTAGAGAATTTACGAATAATATTTTTTGTAACTGAAATAAAAAAAAAAGTCCTTCTGTTGAAATGTAGCAGAGAAATAAATTAGAAGAAAGCTATTAAATATATCTGTACAAAGTACCTAGTCTTGAAACAGATATTAATTTAATTATACCCTTTTAGTGTTTTTTTTATACCATCCTCTTGTTTGGTATTTTAATAATAATAATAAGGCTTTATTTGTATATACCATCTAAATAACAATTGTTATTTAAAAAGGATTCATTTATATCATCTATATCAGACGCATACCCATTATATATAACAATTTAAATTAATTCTAAGTAACCAAATGCCAGAAAGTTGCGTAATACAATCGCTGACTTACACCTGTGATATAGGCATCAGTACTCTCTTGTAACATGTATTGTAAATTAAATTTGCTAGTTGTGTGGACATGTATATTTAAGAGTATGTGTTGTGTATGTGCCTTAATGAACTAAGGTAGAAAGTAGAATATGGATTAGTGAATGTATATGAATCAGTGGCACTCAATGAGGAAGTAGCCATTATTATTGCTAAAAGTTGCATATAGATGGCGTGATTGGTATCGATGGAATTCTTCATAGTTTTGCAAACGTTTTAAAAAACAAAACTGTGTTTTCAAAAATGATTAATCAATTTTTAAAAAGTTATATATACATGTTAAAATGAAATAATGCGTTTAGTAAAGTAATTTTCATATATTTACTCATTTTGTTATTTTCCAGTACTTAATTACACTTTAATCAGTGCTAATATGGGGCTCAATGTTTTCGAAATGCTTTCATAGATGGCATTGTCGTCATTTGTATCGGCCTAATTAAATGTCTTTTTTATATTTTCCAATAATAAGCACTTAATATATTATTATTGTAAATTAAACATATAAAAAATTTTTAAGTAAATTAAAAATAGCCGAACAAGCAAGTAATACTATTTCCAATAATACTTATGTATGAAGTGTTGTCATATTAAAAATAAATACATGTATTATCGATTTTTTTGAATAATCGATAACAGGATTTTATTACAGCGCATTATTCGATGATGCTTTTAATGAGTCGTTGTGAACAGTAAATTTTCATTATTATGTATTATAGCAGTGTTCCGTTTCAAAGAACGGAATATAGTAGTACATTATTAGTGTCGTTGGTTATTTACATTTGTACTGAATAATCGATTACATAATAATTTAAAATATCGAGTACGAATCGTAGCTGTCTTCGAATACTGGCAACTGGTAAGATTAAAATAGTATTTAAAAAAAAGAGAGAAATCGACCCTAACTCGAATACCATAAAGTTGATTTTCCTTTCTCATTAATATATCATAGCAGTTTGTTTTTAACTTGCGTATGACTCTGTAGTATGATGTTTAACGTGTATTGTTATTGTACGGTGCATACATTTCAAAAATTATATTTTAATGTAGGTACATACATTTCATACATGTCAAAAATTATCTTTTAATGTAGGTACACACATTTCATGCATGTCAAAAATTATCTTTTAATGTAGGTACATACATTTCATACATGTCAAAAATTATCTTCTAATGTAGGTACATACATACATTTCTTTCATACATTTCATACATTTCAAAAATGAACTTGTAGGTACATATATTTCTTTCATACATCTCATACATTTCAAAAATTATATTTTAATGTAGGTACATACATTTCTTTCATACATGTCATACATGTTAAAAATTATCTTTTAATGTAGGTACATACATTTCTTTCATACATTTCATACATTTCAAAAATGAACTTTTTATGTAGGTACATACATTTCTTTCATACATCTCATACATTTAAAAAATTATATTTTAATGTAGGTACATACATTTCATACATGTCAAAAATTATCTTCTAATGTAGGTACATACATACATTTCTTTCATACATTTCATACATTTCAAAAATGAACTTTTTATGTAGGTACATACATTTCATACATGTCAAAAATTATCTTTTAATGTAGGTACATACATTACTTTCATACATTTAAAAAATTATATTTTAATGTAGGTACTACATTTTTTTCATACATTTCATACATGTCAAAAATTATCTTTTAATGTAGGTACACACATTTCTTTCATACATTTCATACATGTCAAAAATTATCTTTTAATGTAGGTACATACATTTCTTTCATACATTTCATACATTCCAAAAATTTCATACATTTCAAAAAGTATCTTTTAATGTAGGTACATAACACCCCATGTCAGACCCCTTGTATTTGGAAGAAACTTAAAAATAATGCCAAAAATATTAGATGAATATATTTTTAATACGAATATTGTTTTATTTTTGTTCATCAACTTTATCCCTCACTAACAATACTAGTAGTAGTACATAACCTGGTTTATACCGCTAAAGATATTGAAAGATATACGAGTAATTCAGAATGTTATCAAGTTCAAAATAAGCACACATTACTTGCTTAGATAACAGAGTAATATTACTCGTAATAAAAACATTTGTAACACCCATATGTATACTACGTATGTATAGTAAGTACTTACGCTGCGGCGCCGTGAGACTCGTCTACCTCATCTACTAACCAATAGGAGCGCGCCTCTCGTGTTTCCAGAAAGTTCGCGACTAACGGACGATATAGTAGTAAGGCAATGAGTGTCCCAGTGACATCATTATAATATTTTCTCGTTAAATTTTATTGTAATATACACAATTTCGCACTAAATAACGTGTTACCCCGTTACACATTTCTAATAATGAAAAACCTAGACCAACCCTGTTCACTTAATCTTACAAGATCTGACTTTAAAAATTACGATATCCTCATACAGCCTTTCATTTCCCCTTTCAATACTTTTTCGCATTAAAAAGTAGCCTTTCTCAGGGTCTACATTATCTGTCTACCAAATTTCAATTAAATCAGTTCAGTAGTTTTGGCGTGAAAGCGAGACAAACAGACAGACTGAGTTACTTTAGCATTTATAATATTTGTAAGAATATCGCTATTAAAAATAGTGGTTGGTGAAAGACGGGTGAAAATTTAGGCGTGTATGTATTTTCAATGTAATATTATAAATAAATAAAAAATTGTCCATAATACAAAAAAATATTTTTTTGGGGTAGGCCACCCCTATGACTTAGGGGTATAAAAAATAGATAACAACCCTACCTCAGACCTGGCAAGTATACATATCAAATTTCATCAAAATGTGGGAGAAGTATGGCAACTAACACTGTGATACAAAATTTATATATAAGATATAGCGGAATTCTCATTAGGGAAAAGAGGGGTACATCGTAGAATACATGAAGTATATACCAGTAAATTAATTGTAGCTAAAACCTTACACATAACGATTGAAATAAATAATCATATAGCCCGATTTTGATACGTACGAGTATAAAAGTATCAAAATCGGGCTATACGTATAGCGCAGACGCGTTACAACATATCAAAAAAATAGGCATGGAATGTAAAATAAACCATAACATAATAGGTATATACATTGGCACATAAGCCATATCTGCAGAGTGTCGGCTAACGATATTATACCTACACATTTACATTGAATCCTGAATCGTCCCTAATGAGGTACACGATACAGTTACCTACATATCTATTATATACATATCTTTGCAAAACAGATGTCATGTAGACTGAATTGACTGCCATCTATTTTCATGCTTTGTTACTAAGCACCCACTAGTAATCCGAACTGCTTCAGATCTAGCGACATCTAGCGGCTACGGTGGCGAAATAAAATAGCCCGAAGAATAGCCCGAGTTAGGAAGGAACCATTTTCTAGTATGGGATGGGGTATCTGTATGTAATATTATGTTATCTGTGATATGAATATTGTTTTGAACGATAAGTGCTATGTTAACGTGCGTGGTCGCGTGGTGGTAGGTCGCGACCTGATCGGCGTGCAGAACCTGATGAAGAAGCACCAGGCGGTGATGGGCGAGATGGCGCAGCACGAGGCGCGCGTGGAGGCGGTCCGCGCGGCCGGCACTGCGCTGCGGGACGCCGGACACTTCGCGGCAGACGACATCGCCGCCCGCCTCCACCAGCTGCAGAACCAGTGGGCGCAGCTGCAGGAGAAGGCGCTGCAGGTACACCACCCTATACACCAGTGTACCTCGCCCACTCCGTATAAAATACAAAAAGATCTTAATCACCCATAATTTAGGTATATGTTTCGTACAATAAACGAAAGAGTATTATATGCGTGTGTGTGTAATGTATACATAATTTAAAAAATATTTAACCATTCTGCACTCCTGTGCGAAATTAACATTTACAGCAATTTAAGAATTACTATTATCATACTCCTTTGGCCACGCAGTTTTTGTGAAAAGGGGTACAAAGTTTTTACTCCACATATTAATATAGATAGCATATAGAATGGCAAACAGACCGATGGCTCACCGGACGGTATCAATTATATCAGCCACAATTATTGTGTTTTCCATTATATTGCCTAAATATTTTTGACAACTGTTTCCCCAAAATTAAAATGTGTATTATAAGTTCAGATATTTATCTGATGATTTTTTATGTATTTACATAAAAACAATTTTAACACTGGATGTGGTATCTCTACTATAGCGCAAACAAGACCTGGAAGACTCGCTCCAAGCTCAACAATACTTTGCCGATGCCAACGAAGCTGAGTCGTGGATGCGCGAGAAGGAGCCCATGGCGAACACCCAGGACTACGGCAAGGATGAAGACTCATCAGAGGCTTTGCTCAAGAAACATGAAGCACTGCTCTCGGACTTGGAGGCATTTGGGAACACTATCAAATCACTGAGGGATCAAGCTAACGCCTGCCGGGTAATAATTCTTGGTTTTTATTTTAATAATCTGTCATACTCGTAAATATTGCTGCTAGTAGGGACTAGCCTGCTCTAATTATTACAAATAATTTACTCTATTTTAGTTACCCGACCATAAATAAATCTATCCTGCTAATAAATATATACAGTTAATTAATATTATTTCAATGTTGTACACCACAACTCAGAGTACCAATTGTAACATATTTTGTACATTTTTGCATATTTCATCATATCATCATCACTATTAGTAATTTTGGTGATTTCTTGAATGAATTTGGTTTCATTCCAATTCTATACATAAAACTAAACAAAATAATACAAATCAGTTAACAAAGTAATGAAATGGACTTCCGCTACTCTAATGCAGTTGGCCGCAGCTAGCCTGTACAACTACATCGAATGATTGGGGGACAAATGCAGCTGGCACTCCCACGGAAGGACTTATGGAGCGACTGAAGGCTAGCTCCTTGACGGTTACGACTTTAGTCTGACGTCACCACTAGGGGTGTTTTCACTATCTACAGTATTAATGTTTGGTACAGCAACAAGAGTCACCGGTGGTCGACGTGTCGGGCAAGGAGTGCGTGGTGGCGCTGTACGACTACGCGGAGAAGTCCCCGCGCGAGGTCTCCATGAAGCGCGGCGATGTACTCACTCTCCTCAACTCCAACAACAAGGTAACTTTTTTTTTTATAGCAAAGCGGGAAACGAGCTTTGACTCACCTGATTGTAAGTGATTACCGCTGCTTATGAGTCCCCGCGTAAAGTGCTTTGACGGCCTTTTAAGAACGAATAAGCTCTTTTCTTGAAGGTTTCTATATCGTATCGATTAGGATCGGAAATATTTTTTCAACGTATTTACTCCACTATTCAAGGGTTGATGGTATCATGAATAGAGTAGAAAATTCTTAATACAAATAAACTTAAATATAATTACTTTTGAATAGACATACATATTTTTTTAATCTACAGCTCATTCGGAAAGGTGTCTCAACACAAGATGAATGAGGAAGAAACTTGCGTGTTGCTCTATAAATGTTGTACCTTTATATTTTTAAGTTTAAATGTGTGAATACAAACTACCAAATAGCACTACTTCATTAGATATAATACTCAAGCAATTGTTTAATGGTAAAATATAACATGCATTGCAGCAGAAGTTGAGTACATTTTCTTTATGAAACTTTTAGAACACTTTTTGTTAGGTAAAAACCACTAATAATGTACTAGTATTTATTCAGTTTGTGACTTATACATGAAGAACGAAATAGCTCTACCAAAGGCACGCAAGCGATCAATACTATTTCACGTTTTTTTTTATATATCTGAATATCGTTTGTTTCAATGAAACTGAGTTTCAGTTTATGTTAAAAACGGTATAATTATTTACATAGATAAACCTCTAATAGATAAGTGCCGAAGTTGTTACTAGCAATTGACACTATATGTATATTCAATAAGCAATGTCAATGATAACGATAAACTACGCAGCAGGATCTAGTCGTAAAGCGCAGACCATACAAGCGTAACGAAGAACTAATGTTTTAATCACACAATATTAAAAAATTATATAAGAAAAGTATTTGTCTATGCACATGATAAAAACAGACAACGAAAAGTTAGTGGGTTATTTATAATTTTTATAAATAAAACAAAAGCTAACTATGTGTCTCATAAGCTCTCGCTAAGTATATGGGGGAAATTAATGTTAGTAATACGCATATATGGTATCAGGTATGGCCATGTGCCCACCTAGCATATACTGTGAGCGCAGGCGGGTACATCATGCCTTATCATATATAAAAAAATAGGTCACTAGTTCAAAGATCCTTATCGTACATGTTATATGTATATACCATTTTTGTTTTAATGTGTATATGAAAACTAATTTAAAACATTCTATATATTCCTGTCTGAATTGTACTTCATTTGCGTACGTCATTCTTTTATTGCATATCCGCCTCAAACCAAACATGCTTATATAATCACGTGACGTATTACAACATTATTCGACCACCGCTTGATGCGGCCGCTCGTCAGCAACGACCGATGAGAAATCAATTGAAAATGTAGTCTCCTAATATACATTTTAGCCAATGTAGAATGTTCTAAAGAATTTGTATAATTAGTTGAAAAGTTCTGTGATACAAAAGTGATACTAGTCAGTAAAATGATAGTGTTAAGTTGGCTGGTGATAGTGATAACGGAAAATGTATATAATTACTGTAGGAATGATAAGAGGCAAACATTGGCACATGTGAGTTTATTCGGCTTGTAATAAAAAATACATAATTATTGCTTGTATTAAAAATTATTATTTAAACAAATAGCCTTATTTTTCTATGATAATAAAAAATGTGTGAAATACAATACATGTCATACCAATGTTATAAATGCGAATGTTTGTAGTTTGTGACTAAATCACACTCAATTGATTAGAGGGTTTTGGATACGAATGAATTTTTGTACACAAATAGATCACTACTTTGATTAACAGAAAGAAAATATTTTTTACTTGAATTCATATACGTGTAAATTTTGTAGAAGAACATTCTATTGTGTATGATGTATTGAATAACATGTGGAGTATATTAATATGAGTAATAACTACTTCCAATTATTTCTTTTGAATCTTAGACGGCCTCAGTGGTTTAGCTCACCGCTTTACTTCCAATGGTCGCGGGTTAGATTCCTCGCATGGTATAAAAATTTTTAGTCATGAGTATGATATGATTGTTTGTATCTGTCTGGGTCTTTATATATAAATATATTATATATGAATTTAAAAAAAATTGAAGTATTTTTATATGTTGTCTAGAACCCATAACACAAGTTTTGCTTATCGTGGAACTAAACGGCGCTGTGTTAATTGTCCAGGGTTTTTTTTTTATCTTAATTACTCTCATAGAAGTAAATCTTTAACTGACTTAGGCTTTGTATAAAGTAGTATGCGTGGGTAACACTGTCTTAGTTATTGTTACTAGCTATTGTCTGTGTTTTTTATTTGTTATTGTTATAGACATAGTTTGTTTTATGACGGTATACATACTATGGCAATGAATTTTTGTTTTCTCTCAAGTTTACCAATTACAGATAACGCTAGGACATTACATGGCTTAAACCAGTTTATTAAACATGAAAGCTCGATTTCATATGTATATGTACATTTACTAATTATTATTACAGCAACTGAATAATTATTTACCGATATCTTCAATAAGATTCAGAGTAAGGTCTGAGATAAGTGGAATCCCTTTATTACGAATAGATATGAACGATTTAAAGATAAATTGAAATATTATATGTGTGTGTTCATAACAGAAGTCACATCATCTATTGTTGTTATAAAATACAGCTCTGATTGTCAATCATACTTCAGTGAATGGTATTGATTAAAATTTTATTAATTTGTTTATCAGGACTGGTGGAAGGTGGAGGTGAACGATCGTCAAGGTTTCGTGCCTGCAGCGTACGTGAAAAAGATCGATGCAGGCCTTTCGTCCTCGCAGCAGAATTTGGTTGACTCCAGCTCTATTGCTGCCAGGCAGAACCAGGTAATTTAGGGCTATAAGAATTTTGATGTACAAATTGGATTAAATCAAAATATCTTTATTCATATTACACTATTTGAAACTCTTTTTATATGTCAAATCTACCGTTAGTTCGGAGTGCTTTCGAGCTAAGAAGAACTGACAAGGAACTGAGCTCTTATTCTTGGTAAATGAGTTTGTATAATTACAAAATACAGATTTTTAAATTCTATTGCATTTTTGTCAAAACTAAATAATTTAATTAGTAGCCGTAAATAAAAATACACAAGTCACAGAATTCAGTTTTAAATACTAAGTCAAATCAGTGGGAAGTTCCCCAAGGTTTGATATTAGGACCAACACTATATTTTTTAATAAAGTGTCAGTCCAATACCTAATCTTAAAGTATTCTCCTAAATTTTACAAAATCATGCGTGACAAACTACCATTCTGACTGTGTGTACCCCTTACAGATTGAGTCCCAATATGACAACCTGTTGGGCCTGGCTCGTGAGCGCCAGAACAAACTCAATGAGACCGTGAAGGCGTACGTGCTGGTGCGCGAGGCGGCCGAGCTCGCCACCTGGATTAAAGACAAGGTACCCCCGCTTCATATCTACCTAAATATAGATATTGACTTACTTCCGATGGGCGCGGGTTCGATTCCGCGGTACAAACCTTTCTATGAGTAGTATGATTGTTTGTATGCCTGGGTGTTTTCTATGTGTATTATACATATATTTACAAAAAAAATGTATACATATGTAATTATGCCACTTGTCTAGTATCCCTAACACAAGCTCTGCTTAACTTTGGGCTAAGTGGTGTGAATTTATCCTAAAAAAATAATAAGAAGCACCATTGTTTACTTTATTATACAAACATGATGTAAAAATGACGATAAAAGTACAATCATGTTTAGCCAAGACAATGGCATGCTATTAATACCTAATGCAATACATAAACATTTCAAATACTATTATTACGACTTTAATAAACCGACTTCAAATATGAGGAACTTCTGAATCTATATATTTTTTTGTGTTATTCGGAATTTTCGTCACGTTATTTTAGGATTAGCAAAATTTGGCACTTTGCAATTATTTATTTTTTATTTATCAAATATAAATAAAAAACTAAGACTATTTACAAGCACAATAATAAACATAAATCCGAGAAATCACTTACACAGAGGGTAATAGGTTTTCACAGATGGATGCAAAGGTAGAAAAGAAATTACAGTATGAACACGAGAGGTGTGTATGTGTCTTATAATTTTAATATCAAGAATAAATGAATAAATAATAATATTGTATGATATAATATTAGAATTAGGATTTCTATTCAAATAGATATTAAAACTTTATTCTTTATCAGGAAATGCACGCGCAAGTACAAGACGTTGGTGAAGATCTGGAACAGGTGGAGGTGATGCAGAAGAAGTTCGACGACTTCCAGAACGACCTGCGCGCCAACGAGGTCCGCCTCGCAGAAATGAACGAGATCGCAGTACAACTCATGACTGTCGGTCAAACCGAGGCTGCGTTGAAGATCAAAACTCAGATGCAGGTAATATTACTGGCAAATAATTATTAATTCTTATAGTAGTGACATTGTTTTATTACATTATCATTGAAATGGTACACTAACAGGGAACTTATAGTAATTAGATAGATAGATAAAAATTTTATTTACTTTAAGGGCACACCACACAAAGCTCATTTTTTTTTATACTACGATGGTGGCAATCAAGCATACGGCCCATCTGATGATAAATGGTTACTGTAACTTAATGACGCCCGAGATACTAGGGGTGTCACGTACGCGTCGCCTACCTTTAAGAAACCTTAATATATCCATCTCGAAAAATATGAATAACTAAGAATTTGTTGTTTCGTTGTGTACAGGAGCTGAACTCGAAGTGGTCGTCGCTGCAGCAGCTGACGGCGGAGCGCGCGGCGCAGCTGGGCAGCGCGCACGAGGTGCAGCGGTTCCACCGCGACGTCGACGAGACCAAGGACTGGATCGCGGAGAAGGAGGCCGCGCTCGCCACCGACGACCTCGGCCGCGACCTGCGCTCCGTGCAGACGCTGCAGCGTACGTGCATACCTATATTTATTTTATACCACCGCCCCGACCGGGTTTCACACGGATATATAAGATTTTTTTTTAAATGACGGACGCTCGTCATCCGCACCTCCCGCACCTCAGAATAGTGAAGGTCGGGGCCTCGGGAAGAACTCCTTGCCCGGGCTCAAATCAACTCTGGATGCTTAAGAACCATTTAGGGAGGATTACTTAAAGATTTAATAAAAATAGTGGCAATAGAATATTTATAATGAAATTAAACTTAACCTAACTTAAGAAATAAGTAAAAAATCTATATATTACATATTACTTACACTTTGCTCTAATTTCAGTCATTTTTATAGCATACGCGATAAGATATTTTTTGCTTTAACCAATTTTCAGAATTCTTTCACCAATAACTTGTACATTACGTAGTGAATTAGGGTGTATATTATTAAAACAAAAACACTGTTTCAACTAATAATTGTCTTTCAAGCAAAACCGGGGCAGGTCGCTGGTACTAGATTAAGAATTAATCTCTTGTATTACTGGTAGAATATTTTATAACCATATGGCGAAATAATTTAATTTAATAATGTTTAATGCAGGTAAACACGAAGGATTAGAGCGCGATCTGGCAGCTCTGGGCGACAAGATCCGCCAGCTAGACGACACGGCCAACAGGCTGATGTCGACACACGGCGACTCCGCAGACGCCACCTACAGCAAGCAGCGCGAGATCAACGAGGCCTGGCAGCAGCTGCAGGCGCGGGCCAACGCGCGCAAGGAGAAACTCCTCGACTCCTATGACCTGCAGAGGTAACATGCCATTTACAGTCGGCCTTCTTTTACACCTTTTCAGAATCTCTATACATATAGAGCTACCTTTGAATAAATTCAAAACATCTATTAAATACACACTAAACGATTACTTGAATGACAAACATGCCGTGAATGAACTACTATTGTAACATAACAACAACAACATAATAGTAGTTCATTCACGGGATTTTCACTTAATGTTAGACATAGACACCTACAATAAGTATACAATGTAAATAAAATTGCTTTAAAAAGAAAGAAATTCAGTTGAGTTTCTTGCGAGTGCTTCTCAAGTTAATCTGTATACTGAACTAGACAGTAGGGGCAAAATATTAATAAAAAAAAATTACGTTCATAAGCAGTGGCTAAAATGTCCAACATGAATTCATTTATATGGTGTAGAATATGGTAGATCATTATTTTTGATTTGATTTGATCTAGAACCTTTATTGTTCACAATTACTTGGGAATCGAATGAAATAACCTTTATTTTAAATTTTTATTTGACATTCAGGAGTATAATTATTGAGGGTAAAAACTTTATAGTGGAATAACTTTGTAGTTCATTTATATCATTGGTATAAATCACAATAGTTGGTAGCTTAGTAGCTAAGTACTAAAGTAACTATATTTTAGTTCAAATATTACCTTTAAATATTAAGAGAGATAATATTAGATTATATTTTCATATAGCATATATGCTGCCTATATCATTCAGCAGGGCTGTCCAAACTAGATAGGATCTAGGTTATCAATAAAAAAAAATTAAATTCATCGAGGGACAGCAAAATATTTGTAAAAAATGCAGGTATAATATCATTAATTTATACCTACGGGCCGCATCAATTCAAACCGCGGACCATGGTTTGGACAGTCTATCATAAAGCATCAAATATGTGAATTATTCAGATAGATATAAAAAATTACATTTCCATTAGGTTCCTATCCGACTACCGCGATCTGATGGCGTGGATCAACTCGATGATGGCGTTAGTGAGCTCTGACGAACTCGCTAATGACGTCACCGGCGCCGAGGCCCTGCTTGAGAGGCACCAGGTAATGTAACTCCCATTAATTACCATAATTATACCCTCAATTTAATGTATTTGTACTATAGTACTATTAAATTATTGTTGATATGATTATAAATACAGATTTCATTGTTAAAAAAATATAAAGTATTAATAGTTACTCAATCTGGCTGTATGTTATATCTAAAGTCCCAATATTTATAATATTTAGTATTAAGAAACATAACAAATGTTCGTATAATCTGTAGTAATTATTGTACACAGATAAAATTGACTGATTACTAAAATAATGCTTTGCATACATTATATAAACAGTTTTATGCATTACATTGTGGTAAAGTTTTATTGGGCGATTGGAAAAGTCTATATTCACAATGATTTATTAGTACTATTTTATTTATTCTTATAGTTTATCATTCATGTTATGTACAACAATATTTATTGTAACCAACGAGAAACAAAATAAGTAAGTATTGACTTTAAAATATGGTACAAAACATTTTTCAAATTTTACTATATCAAAATTATTACTTTATTTTTAAATTTGCAACATTAGTGGCATGCAGACGACTATGATTTTAAACAACATCTAGTGTGAAATGTATTTATTAATAAACGAAGGTGAATATTTCTAGAACGAGCGCTTGGAGATAGACGCGCGGTACGGCATAATGCCGCAGGTCAGACGCATTGTACGCATGTGTGCTCCCAGTCTAACACAGTATAATATAGTACCTTACACATTGTATGCAATAATATACAAACTAGGTCCACATTTATTAAATGTCTTTCATTATATGTACTCATGTATAACATTCGCGATTGATCAATCGAAATCAATTTAATTAATGCATTAAAACAATTAAATAAGATGTTTTATGACACATTTACATTCAGGATAATGCTACTACTCCATACTGTGAGTCTTTTCTGCAAAGATACTTTTTTGCATCATAAATGTGCAATCAGTGCGCTTTTACATTATCAGTGTTTTGCGAAGTGTTAACATTAGGGCAGAGATGGTGCAGTTTAATGTAGCTGCAATGCTCAGTAGCTTGACTTTAAATAATTATGAGTTTTTTGATTTTGATCATTGAATATTACAAGCGCTAGTATTATATTTATATTGCTCGTATTCTGTACACGTCACTAGAGAACATAAGTGTAAACAGAGCATAAAGTAAAGATATGTTCATATATAATTTCATTAATAAGTGAGGACCATAATTTCTAAACATTACACACGCTCTCCTGTATTTCGATATTACGTAGCCCATAATATAGAGGTTAAACACATCTATCATACTAAAATGGTAGCTACACCTATATTTTTAGAGTTGATTGTCTAACAAACGAGAATACTACACGACTTTTATTAACACAAAATAAACGGCATAAACTTATTGTATACATGTTGTCTTCTGGACTCTATTCTATAATATTTTCAAAAGTACAGTCATTCAATATAAAAATACTAGAAAATTATTGATCATTACCTAGAGATCAATACACTATCTAGGCTAGTTTTATTTTGAACTAACTGTACAGTTTTTGGTTTTGTGTGTCTCAAATATTTAAATGTTTTTTTTTGTGTGTTTGTGAGTCACTTTCTTGTACTTTGTTTTCTTTTACTGGAGTTTTATTCGATATATTTGGGTTTTTATATGTTCTTATATGTAACATTGATGTAGCTACGTTAACATCAATAATGCGAACATAATTAAATCATTGACAACAGCAGAGATAAAAAATTTAATATATGTTTAATGCATAGAAAACTCTATTACATATATTTTCTTTATATTAATTTGCATTTAATAATACTTAATACATAACAAAATCTAATTTTGTCTAATTTAGTCATAATTAAGGTTATATTTATGGAATGGTAAATCAATTGAAATAAGGTTTATCGTCGCAGCTATTGGTTCAATTCAAACCCACATCTCCAACTTCAAACCTAGTCCTAATAATAATTAAATTATAATCTTTTAGTTAAGCGCTTTTCTTAGTATTGAATTTTTTACTTGTCTAATATCGATATAATATCACAAAATCTAAATGGTTTTGTGATATTATATCGATATTTGAATTGGATACAAATGTTATTTTGTAAGTTATATACATTTTTATAATAATTATAAAAATGTATGTAACACAAATTTTATGAATTTAATTGTAAAAGCTTTTAATATTTAACATGAAGTTCCTCTTAATTCGAAGACCTACAAGTTAAATTTAACTTACACTTTCCAAAAAAACGTGTATGACGCAAATTACATATTTTAATTAAAGTGGCAGGATATTTGTGTATTAATAACATCCACGAAGTTTGCAAGGACTAATTTACCTCTTTTAAACTTCAGTTAACTGCCAAAAATGCGTATGTATAATTAAAAAAAAAACTATAGTATTATAATGTTCATTCAGACATTGTTGTTAGGAGAACTTTTCGTCAGTATTATACCTGGCTTTAGATTTTGTATACCGTATGCGACCAAGTCTGTGTTCTATTTCATGTCAATAACAATCATTATCGAATGGCGATTTGTGACACAGGAACATCGCACGGAGATGGACGCCCGAGCGGGCACCTTCCAGGGTTTGGAACTGTTCGGCCAACAGCTGCTACAGGGCGGGCACTACGCCAGCGTTGATATACAGGAGAAACTCAACAACATCGGCGACGCGCGCCAGGAGCTTGAAAAGTCAGTACCATAGATTATTTTGTTCTCCTTCAATAAAAGCAATCTTTAAAAAAATAATCTCATTATAGTCTCTCTATAGTTCATGTTTTGAACTTCCAATATTCTTTGACAGCCTCGGTAGTGTAGTGGTTTAGCACACCGTTTTATTTCTGATGGTCGCGGGTTCGATTTTTCGGTATAAACATTTGTAATCATAAGTACGATTGTTTTGTGATGAGATGTCGCTACTTCATTTATTTTTATCCTGTTGTGTGTAGGTAATGAGTATACAGGTGTAATAACTAAAGTACATTAGTAAGTTTATTTGATCGTATGCTACATGTCTTATTAGAAACGTGAACACTCAACGCGAAGTCGTAATGCGACTGCTTTACACTGAACTTAAACAAATGGAGGGGTGCTGAAATATTACATATGTGTTCAGGGCGTGGGTGGCTCGCCGCCTCAAGTTGGACCAAAACTTGGAGCTGCAGCTATTCTACCGGGACTGTGAGCAAGCGGAGGGCTGGATGGTGGCGCGCGAGGCGTTCCTGGCGCCCGTGGACGTGGCCGACAGCACCGCCGAGCAGCACGCACAGCCTGACAACGTCGAGCAGCTTATCAAGAAGCACGAGGACTTTGACAAGGCCATCAACGCTCATGTGAGTCCGCAAAAAGATATCGCCCTTACTAATATTATAAACTATAACGTAATGCGAAAGTAACTCTGTCTCTCATGCTTTCAAGCCAAATTACTGAACCCATTTAAATTAAATTTAGTACACAGATATTCTAGACCTTGAAAAAGGACATCTGCTACTTTTAATAAAGGGAAAAAAAGGTTGTAAGAGGTTGAACGAGGAGATGATTGGTTGTATGAAAGTATCGTCATTTTTAAGGCTGAAAATTGAAACAAAAAACTTATTTTTAGGCTCTTGATTAAATATAAATAAATATGATATCAAAGTTTAAAAAAAAAATACCCTAAAAAGGGTAAAATAAAATATTAAAAAATGCTACCCAAGGTCACTACTTCACGCGGATGAAGTAGCGGGCACAGTTCTTAAACTTAACAAATACTCCTTTTTACACAGGAAGAGAAGATCGCTCAGTTGCATACACTGGCCGACCAGCTCATTGCGTCGGAGCATTACGCTGCGTCTCCCATCGATAGCAAGCGTAGCCAGGTCCTCGACCGCTGGAGGCACCTCAAGGAAGCACTCATCGAGAAGAGATCCAGGTAAATAATATGCAATACATAATCAAGTAAAAGACAAAGTATGATATACTTTCTTTATTCTTCAATCATTATATATACATACGTCAAGTAAAAACTTAGTACCCTTTTTACAAAAATAGTGCAGATGGAGGAGACGCACATTTATAGTTTATATACAGAAGAGTGCAGAGTGCTATAATATTAAATTATGCATAAAAAATACGTTACGAGTATTTTACATACGCATATATTGTTATTGCTGGCTCAAAGACCTTTTTGTATTTTATTATGGTCGAAGTTGTACTACTCGGCGACCAATAGTAAATTTAATATCACGTGTATAATTTACATACAATACAACAAGTTAAACTGTATCTTTATGATACTTAAGGACTCAGTAACTAATATATTTTACTAGACATTGTTGCAGCTTACAGAAAGCAATTGTAATATCGAATTATATACACTTTACACATAGTTTAAAATAAATGCAAAAGGACTATATTTACATTTTCTGTAAATAATTAAAATTAAATATATGGAACTCTGTACAAATTTTTTAGAAGTATAAGTTTAAAGTAAATAATCAAATTCAATCATTTTCACTCAGATTGGGCGATGAACAAACTCTTCAACAATTCTCGCGCGATGCTGACGAGATGGAGAACTGGATCGCTGAGAAACTGCAGTTGGCTACGGAAGAGAGCTACAAAGTATGTATAAACGTGTGATAAATTAAAAAAATATGAATCACATATATTCTTATTCCTCTAAAAATGTCGAATTTTGGTGACATTTGAAAATTTCATGTGTAATTCTGGAGATATCTCATTTTTATACAACACACATTAAAAACAATAGGGTAACATTTGTAAATAATAATTCAAAAATATTTAAAGTAGAATCAAAAGATTTGTCAAATTGAAGAGCTAATGGAGATGTTGCTGGTTTCTCAATGAACATTTGTTCATTATGTACTATAAATATGATATTAATCAAGGAATTATGCTATTTAAAAAAATATAAATGATAGTTTTTTAAATGTTAATACTTATGTATTAATTATGCACTTGTAGTGTAATGTATGGTTTGGATTTTATTTTAATACTTATGTTCTATCCAGTGTAGTGTAATAATATGTGTATGGTTTGCATCAGGATCCTGCGAACATCCAATCGAAGCACCAGAAACACCAGGCATTCGAGGCGGAGCTGGCGGCCAACGCTGAGCGCATCCAGTCCGTGCTGGCCATGGGCGGCAACCTGGTCCAGCGAGGACAGTGCAGCGGATCCGAGGACGCAGTGCAGGTACGTACTATCGACCGACTCAACAACAAGTAGACTGACCGACGCCTACTGATTAACTGATCTAGCAACCACAGATCATCTAAACAACACACAGATAAATGTAAACCTATTACAGCCGCCAAACAGCTTGCTTTGTAAGCTTGTTTCGGTTGGAGAGTAAGATATAGCACTAAAATTACACAATAAGAGGCGTAACATTTTAGCTCTCCAAAAAGGCAATGCAATAATGTTATGAATGATAATATTACTTAAGTTTCTATTTGTAACATAACAGGCTCGCTTGGCCTCCATTGCGGACCAATGGGAATTCCTGACGCAAAAGACAACCGAGAAGTCGCTGAAACTAAAAGAGGCCAACAAGCAGCGCACGTACATTGCTGCCGTTAAGGATCTCGACTTCTGGCTTGGAGAGGTATGTTTAGTTCATAGTTATTTCTTTTTAATTTGTCGCACATAGTGAGGCAGATGTTTCTAAAATATACAGCCAATTTTGTAGAATTTATAGAGCAGTGTTGTGAAACTGTGACATTTTAGAGGTGGTTTTCTTTACCTTTTTCCTGTGTTGTTCCACATTAGCTCTTATGTTTAATAGTAACTTAATTTCCAATTATATTAAAAACATCTTTTATATTATATTTGTCGAATTATATAAAATAAGTATAAAAATTATACTTATTTTATATAATTCGACAAATTATTTTATATTCTTAAGTTTATTTGATAAAGATTATTTTCGTTATCCATTCAGCCTATATTAAATAGACTGCATTTATTAAACACTTTTAGCAATCATTTAATTTATATGATCTTATTCATACATAGGTGGAAAGTTTGTTGACCTCGGAAGATTCCGGAAAGGATCTGGCGTCGGTACAGAATCTCATGAAGAAGCATCAGTTGGTCGAAGCCGACATTCAAGCCCACGAGGATAGAATTAATGGTTTGTTTTTACAATTATAATAATACCTGTTTTTTACTGAATAATCGTAAATGAAAGTAATTTGTATATGGATCTGTATTGACTACACAAACCGCTCGAAGTTAATCCATCACTATATCGAGCATCGTATTAGTTTACTAACAGATGGACCGTATGCTTGTATGCCACTGTAACTTTGCGTCGTTAATGAAAGGGTGGGTGTGCGACACTGGTCATCCGCAACCTCCTAGGGGGTGAATGTTGGGGCCTCGGGGCGAACCCCTTTATCCCGGCATCAACTACAAGACCAACCCGGTAGCTGAATTTTACTTTAGGAAAATCTTCATAGAGTCCCATCGATTCAGGGATCGACGGGGACTGCCGGATAACCGGCTAAAAACCTTCCTTCTCGAACATATAGCCATGGATATGGTATCACAATTGCATTCTCCAAGACCACTGACAAAGTAGACTTAACCTAAGAAATAGTGTCATACTTGCGGACAACTTTTTATTCATTTTATTATTTTTGTGCGGGCAGACATGAACGCGCAGGCGGATGCGCTGTTATACTTGCGGACAATTTATTTTTTAATAATGTTTCTTTTTTGTACGCGTAGACATGAAAGGGCAGCCGGATGTGCTATCATACTTGCGGATAACTTTCATTTTTTAATATATCTTTTATTATTTATTTAAGCGCGCAGACATACGCTGCGCGTAGGCGAACACGCTGTTATACTTACGTACAACTTTTTTTTAATATTTTTTTGTGCTTGCAGACATGTACACGCAGGTGGAAGCGTTGTAGACTCGCGAACAACTTTTTTAGCGATCATATCTGAGGCGCTGTCATACTTGCGGAATACTTTTTTTTATTGTTTATATTTGTGCGTAGACATGAACGCGCAGGCGGACGCGCTGGTGTCGAGCGGTCAGTTCGACAGCGCGGGCATCGGGTCGCGACGCGCCGCCATCAACGAGCGCTTCGAGCGCGTGTCGTCGCTGGCCGCGCACCGCCGCGCGCGCCTCCACGAGGCCAACACGCTGCACCAGTTCTTCAGGGACATCGCCGACGAGGAGTCCTGGATCAAGTGAGCGCGCACATCGCACATCACACTATACCTTACCTCTATGATCTAGAGTCTCTATAAAACGATCACGGTCAATTCTTTATGTTTTAAACATGTTCCACTATATGTGGTAATCTTTGCCTTTATATGAACATCACGAAGTGAATTGTCGGCACTTATGTTAGGTTTTAGAATCATAAAAGTATTAACAATATACTTAATTCCATTTTTTAAATAGAGTATTTACGACTGGTATGTATCTTCGTCACATTTTTATTTAATTTTGTATTTTAAATTTGAAATAATTTCAAAATGAAACTGATCAACACTGGTTATTTCCAGCTGAGTTGTGGCCCACATTGACTTTGTGTTGTAACATGTGTAAATTGTTGTTTGTTTTTTTATGTTATTATTGTTGTATGTGTAGTCGATAAATCCTATTCTATTCTTTTACACGAAATTTTACTGCAATCAGCCTATTTATCGTCTCTATCGTTTATCGTTTATATTTGCCATACTAATATTCCACAATCCGCAACAGGGAAAAGAAACTGTTAGTGGCATCGGACGACTACGGGCGCGACCTGACCGGCGTCCAGAACCTGTTGAAGAAGCACAAGCGGCTGGAGGCGGAGCTGGCGAGCCACGAGCCGGCCATCCAGGCGGTGCAGGAGGCGGGCGAGAAGCTGATGGACGTGTCCAACCTGGGCGTGCCCGAGATCGAGCAGCGGCTGCGCGCGCTCGCGCAGGCCTGGGACGAGCTGCAGGCGCTGGCGGCCGAGCGCGGCGCCCACCTCCACCAGTCGCTCGCCTACCAACAGTTCCTCGCCAAGCTCGACGAGGAGGAGGCCTGGATCAGGTACGCCGCGCACCGGACCACCACACTCATCGTCATCAGGATTTCAGCCCGGAATACGTACACGGCTGAACATAGTCCTGCGCTACTTGCAAGCAACATTTTCCAGCGATCTTGATCACCTTCACCATATTAAGTAACAGATATTCTGTTATTTACTGTGGTGGTTATTTCATATCTACATCTAGTTATGTTGAGTCTAGGAGAGATCAATAAATTACAACTAAATTGAATTAATGAATAGATAGTGATAATTAGTTTTCTAGTATAAGGTACTATAGTAATATTTTTTCACATTTGAATATCAAATATAATAATATTTTACACTTTTAAAATGGGTATAAAAGACACACACACAAGGCTTTAGCGCACGGTTTACGATGACTGGGCACCAATGGAGAATGATAACATGAGTGCGAGTTCAGGTCAGATCGCCTATCGTGACTAATTTACCAGGAATCTATCACTATAGTTTCCAGGGGATACTACATAGAGGTCAACATGACAATGTTACATTGCAAGCAATAGGTTCATCAGTCCACGTCACTAATAATTCCATTTCCAATATAAAAAAAAACCGTTAACTTACCGCTTAAACAATTTGTACTTATGCGAATGCAGCGAGAAACAACAGCTGGTGGCGGTGGGCGAGTGCGGTGACAGCATGGCGGCGGTGCAGGGACTGCTCAAGAAGCACGAGGCGCTGGAGGCCGAGCTGGCCGCGCGCGGAGACCGCGTGCGGGAACTGGCCGCCGAGGCCGACAGGCTCGTCGCGGACGGGAACCTGCACTCCGACGCCTTACACCAACGCATGCGAGCCCTACAGGTACGTGCACTTTTCCAAAGCTAAACATCTCGTTATCGCCGACAACCTATTCACTGTATTTGAGTTCAGAGCCCACGTAAAGAATACATTTGTACAGAACCTAAAAATTCGCCCCCTTTTACTGCACATTATATATATATATATATTATAGTTAAACTAATTTTAACACAAATAATTATTAACGTTGATTAAGACAACGCATTAATAATATGTCTGATGTCCAGGGTCAATATGTGTATTGTGCAGGGTAAACTGGACAAGCTGACGGGCCTGGCGGCTCGCCGCAAGGCGGCGCTGGTGGACAACTCCGCGTACCTGCAGCTGCTGTGGAAGGCGGACGTGGTCGAGTCGTGGATCGCCGACAAGGAGACCCACGTGCGCTCCGACGAGTTCGGCCGGGACCTTTCCACCGTGCAGACGCTGCTCACCAAGCAGGAGACCTTCGACGCTGGTGTGTATCGTGTTCATTGACGGTACTGTGGTCTAGTTAGCCATTTTTTGTTATAAGCTATGTAATAGGAGTCGCAACTCCTAAGAATTAAGGTGCAATATAGCACAGCCTTGTTTCCGATGGTTGCGTATTCATGAATATGATTCTTTGTATCGGTCTGGTTGTTATCTATGTATATATAAAAAAATGTACCTATTTGTGATTATATCATATATTGTCTAGTACCCATACACAAGCTTTGCTTATATTTGGACTAGATGGCGCTGTGTGAGTTGTCCTAAGATGTTATTATTATTGTTATCTGTCAATAGGCCCTTCCAAATATACAAGCCATATATAAACTTCTCCTAACTCTAAAAAGGTCTGACCGCCTTCGAGCACGAGGGTATCCAGAACATCACGGCCCTCAAGGAGCAACTGGTGGCGGCGAACCACGACCAGAGCCCGGCGATAGTGAAGCGGCACGCGGACGTGATCGCGCGCTGGCAACGCCTGCTGGCAGACTCCGATGCCAGGAAGAAGCGCCTTCTGCAGCTCCAGGACCAGTTCCGGCAAATCGAGGAGCTATATCTCACGTTCGCCAAGAAGGTAACATTCCCTCAGACTCTACATATGATGGCCTCGGTAGTTGTTGGTCTTGCGGTTTCGCACACCGTCCTATAACGCAAGATGCAAACATTTTGTACTTATGAGTTCATATTCACTTACACTTACACAATGTAAACAATCATTTGTTTACATTGTGTAAGTTTGTACAAAAAAATAAGTCAAGTATTGTAACAGTTGTCTAGTACCCATAATACAAGTTCTGCTTTACATGAGTCTAGATGGCGTTGTGTCAATTGTACAGGTGTATTATCTATAGAAATAAATATAATTAAGTACAGTTTTATGTCACGTACTTTTAAATATGTATAGTAACTCAAAAGAAGCCATACAACAGATAGTCAATAGAGGCATGATGTCTTTATAATTAAGGCGTAATTTATAAATAAGTTACTTTATTTTTTCAGGCGTCAGCTTTCAACTCGTGGTTCGAGAATGCAGAGGAAGATCTGACCGACCCGGTGCGCTGCAACTCCATCGAGGAGATCCGCGCATTGCGGGACGCGCACGCACAGTTCCAGGTGACGTACTTATAGCTATCTACCATATATTTTTTACTTGACATATATAAACTTGCTATTCTAAAGTGTCGTTTAAAAAAGTATGGACATTGGTATTAAATTTTATAATAAAATAATAAACAATATTCTGAAACTATCTTAACCTGTTTGTAGTTTTGTAATCAAATTACTTTTATTATATCATATTTAATTATTTAATATGCGTTAAACAATTATATTTAAAGGTGAAAGGTACTAATGTTAATGTATATGTACTTAGCACAACTTTTTGACCAGTGTGGTCAATAATTTTTAACAATACAACTTATTTTATCAATTGACTAGCTTTTGAAAGTATTCTTAATTGAAATAAATTATTATATTCTGTTATTGAAAGAAATTTAAAGTAACACATTTTACAGGCGTCGCTGTCGTCAGCGCAAAGCGACTTCGAAGCGCTCGCAGCGCTTGACGAGCAAATCAAGTCATTCAACGTGGGCGCCAACCCTTACACTTGGTTCACCATGGAGGCTCTCGAGGAAACCTGGCGTAATCTGCGTAAAATCATAGGTTAGTTAGCATATTATATCATCATTATAACCATCATGTTTATTTTACAGCAACAAATTATTTTGGTTCATGAAACCTTAGAAATGAAAAGTCTATATAAAATTAACATCGTTAAACTAAAATTATGTTATTAAAAAATATCATTATATAAGTTAAACATTATCAAATTTAGTAAAATTGATCCTATAAAGTCTAGCGCCCATACGAATGTTAAATTGCAACTGATTAATAACATTATTTATATTAATAACAATGTATATATATCAAGTGCTATTGGGAGGAGATCCATAGTTGACTATAGCTTCTGATTACTTTATTTCTCCTCAATTGCTAGTTACTATAAATAACATTTAAGTTTAAATATATACGTCCTTTACCTCAGCGGAGCGCGATGTCGAGCTGACGAAGGAAGCCCACAGGCAGGAAGAGAATGACAAACTCCGCAAGGAATTCGCCAAGCACGCTAATGCGTTCCACCAATGGCTGACGGAGACACGGTACGTAACTGTCAGCTACCTAAATACTTCTAAGGTTAACCTAAACAAAATTAAGAGGAGGAGTAATATGAATACATTTCAATGATACTTTTCAATGACGCTTCAATGTACTAAGGGTAACTTTAAAAAAATATGAGTGGAGAAGTGGCATGAATACATTTTCAAATGACGGGTAGTCGTCAGGCATACGGTCAACTGTAAGCTGAAACTAAATATAATATTGTTTAACATTACGCCGGAAGCAAAGACTTATGAATCCATAGGCTACAGAAAACATTTACCATCAGAAGCCGTATTGACAGATTGCTATCATCGTGGTATAAAAAAATAAGGGTGGCCATTTAAAAATGATGATAATGTAACTTTCGGGACTTGCCTTATATTGATTTAACTAAATGAATATGTAAAATGTATTATTATTAGAAGTATAATTTGTAATAATAGTATATGGCGATATATATAATAAAAACTTTTAAAATATGCTACCATTCATATGGTATACGAATACAATGGTACACAGGCTGCGAAATTATTAGGTTTAGTTTACAAATCGTTGAAATGTGTGTTGGTGTACAGGTACCGGCTGCTAGGCTGGGACGGGTAATGTATCGACTGTCGCGTGTTGTACTAAACTCGCAACTCGCGCTTCTACGCTTGGCAAAACTGATGTTGCAAATGAAAACTACATATATTAAATGAATTGAGTCTATATAATATTACTGATATGACAGTACTATTAGTAAGGTATAGGACACTTCCAAGTTTACAAGATAATTATTTGGAATATGCATTTTTTTTTAATAATGTCGTATTGTTATTAAATTTAATGTCATATTGGATAATAAAATATCCATTATGATTTTTAATATTTATGATGTTTATTTGTGTAACTTGAGTAGTAAAAAAGGGTGGATAGGTTATGAAATATAAAGTGAAGAGTCACTTGGGACACCCATAGTACTGGCATTGTTCTTAAAAGAACTTAAGTGAAGAAAGACGTAAAATGAATGTAATGTTATGTAGTGGAGATAAATATCTTTGCAATTCAGGTTTATAACGATTTACGTTGTGTAAACCTTTTATATTTTATTATTTATTTATTAAAGTTATTTACGAAGTATTCATTCATTTTTTGCCAAGTTATCGTTGTTTGCACTGTGTTTTCGATGTCTCTTCTATTTTGCAGCTTAATCGAATTGGCTTTACTTGGAAATTCTATTTGTAAATTTACCACAACATTCTACTGTAAATATACCTATCAGCAACCTAACTTTATTCTGAGTGTTTTACTTTTCTTGTTAATTCTACTAATGTGTATATACCATACATGTACCAAAAGCAGTAGCAAAAGGACATTATTATGGTGAACATTTTTAATATTTCAAAATATTCTTAGATTGTGACATGACCCTACCAAGGTTTACTCTAGAAACTACAGCATGGGGTTTTGTGTAGAAAGGTTCAGTATTAAGACTTAGGGCAGTCATTTCAGCCAGTAACATGCATATAAAACCCCTGATGATTCAGGCATGGTCCATATGCTTAACTCTCACCATTAGGATATTAAAAAAAACAAGTATCGAGTTGCAAATATCAATTTCTAATAATAATTAGTATTATCTTCTTATTTGTGTATTTTATGTATGAAACAAATGTGTAATTAAGTAATAATGTTTAAACATTTGTATAGCACCTCAATGATGGAAGGCACTGGCTCACTGGAGCAGCAGTTGGCCACTCTGCGACAGCGAGCGGTGGAGGTCCGCGCTCGTAGAGCCGACCTGAGGCGCCTCGAGGAATTGGGTGAGCGCATGACGAACTTATTTCAACGATTGTTATTGTTTACCAACCAATAAATTTTGTTGTAAAATTTCTGTCTACACTCGACACACTTCCACATAACTTATGCAGATTTCAAATTTACAACAAGTTCAACTACTACTGAGGTTTATTATACATATTATATGTATAATAATGATGAATGATATGAACTAATATGTCAATGGATATTTATGAATCCCAGAGGAGAACATCGATATTAGCAACTCAGTGTTAGACTTCTATGATTATCATCATTCTTCAGTACATATATATATATATATATATAGTGAAAAAAAAAGGTGTTTTTTACTTTACAATATATCCTGTTAATGCCAGGCGCTGCATTGGAGGAACACCTGATCCTGGACAATCGTTACACGGAGCACAGCACGGTGGGGTTGGCGCAGCAGTGGGACCAGCTCGATCAACTCTCCATGCGTATGCAGCACAACCTTGAACAGCAGATACAGGCCAGGAACCACTCTGGTCAGTACTTCTACCACGCTACATATAATCGATACGGATCGTACTTAGTAGACATGACTAATGATAAATGTTCTATAGAAATATATAAATACTATAAATGTTATTATTACAAATTTATGTAACGTATATTCACGTTGTATAAGACTCAATTTAGTATTTATATAACTAGAATAATTTATTGAATAGACAAATTTAAATACTACGATACTATCAATACTATGTGTCTTGCGCTTTAAGATTTTTAAAGACCTCACCATTTACAAAAGTTTTATTTAGTTTTTTAAGTGTTACTTTGTGAAGTTAACACACAAAGTCATTATGTATTTTTCCCTTTATCCATATTTTATAAACGACTAAACCCATATACCATTCTCTTCCAAATAATGTTTTGCTGTTAATTTAACTATTTCTTTTTGGATATTTTGTTTAGGCGTGAGCGAGGACGCTCTGAAGGAGTTCTCGATGATGTTCAAGCACTTCGACAAGGACCGTTCAGGGCGTCTCAATCACCACGAGTTCAAGTCGTGCTTGCGCGCGCTTGGCTACGACCTGCCCATGGTGGAGGAAGGACAACCCGACCCGGAGTTCGAGGCTATACTCAGTGAGTATTGTGACTAAATTCTTTTATATACACATGCTATGAATATGTGTTAGGTCCACAGAGAAGTTTCCCTTTTGTAGCGACATTCTGGTCTTCTGTCTATTAAGTTATGTGATATATGCAGTGCAGTCAAAACAGAATATATAATTATATTCTGTTTTGATGAACAAATAGTAAGCAGAGGTATTTTTCTATATAACACTATGAACTAACATTAGAATGTGTCGTTTTCGAAACTTGTCATATTTATTGTAATATATTTGTTCCATATTTTGTGATCATTTAATAAAGTAATTGATTTTGTGATTTGTTACCGAGGTTTAGACTCATTACTCCTGCATACAGATGTTCAGCTAGTCATTTCCATATGTATGAAGAAACTTAAATTATTTATATTACAATAACACGTCCACATTATACAGACGTGGTGGATCCGAACCGGGATGGGCAGGTGTCGCTACAGGAATACATGGCGTTCATGATCAGCAAGGAGACAGAGAACGTCCAGTCTTCCGAGGAGATAGAGAACGCTTTCCGGGCGATCACCGCGCACCAGGACCGCGCCTACGTCACCAAGGATGAACTCTACGCTGTTAGCATTTTATTTATTTATTTTGAAATTTACAAACACATATGATTAGTAACACTCACACACGATACTATTCTAGTTATTTGAACATGTCGGGGTAATATATGACCATAATATGAACAGTATTGAGTGATTTTGTAGATCAATAATTATCTAGTGATGCGGTTGTTCCTTCTTTTTCTGAATTCATTCTTCCTTTATTCGTACGATATATTTGAATCCAAGTGAGTAGAGCCCACTGCCGTTTTTCGGTTTAATTTAATGATATTTAGGTCACTAACTGCACTGTCCCTGACGCAGATAGAAATTAGGATAATTTAGAAATAAAATTATTTTGTGTCGACCGTCTCAAGTTCGACCATGGGGTCTAAACTCAATGTACTTATTAAAATGTACCCGATTAATAATGAGTTTACTTAGATTTTAAACACACAAAATTAAAGTTATTAACATGCATGTTTCACTAATTCGAGTTTTCAATTCTACAGAACCTCACCAAGGAAATGGCGGACTACTGCGTAGCGCGTATGAAGCCCTACGTGGAACCGAAGACGGAGCGACCGATCCCGAACGCCCTCGATTATATCGACTTCACTCGCACTCTCTTCCAGAACTAATCGCATACCACCGCCCGCGCAGTACCTACACTTTAACATTAAACTAACGCAAACCTATCAAGTTTTTCATTCGTTTTTGCACCTACCCGTATTTATGTTATCTTAACATATGTGTTATATTGGAAATGCATGCTGAATATCAAATATCCTTTCTACTTGAAAAAGTAACGAATTATAATAGATACAAGTACGTATCACAAGTGTACTGTTCGGGCAGAGTTAACAATTAGCTTTCACTTGCTTTTCTGTCAGCTTTTTACTATTCAATGCAATATATTATTAATGTGCATTTAAAATAAATTATTATTATACATGTATTAGATTTAAGATTAAAATATTTTGGATGAAAGCGAGATACGTCTTCAATACGAAAACGTAGACGCTGGATTTTGCATATCTTTACCTAGAACGTTGTCAGTTTACCAGGAGGTAAATTGATAAACGGGTGTGAATTCCTTTTCTCTGAATAGCAGAGAGATAAGAAGCTACCCTTCTTGACTAGAAAACAACTCTTAATAAATATACACACATATAGAGATTTATTGTAGAATGAAATTTGTCTTATAATATTACAAATTAATTTATTACTTCTCAATGTCGACTCATTTATCACTATTTATTATAGTAATAAGAAATTACAAATTATTCCTTCTATAAGTTTGCAGCTAATATTCTATTTATTTTTGTACTCCTATAAGTATTTTTCAATAAATATTCATTTAAAATTTCTTTGTTTGTTTCTCCCATTATTGATACTATAAATATAATAATATTTTGTTTAATAAATTATTTTATTAATATATTCATTACATATTTGATTAGCTTATTTATTAATATTTATTGTATATCTATTAATCTAAAATCAAAATATACATGTATCACTTATGTGCCAATATCCAACCAAGACAATAAATAGTGAAATACAGATCATAAACATTTTGTATCGTATTATGATATCATTATATTGCCGGTAGACAGGCATGCCACATTCTGTGTGCGGAAGAGTTTAAAATAGACGATTGTTCATATTTTGGAGGTAACTAAAAAAATAACGAAGGCGGCATATGGTTCTACTGCCATATATCATATCATATCTTGACCATAAAGAATCTCTAGAATCTACTCTTAAGACCAATTCCGATCAATTGAGATTGAAATCTGTTGCACCATATTTGGTTCCGATTTCGTTGTAAATCGACAGTGTAAATGATTAATTCTGTTTATTTTCGAATTCTTTTAATATATATAAAACTGAATTGAGTTAGAATCGGTATTGAGATGAGACTCCCGAGTAGAGCTGGAGATCTGAATACAGATAAAATTATGAAATAGTTATTTCATCAATTCATATACTTAATTTAATAATTATTGTACATCAATATAAAATTAGTTACATAATTCTACTATTCATGGTTGGTGGTTGTTTTATGTTGTTAGCGGAAGTAAAGGCAAGCAATGTTATTATATTTGAAAGTTTCAAATTTAATTTTAATATATTAAGCTATAGCGTACCGAAACTATTAGTGTACTGAAATTATTATAACAACATTTGTGTCACATCCCTATTTTTAAATAAATGATATTTTATACATATTTACAGTATAAATTCAGACTGTAAGACTTTGGCATAATCAAAGATTATGTACATGACATATTGCTATAATTCATATTAATCATGGATAGTTATCAAATCATTTTTTACTCTCATAGCCTTCACCGACAGATCAGTTTAAAAAGTACTTTCATTCCAAAAAATACGAATATACATGTTATAATAATTTTAAAACATTTATATTGATTTTTTAATTGGTTAATAAGTAATGGAATTGAACTCTATCGACAAACCCGTGTTTGGAATGAATTATTTTTATCGTAGACATTGCAATGCGGGCCACAACATGAAATTTAACTTTCAATTTACAGACCCATGTTTTCAAACATTCACAACTTAGTAACCGTTACAGTTGCGCCCTCTGCAGTAGTCGGTACTCCTGTGGTGTAACATGCGGCTGTAGTTTGTCTAGAAGCGCGGACGGCAGCGGCGACCGTCCGGTGGCAGGCTGCAAGTACGGCAACCGCAGTAACTCGCGAACTGAGGGCCGCGCCCGCGCGTTGTACGTCAGGCACCATTTCAGCGCCGCAACCAGTGATGGAGGGAGGTCTGCGGACCATATTCATCATTAATTCATATACTATTATGATATATAAATAAACGAATTTCGTAAAAGACGAATATATAGACGAATTTCGTAAAAAAATATTTTTGTCAATCAAGTATATGATTCATCTGTATACCAAATTTTATTCGATTCTGAATCTGTCCAGTATCTTGTATGGACGTGATTCAATTATTGTACAAATATTTGCATTTATGACATTACTAGCTGTTACCCGCTACTTCGGCCGCTGTTTTATTGAATTTTAAAATAAAAGTAGCCTAAGTTACTTCTTATAACATTAGCTATATTCCAGTGAAAATCCAGTCAAAATCAGTCCAGTCGTTTCAGAGAATAACAAGAACATTTTTTTAAATAATGGTTATTTTTATATGTAAGAATGTACTTTCACATGAATTTAGTGATAAGTTGTTAGTTTGAAATTATAAACTATTTAATTTTAGATATTTGTGTAGACGACTTACAAACCTCGATTCTCGTAGTTCTATATAAATGACGATTTTGAATAATGCTTACGTTCAACGGGCGGATAGTCGATCCTATGATTGGGGTCGAGAATGGCAGCGAGTTTCGCGAGGTTAGGAATATGGCCGAAAGGCGTGCGCCCATAAATCATGCTGTACAGGATGCAGCCCAACGACCACACATCCGACCGGAACGAGATCTGTAGACACGCACAAAGATATTTTATAACATTTATACTTATTACTTTTAAACGTTACTGATGTAAATAACTGACAAAGGAAAAATATGAAGAAACATACAACCGTAAAAACATACAATTTAATACAAAAATTATGTGGTCAATTTCAAATAATGTAGACCGTGACATTCATAAAAGCGGCATTTAGAACATCACACGGTACAAACAATAGTGATCATGAGTATTATTGGTCTGTGTGTTTTCTATGTATATTATGTATGTATTTACAAAAAAAAACCTAAGTATTTGTATCAGTCATCTATTACCTATAATCACAAGCTCTGCTTACCGTGGGACTAAATGGCGCTGTATATTTAGCAGTGTTTCAACCGCCATGATCCAGGGTAAACTGTTTGTTTAGAGTTTACTCGTGACCAGAGCGGGGGAAAGAGTGCCGAAATATCGGGTACTCAATAAAAATAAAATGTGGTAAGATCACGTGATTTTTATTTATACGTATAAATAAATAATGACCGGGCAAATTTAAAACAAACAAATATTATTATATTATTGTTCATACCTTAATAGGTGCATTTCCATCACCAGTAGAGACTCCGTATCCGCCTGCGCCGCCCATTAGCGCCTCAGGGCTGATGTAGGAGTACGTGCCGGTGGCCTGTGAGCGCACCACACTCGTCGCATCACCGCTGATGGCCGATGCGATCCCAAAGTCGATTAGCTTAAGCCGCCCGCACACCAAGAGGAAATTAGCTGGCTTCAAGTCAGCGTGAATGACGCCTGAAATCGCACGCATTTGGAATGATAATTTCAATCAAACGACCCTACATTAATATTTGTCATGAAAATAGGAAAGTAGTTTTTTTCGGTCTACTCTAATGCTGTTAGCAGCAGCTTCACTGGACGATAGAGGGCAAAGTGCAGATGGCACTCCAAACCCGCGGAAGGACTTATGGAGCGGCTGAAGGCCAACTCTCGCCCGACGGATACGACTAGTCTGAGGGCACTGATAGGAGGTTCGAAAATCGATCTCGTAATTGCGATCCCATTTCAATTGGACGGGGGATCTATTGGAGGGGTTAAGGAATATAGTTTATTATGAATAATGTTAGTACATCTTAGCTAAGAATCTGCTAAATATGTGTATGAATGACAAACCATGTTCATGGATGTAGTGTACGGCGTGCAGCATCTCCTCCCAGTAGTGCAGTACGAGGGCGGGCGGCAACCCGGTGCCGCGCGCCTTCAGGAACGACGACAAGTCCGTTTCGCCTACCTCCAGCACCATTCGCAAGAACTGATTGGTGCGGTCATATTCACTGTGATTATACACATTGACTTTACAATCGAATTTCATATAATTCTGTGAGATACTATTCATTAACCAGATTGGAGATATACTTTAAATAATTTGACAACCTCGGTGGTTTAGCGGTTTAATTCCGATGGTCGCGGGTTTGAATCATCACACAGCACAAGCATTTGTTTGTATTGGTCTGGGTGTTTTATATATATAATAATAATATGTATGTATTTACGATACGATACGATTTATGTATTTGTATCAGTTATCTAGTACCCATAACAAACTCTTTAGGTAGCTTCACTTATAAATGATAGAGAAGATGGCGCTGATGAATTGTCCTGAGATGATTATGATTATTATGATTAATAGTGACTATTTTAAGTAAATTACAATATGAAGTATATATATAATAGTAGCTAACTCGGGAAACATTGTTATGCCATATAAATTTAAGTACTAAAATCACTATTAAAAAATAAAGATTGGTCGTAGAAGGGTGAAAATTTAGGGTTGTGTGATTTTTTATATAATAAATTTTTGGTCATAATAATAAAAATAACATTTAGGGGTGGGTCAGCTTTAGAGATATGAATAGACCCTGTGATGCAAAATTTCATAAACATAAGCTTTACAAGGAGTTTGGTAATGAACACTAGGATTTTTATATATTAGATATCGTTTATATTTGCTTAATAATGTCACAGAATATTATTAATATATAAAAAAAAAATTCTAAGTAATTTTTAATTTTAATTTAATTAAATTAATAATGGGAAATGAAATAATAAATAATACACAATAATAATAGAATATATAGTGCCATGTGGACAACTAGAATGTTTATATAGAGTAAGCAGTACTTATTACTTACTAATCATATAATCGTATGACCCTGTCCGAGTTCTGTAATTCGCGCAGGAGCCGCACCTCGTTGATGTAGCCCTGCGCCAGGTCCTGGTCAGTGGCCAGGTACACACACTTCACTGCATACTCACAAGATGTGCCCACTTCGAGTACCTGAAACATATGTAGACATTAATAATAATAATAAAGCCTTTTTTTCCAGGGTTAGGGTACATTTTGTTGTTTATGAAATGTCCCACAACTCATAGTGCCTTTTGGCATAGATCTCCTCCAGCTCTCTCTATTGAACTCTGTCTTACAACCCTATTCCAGAGCAGTCCGAGTCAGGTTGATATCGTCTTTCGAACAAGTTCTTTGGAAACCCTGTCATCTAAACCCATCTCTAGGATACCAAAGAGTTGCTTGCTACATTTGTTAATTTTGTATTTATCTTCAACAAACTTGGAGTACTACATAAAAACATATGCAGAGACTAAGAGTATGTCAAAACTCAATAGAAAGAAGTGTTATCTTATCGGTGTTTAACTAAAAGACAAAATTAACCTAATAAAAATAAAAGAAAAAACAAAATTTAAAAACATTGAAACAACTGTAAAATCTATGAAGTGGAGGTGGACAGGCCACATGATTAGGGATAAAATACCAAAATAGACATAAGACATTACAGAGTGGTACCCAAGAGGACACAAGAGAAGCAAAGGCAGACAGAAAAACAGAGATGACATCAGGCAGGTAGCAGGGAAAGTTTGGACTTAGAGTGCAAGGGACCGAACCCTATGGAAATACTTGGAGGAGGCCTATGTCACATGACAGTCTGTTGAAATTCAGATGTGGAAAAAAAAGAAAAAAATTGTAGACTAACAGGACCGCAGCTACTGCTGTAAATTTGTAATGTAATGTTAACAGTAAATAAAGGCTTTTATTATTATTATTATTTATCTTCAACATATGCCCTCTCCAATACCATTTTAAATGGTCTATTCTTGAAAGTTCATCTCCTGTAGATTTCCTTCTAATGATACATTACTAGCTATCTATAATATAATAGCCTTGCCGAATAGATAGGCCAAGCTGCAGGATAGATAGCTAGTACAAGGTAAGTAGTATAGTAGAATACAGTGAATGTTATTACAGGGGAATGTGGATTTAATATTGATCAATTATTTTTGTAATTAATTTACAAACATACACAAAAATAGAATCTGCTTTATAACATTACTTTACATATACAAATATTAATTCCCATCCAGAATACAAATGTATTCTTATTTGAAGCTAACAAATTTAATTTTAATTTTCTTAAACAGTAAAAATACTTAAAATTGTAAATGATTATATTGATCGGTAGCTTCTTTCTGTCCTAAAATGAAATAAATAGTTTTAAATAGTTTATATTTATATTTAAAACTAACTTATTTAATTTTCTACTCTTTGCAGTGATCATAGACTGCATTTATTTTTTTAATTGTTAACTTTACCTTGTACACTTCACTGGACCCACCAGTGCCCAGTTTCTTTATAAACATGTACTTTTTGTCTTTTATACTAGTGGTCTTAAATAGTACTTTAGAATTATTGCCCATAACTCCTTGTGGATATGATGGTGTGGCAACATATGAAGCAGGCATTTGTTTACGGTTTATTGGTGTCTCTGGTACCGGCACTGGCACCATCTCCTGTCTCGGAGGTGGACACGGCTCCTCCTTTGGTGGATTCTGTGTAAACAACTCACATCTCACTTTATCTCTGTTGTGAACGAGACCTTGTTGTGGAGTTTTCTTATGACTTAATCTCCCCGATCCTGGAGTGAATTTCCGGATGCCCGACTTTATTTTGGGTGTAGCAGTTTTTGTTTTTTGTACACTGTTTGGTGCCTTTATTATGTCAGGTGTTTTCTTATGTGCCGAATTAATTTTCATTACTGGGGGAACCTTTAAGTTGTTATTGTGCGGCATGAGTACACTGCGCTTCATATTATCTACACTTGGGTACACATCATTGGTAGCACTTTTCTGCGCACTTTTAACACTATGATTGTCTTTGTTTGGGTAAGTCCGATTGGAAATCCAGTCCTCATGCACATTCTCTTTGTTGTGATCAACGGGAACTTTCTTTTCCGATGCGAAAGCTTTAATATCTTCAAACTTAGATGATTTTATATTTGGTGTTCGGAATTCTTTACAAAGGTTTTTCTGTGTTGGTTTCTTCGCTACGGTTTCACCACAGGAGCTATCACTCTCATCGTCAGAAGCAAAACTCGCGTCAGGACTATCTGTCTTTTGTAAAGGCATCAAATTGGCCAACAGTGCCGACATAGGCATTGGAGCAAATTTGATGCTGTTTGAAGTTGATTCCGTATTGCTGCCCATGATTTCAGATTAGTTCGGACATTTAACCATAAAAACTGCTCAAAAGTCACACATTTTGAAGCTAATGTAATTTACGAAACACAAAATAACAAATTTGTAATACCGTTGAACTCAAAGTTTTAAAATATTTTTTGACAGTTTATTGTTGTGGATTTAAGAACGTCAATTTTGACAGTTAGAAATATTTGGATGTGTTCAACATACATAGCAATTTACAAGTAGGTTCTTAAACAAACTAAGGATATTTAAGGATTTTTATTCAGTTTAATTATATATAAGTAATGTTATGGAGTAGTACAAAATGGCATTTATAATTCTTTATTACGTAAATACATTACATTATAATGCAGTGGCGCCATCTAACGAGTTGACGTTTCAATTATTTTCCTCCTGGAATAATCATCTCCAGTAGGGTACGCACAATAGATAATATACTATATTTAAAACTGTGCTATACAATTATCAGGCTGAGGTGGATAAAAACTTCAAAAAGCTTAATATGTAATAACATCCTCAAATATGACGTTAGTATATAGAATAGGTTTAAATTGTAAATACATAGTTATATGAATTATACCCATTTAAAATTCCTGTCTACAAAAGGCTCGCAAACCAGACTTCCAGGAGTTATTGCTCATGAAATTGATGTCGGGGCAAAGTGGTTCACCCTGAGGCGCCAACCTACCGTCTCCTAGGAAGGTGTAGAGGGCGCTAATCAGTTAGAATCACGTGTCCATGTCATGCAAAGAATAATGTAGATCTCATGCTTTGAATTTGGGGTATCAATGTTGTGTCAGTTTTAAATATAATTTTATTTTAGAATTCGTAATATAACTTCACAATCTAAATTTACTTTCTTATTACTTGGATATATAATATAGGACATAGGTAATAAAAAAAAGCACCTGACACTGTTCATTTTCTTAAACTATTTATTTCTTATGCTAATTAGTATATGTATAGACCTATTAGAGATCATTATATATTTCAATAATTATATTGCAATAAATAGTAGCAATATCAAATTACGATTTATTTACACATGGCTTGTTGGAAGTGCTCTATTAGGTCTCGCTGTCTTCACCTGACTTCTCAGGATACCTGCAGTCCGGCGCGCCACACTCGCATTTCATCCATTTGGATTTAACAGACCAGAATTTGTCGCCGTAATCGAACCTGAAACCAACAACCAAATTAAAGCACTACAAATAGTTAATAGAATTAATAATAAACATACAATAGATATTCTTATAAAAATACGTATTTCTGTATAGTACTGGCTGTTAGCTACCACTCGTCTGTTTTTTAGATAGAGTATTTTATGCATGCGAGTATGTTCCTCATCGTGATTCGTCTGAGAGTTGACCTTCAGCCGCTCCATAAGTCCTTCCGCGGGTTTAGAGGGCCATCTGCACTCACCCGCTAGTATTCGGTGAAGCTGTAAAGGCCAGCTGCAGCCAAACAGCATTGGAATAGATGTAAGATACAAAAACAAATGTATGAAATATATTACTGTATTGTTTTCCAAATGTATGAACACTCGACACCCTTATATTGGATACATAAAAGAATTATATTAGTAATCAAATTAAAAAGTTCAGTATTAATATTAAAAGTTCCTTCACCGATCTAATAGTAGTAATTGGGGACATTTTTTTTTAAATTACATTTTACATATATTTTTTAAGACTTGTTAGTTTTTATTTTACTTTGTTTTTTGTCTCCAAATATGGCTGAAGCTACATGGTTTTCGTCAAAGCGACTCACGTGAGCTCGTCGTGCGGGCGAATGTCGCGCGTGGCGAAGAGCGCGACGGCGGGCAGGCGCAGGTCGCGCGCGCGTGTGTACACGCGGACGGGCGCCACGTTGGGCCGACAGCTGTGGTTCATGAACCGCGCCGCGCTCCCGAACCGCGCCGCGTCCACGCACAGGACGCTCTTCTCTGAACATTGCTGCGGAATATATTAACTAATTAAGGTAGTTTATACCGAGTAGCATGCCATGAATCTGTTGGATATTTTGGTTGTAATTTTTTTTAGACTTAAAATTTTAATGAATGACCGTACATGGCAGTAGTTGTTCATGCACGAGATTTCATATAATGTTAAACATAAACACCTATATAAATATATACATACATTATGAATAAACTGGCTTTAAAAAAAATAATTCAATTGAGTTACTTGCCAGTTCTTCTCAATTGGATCTATATACTGAACTGGACGGCAGGGAAAAAAATATAATATAAAAAATTTTGCGTGCATAAGCGGCTAAAATATCCTACATTAATAAATCATTTTTGAATTTGAAAAAATGTCGTCGCAGTGAACAATAAGAGGTACCTCGAGCAGGTCTGTCTTGACGTCGAGCGCGAACATGTAGTGGTCTGCCGCTCTGGTGTCGGCGGCGTGCAGCTGCAGCAGCTCCCCGCAGTAGGCGGCCACCGGCGCGCCCCGCGGCACGGCCTGCCGCGCGCGCAGCCCCCACCCGCGCGCGCCGCCACCCACACCCGCCGCCGTGCGGAACACCTGCACGCGCACGCCCACGGACCCACGCGACGTTAGCCTCGTGACCACGCTGTTGCCGCACAGCCTCTGTTCATATTATCTTGTCGTTATTTCACGGCTTCAGTGTTTTTGCGGTTTAGGTCACCGTTTTAACTCCGATAGTCGCGAGTTCGAGTCCTCGTATGATACAAACATTTGTATAATTATGATTGTCTGAATGTTTTCAGTTTTCTATGAATATTATGTATGTATTTAGAAAAAAATGTATCTAAATATTTATAGCTGTCATATAGTACCCTTAATACATGCTCTGCGTACCTTGGAACCAAATGATGTTGTGTTAATCATCATTTGGAATCAAGTTTTACTGATCCTTATTAAGTATCATATTTGAGCTAGTTCACATTTCAGAATTCATTCATAATTTCGTTCATGTAATTTACATAGTCAGCTAAGAAACAGTTCTACATGACGTTATAATTTAGCTACAACAAAAAAATCGCAAGTGACAAACAATAGCTATAAAAGATACAAATGAATATGTTTTTCTTTGATCTTAGTTATAAAAGTATAAAAAATGACAATTAAATGAAGTAGTGCAATAAATTAAAAAAAGTCAAATTGAGAACACTATCAAGAAAGAAGCATGAGGTATGAGAGTACCAGATCGCAGCCGCAGGTCTGGTTGCACTCGAACAGCATGGGCGGGTCGTGGTATGGGAAGTTGGACGGCAGGCGGCCGCGTGCGTCGTACCAGCGCCGCACGCCCAGCGCCACGCACGCACACGCACCGCTCGAGCACGACCCGCCCGCGGCAGAGCCCTGCGCGCACTGGCAGCCCTGAATCCACACACAAGTCATAACTTTTTTTTCAATTTTTAATGGCTTGGCACATTGGCACTCATTACTTCTTTTTGTTCAATTTTAAAATTCGAACAGATGTTTCAAGCGACTTAACAAAATGGAGGAAGTTCTCAATTCAAACGTTTTTTTTCGACCGATTCAGATATTTTTTTATTAAAAGCTGATAATTTCAAAACCTTGATCAAGATCTTTACATCTGTCGGTATTTTTCATTATCTTAAACTTAGAATAGAGTTGTTAAAATTAATTTAGTTTATTTACAGATTTTTTACTGATTTAAAAACTAATATTATTATTATGTAAAGTATACCAGCACCCTGCTGGTATTTCTCATGCTGTTGGCATTTCTCAACTGAAGTAGCTAGCCGAACTGGACGGTAGAGATACTTATAAAATAATTAAATGCATAAGTGGCAATGTCATATATAAAGAAACAATTATGACTTGTAGTTTTCACCTGCATGGTGGGTATGGAGTAGTCTACGGGGACGTTCTCCGGCATCACGTGACTGGTGACGTATGTGAAGTCGTCGGGCAGCGGCTCGTCGTCCACTTCGTTGACGCACGGCACCGGGTAGTACTCGCGACCACGTGAAATGTCGCTGTTTAACGACATTTTTTAAATATAAATTATATTACTTGTTAGATTTAGAGTTATTAGTTATTGTTGTCTCTTAACGTAAGGTTTATAAAAAAATATGATTTACAAGAATTTGTACAAGTCATCTGCGGGTACCATGTTATCTTACATGTGATTCTATTCTAAAGGACTAAGGTATACTCTGTTATTCAGGAAGCACTAAATCACAGGAATTGCCAGGATTAGTACATTCAAAAGCCCTAATAACGGGCTACTCGAATTAATACTCTAATAGACTAATGGCATAGAGAAAAACAATATGTTTATCATGAATAGGGTCCGCACACGTCACTGGACATGAAATAAACACACGGTAAACATAGGTGCTTAACAAAGATTTAATTTTGTATATTTTGCCAAATGGAAGAGGAAATGCCATTATGTGGTACAACTCAAAAAAACGAATTATCTTCTTTGGAAAGAATACTCTATCCTGAAGAGATATATCTATGCAGGTAGCAGTGTTACAGGTTTTCTTTAGAACTGAATAATAACTCAAACCTTTTAAATAAAAAATCTATGTTATTGTACCTACTGTAATTGAAATGGCAACAAGTTGACAGCACAACTGTCACGTAAGTAAGTGATAACCCTCGCCTATCAATCATCACGTCACTCTTCAAACCGGAACAGTTTGCAAGACATGGATAAGATTGGGTACACACAGACTTGATACAAAGTCTACTATGTAGACGTTGTTGTTAATAACAACACTGACTTGGAGAGAAGATGGCAGACATGGATGAGATAAAGGTAGATATGGGACACAGTCACCTAGAAATAATAATTGCATTTAATAATATCTAGTAAGACAGATCCAATATAGTCTACTAAGTACGGCCGTGTCCAAACTGTGTCACCCCACCTTACATTTTCCTATTGTTATTTAGTATCATCATCATCATTGCCTTTATCCCATTATTTGGGGTCGGCGCAGTATGTCATTCTCTTCCACTGCTCTCTATCGGTCGTCATATCTAAACATACTCTTCTTTTATTCATATCATCTTTCACACAATCCATCCATCTTTTCCTAGGGCGTCCCCTCCCTTTACATCCTATTGTTATTTAATATATCAGATCAATATTTTTGTTTTCATATTGTCATCTATAATATACATCGTATCATTACCCGCAACAGTACACACAGACATGATACAAAGTCTACTACGGGGACGTAGTTGTTAACGATACTGACTTGGAGAGAAGTCGCGCGGGTGGCGCGTGTCCGGCGGCTCGCATGTGCATCGCGAGCGTGACGGCCGCCTCGCACTTGTCGTCCGCACACACCGTCGCCGCCACCTCGCCGGCGCTGTTCGCTATGTCTGTCTGCAAACAAACCATATATTCAATTACTTATGAGTATTCATAGTGAAACACCGTAATGTTTTTAATCAAAACATTATTTGCAGAATACAATTCTTATAGGTTTTAACAATATTAAATATAATGTCCAATGTACTCAGCCTTCATACAAGTATGCACTTTTTTTTAATTAATCTTGTTTCTATTATTATACATATTTCAGAATAAGAATAAACAAGAGAAACTAGTGTTTTGCTAAACAGGTCTATATTAGCACTGATCCAGATGAAATTCATAAACGTAGCCAAAGTAATAATGTAGCAAATACATTTAAATAATTGGATGTATATTGTATTTGAATTTAAATAATTTTAAAGAAATGAATAGTTAATTAAGATTAATATTAAACTCTGCTAGCAATTACAATTAAACTTTCAATTGTACTTTGTAGCAATTCGTACGATCAAAATATAAATTATTGAATAATACATAGCACACTCACCCTAGCACCGTGAGCGAGCAGTATAACGACGCAGGCGTAGTGTCCCTGGCGGCAGGCGACGTGTAGCGGCGTGTCGCCGTGCGCATTGCCAACGTCGAGTGCGAGCGGCGCGGCCGACAGCAGCCGCAGCAGCGCGTCCTGGTGGCCGCCCAGCGCGCACCAGTGCACGGCGGCGTTGCCCTCAGCGTCGGTGGTGGCGGCGTCCGCGCCCGCCTCCAGCAGCAGCCGCACGAGCGGCGCGTGCGCGTGCTCGGCCGCCCACACCAGCGGCGTCCAGCCCCCTGCATCACGAGCGTCCACACTGATCCCAGGAGCCGCCAGCAGCACGCGCGCCACCGCTTCCGCGCACCGCCCGCCGCGCGAGCAACATACGTGTAGCGCCGTCATCTCCTCCGGACCCGGGAAATTCACGTCGCATCCCGCACCAACCAAGTATCTTACAACTTTCAACAGATCTTTCTCGCTCGGTTTGTTTTCCTCCGTTTCCTTCTCGTCGTTCCCCGTCTCTGTTTCCTCTTTTGTATCGTTCGCTACCTCTTCTTTGCTTTCATCCGATTTTACTTGTTCTGTGTTTTCATTAATGGAAATTTTAGATTTTTTGGTGTTTTCCTCTGTTTTATCCAGCAATTCATGGACAGCGAGTAAAAGCGGCGTTCGCCCGGAGCCGTCTACCGCGTCCAGATGTGCACCGGCGGCGCGCAGCAGACCCAGCGCGGCCGCCCGCCCGCTCCGAGCAGCCGTGTGAGCACACGTACCATCTTCCATACTCTCGAGCCTCTCGTTCACGTCGGCGACAGACGCAATTTTGGGTATGAGTTGATCGACCGCCTCACCCTCCGATATAGCGTCACACAGTACCTGCGCAGGCGAACCGCTCAGCAGCTCCTCGTAATCGGTACCTTCGGGCTTCTCACAAAGACGTTTCAAGTCCTTCAAGTTAGATGGAAGCAAGTCTTCTGGTATGAGTGGTTCTACCTCTACCGGTTCCTGCTCCCGTGTCGAAAACCCGAGATACGCAGGAGTACACTGCTCCCTTTGGTCGGGTAGGAAGATCCTCTTGTTGCTGCAGTGCATCTTCACGTGGACTTTGACGCAGTCGCGATTTACGGGCTGCCAACGGTAGGATAGCACGCCGCAGTGAGGACATCCGATGAGCAGCTTAGACTCGCTGGTGGGCAGTCCACATTCTAAGTGGAACAAGTGGCCTTCCGAGCACTGGTAGAAGAGTCCTTGCGTGCAGAAAAGGCCGCAGGCGGGGCAGCACATGTGGCGGCGCAGCTGGGCGGCGTGCAGCGCACAAGTGAGCACGTAGGGCGCGCGCGGGCCGGCACGCATCAGCGGCCGCAGCCGGTCCGCCCCGCGCCGCGCTGCGTGCGAGCAGCCCACGCGCACGCCGTCCACCATCTCAATCGCCTGACAGAACACCGGCTCAGTGAGCTCCTCCGGTGCCGCGTATATATTACTCGGTTTCTCACAGAGACATGTCGCCACAACTGTCGACTCTTCGTCGGGACAGGCGGCTTCCGAGCCTTCGTCGCCGGCCGCCGGGTTGCTAGTCTCGTCTTGTTCGACCTCCGACGCTGCTTCCTCACCACGGGATACGCGGTTTTTCTTCCGACGAGGTCTGTACTCCCTCTCACCATCGTCGGTATAATTTTTATTGGTCCGCCTCGATGAACGTCGCGGTGGAGCCTTCGTATCGTCACCGTGTGCCACTATCGACGAGCAATCACTGTCATTCATGCCATATGTGGAACTTAATCGGTTTGAGCGCCTAGGTCGTTCAGCTTCTGATGCTTCAGCAGAACAATAAAATTCTTCATCACTGCTTTCTGATGCCGAATCTTCATCAGCTTCTAGTAGTTTACTGATAACTTCCTCATCATCATCAATTTCCTCTTCCTCATTCCCGTCCATCACTTCTACTTCATTGTCCTCTGTCTCTCTGATTTCACCATCAGGTTCATCCTCTGATGGTTCTACATCAATTGCTTGTAAGCCCAGCTCACACAAATGCTTGAGTTTCATCACTTTACTTTTATCACTGTTTCTAATCTCCTTCTTTAAACTCTTCTCAATATTCTGTACACTTTCTGAGGTTGTGGATTTAGCTGATCGTCTAGTCCGAACTCCTTCCTCCTGTTTATCAGATTGCAACCCGAGACGAGCATTATTCTGAGATTCAACACCAATACGTAGCTCTTCATTCTCCAATACTTTAGCAGTAGGCTTTATACGACGAGACAATCTTTGTGTGGGGCCTGTTGTTTCAATATATGCCTTTTCTTTCCTTGCTATAGCAGTGGCTAGAACATTGTCAGAGGAATCTTTACTACGGCGCCTCGTAGACCGCTTAGGCGTAGTGTGAGAACTATCAGAAGCCTCATCATTTTCAGACACACATTGACTGACACTTTTATCTTTCTTGGGTGAAATAGAGTCATTCTCCTCTGACCACTCCCACTTACCTCTCGTCCGACTCGAACGCCTCGGTGAGAATTCCTCGTGTTTGTCTTCGTTCGAAACTATTTTCATGTTGCTGCTTTTAGTACCAGACTTTTCAGATCTAAAAGTTAAAACTATACGAGGCTTGGCTTCGTCCCCATCACTTTTGTCTGCCTTTTTATCTACAGAAACCACCAAGTTGTCTGTCAATTGATTTTTATCCACTTTCTTTTTAGATGTACTCGCCACATCGCTTTCATTTTCGTGCATAGTGTCAAGGTCTTTTATGCTTCGACCGTGAGTAAACAGAAGGAAGTTACATACGTACCTTTATCCACAAGTTTGTGTATACAATTTGATTCACTACCAAAGTGTTTATATTTTGTTTGTTCAAGTACAAGGAAACTTTGTTTAATTGATTTTACTTAAATATACCTACGTAAACTTAAGTTAAAATGAAATCAATGTAGAAAAATGTTTTTATTTTATAACATAAATATTTCTTTTAATGTCTTAATAAATATAGATTAATGAAATTTTTCAATACCGATTCACAAAATAAATTCTGTATTCTACAAATTAACGTAAACACTGTAGGTAAAAAAAGGATGACAATAGTTTTGTCAATAGGTAAGTAGATTTCAAGCCAAAGAGCAAGGAATACTCTGTATTACAATAGGGTTAAATTCGTAAACTGTCAAATGTATGTCACAACTGCCTGTGGTATGTGGTGAGGATGCTTTAAATAAGTGACAGCATTTTTGTCGATATCGATATTAGAACAAAGGTAATAAATTTTTTAGAAATTGTATAAAGTATGAAGCTAATAAATGAAAAATCAGAACATTAATAATATTTTAAATTAAAAATCTTAATCATTCATCTTTAACCGTTAGAGCGTCGTCGCGCCCGGCACTTACGCATTATGACTAAAATTGCTAAAATAACTAAAACTAAACTTGTGTATAATTGCCTATTGCATGTAGAAAACTGTACGCGATGCTTAACGTTGCACATAGGCATTCACGGCCCCACTACAGCCACATGGCATAGCTGTACGTGCATTTACTATTATGGTTCGTCATACAAACATATTGTTTAAAAAAATCTGTGCTGTGCTGAACATTGTGAGCTGTATAACTTCCGTTGCCGTATTCAGTATGTAATATTATGTTATCTGTGGTTATACTATGTCCATACGAATATCAATATCGATTAATAATTGAAATTGATATTAGGCCATCCCGCGAGTGAACGTTCAACAACTTGTCATGTGACATCTTCTGTTGACACTTGACAGTACTTTGACATTTCCTCCTTTCTTATTCTCATTTAAGTTTTTTTGTTAGTTTTCCTTTGGCCGATCATTTATTTTAATAAATATATTATTTCTTTCAATAAATAATATAATAATTTAGTATTACTTTCCACACATCCCTACATTGTAGCTATATACGGTGTGATTTATAAAAAACAATCATGAGTCTCTTTTTGAAGCCGGAACACATACTTCAAGGGGGTTACTTCAACGCAACATTGCGGAAACTTCAAGAGCCTAATACTAGTATTGAACCTCACAATATCATGTATCCTGTGTTTTTGTTGTAAGTGCATTTTGTATAATAATTTACCACATTTTTTTTTAACTACCGCTATGCTATAGAACAAGAGAAATCAGCTGTTATTTTTTTTTTTAGTACCGGCTATACCCATTATTATCTAATAAAGGTCGTATGATTTTTAACCCTGGCCGATAATAGCCGTCGCGTAATAATGTAAATTTATTTCTAAGTTCTAATGTGCTTAATTCAAGTATTTTTAATTTACTAATTTCAAATTAATATAAAAGAACATTGTTATGGATGGTAATGGAATGGCGCACCCGCCTGCGCTAGCGGTTTACGCTGGCGGGGCACCAGTGTGGGATAGTAAGATGAGCATGAGGTCAGGTCAGTTAGCCCATTGTGGTAAATTCCCTATGAATTTATCACGATAGTTTCCAGGGGGAACCATGTGGAGGTCAACTTGGCATGGTACATTGCTAGCAAGGGGGTTATTAGTCCACATTACTAACAATCCTCTTCTCCTTTATAAAAGAACTACTACTGCTACTTTTGTAGTGAACAGAATATAAGGTCACAATACATGTTTTCCTTCCTCCTTTCCTTTTCCTAGTTTTAGGTTAATAATATTGTTATGTTGTATTGGGTTTTTAACAGAAAAATATGTATATACACCTGTTTGTTTTCAGTACATTTTTATAATAGTTCAGTATATCCACAATTTATTAGTATAACATACAATATTATAGAATATGATATAGTTATGGTACACAATAAGGACACAAGTAGAAATAACAACAAATAGGTTTTATTAATAAGTAATACAAAGAACATTAACAGACCATTATTTAATTATGTGTATATGTTTCCACCAAAAACTTATTAAGATATATGTATATGATTAAAACTATATTAAATACTAAATAATCTATTTTTATGTAAAGTTTAATTCAAATCGGTTCAGCCAAGAAAAAGTAACAAACAGATTGCACTTTGTCATTAATAATATTAAAATATGATTTACTAATTAATTATTCAATTAACTAATTAATTTAGGATTAATTAAAAGTATTCAATATTATTTCAGAGAACAAGAAGATGCCATACAAGCTGTGACAAGTATGCCAAATGTGTACAGGTATGGCATCAACAGATTGATTCCAGCACTTGAGGAATTGGTTGGAAAGGGCCTCAAATCTATTCTTATTTTTGGGATTGTTACGGCTTTGCCTAAGGTTATTTTAGTTATTCCTATATGCCATACATCAGCATAATTTCTAATATGTGAAGGTAGACAGCTTTCCAATTAATTATGGTGCAGTTTAAGCGTCTTAGTGCCAAGGCGCGCGATCGCGCACCTGCACGTTTTACCTAAAAGTGCTATATGCGCGGTAGCGACACACACGTCAGTGTGTTTTTGAGTTTCAGCCGCTATTTTGAAAATTGATACATTTTTACAAAAGTTACACATTATTTTCTCACTATTCATAATGCTATTTGTTAAATATCTAGAAAACTAAATACTTAGCAGAGTCATAAGAGGTAATGGGGTTAGTATTGTGACTTTACTGTGAAAAGAATTAAATAGGAAAACATCAATTTATTATATTATTATTAATACAACTACTGTGAATGAAATAATTTTATTGAAAAAAAAAAATTAATTTATTTAAAGGCATAACAACATTTTAGTTCTAATTTTCTTTAGTTAACAATCAATTTCTATATTCCAGGGACCAGAAGGAAGAAGTGCAGATTGTCCTGAGAACCCAGTAGTTAAAGCTCTGCCAAAGATACGTGCGAAATTCCCCAATTTACTGATTGCGTGTGATGTGTGTCTCTGCCCTTACACGTCGCATGGACATTGTGGCTTGTTAACAGCCAGCGGTGCTATTGATCATGCCGCTTCCGTGAAGAGGATAGCAGAAGTTGCTCTTGCTTATGCTAAAGCAGGTATGAAAGATTATTTGCCAAAATCTGACCCAATTAACAAAAGTATTCCTACAAAAATCAAATTAAATGAAATTGTTAACTATTAACCAACTATATATCTAGGTAGTTTTTTTTTAAACCATGGAAATAAAATATAATAATATATTGTTATTCAGTGAGCATTTTTACATATAAAATATTTAGATAGTTTTTTTTTAATCTTTGGAACACACAAGAAACAAATAACAATCCGAAACTTTATTATAATGAAATTACAGGAGCGCATATAGTAGCGCCGTCGGACATGATGGATAACAGGATCAAGGCCATAAAGGATGCTCTAGTAGCCAATAGTCTGCAGAATCAGGTACATATATCGAATATATAATTAGCTTGGATTGAATGCATTTATTACAAGAATCTCGATTATGTTTTTATATAAATAATTGTGATATTATTCCCTGAAGGACTAAGTCGGTAGTCAATTTTCAGAGTTCCAATATAAACTTAAAACTAAAGTATACCTCATCATATTTTTATATATACCATACATGTAATGGCAATCAAATTGATAGTCCACCCGATGGTGGAAGTGGTAACCGTTGCCATTATACATGAATGGCACTGTGCATATCTCCTTATCAGGTGACGCCTGTGATACCACTGATGCGTTGCCATTCTGCTATTCCTGACGAGGAAGTTGTCTCTTATCCCACGCCTTACAAGCAGACAGCAGAAATAGCTGAGACTCTCACGCTGGCGATATTTTGCAAAGTTTAGTTAGGTATATAATATTATGTTAAATGTGTTAATCCGGTTGGAAGGACCAAAAAGATGTGTACACAAACTTTATAGTAAATTGATGATTGAAATGATAATTTGCGTACCGCGGAAATTAGATTGATGTGACGAGTTACGGGTGCTTTATTGGTACTAAAGTTTAGGTTAGAATTGTTGTCCAGGTTCTCTGTAAGAGATTGCTTTTAGCAATATGACCGATCTTTGTCTAGCATTAAAAATTAAAATAATAATATAATTATTTTTATTTAATAGAAATATAACTTTCTTTTTGTAAATATTTATCCTATGCGCAATAAAGAGAGGATTACATGTTTAAAATGAAATTATTTGTCTGTGAAATATTGGTACAGTAAATAAGTAATTACTTAAAAAAGTTATTGACAGCAAAATTTACCATAACCGGCATCCCGGTTATGGTAAATATTGCTGTAAAATAAAATTACAAGAAAGCATTCATTTTGTGTAATATTATTGAATTCAAGTAATATTAATAAACGACAGCAATTTTATTTGTTTACGGTTTAATAATGTGATTTAATGATTTATAATATTAGTATTGTATTGATATAGTACATGATAGACAACTCAAATTGAAGATACTGTCCATTTAAACTTATGGCTTCAGCACTAAATTGTTAGTAGCAACTTAACCAAACCTTTATTTTCCAGGTGTCAGTGTTGTCCTACTCATGTAAATTCGCGTCGTCAATGTACGGTCCGTTCCGTGACACCATGAAGAGTTCCCCGATGGAAGGGGACCGCAAGTGCTACCAGTTGCCTCCCGGCAGTGCTAATCTCGCCGCAAGGGCTGCGGTACGTAAACTTCAAAACTGCTTTCGGTTTTTTTTTTCGAATTATTGATGTAGCTACTTTACTTTACCGAACGATAGGGGGCGAGTGCAGATGGCACTCCAAACTCGCGAGAGGACTTATGGAGGGACTGTCTAAAAATATTTTGGTTTGGTTTAACAGACCTATTCAATTATACGCTTTACTAAAGTAGATTATTGCTGAACTATTTTATATTTTAACTGTTAAGATATGAGATATGCACAATAAACAAATTCGAATTTGTGTATCAATATCGCTTATACTCTGTAGCGCTGATATCAGCCAGCGTGATTGAGAGATATTGGTATCAGTATATTGATTGAGTCATGCTTCGGCTGGCTGCAATCTGTATCATATTCCGACAGATATTAATTTTGTAGTGAATTATATCTACGTATATGTGAATGAGGGCTATAGCCCTCATAAATGAGTTCAGTCACTCAGAGCGCAATGGAGAGAGTTATGCTTGGAGTTTCTTTGCGTGATCATATAAGTAATGAGGAGATTCGCAGAAGAACCAGAGTAACCGATATAGCACAAAGAATTGGGAAACTGAGGTCACAATGGGCTGAGCATATAGCTCGTAGTACAGATGGCCGTTGGAGCAATAAAGTCCTCGAGTGGCGACCGCGGACCGGAAGACGTAACGTGGGTAGGCATCCGACAAGTTGGTCGATCTGGTCAAGATCACTGCTTTGCAGGATGCGTTGGATGCTAGCAGCACAGGACTGATCGCCGTGGAGATTTTTGGGGGAGGCCTTTGGACAGTAGTGAAGGTCTTCGGGCTGAAACGATGATGATGATCGCGTATACTCTGTTTCACTGATATCGGCGAGCGTGATTGAGAGATATTGGTATATTGATTGAGTCATGCTTCGGATGGTTACAATCTGTATCATATTCCGACAGATATTAATTTGTAATTAATTATATCTACGTATACACTTTGAATAGCAGAGTGATATGTTATCTCTTAACATACGTGTATATCATTGATGTAAACATAGTCACTTGGTGTTATATTGGAAGCTGATAGTTTAATATATCTATCGTCAAACTTGACTCACGTAAACATTCGTATTTTTTTATTTAATAGATGATAATGAAATGGTGCACCCGACTGTGCTAGCGTTTTACTGTAATAAGAGCATGAGGTCAGGTCAGATAGCCCATCGTGGCAAATGCACTAGGAATTTGTCACAGTTTCTAGAGGGAACCTAACATGGTACATTGCTAGTAATTGACATCAGTCCACGTTACTAACAATCCCTGATTAATTTTATTCATATCCTATAAATGTTGCTGCTAAGAAGTTTTATAAATAAAAACTCATCTTCCCCCTTTAAAGAAGGGTTTCAAAAGGATGCATATATACAATGTTGCATTACAGGCTCGTGATGTTGCGGAGGGTGCTGATTTCTTGATGGTGAAGCCTGGTCTTCCCTACTTGGACATCGTCAGGCAGACAAAGAACCAGTTTCCCCACCATCCCTTGTTTATATACCAGGTTAAGAGATTATCACATACTAGCTTTTGCCCACGGCATAGCTCAGGTTAATTTATCCCTTTAGGGGTGGAATTAATCATAATCCTTTCTTAGGGGATGCTTACGTCATAATAGCTTTATGCATGCAAAGTCTCAGCCCGATCGGTTTAAAATTGACAAAGATTCAATAAACTTTCATCCCCTATTTTATCCCTTTGGGGGTAGAATTAATCAAAATCCTTTCTTAGCGGATGCCTACGTCATAACATCTACCTGCATGCCAAATTTCAGCCCGATCCGTCCCGTGGTTTGGTCTGTGCGTTGATAGAGCACTATGTCAGTTACCTTTGAGTTATATATATATATATATTTAGATATTGAGATTGAAGCTACATCAATTTCAGATGGCATTATAATTTTTGGAATGATCCTGTATTTGATCCTCTAGTATATATGTTCATTCATTCATAATTTAAGAGCTGTGCTCTTGTCGGTGGAGCTCCCGCCACCTTCCACGATCTTCTATCAGTCCCTTTAGCTGTTGATACGACACGACTCCAACTTTTTCTTTAACTTGCTTGATATAGCTGTATGTAGTATATATGTATGACTCCAAAATACAGATATTAGCAATAGTTATTGTAAATTGGCTTTGTGTATATGATTGTGAACAAACGGTACCTGTACATTAATTATTAAAAAAAAAACAAATTGTACATGTTGAATTCATGTTGCTGAGATTTAAAAGTAGCTTATAGAGATTTGCCACAGCGGTGGCAAATTCAGTATTCAGCCCATCATGTATGTGCGCTTGTCAACGCTATTCTCACAAACTGCTTAACCGACCCTATAGCATTTAAAATAAGGGCAATGTAGGGCATAGCACAAAAAATGTTGGGACCATCCACTGCTGTAACATGTACATGTTTGTTTCATTCTCATCAGTTGACAAACAAAAACTTATAACGTCTTATTGTTAAGAATACCACGAAATGCGACAACGCGAGGACTGCTAGTTAATGTATAAGAAGTTGCAGGTCTCTGGCGAGTACGCGATGCTATCCCGCACTGTCGAGAATGAAGAGGTCAAGAATACCCTGATGGAGGTACTGACGTGTATGAGGAGAGCTGGTTAGTATCCTACATTGAAGCACTATTACTAACAGTATATACCAGGATTAGTACATTCAAATGCCCTAATAACGGGCTATTCGAATAAATACTCCAATAGACTATTGCTATTGAGTAAATATAACATATGCATCATAACTAGGGCCACTGGACAAAGCAAATTAAATAAACATACGACAAAGCTAGGCCTGTGCAATACAAAAAATCTGCACATTTTGCCAAGCTGAAGAGGAAACGCCACTACACATCCTATGTGGTTGTAGTGTATGTACTCATGCATAAACGAAATATATTCTTTGGAAAGTTTACACTTTATCCTGAGGAGATAAAAACCAACGCTCCTAAGAATATTATTCAATTCTTGTCCCTGACAGGTCTAGGTAACTCTGAAAAAGGGCGAGCACAATAGATCTATGTAGGTTGCAGTGCTACAGGTCTAAGCACCTGACAATAACCCAAATGGGGGGACCGCAATCAAAATATCATACATAGGTCAATATCATAGTCATATAAATATCAATAAAAACATACCAGTAGTCGAAATTCCACCATGTATTAACACCATTATTTAAATTACAAGTTTGAACATTATTTAGATTCTAATTCAGATTACTTTTTCTAATAAGATTTTATATTTTATATTGAGCGAGCGGTATTGTACTAATAATTCAAATATATAATGTAATAAATGAATTTATTATAGTTATGTTTCACATTCAGTAAGATTATAGATAAATAATAAATTATCTATGGTCAAATAATAATTTAATATCTTTACATAGTATAAAACAGTCCTCGACGATGTGTTCCCTCATATCTTTTAAATTACGCAACGGATTTTAATGCAGTGTTCAGCAATAGATAGAGTGATTCAAGAGGAAGGTTTATATGTATAATACATGCGTGTTATAGTATATAACAGGCCGAGAAATTCAAAGATTTATCATGTACGAAGCTGGGACGCGTCGCTAGTATTTTATAAATATTGTTTTATTGTTACAGGCGCAGATTGCATCATTACTTATTTCGCTCCACTAATTCTCAGCATAATATCACAACAAAAATCATAGATAATAAAGAACAGTTAATAAATTTACACGTATACATACATTCGTTTTGATAGTGAAGTACTATTTCTTTTGCTCATTTTTAGCGATAATATTATAAGTACATAAACTGTTGTTTACATTAGTTTTTTTTATATAAATATAATTTTTATTATTTATAATAAATGAACAAATAAATTTATTTTTATTCTAAAATGTTTTTTTTATCTCTTCTAAGGAAAGATCGCAATTGTCATTTATTTCCACGCTTTCTCCACATCGATTAAGCTAAACCCTGGAATATGTAGGCTGCAGGATTGTGAGATATTATTATGATAATGAGCTGCTCTGACCATGGCTTCAGGAACTCGGAAATATCACTATACTCAATGAATTTGGGTATATGACATTTGTATTATTTGTTATTTTTTGGATTGGTAATAATTATGATTAGGGAGGCATATAGGCAAGTCGATAATATTAAAACCTAATGTTAAAAAAATCTTCCTAGAACCAGGGAGTGATTTTTATTTTCTATTAGTAATACCTGTGACAGTACATACTCTATGGCACTTCGCCTGAAATATCAGTATTATGTTCCTTGATCAGTATGCACCAATATGAGCTGAGATCAAAAGCATTTTCTTATGGCAATCATTATAAATATAGGTAATAACTTTAATTACTGGGCACATAACCAATATAATAGCTCTAGCTCACTGACCAAATGATTTTCTTCTTTTCTTTCATAAACTATATAATATTCTCTTATCTGCTATTATACCTCCGGTCCTTTGGCTAGTATTATTGTGATTTTTATAGAGGTTTATATATTAATTGTACAGGTATTTCAGCTATACCTATTTCCTCCTGATATGCTTTGACATGAAAATATACCTATGAAGTATTAAAAAAAACTAACGTAGATTAGGTCGCACCGCCTCCAAATACGAGAAAAAAAATGTATGGGTAACAGAGATTTTTTTAGTAGTGGAATAATTAGGTAATATCAATAATAATAAATTAACAATGTGTGTGATATTTTTTAATAAATTATTTTCTTATCAATACTTATCGAAAGTATCTAGAATAATTTCTACTTTAGAGATAATAGAATCAGTTAACAGTTTCAAAAGTTTCGCCAAAATCTTTGTGCCAGTTATTAACGTGGGCCAATGAACATTCGACAAATCGACGCACCTGGACCAATAGTATTGAACGAATGTGAACGTCATCAACTTAATAACCAATTACGTTCGCCCACGATCAACACTAGCGCTAAATAATAACCGCGGCGGCGTGTGAAACTTCAGTTCTTCTTGGAAAATCGAATGTGAGACATCAGCGTATTTCGTGAATTCGTTCAAGTGTAACATTTGGTGGGCTATTAATTAAAACGTGGCTGTGATTTGTTGAAGAATTTTCATTTACTGATTGTCATCATACTATTTGGTAATTATATTCACATATTTACGTTTAGATTTCTTTATACTATAATTAGTTTCTCCGGGATATTCCATCCATCAAACTATCCAAGCTGCGATTAACCTGTTACTAATAAAAATGTATCTGGAACGGGTATTTTGTTCTTGAAATACTCATTTTCTGACAAAAGCAATTCTCTTATATGGTTTTCTGTTATATTTGACAATGATTTCTTCATAACAATATTAAAAGATTAGTAATAGAGAATGGCATGTCGGCGAATTTTCTCGACGTGTCTGGTAGGCCGGCGCGTTGCCCTACATTTATGTCGTATCTATCCGTTTCTGGATGTACCGTTAACAAGCCGTTATGCCGTCTTTTCCATTCAACTTTCCCTTTCTAAATTGTTTTATATACGGTGATGAATGACGTGTCCCGTTTTATGATTACGTGTCCTTTTGCGTAGGTCGTCAGACCTTGTCGGTGAAAATATTGAAGTTAATTGTAGGTGTTAATTGTTTCAGTATAAGATAAATATTGCATGGTGAAGATGCGGTGGAGTCTGGTAGCGTTGGTGTGTGTGGTGGCGGCGGTGTACGCCGAAGAGAAGAAAGAAAAGGACAAGGAGATCGGGACCGTGATCGGTATCGACTTGGGTACCACATATTCCTGGTGAGTTATACAAAGATCTGTCTTTTATAATTATTTACAACTAAATATATATATGGGTTAATAATTATTGCAATCTTATAAGTTCTATTTCAGCATATTTAATAATATTTTAATTTACATAAAAACTGTTTTAACAGCTGTTATATTCTGTAATCATGTAAAGAAAAGACACTATCTATTAGGACAGTAATTCTGAAACATTGCACCTAGATTTTGTAATAATTTATTTATAAAATCTACAATCACTTAGAATCTTAAATTGAAATGTTTTCCTTTTATTGTCTACAGTGTTGGTGTTTACAAGAATGGGCGAGTGGAAATCATTGCTAACGACCAGGGTAACCGGATCACACCCTCATATGTAGCTTTCACTCAAGATGGCGAGCGTCTCATTGGTGACGCCGCCAAGAATCAACTGACCACCAACCCTGAGAACACAGTGTTTGATGCCAAGCGTCTGATTGGTCGGGAATGGAGTGACACCACAGTTCAGCATGATGTTAAATTCTTCCCCTTCAAAGTTGTAGAAAAGAACAGCAAACCCCATGTCTCAGTTCTGACCTCACAGGGTGACAAAATCTTTGCCCCTGAAGAAATCTCAGCTATGGTTCTAACCAAGATGAAGGAGACTGCTGAAGCTTATCTCGGAAAGAAGGTCACTCATGCTGTTGTTACTGTACCAGCTTACTTTAACGATGCCCAGCGTCAGGCTACAAAGGATGCTGGTGTCATTGCCGGTCTGAATGTCATGAGGATTATCAATGAGCCTACTGCTGCAGCTATTGCCTATGGTCTGGACAAGAAGGAGGGTGAAAAGAATGTTCTTGTATTTGACTTGGGTGGTGGTACTTTTGATGTCTCCCTTCTCACTATTGACAATGGTGTATTTGAAGTAGTGGCCACCAATGGTGACACCCACTTGGGTGGTGAAGATTTCGATCAGAGGGTCATGGAACACTTCATCAAGTTGTACAAAAAGAAGAAGGGCAAGGACATCAGAAAAGACAACCGCGCCGTCCAGAAGTTGCGTCGTGAAGTTGAGAAGGCTAAGAGAGCACTGTCCTCCAGTCACCAAGTCAAGATTGAGATTGAATCCTTCTTTGAAGGTGATGACTTCTCTGAAACTCTCACCAGAGCCAAGTTTGAAGAGTTGAATATGGATCTATTCAGATCAACCCTTAAACCTGTACAGAAAGTGTTGGAAGATGCCGACATGAACAAGAAGGATGTTGATGAAATTGTATTGGTTGGTGGCTCAACTCGTATTCCCAAGGTTCAACAGTTGGTCAAGGAATTCTTCAATGGCAAGGAACCATCCCGAGGTATTAACCCTGATGAGGCTGTAGCCTATGGTGCAGCAGTGCAAGCTGGTGTGCTCAGTGGTGAACAGGACACTGATGCCATTGTGCTTCTTGATGTTAACCCCCTAACCATGGGTATTGAAACTGTCGGAGGTGTAATGACCAAGCTGATCCCACGTAATACTGTAATCCCCACAAAGAAGTCACAGATCTTCTCAACAGCCAGCGACAACCAACACACTGTCACAATTCAAGTATATGAAGGTGAACGACCTATGACCAAGGACAACCACTTGTTGGGTAAATTCGATCTTACAGGCATTCCACCTGCACCAAGAGGCATTCCACAAATTGAAGTAACATTCGAAATTGATGCCAACGGTATCTTGCAAGTATCAGCTGAAGACAAAGGAACTGGCAACCGCGAGAAGATTGTTATCACAAATGACCAGAATAGACTAACACCAGAAGACATTGAGAGAATGATAAAGGATGCTGAGAAATTCGCTGACGATGACAAGAAACTAAAGGAACGTGTAGAGTCCCGAAATGAATTGGAGAGCTATGCATACTCAATCAAGAATCAGCTCCAAGATAAAGAAAAACTTGGTGCTAAGGTTAGTATTTCTTGCAGTACTTATACACACTTCCAATAGTAATACTTAATTGAACATAATAAATACGTACGCAATGTATTTACGTATTATATAATGTATTCTAAATTGTCATTATTCTGATTGCCTTCAGTACAATATTCTGTTTATTAATTCTGTAATACAAATTTCTATAATAATTAATAAGCTTTATAATGTTTGTCGCTTTGTCAACAGGTGAGTGATGATGAAAAGACCAAAATGGAGGAAGCCATTGATGCTGCTATCAAATGGCTAGAAGATAACCAAGATGCAGACTCTGAAGACTACAAAAAACAGAAGAAGAGTCTGGAGGATGTTGTTCAGCCCATCATCGCCAAGTTATATCAGGGTCAAGGTGGAGTGCCACCGCCGGGCGCGGGAGGTGACGAAGAAGACTTCAAAGACGAGTTGTAACCAAACAGACTGTAAATTGTGTGATCATAGCCAAATGTGATCTCTTTAGGTCACCACAGATTATGTATAGAGTGAATATCTTGCGTTATACATAGCCTGTATGAACCATGAATGGAGGTGTTTAGCTCGAGTTGTGTATATTTATTGTGTGAATGTAGGTGAATGAGGGTGTGCGGCGAGCGTTCCGCAGAGTCGAGATCTGATCCGAGTTTCTGTCGCCGCGCACATAGTGTGCTAGAGCTGCGTGCCTGTGTGTGTTTATTGTGTAAAATAATGCATTTTTATTTTAAATATTGAAGCAATAGTTCCATTGTGTGGATCACAAATGCCTGTATCCATGACTGTCTGAATATCGATTCTATCGTCTTCCGCGATTTGTTTTTATGTCATCTCGATGAATCGATCGATCTCTATGCTCTGTAGAGACTTACCTCAGTGTTCTTTATTGTATGTATGTAATTTGAGACTGCAGAATTGTTAGTTCTTAATTAGCAGATTAATTAATTATGTAGTAATATTTCAATTGAAGTACGGAGGAGTACATAATAAAAAAGATTTTTTATTAAAAACCTCTTTTTATTCAGTCCAGACCTTTTAATTTTATTAATACATTAATCAGCTCGTACGTTTCGTAACTGTGAACAATATTCTATGTCGAATGCCGGGGCAGACATTACCGCAGCCTGGATCTTCACTTGTACTTGCTCTGAAAGGTATTCACAAAGAAAGCCTAAAAAAATTTAGAATAATCTTTATATTACAACAAATCTTCAATGGATTTATCCTGTGTAGTTTAGAAATTCTTATGGACGTCTTCTGTGACCATTCTCCGTATTCAGACCAGCCCGAAATCATTACCCATTAGTCCAATATTACGGTCCCATGTACCCATTACAGTGAATGACCCCATTGTTAGCAATGTACCATGTCAAGTTGGCATGATTGTCCCTAGAAACGTTATAAATTCCTGACAAAACGCCACGATGGACTAACTGACCTGCCCTCATGCTCATCTTATCCACTACTGGTGCCCAGCCAGTGTAAACCGTTAGCGTAGGTACCATTCCATTAAAACGTAGTGAAAGTAACATTCGACTTGTCTACATGCAATAGTTGTTTTGCTTCCCAAAGAGTAAAAAGATAGCAGCTATCTCTTCATTCAATAATATTTTACCAACGGTCAGGTGTCTTATTTTCTATTGGACTAACTAAATCATAAAAATTTCTTTGTCATTTAGTCTTATTTCTACTTTTACCGCTGTTTAAGTACAGCACTAATTTTCATACTACTAAAGGTAGTTTTTTGTTAAGCAAAATGTTATCTAGGTATGTGTGTTACACATTCACACCAATTGGCTCGCTGGCATTGATCTCGACCGCCGTTAACCCAGCAGCTGCACGAAGCTCGGCCAAGGCCTCCGAGTGGTAGTAGTCTAACTGTAAGTTAAAAAAAGACACATCTTTTATTATAATTTCTGTAACGGTCATAGACCTAGTTTTATGATGTTCTATAAATATATAATATAAAATAACAGGCTGTATCGGTTGCTTTCATTGTATTTTTTTTATTAAGAGGCCTATTACAAAATGATGCCGCTCAACTTTAGGTTTAATCGCATGGATTTACGCACACACACAGTAATACACGCACACAGACGCAAATAACCGTGTAGCGCAATCGGTGTGGATTTAGTATGAACCATTTTGATCCTTGTAATATTTTAATTAATAATGTGATATGTTTCTACTTAACTGAGTAACATAAACTACTTATTGGATTTTTTAAAATAACGTGATTTATCTTAATTGTCAAAGTGCTAATAATGACCATATTTTTTTATTATATTATTCCTAGAGGGTTGATGTCAGGATGCTGGCCGATTGTACAACTAAAAGCCAAAACCTTAAGTAATATGAGTAACAAATAATTGGGATAAGGACAAGAAGATGAAATTACTATAACATAAATTTACTAATTAATTCTTGTTACATATTAATTCAGTTTATTTATTAATAGATACAATATAATTTATTATAAGAGTCGGATACATTATTGCCATATTCACTTGTTCTAAATATTATACTTAGCAAATAATTATTTTATTTATATATAATAGTTGTGTTTTCAAGGCTTTGTTTTGATTTAAAGGTCCCATCCTTATATGTATATTAGGTGTATCCGCGACTTCGTCAGCGTGGTATAATGAAATTGACCAAATAAAGGAAATATATTTAGATTATAATCTAAAAAAGTTTCATTGTTTCACTTAAACAATGACGATACTTTTATACAACCTTTCATCTCCGCTTTTAATCCCTTACAATACTTTTTTCGCACTATAAAATAGTCTATGACCTTTCTCAGGGTATACTATCTGTGTATATGTATATCTATCTATATAGACTACCTGTGTATATATATGGTAGTGAATTTACAGGGTACAGGGGAATAACACCCGAGTTTTCAGGAATGGCAACGCATGAGGGAAACAATATGCTGATATGAACATGTATATAGGCGACGGTTACCCTTTCCATCAGGACAGCCGTCAGCTCGTTTGCCATTCTAAGTTGTAAAAAAAAAGCTTCAACTGCTATCATTGCTGTTCCTGCATCATTGACGTCGCCGCATGATATTGGCTGATATTGCAGCTTCTCGTTCTTGGTTGGCCAATTCTTGATTCTTGATAAATAATTACTTGTTAATATCAAACCTATTTATAAATTATTACAAGACGCCTCATTGATTATATGTAATGAAATCACCATTAGGTATAGAGATTTTGGATAGAACCTTAAAAGACCTTAGAAACACCTCTGCTCTCATTGGCGGGATTACTTTTATACTTTTGCTGGAGATTTCTGAAAGACTCTCTGTGTCATTACCATCGTTTCCCTTATGTACTTTAATTGAAACTTTAAAACTACTGACAAATTTGAGAGCTCATTTTTATGGAAGCACAGATAGTGATTTCCCACACTAACTGCTCAAACTTGAGGAAGGAATTTCTCAAAAGCATGATCCAATCATGAAATTTAAGTCCGCCGAACATGTGCAATGGCATCCCATTGGATATGTTGCTTACTAAAGAATTGAAAGACAATTTAATTGCAGACCATTATAACCGGTACGTTAGCTGGGCAACCAGCTTATATACCAAGAATACCGATGATTCCAACTGATCTGCCAATACCATTTTAACGGCTTCAATTTCCGGTTAAAATATCATCTACACATGTAATAGATCTATGTATGTTTTGATCTTAAAAAACTACGCAGATTTTGATTCGTTGTTATTTAATAGACAGAATAGATAGACTCAAGAGGAAGGTTTATATATAACGACCGAATACTGTACACGGATCTTTAAACGCGCGATAACCTATATATCCCATATTCACGCGGGCGAAGCCGCGAGCTAAAAGCTAGTCACTAAATAAAAACATTTATAATGTTGTTGACTTTTCACCCAAACACGTATAATTATTTGACATAACTGTACAGTAATGAAAGTCCAACGAGTATAATAACAGAATGGCTGCAATTTAGAAATATCTGTATTGTGTAAAATAAAATAAAGTAAATTGGATAAAGTATCTCTAAACATTAAGGAATATAATTTATATATAATTTGGTAATTTATTTACAATCCACATTGCATACTAGATGATATAACACCAGACAAATGTACGTAAAAATAATAATGGTATTTTTATAAACAATAACCCTATTTTAATTTAGAAAAAATCTACAAAATAAACATAAAGTAAAATTGGTTTACATTTTCTTACATTTTTCTCTCAGATAAGCGTTATTTTTAAAAATACTAAAACGTTATCTTTTTTAATTTTAACTATTAATTGCCATTAGTGTGACGAAATACCATGCTCTTGTGCTTTTCATAGTGCAGCAGGGTAGGTAGGTTTTATTTGTAGCATAACTGTACTTTTGTTTTGGCATGCTAAAATAAATATTATATATATATATTTAACAACAACTTTAAATTAATATTCGTAGAAATAAGTATGTATTAGCAAAATTAATTAAATATTACTTAAATTATCAAAATTGTTTAGTCGCACTATACTAATGTTCACTGACAAATGTTTACGAATGTCTTATCGTAGCGGTGTCGTAAAAAATAGCATAGGTCCTACCTCGACGAGCGCTAGCGCAGCACTGAGAATTTACTTTTGGCGCAACGGAATTTATACAACTTTCAATTATTATTATTGTTTATTTTTTTCTTAGAAACTTATATTTTTTTTTATATTTCTAATTTACAAGTATATTAACTTTATTATTATGTTTTTTTTATGCAAAAATTTCGTTGTATTTATGAGAAAATTAGAAATGATTATGGCAAAGTTTTGTTGAAATTTCGGGTTTAATTATGATCAATTTTTTAGATATTTAAGTTGAAAATGAAAAAAAGGACGATGCTGTCTCAATTTATGAAGTAATTATCAAGTTTTAGTACAGATATCATATCAATTTATGTTTGTTTATTAATGAACGACGACCCCAAACTTCTGTCTCTTAGCGTTTTTGAATAAACTATTTTAGAAATTAGGAAGACTAACAAAGAGAAAATTAACATTTCAAAGATGTAGTTTTTAAGATTAGATATCTATCTATATAATTCAGAAATCAAAATGTATATCCGACTCTTAATTTCTTAGAACCAGAACCCCAAAGACCCTGCTTTTAGGCCAAAAAATGTGAAAGGCCTCTTAAACGCTGTTATTCGCGAATAAGGTGTTGCGATCCCATTTTATAGTGTAAAATATTGTTAATCGAAAATATATCGACATTGATGTTCCAATTTTCACTATATTATTACGTTTGACATATCACCGTAGCTATTACACGTATGTAATATATTCAATAAGAACTGAATTCAAGTACCGAAATGTTACTTGGCTAATCACTATGTACATAGACTGAGAATATTGTCCCCAAAAAGAAAGGTATTTGTGTCGAGCGGTTAGTAGATCATTTCATTAGCTACGTACGAGTACCTACCTACATAACAGTAAAGGGTTCGTCTAGATGCCCGATAACGAAAAGGCGAAAAGTGGCACAGTCGAATTTTTCGATTGTGAGGGTACGATATATACGAGATTTTTTGTTCATTTGTTGATCCCACTATATTTTACTTTTTAAACGAATAAGATTCAGTCGGAAGACGTCTTTGTAAACCTTTGCAACAATTAATCATTTCACACAGAAGCATCTAGTCCCAAGCCAAGCAGAGCTTCTGTTATGGGTACTAAACAATTGCATATAGGTACATGTATACGTAATGTGTAATACATAATATACATAGAAAATACTCAGACCGCTACAAATATAATTTATGTATCGAGCGGGAAATCGAACCCGCAACCAACGGAAGTTCTGTTCACTGAATACAATGTTTCTAATCTTATAACAGCCCAGCTGTGTGTATTTAATTATTATAAATTAATCTAATCGGTGTGCTAAACCGCTAGGCTACCAAAGCCGTGAAAATTAAAAACAATTCATTAGTAAGTGATAAAGTTACCTCTGCATCCAGTTGTGCTTCGTTGTTATCGGGGTGGTGCATAACTCTGGGTCCTGAGCCGGGGGCCGCTGACTGTCCAGTGCACCAGTCCACGGCTTGAGACATCACGCGGGTTTTGCACGTCGCAATGTCCGTGTTCAAGAATATTACTCTGGTGGCACAATAAAATATTATGAAAGACAAGGCCCTAGTAGGGACAGTTATGATTGTAATTTTACAGGGTACGCAAGATGGATACTCTAGTTCTCAAGAATAGCATCAATGCGTGATGATACCCGTGATACTGTATATATTACTAGGTAGTGATATGAACAGTATCGACGGTAAAAAATAAAAGTAAACAAATAACGTTTTTAATAAAATGGTGAGATCGCTTTCGCTGTATTTGGTGAACATGTCAAGTAAACGAGGAAAGCATGAGTATGAAATCTTGCCCTATCGTACCCTTTAACCAAAACACCTCTTACAAAGCAACCTGCTGGCTGACGGCTGAAATATAATAAGTAAAAAGACGGACGATTCTGTACACAGTTTATTTTTTTTTAAACCAATTTGTTTTAGAATCACACGTAACCGAAAAACTAAATTTTCACTAAAATAAAACTTATCTTAGCTCATTTATATGAACAACCCAAGACAGTGTAACAATTTGAAAAAATGTGCAAGACATAGAATTATAATGAATTTTCAGAATGACAACAAAATACCTTTATATTTATTAAAATAATGGAGTAAGCCGAGTAGAGCGGAACGTGAATAGTTACAGCAAAAATCGATAGAAAGTTTTTCTATGTCACTAGAGTGAGGGGTGACGCAAAGTCTCTGGATAAAGAGAGCGAAAACTGAAAAATACCTACATTGTAATTTTCTTGCGTGGACATCTTTACTATTTATTGTTTTGTTCTAAACTTGGCACTCACCGGTTGGGAGGCGTGGTCATATTGTCTAAATGCTCAAAGTCCATCCCGGACAAAGGATATCCTGTCATCACCCAGCCATTATCAATGCAGTCCTGTAATAATCAAAATCAATAAATAATGAATGAATGAAAACTCTTTATTGTTCCTCTCACAGAAAGATATAACGATTACATAAATTAATATGTACATCAAATATAAAAAGAAAAACAACATAATTATAATATAGAGATAACAATGGGCGGCCTTATCGCTAAATAGCTATTTCATCCAGGCAACCTTAGGATGGAGAGGAGTGATTAGACTATGTCTGGTCGGGGTATAACAATTAGTTATTGGATGTACAATTTACATATCATATACACATACATATAACTACATAATAATCATTATATACAAAATATACATACATACACCTATATATACATATAAATAAATAAATAATCTATACATATAAATAAAATTGTAGTGTCTGTTTGTAATATTGAAATAACCGTTTTTTACTACATGCATATGAATATAAATACGGTACATATACCAAAAAAACATTTTTTACAATTTTTCTGTCTGTCTATCTGTTTGTTCCGGCTAATCTCTGAAATTTTTGACGGGACTTTTTTTTGGATGTAATAAGAATATGGATAAAACAGAATTTCCTTACTTGCTGCCTAAATCCATCTATGTAACCATTTTTCTAAAATAAAGTTAAATTCCACGCGGACTAAGTCACGGGTACAGATAGTTATATAATAGGACTAATAAGGACTGGTTACATAGATAGATTTAAGCAGCAAGTAAGGAAATTCTGTTTTATCCCTATACCTCTGGAGATTTAACTTCTGCTATGCGAATATTTAATTCTTTACATAGATACTTACATACTTAAGGATGAGTTTGGTATAATAATAATAATAATTTTACTAAGATCACAGATAAGATAATATTACATACTAATAGGAACAACGATATTCGTCCTGATTTCAGTCGGTTTGAAAAACATGTGGGTACAAAATATGACGATGATGTTGTTAGCCGTTTTTTAAATAATATTTTTTATGTTTGATATTCATTATTATAACCTTTTTCAAAAGACGTCGTTTCACTATATCCGCTTTCAGCTGCACGCTGGGCCCGTAGCTACGCAACTTCTCGCCTATTTCGTCCATTTTCTCGCGAGCTTCAGCCAGTAGGACGGCGAAATTCACTAATATTGATAAACAATTAGTTTTAATGTAGTACAGATACTAACATTGGATACCAAGATAATTACTTACGTCACATATAACAGAATATTAAATACTTAAATATAAATAGGTGTTAATATAATCTAGAGTTTAGGAGAATATTTTTAGACGATTACAGAAATGCCACTCCATTTCTGTACACATAAACACAACACTATATGTCGACACGACATATAGTGTTGTTTGCCGACATCTTATTTGATGATTCTTTTAGATATCGATATTTACTACTGCCTTAAATGACCACTTAATAGTCACAGTTACCGGCAGTAGTTGTCGTTATTTAACAGATTCCGCTCCTCAATACTTATACACAATTTCTCTGCAATATACTTGTTTACTTATATTGTAGGTACTAAGCCAACAATTCTGTCTATTGGTGTTGAACTATATGGTATATCCATACATTAACATACACTTAAACTACTGAAGATATACTTTTGAAATTGGACTAGCGCTTCCGTTAATTGTACCACAGAACAATACAAAATTTGCGATCCCAATACTAATGTAGATTAAAAAATAATTAGTGTGTATATTCTTTATAACATTAAATATTTATAACTGTATCCGCTAACAATAAATGAGTCCAAAATGCTTAGCCAGCGTGACCGCTTGCGTTCTGCTGCCTGCACCTCTTGGCCCGATAAGCAGCACCCGGTACACGCCCGGAGCCCCCACCACGTGGAGTCCCTGCCTCGGACCCTGCAGTCCTGCTGTGCAGGTGTTTATCGCATTGAAGCATTTTATTGCAATCTTATCCGGGTCGTCGTCTTTATCAATGTGGACCTCCTGTTACATATAATACATTCTAAGACATAATCAGCATTAGCCGTAACGAGGGAGAGCAGAGGAGGCCATAGTCCCTGGTGGCCTATTAAAAAGGACGGCACACTGTAGGCACCGCGTTTGTTTTAAGTTGAATTCAAATTCATGAAACAAAACATTAAAAAAAACAGCAATTAAAAAAATTAAAGAATAATAAAATGGCAGCTAATTTCCGATTTGCCCCAGGCGGGAAAAGAGTTGGAATGACCACCTGTCTTTACTGATGAGCGTGGTTATTATACAGTCCATGGTATTGATTTTATGGATGATAATGATGCAACCGCCTGCACTATTATGTTTACGCTGGCGGGGCACCAGTAGATGATGATGGGATAAGCATGAGCTCAGGTCAGTTAACCCATCGTGGTAAATTCACCATGAATTTATCACGATGGTTTCCAGTGTGACATCGTACATTGCTCAATTACATGAGTCAATAAATCGCGAGCTGACCGACTAATTCATATCCTCAGTCAGAATTTCTGTTTCAGACTGTCGTACAGAAAAAATCTTATATACATACAAATACAATAATATTAAATGTTTGACTAACTTTAAGCGATGCTTCATAAGCAAACTTGAGACCTTCGAAATCCTGCTGAAAAAAGTTTCTATATGGAGTGCGAGGGTCGTCAGCCGGAGGCGCGTATGGTGGAGTCGGCATCAGCACTAGGGTGACCTTTGGCAGCACGCCGTCCTGTTGCAGGCAACGCGCCTCGCGCACTGTACAGGGGTGATCTACGTAACAGTCAAATAAAACATTTAAAAGATCATTATATTATTACACCAACTACTTATTTAATTTATTTTTTTGTATGTATGTATTTTTTTCTTACTAAATATTTTACAGAGACCGTTATGATTGTTATCCCAGATAGTTAGTGCCATTGTCAATTACGGTCATACGGTTCTGCCCTGATTGTCTCGGTTTTAAAAGAAATCCTTGTATATAAATATGTATTCAATTTTTTTATTGAGAGGAAAGGTATAATAAAAACATTCTGTATTCAGGAAAATTTCATTATGACTGCGAAATTGTCACGTTATCTTGACCAGAGACGTATAAACTAGTTTCACAATTATTTAAAGAGAATAAACTATTGCTTTTCGAATTTTTCATTTTAAATGCATAAATATATATGTTCTAAATACTTTGGAGTAAAATAAAATAATTGAGTACCTTTATTTTATAGATTTTTTTTTTTTAAGTAACATTAGAACCATCCGGTACCTAACAGATGTAAGGTAATTGCGCCTATTGGCAGTCTGCGCTTAAACTTGTCTTCTTAAAGTCTATAAATAATGTCTTGTGTACTGTTGTCTATGGGTACGTAATCTCCTGTTTGTTTATTAATAGGTATTAGTGTTGTAAGATAGTTACTACCCTAACATACTTCCAAAACAAAAATATCTTACAAGTTGCATATTGTCGGAATTTTGCATGTATCAGAATTATAGGCGCTAAGAAAAAATATATTGTTCTCTACACTTGATAATTGAATTGATACGTACCAAACATCAGCCATCCAACGTTAGGTACTGGGTCCTTCATGGTCATTGTTTTCGTCACCTCGGAGAGGAGTGCTGGCGACACACATCCTGGCACGTAGTTATCATGCTAAATCATACGTGACAACTATATGTTTTGATAACCCACGAGCAGAAATAGCAAAATATAATTTCAAAATTTAGTTCTATCGATCCAATCTTGATGTTAGGAAATAAAATATATTTATATCAGACCTCCAGCACAGATAATACAAGCTCCGCTTAGCATGGGAAAAAATGGCGAGTGAATTGTCCGGGGTTATTATAATGATAATTATTATTTACATTTCTTCTATAATCGAACCTTTTCGTAACGATCCATTAGACAGCGACGTGTGATAACGAAGAAACCAACGTCTTTTATCATATCTTTCACTAGTCTTTTGATATCTAAAAATCAAAATATTGCATATAATTATTTATTTATTTATTTAAACTTTATTGACCAATAAATTATGGTACAAAAGGCGGACTTAATGCTATAGGAATTCTCTACCAGTCAACCTTCAGTAATACTTGATGGTGGCTTAACATTAATTATATAAATAACATATATACAAATATTAGACTAAACTAAAACTAAACAAGAATAGAATACACACGAATATTATAACATATATACACAACATACATACAATCTGTATATTATTTGTGAATCATTCTTTGTAATCAATTACATTATAACATATCTGACTGTGAACGCAATACTTGACATACCCTCAGTTCGCTGGGTACCTATGTAAAATTCCGCATCACAGTATTTGAAACAAAATTTCTCAGATACGGCTCCATCTATTCTTATAAAATCTTTTGTATATATTCATTAGATCTGAGAAAAGGACGTAAACTATTTTACATACCCCTAACTAATAATACTACTACCTAATAATACTACCTATTTTTTACCTAGATTTTACCCTATATACCCTACCTATTTTGTCTATCCTATTTTTTTTTTATGATTTGTCAATAAAAAATACATACAACATTATACATTCACCACTCTACCATCAACCCCTATTTTTTAACTGCGATATTAGAATTTTAATCATTTTTACTTTCGGCGGTCGATGATGATTAATTTATATGGCAATACAACGCTTGCCTGGTCTACCGCATATCCCGCCCATATACTTGTATGTATAAAAAGTCTTATTTTTTATTACTATCCAATTCTTATTATTTTAGGTAAATATCAATATAATTTCAATATGGCGCACCTATCTTAAGTTTAGGCGAGACAAGTAGTATAACTCTATCAGGCTCCTTGTTGCAGTGGGCGTGATGAGTGAGGAACACCTTCATGTGTTTCAAGTGGTCCTTAGGCAAGTTGATGACTACATCTCTTACTATGTCCTAAAACATTAAAAAGTATTTCTAAAGTATGTCTAAGTATTCCTGTTCTGTACTGGACAGTACAGGGTTGGAGATTTTTTACTTATCTGGAACCTTTTCGAAAGAAGTTATATAGAAGCAGAATAAAAAAAATATAATATGTATATATATTGGTATGGTAGTAACCGGTATCGTTTTAAAACTAAGTCTTTGTCGGGAGTTATTATAAACACGTCCAACTCAAAGCAAATGTGTGTATTTATGTTTGTCTCTCTTTTCTCTCTCTCTTTTACCCATAAACTATTGAACTCGTAGATCAGAATAACGTATAGCCTATAACGCTATTGAATAAATTGTCCAAAAATTGTAATAATAAATTCACGTAAGTTGGAAAATATTTCTCATTTGCTAACCATTCTAGAGTTGAAAAACCATAAGAATAACAAGAATATAATGTGTGGTGGAAATGTTTCTCTTAAATACATATATAGAAAGTTCATGATAGCATATACTTATCATTTTAAGTAGCTACTAACCTTAAAAAGAAAATAAACTCTGTGTTTCTCGAGGTAAGGCAGAAATTTCTCAGGCATTGTAAGAGGTCTCTTTGTTGCATCGGTCTCGGTCATTTCAGAATAATTGGTAGAAATTTGGAGTAAATTAAACAACAATGTTAAGAATAATAACAGAAGTAATAGCTGTTAACTGAAAGAATCTATTAAAATAAGAAAATGGTTTTTTGATTGACACTTGTCATTATACATACATTATATGTCCAAATTATGTATCTTGCCAGTGTTGTTGATGAGTATTTTTAGATATCCTTTATTAATTTACAATTGATACACTTTAGTACAATTTGTTAAACGATAGGTACACAATAGATGGAGAATGTTGTTCTAGGTCACAATGTCGTATAATCTATAGTGGCAGCCAGTTGACTGTCATTGTCACTGGCTGTCAAATACACGTGATGTGTTCGTTTGATTGGTTGGCTGCCACGATGATTTTTAGGTTATATCTTTGTTTTGTTTTGATTTTAAGAAATTACGTTTGAATATCGTTCGTAACCGGTTTTGTGTAGATTCAGTTAATGACGACATATTGATGATTCTGATAATAGGGTCAAATGTCGATAAATTGACATACGGGAAGGAGTCACTCGTTTATGAACGAACTTCAATCAACAGCCATTCGCGACAGCCTGCCAGTCGTTGTTTTTTTTTGCTATAATAATTAATTGCTTTGGTAGTAGGTAAGCAGCTAAGTACTACGCTGTACAGATATAAAACCTTGACCTCGAACTCTAAATTGGCCGATGTTTAGCGTCGGTGGAAATCGTAGTTTAGCACAATTAGTTCGACTATCTGCCAGAATGGGCTCCAGTAAATCATATGAAGTAAGTTTAATACTTTTCATTTATTTTTCGCATACTTATTTTACATTTATATCTATAGAGTAAATAACATACAACATTTTTTACAATAGAGAGTAATGCCAAGGCAAAATAAGAACACAAAAACTATTACTGTTTTATATTAAAATAAAAACTGGTAAAAAAAATTAATCCCTTTTAAATTTAAATTGACAACACCCCTATAAAGTACAGTTGCATTCCTATTTTTGACATCACATGATCATGAAAAGAAAATTATCTTTCTAGGATGCTGTAGAAAAGTTGAATTCTCTGCAGTCAAATAGAGCAACATTGGATCAAATAAGGAAAAATATTAAGGCAGGACATGTAAGTATGATCTACTTACAACTTTATCTATACATTTGTAAAACTTGGAAGTGTATATTATTATTATTACTTATTAAAATTTAAGTAACATCTTGCAATTGTCATACAATAATGTAAAAAGGTTCCTAAAGTGTAAAAGATCTGTTGGGTACATCCAATGTACCTAAAAGTGAGCAAATTTGCAACATCAATTTGTGACTTAAAATGGATTAGTTATTTTACAGCTGTTGACAAAATTGCACTTCATTAGATGTTTATTATTATATTATAAGTAAAATAAAATACTTTAAAGATTTCATGCAGTAAGGGCAATTAAAGTGCTGGCTAATGTTTTAATGAATAAATAATTTTTCATAAAATATATTTTATTTATGAAAAGTTTTTTTGTTAATTTGGATTCAGTCAGTATATAACACTTGGTGATGAATAGGCAATGTAAATTGAATATGTTAAATGATATACAGGCATAAAATATTTGTCAGATTAATTTTATTGGGGTGGTCTACTTTAATATTGGAGGACACCAGGAGGTAGATGTTTATAATAATATTTCACACTACGCTTTTAGAGATGTACAAATTTAGAAGATATGGAGAACTACCTCAGAAGAACTGGTGTGTCACTATCCAAACTGGATGAACTGTCTGTGATACATGTAGCAGGGACTAAAGGTAAGGTAAGTTGCTAGAAATACATTTAAAAGAAAGAAACTCTTATAAAGTCAATGATTAAAAATGAAATTTTGTATGTAATTTCTTAATCTGACATATACATATAAATAGATAGATAAAACATTTGAATTCTTACAAGTATAGCCATTCAATAAGAATTGATTTTGGTGAGTTTTGTAAGATAACACATTTTTATCTACATATTTATATTTATTTTATTATAGTAATTAGTATTATTACAATAGTAATAATACTAATTACTATAATAATAATATATTACTTTTTATAATAGTATTAAGGGTGAAAAACAAAAATGTTGGTATTTAGAATTTATTTAGAATAATCTTTCTTTAAAAGTGTTCTTAAGTGAATACTAGAGATTTTTTGTTGAGGGGCAGTGCCCATACTAAGTTTTAGAACATCTGGTGTACAATAACACTCAGTAATGATATCATTGACAAATGTCTCAGTAGTTATAAATACACATGCACTACTTACCTAATTATTTCAGAGCAATATGTACAACTGCAGTGTAGATATCATTATCAATTGTTCAGTATAGCGTGTTTTAAACTATGTACTGAAGTTCAAATCAAATGAAAAATAATTTATTCATGTACATTTTAGCCGCTCATGAACATCAAATGTTTTGTATTATAATTTTTTTCATACAGTTTAGTATACAGATTCAATCGAGAAGAACTGATAAAAAACTACTAAAATTCTTTTTTTTTTAAATCATCCTGTTTAATTTTTTGGCTGTTGCACGCAAGTCCTCCCGGTCGAGTGGGGGAAACTGAGACATGCATGATTGTATTGTATTGGCTTAGGTTTCGAAAAACATTGCATTATTCGGAACGCAATCAAATGTAAGGTGGTACAACTGAAACTATCTACTGTAAAAATAGATTAAAAAAAACCCATGTAGAATAGTGTCCCTATTACGCTAACGATATACGCTGGTAAGGCATTAGTGGGAGATGATAAGATGACCATGAGGTCAGGTCAGTTAGCCCATAGTGATAAATTCATCTGGTTTTTTTTATTATAATGGTATTCATTTATCATAATGGTTTCCATCGCGAACCGTGTGGATGTCTAACTGGTACATTGTTAGCAGTGAGGTCAACAATATACACCTACTTATAAAACTAGATGCATAAATGTATGTATGTAAATTCAGGGTTCAACATGCGCGATGTGCCAATCTATATTGCGTCATCACGGGTTCCGCACAGGGTTCTACTCGTCGCCACACCTGGTCGTCGTCCGTGAAAGGATACGAGTCGACGGTCGCGTCATCAGCAAGGCGAATTTCGCTGAACATTTTCATAGGGTTTATGATATGTTGGATGCAACTAAGGTAACTGTCACATAAACATTACTAGCTGAACCAGCAAACGTTGTTTTGGCATATAAATTGATCAGTTATCGACCACCGAGAGTAGAACATTATTAAAATAATATCTATATACAGTGGACCCGCGGTAATCCGGCCCCTGTCTAATCCGGCCCCCCTTGTAATCCGACATTGTCTATTATTTGTTATTGAATATTACTTTGACAATATATTTCAGAGTGCATATACATACATACATATATAACATAGAATCTTATCACTGGATCTGTAATTTGTCGGATTACAAGATACTCTTTTGTAAAAAATTCCGGACTTAAGCAGCACTCTATAATCCGACAAATACGATGGTCCGACACTGCCCTGCAAAACGTTTGTCGGATAACCGGGGGTCCACTGTAATTGATTAACAGTGTAACAAGGATATTACACTGGCATTCAATTAAATTTCAGATCTACGTTCATACAATTTGGCATAATCGGACATCATTTAAAGGATCACTTCATAATTTTTTTAACTATAAGAAAACATGCACCGTGGTCGTTAATTTATGCTATTTTTTATTAGAAAATATAAATTACCTAAATACATTTGTTAAATTAAAAAAAAATTACTACAATTGCCAAATATTTTTATACTTAGTATATTATATCAATAAATAATGTAAATCACCTCTTTACAGCAGTTTGAGAGTCTTACATTATCAGAGACATTCGAAAAGTTTAATAAAACAAAAACATCCGTCTTATTAATTTTTAACAGGTGTATGTTAACATAAATGTTACCAAGTTAGCGAAATATTAGACTAGTTTACTAAATTTATAAAGTGTATTTGATGAGAGACTACAATCAACTAGAGTGATACCAATTCAATAATACCAATCTGCATGGCACATTTGTATATGAAGTATAATTGATGAATACAGTATCTATTCGAGAATAAATTATCAGTAATGAAAACTAAACAAGAAAATAAAAAAACAACATGGACTTTGCCGGATTATAAAACACAAAATAAAATTCACCAAATTATAGTTAATTTTAATACAAAACCTTGGACAAATGTTTAAGTTCTGAACAAAATTAGCTTTCCATCTGATCACAGGATTATCAGATGCTCTTTGGAAATTCAAAAACCTAAAACTAGCCTGAGAACATATTAAAGTCCATACAATTATAAACAAATTTTTTGCATTAACTATCACTAATCCATAAATTCCTGAGCAATATAGGAATCTACAATCTTTCAGTGATAGATTAGAAGAAGCAATCACTTAAAGTCTCAAAATTGATGATAATGTTCATAATAAATAAATAAAATAAAAATAGCTAATAGTCTTATTGTATTTATACAAATACATTTATAAATGTTTAAGTATAAATTTTCTCTTTGTTTGGAATGTCAATAAAACTATATTATTTATTTATCAATCTATTTAATTTTATAGCATATTGTATATTATATGGTCGTAATGAATATTTTCAGGAATATGAGGGGGACATGCCCGGATACTTCGCGTTTCTAACAGTAATGGCGTTCAACACGTTCCTCCAGGAGAAAGTGGACGTGGCGATCATAGAAGTGGGCATCGGGGGCGTCGTTGACTACACCAATATATTGAGGTCAGTTTATCTTACTTATCTCCACGGCCTCGGTTGTCTAGTGTTTTAGAATATCGCCTTACTTCCGATGGTCGCGGGTTCAATTACTCGCACGGTGCAAACATTTGCATTCATACGTATGATTGTATCAGTCTGAGTGTGTGCTATGTTATATTATGTATGTATTTAATAAATAAAAAGTATTACATATATATATTAGTTGTCTAATACCCACAACACAAGCTCAGTTTAGTTTGGAAATAGATGGCGCTCTGTGAAAAAAATAATATGACTATTCAAACATTCAAAGCCGTGTAAGTATATGAAATATATTTGAATAAAGATTATTTCTATAATGAAGGTGTAATAAATAATAATAACAAATGACCCTGGACAATTAACACAGCGCTATCTAATGCCACAGTAAGCAGAGCTTGTATCATGGCTACTAGACTGATAGAAACTGATAGAAATACTTAGATGTTTTTTGTTTTAATTACATAGAAAACACCCAAACTGATAGAAATACTTAGATGTTTTTTTTGTAAATACCTAAATAATATACATAGAAAACACCCAGATCGATACAGTACTCATGAGATCAGATCTCAGATCATACTCATGAAAACAAATGTTTGCACCGTGGGTGAATCGAATCCGCGACCATCAGAAGTCAGGCGGTGTGCTAAACCTCTAGTCCATGGAGGAGGTAATACATCTTAAGTTTATGCTAATGAAGATTATTTCTATATGAATGTGTACAGGGGCGAATCTACGTACGGGCTTTATGGGCTGTAGCCCAGGGCCCCGTGGATACAAAGGGCCCCCAGTCCCCACTGAAAATGATAGGCGATATTTAGATTAAAAAAATCTATAAGATAAAAAAACCTATTACAAGGTTGACAACCCTGAAAGTAACCAACCCATGGATGTGCACGTCTATGGAACGGAACGGGAAATTCCCTGTCGCTTTTGGTCTGTGTATTTCTTTAGTTGAGTAATATAATTGGTAGGCTCGTAAGTTTTCGCCCAGGACCCACAAATTCACGACCCTGAATGTGTAGGAAGGTGCCAGTGGTTGGTATAACAGCTCTGGGAATCGATCACACCGCGCTATTAGGGGAAACGCTCCCGCAGATAGCGGCCGCTAAAGCTGGCATCATGAAGCCCGACTGCGAGGCGTACACGGTGCCACAGCCGCCAGAAGCTATGCAAGTACTCCGGCAGGTCGCTACAGATTTGAAGGTTTGTAATTCATATCGTAATAAATTACTGTTATAGAGTGAAAACTAAATATAAAACAAATGGGATAAGGAAAAAGCAGATGATGATTGCACTTATATTGTAACTGTATATTTTATATAAGACTAGCTGACCCCGCCAACGTTGTTTTGCCATATAAATTATAATCGCTATTAAAAAATATGGGTTGGTGATAGAAGGGTGAAAATTTAGGGTTGTACCTATTTTTTAATGCCACATTATATAAAATAATAAAATATTATCCAATAAATAAAATAAAAATTAGGGGTGGACAACCCTTATCACTTAGGGGTATGAAAAATTGATAGTGGCCGATTCTCAGACCTACTGAATATGCATATAAAATTTCATAAAAATCGATCCAGCCATTTCGGAGGAGTATGGTAACTAATATTGTGACACGAGAATTTTTATATATTGTAAATCTACTAGTTGTGTGACTTGTCAATTCATCTCAACTGAAGTAGCTAGACAGAAAGGGACATTAGTGATAGTAATAAAAATGGCGACTGTCAAAATAATAGTCGAAAGTCTTCCTATATGAATAAATATTTTTCTTCTTTGACTACAGTCACCCGTACACGAATCTAAACTAATATTATAAAGCCGAAGAGTTTGTTTGTTTGAACGCGTTAATCTCAGGAACTACTGGTTCGAATTGAAAAATACTTTTTGTGTTGGATAGTCCATTTGTCGAGGAAGGCTATATAACATTGCACTATGACCAATAAGGGCGGAGCTGCAAAAAATATTGCAAAAAGGGGTATGAAAAGCAGATGAAATGTGCGTATCAGCTAGTGTGTAATATATTATGAAACAATTTTTTCCAGTGTCCACTCCACGTCGTTCCGGATTACGACGCATACAAATTCCCAAACGGCACGAAAGCACACCTGCAAGTAAATCTCGCAACTTACCAGAGCAACGCATCGCTCGCCATCCAACTGTCCAACGCGTGGATGCGACTCAAACGACAGACCAAACAAAATGTGTCAAGCAAAACGAAAACTGCACAGAGTATTGAAAGTCCTCGACCTGATACAGAGCAAAGCAATGTCGATAGTAACGGCCTGGTATTAAACGTGCCGTATAACTCGGCAGTTGGACTCCAGGAGTGCAGGTCAGTGATGTGAAGGTTTATTGATAATGAAGAATCGTTTGGATTACTGTTCTACCTAAATAATTACAAAAGGAAACCTTTTGTTGCCAGTAAAAATAATAGTGCTATTTTATAGTTAAAAATACCTTAGGCTATCTATCTAAACTTTTTTTTAATGTATGATAATGGAATGATACTCCCGACTGCGCTAACGGTTTACGCTGGCGGGGCACCAGTGGATGATGATATGATGAGCAATAGGTCAGGTCAGTCAGCCCATCGAGACATATTCACCAAGAATTTATCACGATGGTTTCCAGGGGGAACCGCGTGGAGGTCAACCTGACATGGTACATTGCTAGCAATAAGACCACATTACTAACAATCCCCTTTCCCCCCGGATGACAATATTAAAGTGAGGTTAAGTCAGTTAGCCCCTCGTGGCAATGTTCACCAGGAATTTGTAACGATGGTTTCCAGGGGAACTGCGTGGAGGTCAACCTAACATGGTACATTGTTAGCAATAATCCACATTACTAACAATCGAATATTGGCAGGTGGGCGGGCCGTTATCAAACTGTGGAGTCGCGGTACGCTCGGTACCATCTAGACGGCGCCCACACCAAGGAGTCCATGGAAATATGCTCGGCTTGGTTCCATCAGTGTGACAGGTAGCTACGATTAAAAAGTCAATTGTTTTTATGAGTGAAGAAATAGAAATAATCTTTATTCAAATAAACTCATTATAAGCACTTTTGAAATGACTATTCAAAAGTGCTTGTAATGAGTTTATTTCGATTCTACCACAAGAAGAATGAGCAAGAAACTTGTGTATTGCTCTTATAAATATATGTTTTTTTATATAAATAATTACAGTATAACAAGAAAGAGACATACGATAATCAACATAGAAATCTCTACGCACTCATCAGTGTAGTCAGATAATATTGTCAGTGCTATGGATTTAAAGTTTTTCTATAAAAACATTGTTATCGTTAACGAATTCTTCAATTTTATAGTAAGCTTTTTTGCAAAGGAACTGTTTTATTTGACATTTAAATCTTTTTTTTGGCAGATTTATAACAGACTCTGGTATTTTATTCTAAAACCTTACGCAATTGCCATAAAACGAATTACTAACTTTAGCCAAACGACATTTAGGTAAAATCAGTTTGTTATTGTTACATAAGCTTTTATTGGTGCAAACACTAACTCTTTTGAAACTGTCTATATTCTTCCTGGCATACATGATATTTTCATAAATATATTGAGAAGCAACGGTGACGATATTTGATTCCTTAAAGCACTCTCGTAAAAAAGAAGAACTGTATATATATTGGGCTGGTAATTAAAATTATGCGAAGACGATTTTTAGAAAGGAATAGTATAATTGTACGTACAATAATAAAATAAGAAATGACATACAACATATTTCTATCTTAATCCTAACAATATTATAAATGCGGAAGTTTGTGAGTATGGATGTTTGCTACGCTCACGCAAAAACTACTCAAGAAATTTTTGATGAAACTTTACAGTAATATAGCTTATGGCTTATGCATCAGAATAACACATAGATTATGAAACTATATTTTTTTTTAGATACAACGACATCGTGCTGTTATTCAGCTCGACGGGAGATAGGAACCCTGAATGTTTACTGCGACCGCTGCTAGATATCAACTTCAAACGAGTTTACTTCGTCGTACCGACAGCTTATAGGGAGACAAGTAAAAATAACGACAATTACTCGCCGGCCGCGCACAGCGACTTATTAGCGAGGTGTCACGCGAACGCAGACGTCTGGAAACAGTACAACAGTTCACCGGTGAGCTATAGATATTAATATAATATATAGTATACGATTTATGGCCTCGATGGTCTAGCGGTTTAGCACGCCGTCTTACTTTCGATGGTCGCGGGTTCGATTCCTCGCACAGCAAAAACATTTGTATTCACGAGTATGATTGTTTATATCGGTCTGGGTGTTTTCTATGTATTTCAAAAATAATATATGTATCTGTATTAGTCATCTAGTACTCATAACACAAGCTTCAGCCAACTCAACTTGGGTCTAGATGACGCTATGTAAATTGTCCTAATATTATTATTATTTATATAGTATTCACAGTTTAGTATGTATGTACATGGAGAGATGTATTTGAATAAATTGTGTTTCTAAATTATTTCTAAAAAATAAAACCAGTTCTTGTTATACAGGTAACTGTTCTTGAATGTGTAGCGGACGCGATGGTAAGTATCAAGAGAGAGAACGCCGGGTTACGTAAATCGTCTGTGCTTGTAACAGGGTCTTTATATTTAGTAGGCGCCACGTTATCCATATTGTTTCCCATTAAGTAGTCTGGCGACTCCTATCATGGTTCAGAGCGACGAATATGGTTTTGCGTCTCAAAAAATGTAGAAAAAAATTACAATATAAACCACGCTTTGTTTGTACATGTGAAAAACAACTGTGATACATTTCTGCTTTTGTTACTGCTACTTAATATGCTTAAGATTCTCGTCGGACGAGGGTTGATATGATTATTCCAATCAGTCGTCCTTTTCATGTGGCTGTGACCTCATAGGATTCACCGGCTTCATTTATTAACTAAAACGATATGGTTTTCCTGCGTTTATATATTATTTTGTGTTTATTTTAATGACATAGTCATATATGAAAAACTATTTTTTCTTTCGCAGAAAGGATTAATTTTTAAATGCATTGCTTGCTTTATTCTCTCAAATAAGTATTGTCTAAGAATAAACCCTACAATGAGCCAAGACGTCAAAGAACATATGCACAGGAACTAAGTTTTTTATACAAAAATGTAAAACAATTGTTTATTTTTCCTCAAATTTAATTTAGGTTTAATCTAAAAATTTTGCATATTTTATCTACGTATATTTCCTTATATAAAATATACAAATTATATCTTATATAGATATCTTAAGGATATTATTCGTTCGTAAGTTAAATATGTAGAAGTCATTTCGAATATTTTTTGTAAGATGTTCTTGTATGGTGTAATAATGTAATGTTAGGCATATACGAATGACTAACTAGAATTTACAATTTTGTTAATAGATTTTAAATAAGAACAACAGTTAAGTACTAACCATTTCTTCTGAACTAGGATAAAACAACCGATATACTTAAATGTCTAAAATGTCCTATGAACAAACTCTTCGAGCGAACGAGTTCGAGCTTTAAGATGCTGTAAACCAGTGTACGAATTTATTTGTTAAATTGTATCTACGTTTAACGTAAGTAAGTTATAAGTTAATTATTAAGTTGTTTGACCAATTAACTTCTCTACTTAGGTAAAAAATTGCAATTGTATTAAATTGTTTACAATTTGACCTCTTTCGATGTTTCGACTAGGTCTGCTGGTGACCACGGCTAATGCAACCTAGTCGAAACATCGAGAAAGATATTATAACTTAACCTTTGTTTACCATAAAATTATTAGTGTTAAGACCCGGTTCACGATATGAATGTGTATTAAACACGAAAGTTTAAAAACCAACTCGAATGTTCCTAGTCAGTCTCAGGAAACAAAAGAATTATATTTTTGATACTTATTAATTTTTTTTATGTTATGTCGTTATATTAGTATTTAAGATAGTTATACTATGTTAAGTATTTCTCTATAGGAACTCTGGAATAAAGATATATACAATAATTTTATATTACGGTATGATTGCATCGGTCTGGGTGTTATCTGTAATATATATTATGTATCTATCTATTTAAAAAAAAACCTATATTGTCTAGTACCCATAACACAAACTCTGCTTACTTTGGGGGACTAGATGGCGTTGTATGAATTTTCCATGGATATTATTATTTTATAATTAGTTTTATGGTGTGTGGGTGTGTTACATAATATTAGCATTTAACAGCCAGTTCATCTGTAGTGATTTGAAATAGTGGGTGTATACGTCGTCTAAGTAAATACCAATACGCAGAAACAAACACGATGAAAATTGACAGTAGCGTATTTATTCAACATAAAATTAATCGTGTTAAACTCGTTTCACTATATTAATAATGTGTAACAAAGGCGAAAGTTTATAAATAAGTAGTGCGGAATGAATCAGTTGTGATATGTCTCGATAGAATAAGGTAAACTATTAAACTATCTAAAAAAGTCGAATTGAGTTGACTATTCTTCTATCCAGTCGTAAAATATTTATTTAATAGGGGCTTTGCATTTATTGTATATAGCTACATATGTGAAATGTATCTATACAGGGTGTCCCAGAACTCAACGTCAAGCCGAAACGGGGTGACAGGATTGATTGTAACCATTATGAGAAAAAGTTCTGGGACCTAACCTAAGTTCTGGGACATCCTGTATAGGGTTTACCTACATTGCAAATGTGTAATTATATTTTTCACGTTATATATACCACCTGTACATGTATAACACTGTATTATAGAGCGCAGGCGATTTGTAATGCGTAGCTAATACGTTGTTGAAAATAACAAAGAATTGTAATTTATTAACCTAATGATGACATATATGGTGTATGAAAGTAACATATTTTACGTATGCGTATTAAGTATATTCTGAACACAAACGCTTATTATTACTATTATTAATAGCTTATTTCTTGTTTTTTAAATTTAGGCAGTAACCAAATAAAACCCGTATTAGAGAAAACGTAAAAATAAACTTTATTGCATTAAAACATAACTTTCATTAATCAGTTTTCATTAAATAAGGAGTTATCGTATAATAAATATTATTATCATTAGTTAAAGTTATAGGAGGTCGGGTATAGTTTGCATTAGTTGTTCGGGCTGGTCCGTCACCGATCGCCCGCGGGTGTCGCTAGCGTCGCGGGGTGTGTCGGAGCGGGGGACACGGCCCGACACGCGCCGACACACTCCGACACGCTGCGACACACTGCGACACCCGTCGACACACTCCTACACGCACCGACACGCCCACGCGCTCGCCCAGCGACGGGCCGCGGCCACTGCGCGCGCCACACGAAAATAATCATTTTGGAATGTTACTCGAGGTCTTCGTTTCTGCGGCAAACAAACATTTTATTCTATTAAAATGTTAGTTGGAACTGGATGGTTCCATCGGCGGACTACCGTTGCACCACTATCCACACTGCTCATAAGATGATGTGCCACAGCATTGGGAAAACACGTGGTTTCGTTTACTTGCAAAAGCAATAAGATTTGTTTAATGCTGCTACGTTTAAACTAATGATTTTTTTTAAAAAAACCCGACTTAATATAAAATTGGGACCAATCTGAAAGTGAACCCTTACAAATAAAAAAAAATATTTTCAAATGGGCTTATAAATAACGGAGTTATGAAGAGACATAAAAAAATAACCGAATTGAGAATATCCTCCTCCGTTTTTGGAGTCGGTTAAAAATAGTAACATATATCTTTACTATGACGTTTGATGGGAAAGCATATGGCATGACTGTGATACTACTGTGTGCCACGAGGGGTGACTAAATATGGATTTGTTGTAATCGAGCATACATAAATTACTAGTTCAGTGTGGATAGCGCTTACATAGCGAATACATATGGCGATAGATCTGACAGTGTCTGTAATAGATCTACATGAATAAATATAATTTGACTTAATACGTACTTAATGTCTAGCTAAATAAATGTACTGTGAGATTGATTTCGATTAATTAGATGTAGAGTTATGATATACGTTACACAAATCCGATGTTGCCGCAAATCCATTATTGTATTTAGCGATAGGACTCGGTTACATGCAGGATAAGCAAGAAAAAAGGCCAATCGTTGTCTTAATTATTATTTATTTACTGGTATTTACCGATACAGAAACTAAATAATATATACTGTGGCGTGGTCGACGCTAAATGTACACGTGTGCCCACGGTTATAGAGCGGATATAAAAATAAAAAGGTACATAAGCCTACGTCATACATATATGAGCTACAATACATCTTACTAACCAGTGTCCAACAAAACTACAACATTTAATTTTACAAACTTCTCACCCAATTCTTGTTACTATGCATTGAACAAACTGGCTGATCTTAATATGACATTTGGCTGTTTTACTGTGAAATATTACGGTGTGGTAAATGGTGTGAATTATTACAACTTTGTTGCTCTTTTACTTATGTTAAAGTTCGATATTGTGTACATGAGAATAAATTCGTGTTATGAAGTTAAGGAAATAAAGTATTTTTTTAATGAATAATATTTTGTTTTTTTATTTTGTATCCCTCTATATACTGTTTCCTAATGTATTACACATGCCAAACTATAGAGATAATCACAAATTGAATAAGCTGAAATTTTGCACTAATGAATAGTTTACAATATTGGAATCTAGTCTGTAAAGTCAGTATAAAAATATAACTCTAAACTTGAAAGAGAATGGTAGTCGAAATTATCCTAAGTTTAACTTCTTCAGTATTCACGATTGACTTTTTTTACGATAGTATAAGCATGTGGATTGTGCCTTCAAATATTGTTATTGATTTAGTTAGGTAGTTAATTTAACAATCTAACTTAACTTTTTAAGCGTGGTTTGGTTAAGTTCACGGTAAGTAGGATAGTGATCTTGTTGTAAAAGGATATTAAGGGCTGACACTAATAAACAGTAAGCATTCTCTTGGAAAAGTTCAATCCAATTAATCGATCGGCATAAAAATTGTGATATCACATATTTCGTACGTGTTAAATTGTATAGACAACATATATAATTGGATTGCATTGGAATCGATATTGACATTAGATTCCAAGAGTAGATCTACCCCCTTTTATATGGTGATAGTAACAGCTCGAATGATTTACATGCTCAAGATCAGTTTGGAAAGTGAAAAGCAAGAGATGTAACAAAACAGACTGGCGGCCATATAGTTTCTTATATTTGGCTGTCATAAGAGAAAGATTCAGACCAATTAGTAATAAACAAGTGTTAATCACATTATGAGTACAATATCGATAGTTAATAGGAGATCAAAGAATTATAAATATATACCCACATCTGTTATTTGATAATGAGCTTTATATGTTAGATAATATGACGGCATATAAATCGCACATATGTTGGGTGGCTAAGTCCTTAAATTATGCGTCTAAGACATTCTATCTCAGATCTCAAAAATATTATTATATTGTAACTATTAACAGTGATGTCTCTTGTTTGATGACGATGACTGTCCTTAGCATTACCATCTTACATCATGCTGTTTGTATCAACACAATCGAATAATACTGATTTTGTTAGTGGCATGGTTAACAAAATGATAACTATTCCTATAACACGGTACATATTAAACACACAATTATGTATATTCTGCTTCTCTTTATGTTAGTATATTATGTAAACAAGTTTGGGATGTATGAATAAAGAAAATCGCAATGTAAACAAAAATGTTTATTGTTTATCATAATTTTAAACAACTCTTTTAAGACATTTCAAATTGTTTACTAAATATACTTCAAAAACAACAGATTATACAATGAACTTGTAAGTCATCCAATATTAGGTTTATGTTATATAATCAATTATTTCTACATACTGTTGTGTGAACATTTTAATGTATATGATATGAGGGGAAAAAATCTAAATACATACTTGTAGCATATACTAATGTATAAACATTGACAATTAGACATGTATCTTATTTTGCAATGTGTAAAAGAGCAACATTTCTTAATGAGACAGTTACACAGTAACCGCGAATGACGCGTGTGTACATCCATAGCCCGTGACACCATATCGTTTACGTGACTTAAAATTAATCGAATCATATGTTATTACGATACAGATCCTCCGACCCACACAACACGCTCAGCTGCCATCTTAAGATAAACGGAAATTAAACATCTTAAACTGTACAGATAACTTCTAACAACATATATTAATGCTAAAAGCACGCTTTATTTAAACGATGCTATTGTTCAGCTAGATATACTATGACTTCCTATTCAGTACATATTTGTAACATGACTGTTTGTTAAAAAAAAGCATGCTGTTAGCCCGATGTCCAAAGACACATTTAATTGTGTTTATATCCGTGCCAAGTTTACTCTTAAGACGGCAGCCATAAAGTTACAGTGACGCTTACAGTGCTCATGGTAAAGTTTTATTAAAGACAAGATCCAACCGCCAGGAACACTTGATTGGAAGCTTTACAAGCGTGAAAGTTAGATTTAGAAAGAGATAGAACACAAAACTTCATAATGCGAGGTGAGCCAACACTATATTAATGTCATTGTTAACCTTTTAACCTCCATGCATACCGAAACTTACCGGTGGTTTCTGAAAATTTAAGAGTTAAAATTTAATTTTGTCGAAACAAAACACTACTGTTCTGCAATAACTTTTTGGTTTGTGGCGGTGAAAAGGTTTCCTCGTTACGGTATAAATATAACATATATATATTATAACTCGCAATATGAACATATGAATGAGCACGACACGTGAAGGGACAGGTAGCACCACTATGTTTTTTGTTCTACCCACTTTTACGTCTTATAAAAATGTAAAAATATCTACTTTTACTAAACTACTATAGCTATAACAGATCCGCCTTTATGTAAATACACGATAATGTTGCTGGAAATTACATTCTGTAATGTTTTCAGTCCCCTCTGACTGATATGAATTCACTAATTTTAATGATACTATTACATTATAGGAGCTAAGCAGCTAGTACAACCCAGTCGAAACGTTGTGAGATATAAATACCTTTATTTGCGATAAAATTATTCGTGTTAAGACCCGGTTAATAATATAAATAATGTATTGAATATACACAAAAGTTTAGTAACAGTACAGAAGTGACTGATATTAAAATAGATTTGGAATTATCTAAACGACATAAATACTTACCTATAAATTTCGAATTCGCTTCAAACGTCACTCGAATAAACTTCATAAGTACTATTAAACTCTAATCATTAATAATCAAAATTAATGACGCATCAAATATAGTTTTTAGGTTAGATTAAAATTCGTAACAACTAATGAACTTTGTAAATAGGAATTAAGGAAACTGTCGAACATTAAATTAGTCAATTCGTCTTAGACATCCCAACACATTTCTACTTTCTTCTGTGGCAATCGGTCGCTATTTTTACGATCATTTATTACCAGCATTATGCATCAGAGGCACGCATTGGAGACAGAAAGTATATCCAAAACACCAACTAATTTAACTCTTAGCAGTCATACTTTAAGGCAGTGTTTCCCAACCTTATTGTGCCATGCCCCAATTTAACCTTTCTAAAATTCTTATGACCCCCATCTACGTAACATACGTAATATTAAATATGTTAATTGTTCACTTAAGAAACTTAAAGGATAAGTTTTAGGAAGAAAACACACAACTTCTTAACAAAACTAAATAAATTTGAACATATACATTGAAAAACTGAAATTGATATTCTAAATAGTTTTAATAAAGATTTTTCTATATTAATTTATTATTTTAATAATTTAGTGATAAAACAATGATTTAAGATTGTTCTTTTTACTGAAATTTGTCACCGAAATCTAATATTGATTTTAAATAGTCCAGAGCGAAATTGTTTAACTGGCGTTGATTCAATTTTCGAATTGTCCCCCTTAACAATCAAATTGCTCTCTTGTGGTGCGTGGGCCCCACGTTGAGAAACACTGCTTTAAGGTATCTATTACAGTATTAGTCCATTCTCGTGCCGGCTAGCAACATTATGTACACGTGTGAGTGTCAGTAGGGTACGGAGCGATCTGTATCAGTGTGGGGTGAGTTCTCGGCGCGTGTCTCGCGCCTAGCGTTTACCGTTGTTGTACGAGAGACCGCGCAGCGGCTGCTTGAAGTTGGCGGCGGCCTGCTGTTGGATCTGGTATGCCAGTGGGTGGATTTTGAAGCCGTACAACCTGCACAATATTGTTTATAATATTATTTACTAGCTGTTACGCGCCTTCGCCCTCATGGAATTAAACTTTTTTCATTATGTTAATAATATTAAAAAAAAAATTGCCTAAGTTACTGATTGAAAGCCCCGTGAAATCGGTCCAGCCGTTTCAGAAATTAGAAGAAATATGAACAGACAGACATATATTTTTCGTACCACATATTCATATGCATTTAGTGAAAAGCTGTTAATTTGTAATTAGAAACAGATACTTAAATTTTATTAATTTCTACAGAATATATAAGCTGCCTATACACGTGAACAGCACCAAAAACATCACGTTATCATGTGACATGTCGTATTACTTATGTGTTGCTATTCCGAAGTATATTACACCTCTGTACCCGGTTTCTCTTCCTCGTCTCATCCTCAATGGAAACTGAACGCAAATGTAATCGCCATCAAGATTAAATTTGCGTTCAGATGTTAAGATTATAGACGTGGGTACGCACCTAGGTACAAATTGGGAGGCTGGGCGCTTAGGGCGCGATTCCGGGTGCACCATAAACACCATGTGAGGGAAGCCGGTGCCGAAGTAGGCGCCGTCGGTGTGGTGGTGGCGCGAAGACTTGGGAGTGTACACCTCCATGCATCGTGGACAATACAACTTGACCATCGCCTCCCCCGGCACATCAGACAGACCTATGTTGTCATATTTATTATTAGGGGCCGTTCCAGTATTACGTGAGCAGATTTATTACAATTATTTACCCCCCAACCCCCTTGTCAGCAAAAGTAAGCAAAGCTCTTACCCCCTCCCCCCATGATTACGTAAACATTTTTCAATTAATGAATTAATTGTAGCAAAGATATTGTGAGGGTTGCCATTCGTGTAATAAAGCAAATAAATACCGTTGACGTAATCAACATCTGTACTCTCCTACCCCCCACGTCATCCGTGGATGATAATGAAATGGTGCACCAGCCTGCGCTAACGGTTTACGCTAACGGGGCACCAGTGGAGGATGTTAAGATGAAAATGAGGTCAGGTCATCGTCGCCCATCGTGACAAATTCACTAGGAATTTACTATGCGGATTACTAGTTCCCGTTATTATCAACCCCCTTCCCCCCATAGAAATATATTTATCAATTGTCTTTTATTAGAACACATAAACAGTGCAATCTCAGGTCAAGGTGTGGGTTTTATATGGGCTCTGAATAATACCCACAATAAATTTGTTAATTTCAAAAGTTTTAATAAATTGTTACCAGACTACTTGATTGATTCATTTATTTATTTACTTGATATATTTAACCATTATACTTGAGCTTACTCTTCTTATGCACATATCATCTTCCACACAATCCATCCATGTTTTTTGTCATCCTTTCTCTTTTTATTCAAGAACTACCTGACCCGTGCAACTTTGTCTTTTCATGTCGGAACTTTTGCAATATTTTTCATTGCAGCTATACTCCTATAGGTTGTAGCATAATATTAGTATAGATTTATAGAATTCAGAAAGAGTCATCACACTTACCAAGTGGAAGCATTGTCTGACACTCGCAGTACACGCGGGGACAATGCCCAAAGTCGCCAGATTGGAATTTTTCTAACATTTGACCAATACCTCTGTAAGACAAAGTTATATTTTATCAATACCTTGATACTGGAGTTCCAATACTTTAATGTATGACGCCTTAACAGGCGTAGGTTACTGGAATAATATGAATTCAGGGCAATTTGAAGAGATGATCACTCTACTGGCAATTACACTCTACCGGTGACATTAATTTTTTTTAGAAGTTGTTGTTTGAATTTTGTAGTTTTTACATTTTATCATCATGTGACAGCGTTATTTATACATAAGTTTTTAAACATTATTTCTTATTTAAGTTTACAAGGTGGTTCCCCTTTTACAACCATGACTCTACATAAGATTTTATTTTATTTTATTCAAAACCTCAATTATTATCACTACTAGTATAGTAGTATTTGGTTGACATAGAAGACAAATTTATTCAAGTGTTTTTTTTTTTCATTTAGGTTACATAAAAAAATAAAGATTTATCCATAATCTTACCGATTTGTTAATATATAGCGAGCATGGATTAGCCCATAAAGTATTTCAGATGCTTGCTCGACTAAGTCAGACTGATTTGGATTATCATCGAGGTCATCATCTGAAAAAACATTAGTTATATTATTACTGAGTGACATTTTAAAATATATATATATATAGGTTTAATTATTTATTATTAGATAGGGACACATTATAAAGCCTCCTCAAATACTCATGAAATTAAATCATAATCATAATAAACAAAATCCATATATATATATTTTATTTATTTTTCACATTGAATTAATCACATGAATTTGCAGTATTAAGATTTAAAAAAAGACATTTTCACTTTATGTTAAATAAAAATACATTTCATTTTATGAGTGCTATCATAGGCTTAAATTGGCACTAACTTGTTATTACACTGTATTAAATTGAAATTAAATTATAAAAATTACAATAGGTATGCCTATGCCTATATATCAAAACATGGCTGTATGGGCACAGTTCGATTTGTCTTTCAGTTAAAGGATAAACTGAACAAAAAAAAACTATACCTATATATATGACAGATATATATTGTTACTTTCACCAGTTAATATTGTATTATAAACTGGTGCACTAAATAGGCTATAGAAAACTAGGTACAACTGTATGTATGTCTGTAATGCTGTTCATGTATTGTAACAGTTACCACTTACATTATGTGGGTCATTGGATTATTTGCCATTCTATATACAGAATAAATGTAAGTTTTTGATATCTATGTTTCTTAAGAACCATAAAGTTAATTTATAATAATGAAACTTTCCAAAAAAGAAATATTAAATAATTCTTATTAAGAAACACCACTCATTAAGCACAACAGTTCAATATAATAATTTTGTTCAGTGTAACATATTTATCAGTACAATTGTCTTTAGTTCTTGTATATTATTATAGTAAACCATGTATGTTACATAGATTAATATAATATGTTGTTAACTAATAGTAAATTTTCTCTCAGACTGTCATGAAACAGTATTTTTAAATTTAGAACAATTATATAGCTTACCCATCCATCACATGTACATAGTTGATTAATAAGAATTATATTCTTAAACAACATTACATTCTTAGATTCTTGTGAAAAGATTAAGCATATTTTTACAAGAATCGTAAGAATGCCTTACTTTACCAATGACTAGAGTCTAATATAATTCAAACCAATATTTCTTTAAATTCAAGAAATTATTTACTTATTTAACAATAACTTAGATTTACATCTAAACCATAGAGATATAGATAAATAACTAACCTGGCTCCAAATCTAGAATCATGTCCAGGGCTTGTCTATAATGTGGTACTTGCTCATTGAGCCCAGTCAAGTTAAATTTGTCATTAATATAGTCTTCGTCCACCTGAAAATTATTATATTTGTTGAATCAATATCTAAGGAAAGTGCATGAACTCATCGTCATCAAATTAATGGACTTACTTCACAGAAATATTCGTTCCCTCGCAGTCCACAGAACCACGATATCCAAGAGACTTCCTCCGAGCTGCTCATTTTCCTAAAATACTAAGAATTTGTTAGAGAAATTTCTAGGTGTGATATGTACGAAACTAAAGCGTCTGATTGCAAGCCGTTTGTAACAACGAAATCGAACACATACCTAGATCTTCACTTGTAATCCGAATATATTTTTTAGACTAACACTGCGAATTTTATATTTCAAAAATGTATGATATTGAAAACTTAACTTCTAAGGAAAATATACCACGGAAAACAAAAAAAATTAACAAAGCTCACCTTTTCGTGCCTTGGTGAGCCACGCTTGACGGATGGACGGAAGCAGTGTGACCACATTTAAAGTAAAGATTTGCTAGAAATCAAATTAAAGTGCCAAAATAATGCTGATATTTTTAATACAGCCACAGATATCTTTTCTGTGGCTATAGAAAAAATGTTACATGCCTACTATAACACTATAAAACTACAAAAGAGCAAGAAATTTCAGATACTATTAAACTGTTGCTATTTGTACAACTAAGAACTTAAAATTAAAAAGCTTAAAAAAAATATATAATATGATGACTAAAATATATTGTTAAAAGGGGTCCCTTTAGGCAACGTTCCGAAGATACTGGCAGCGTTCCCTCTTTGAATAGCTAGACTAATTCTTTGTCCAAGGTAGCTGCCAGCTTTTCGGTCTATTTGTTGCTATTTGTGTATCAAACGGTGATATTATGTTTCTATGATGATAAATTTGATATACCCAGAAAATATTGTTCAAGATTTAGGTTTTAAATATCTGATCTGTGCTACATATAAATGTCACTTTTAGAAGGTATTGTTATATACCTGTCAGACAGTACAATCATTTTTATTTATATTCATCTCAAAACAAATAGAGAATTATTTTCTTTAATTTAAAATTTTCGCAATCGAATTTATAATAATACTATACTCTCTCATACTTTGTTTAATTACTATTTATTCGTGGTTTGTTTCTACTGGCATATACCAGCACAGGTAAATTATGTTTTAAGAATTTCATATTTCAGAAGTAGTAACTTTATTACAACTATTTCCTCAGTGTTTCAAAAATTCTTAGTTAATTAGGTTTTTATCTGAACGAACAGTAAATCGACCGTCTTTTTAACTTTATTTGTTATAATTTATAAAATTCACCTTACGTCATTTTATTTGATAGTGAATCATCAGCCAGCTATGTCTGTAGCATGAGTGTAATACCGAGATGTTCTGGCCATTCTTGATGCCTTGGTGTTGTCTGCCGCATTATATCGGAACAAAAAAAATTTCTAAGAACTAAAATTGAATGTATATTTTGCAACATTTTTGTATAATTTGAATAGTTTCAGAGAAGAGTTGATTCAGAAGAAATTCATACTTGATCAGTTAATAATTACACTTATTTTTTTTTGAGATGATAATGAAATGGTGCATCTGCCTGCACTAACAGTTTATGCTGGCGGGGCACCAGTGGAAGATAATAAGATGAGCATGATGTCAGGTCAGTTGGCCCATCCTTATAAATTCACTAGGAATTTATCATGATGGTTTCCAGGGGAAACCGCATGGAGGTCAACCTAACATGGTACATTGCTAGCAATGGGGATTACTAATTCTCATTACTAACAATCCCCGTCCCCCTAATTACACTTATATATCTTGTTAAGACTATGACTATTGATATTTCAATAAACTAAGTCCCCATTATACAATTCATGTTTGAGACAAAGCTATGTACTTACAATGATGAAATAGAAATACATTAGTTGAAGAGAAGGAATTATTAGTAACTGTATCCTGCTACTAAATGAAGTAGTATGCAGAAATAATATAATATTAAGATGGGTCCCAGGGCACTCAAACATTGAAGGCAATGAAAATACTGACCATCTGGCAAAGTTAGGTTAGATCTATGTAGGTTGTAGTGCTACAGGTTCATGCACCTGACAATAGCCTAATAACCCAATAAAAAAAAAATTAAAAAAAGAAGGAAAACTCAAGACTCAATCTTTTTTCCAAATAACACTCATATGAATAATATGTTGCAAAATTATTATGATAATTATGTACTTATTCTAATTTATTTTCAGCAGAACAATTATGGTGTTTGCAAGTGATCCAGAAAATTTGTTTCCCGGCAGTGGTGACAATGATAGCATGGTAACGCCTATAATTAATTTAGTATGCACAGGTTCCAAAAAAATATGTATATAATATAATAAATACAAAAAAATATATAATATTATATATGTCATTTTAATTTTATCCCTATGTTTGTGTGGATATCATTACAGTACCTAATTAAATATACCAATTTAATGATTTAATATAATTATAATTTATTTTTAATATCAGAGCTCTCTAAAATAAGGGCTGCAGGCCAGATGACCCTATGTGAATTGATGCGGGCCGCAAAAGTTCTTTTTTTCTTTACTTAAATATCAACATTTTTGTAGAAAATTTTGATAGAATTTGATTTTTTTGTAAACCCAATTGAATTGATGAGCAAAATATTTTCTCTTCTGCTCTTATAAGCATACATCACATTTAGCTACTAGCCATATTGGTGTTGAAGTTGACAGACTTGTAAAAGATAAATTCATAAAAATAATATAATAATGAAATTACACATGCATTTTCTATTTATAAACATTTTGCGGCCCCTCAATGGATTTAGTTATTTTTATTGGCTCTAGATGCTATCTAGTTTGGACAGCTCTGTTCTTTATTACTAGAATGGCAAACAAGATGATGATAAGCAATAACTGTTACCAATATACATGAACAGCACTATCACATCAGCATGTAACATTTGCATTGCCACTCATATATTGCCAGTTGTTCAAAATTTCATTCAGTCATCCAGCTCACCGTATATTAAATATACTGTATCAATTGCAATCTTCTACAAGTGCTTCTAATAGATGGCACTCAACTTGTATACTTGTACGCACTTAACTATGTATAGATGTTAAAGATTTAAAAAAAATTCATGGTAATGAACTGTTGATGCAACTGTTTTTTATTTTTAAAATTTTATATTATAATAATTTATTTACAGAATGGTCAAGGAATTGTGTCAGCCATACACAAATGTCAGTCTAAGGATGCAAGAAAGCTCTGTATCTATGATCCTGTATACAAAATAAAAACTTCAAAAAAAAATTATTATGATATAGGTGGGACATACACCAATACAGAATCTGATCTCTGGTTTTACATCACCACATTGTCTTTCTCAGAGGAAAAATATTTAGTAAGTCTTTTCGTGTGCCATAGAAAAATTGGGAATGCAGCAATCACTGTTAATTTCAATGGCATAACACAAAAACAAATATTAAAAAGTTTTCATCCAAATGAAAATTATCACTTAAAAACATTCTGTCTGAACGAGGAAGACATTCAATTATTGTTGTATCGTAATATGTACATATATGTCTCTATAGATATCGAACCCAGCCAATTAATAGACAATGAAATTATTAAAAGAATTAAACTCCAACAGAATCTGAGTGAGGGCCTCCTGAAACAAGCAAAGACTGATTTCATATTAGAATCAGCAAGTAAGAAGCGCTTTCCAACTCATAAGATTGTTGTGGCTGCCCACAGTCCTGTCCTTAGGGCAAAGATAGGTTCAGGGGAGACATCTGTTTTTATTGATCTCTCAGACGAAACTATGGAGCTACTCTTAGAATTCTTATACAAGGGCACTATCAGTAATATAAAGGAGCGAGATTGTATGCAACTACAAGAAGTTGCTGACAATTTGAAGTTGGAGAATTTGTTTTTGTTAACACAGTATGCATTTGGAAAACAGATTAAAAAGGACAATGCTATCAAAATAGCACAGTTAGCAAAGAAGTATAACTTGGAGAAACTTTGGTCGGAAGTATGTGTTTTCATTAAAAAGAATCCAGAAGTAATGAACACAGAAGGCTGGAAAGCACTTACTGATGTTGAATTAGCCAAAGAGTTGTGCCAACAGTTTGTTAAGTAATTTTACAACTGTGTATAATAAAAATATTAGGTAGATATTAAAAAATAATATAAAACAAAATATTTAACCTCACAAAAGTACCTTAATTTATGTGATGTATAATTACTTGGATTGGCCTTATTTATAATCTATGGACTATTCACACAGCGCCATCTAGTCCCAAGTTAAGCTAGCTAAAGTTTGTGTTATGGGTACTAGATAACTGATACAAATACATAGATTTATTTTTGTAAATACATACATATTACACATAGAAAACACCCAGACATACAAGCAATCATACTCATGAGTTATATATATATGAGTAAATGTTTGTGCTGAATCCTCAAATGAAAGTAAGTTCAACCACATTTACATAAGGACCAAAATATTATTTCTACATCATACATTATGTGAAATTAAGAAACAATTAGGATTAATGTCAAGAAATACTGAAAGGCCTATGGCCACACAGTATTTCACAATAATTTATTGAATAATCATTAGAAAACTTACTAAAGTATATTTATGTATACATTGTGTTGATTGTTTTAAGTTAAAATACCCTTCACATACTGATTGGGCCTCAGTAGATTGTTATGTGATATTATCATTATATTTGTATTAAAAATAAATAAAGAAATTAAATTCATACTATTTGCATTATTATTTATTTAATCTTTATATACAAAAAATATATAATTTAATGTCAGACATAACATATTTAAAGCTCTTCTATTCAATCTTAATGAATATAATAGGAATATAGTATGGACACTACATTTCGAAAGAAACCATAGGACCATGCTTCTTATATGGTGGATGATTTTATAAATACCATTTCAATGCAATATGAAGATGCAGTAAAATTTGCTAGTACATTTACTAATCAATTAAAAATTACTCAATTGTTAGTTGCATATCATTAGTGTCTAAAAGTCTATCAATATCCGTTAACCAAGATATCAGCCTATCCAAGTAACCACCATCTTGTTTGAAACTTAAAAGCAGTAACTGAAGGTGATTATATGCTGTTGGCTGTTCCAGTAAGTAAGAAAGCCTTCTGTCTCTCAGAGACAACAATTTTATAACTATAATGACAATCAATGTCCACTGAATTGGTTTAAACATTATATTATTGGCTTTCAATTTAAATGTGTTTACAAGTAAGCGAACATCGGAACTAATTGATAGACTCGACATGCCCAATGATCTGAGTAAATCAGGTAGTGCTTTATTCAAGTGTTCACATACAATTCGTCTTCGTAATGCATTCTGCGCATTTTTATCCACTAATGGTAATTGTGTAACTTGTTCATCTCCTCCAATGGGCGGTGGTTTATTATAGTTTTCAGTGACTGAAGGTGTTTCCATCTCACCTGCAAAGAATGATTTGACTTTCAACTGAATCTTTTTACTCTCTTCTTGTAAAATGGAATAATCTGGCAGAGGTTTTGTCTCTCTCTGTAGTGTGTGAGCATCAAACTTTTTGTCTTCTAACTCAAGCATGTTCAACTTGCGGCAAAGGGCTTGATATTGGTCATAGCTATTTGAGTTGTAGGCTATGCTACTGGAATAATTGTCTAGGTATTCTTTTATACATTCTCCTTTGTCCTCAAGTATTTCCTTAACTCTTTCTTCACCAAATAATAATAACAAAGTATCTAGTGTGAACCATTCTGCAAGACATTTTTCAACTTGAATTGTCAATGCTGTCACTGCTGGTTGTTTCTTCTGTTGCACATTTTTATCTTGCTTTGTATTATTTTTGGTAGCATCTACAACGGTTATATTAGGTGATTGGGTGAGTATTGGATCAATTTTCTTCTCTGGCTTCTCAAGGATTTCTCCCACTATATTTAGTGGGTTTGGAGGTTTTTTAGCTGATTCCTTAACAATTTTATTATCAGATCTTGTATTGTGTTCTTTTTGAGTGGTTTTATTTTCTTGTTGATAATGATTATATATTGCGTCTGCTTTTGTTTTATTACTAGTTATATCACTTGTATTGGCATCTTTGTCAATATTGTCATGTATATAGGGCTTAGTATAGTTCTCATTTTTATTTTCACATTCATTAGTATCTTTATCATAGTCTGTGATTGTTATTTCATTCAGGCTAGCACTCGCAAACTCTTTGATGGAAGAGAACTGGGGTTTTACTGTTTTTATTTTTTCTGTTAAAGATAAATCTACTTCTTGCCCAAGACTACCAGGAGTATCTAATGGGAGCAATTGGAATTTGGGAATCTCTTCATATTCTCTAAACCAGAGTGGACTTGTCAACAATTGTTTTTTTATGTGTGTAGCGGACTTATAACAACTATTACTGCAGAAGCTCTTACGATCTGTAATGTCATACACTTTGTTTGTCTTCAATGATATTCTATACTTCTGTTTGGGGATATCTTTTTCTGATATAGCATTTTGACAAAGTGGATAACCACAAATATGTATTATCGCCCGCTCTTCAATCACATCCTCGAAGTGACTTTGGTTAATATCCGGCAAACATTGTATGAAATAACATTCGGTGATATCATTTTCAAGCAAACTTTCAACAATTTCTTGGGCCTTTGCATTACACTCACGTTTTTTGATGATAGCTTGTCGTATTTGTTCCTTAGACAGGTCTTCTATTTTAGTAGGTCTCTTTTTTACTAAAGTTTCCATAACTTACAAAGGTAATAATTAAAAATATTCATTAAATTAAGTAAATTTCAACAGAATTTCATTTATTTATCAAAACTAGAGAGTTTGTACAGAGTATTCTGGTGATTGGATAAAGTTGAGTAAACAGATAATCGACAGTCAGTCAGAAACTGGCACTTACTCATTCACAAATTCAAGCTATTGTCAATCAGGCCTGTGACCACAGACTACTTTCGAATTAATTCATTCAACCACTTTTTTTTTTTTTTGGTTCTGTTCATTCAACCACTTCATTGAAAATTTGATATTCACAGATCCGAAGAGTAACACAGTTGTCAGAGTATTATTTTGCTTTTAGTTATCAGTTACCATCAATAATTAATTATCGTGATCGTGATTACAAATTAAATATTACGTCGATAATATTCCGTAATATTTCTTTAATATATTTGTGGAGAAACTTAAGTGACAAACGGTGTAATTGAAAAAAATGTTATAAATAATATTATTTAATTGTACTTTCAACTTTCTGATAACGATGGAAGTCTCGTGAGTCGTTGCAATACCTTACAAACTACTCAAGTAAATTAACAAATAATATGTCGTCTGGATAATATTACTTTGGAAAGTGAAACTTCAAGTAAGTTGTATTTACAATAAGAAGGCAAAATATTTTTTAGTAAGAAAGAAACATTCTCTTTTTAGTTTTAGTGGAATTGTTTTATATAGGTTTTTCAATATTTATATAGTTACTATCCTCATAGTAACTATATAAATATTGAATTGAGTTGCAGTATTTTCTAGGTCTATAAATTTCCTAGAATCCCTCTCTGTTGAAAATAACTATAGTCAGCCTGTTCCCTAAAATGTCTATATAAAAGTAAAAAAGTTTTTATAATAATCTAACATTAATGTTATAGAACACTTTATAGACATTTTTTCTTGTTAATGTTTATATTTACTGAAATATTGGTATTCAATATTATAGTTAATTAGATGTTGCTTGTAGTGTGAGATTTATTTTTACTACATTATTTTATATACTGTGTCTTATATAACATTATTTCTACAATAGTTAAATAATTTAAATAAAAATAATATATTGCATGTTATTTGATGTGTTAAGAGTCACCAGAACAAGCATGTATGTATCAGATGAGTTATGAGTGTGATTGATGCATGTTTTTTTAATGGATGATGGTAATAGAAAGGTGCACATATTAACTATGCTATATAAATAGATCTGCCAGAAAAAAGATTTAAATGTCAAATAAAATACTTCCTTTGCAAAAAAGCTTACTATAAAATTGAAGAATTTGTTAACAATAAAAATGTTTTTATAGAAAAACTTTAACACTAATAATGAGTGTGTATGATTTCTATGTTGATTATCGCATGCCTCCTACTTGTTATACTGAATTATTTATATAAAAAAAAACATCTATTAAAAAGAGGAACACACAAGTTTCTTGCTCATTCTTCTTGTGATGAATCTGCATTCCGAACGAGTGGTAGAATCAAAATATGACTATTCAAAAGTGCTTGTAATGAGTTTATTTGAATAAAGATTATTTCTATTTCTATGTATTTTTTTATTGGGGCTTGGGCTATTGTTTGTTGCTTGGACCTGTAGCACTCTAACCTACATAGATCTGTTGTACTCACCCTTTTTCAGAATGTTATGCATATTCAAAAATTCAAATTCAAATTCAAAATATCTTTATTCATGTAGGTCTATTACAGACTCTTATGATATGTCAAATCTACCGTCAGTTCGGAATGATATCGAGATGGGAAGAACTGACAAGAAACTCAGCTCATATTTTTTTTCAAATAATAGTGGAACATGTTTATGATAAATACAGTTATTAAAATTCAAATTTGGGAGAATAGAGTGACCACCAGCATATGCTATCGCAAAGAACAAAAAATTTGATCAGTGTTCACAACCTGAACACCCACAAGCAAAAACGCAAAACCGTGACTTGTATTTAACCAATTTTATCTTTATTTAAAACAAAATAAGATTGAAACGCATTTGAAAAAATACAGCTGGCTCGCGCCTCTTCACTCTCGGTCGATGCGACAGACGACGAACATTCATAAGGTTACAGTATTTAGAAAAATATATATTTTGTTTACTTTCCTCCTTCCTTACCAAGAATCAGAAACCGATAATATGCATTACTTTTATCCTCGATTTTTATAGATATAGTAATTTCACAGATTTCTTTAACATAAAAGAACAGTTCTGAAGGAAAAATCACGGAACAATATAAAACAGGTCCGACCAGTTCAGTTTTCCTCTTTTATACATCGAGATTTTATAGATTATTCAATTATACATATAATAAATCGATTACGAGCCTCCTGTAAACAAATTATTAAACAAAAATCAATTGTATATATTATATTTATATTAATTGTATATACTAGCGACCCCCCCGGCTTCGCACGGATATACATATTACATATCTTTGAATTTCTCGGTTTGTTATATATATCTACAGACACTCGCACACTAGTTAATGTAAGAAAAATGTACCTACTGTGTTTTGTTAACACATTAAATGTCAGCTATTGTTCTATAATGTTTATAATTTACAATAGGTACCTACTGCATGCTCAGTGTATCTGCATTAGTTGTGTAGAGTGGTAGAGATAAGGAACGAGTGCAACAGTACTGGCTTACAATATTTTTTTATATATGTACGTATATATACGGTAATATTCAAATCTTTATAGCAAATTAAGAAATACATACAGAATAGTGCAGGCAAAGATTTCATACACACTGCCATGGAGTGCGTTGGCGGAGGAGGAAGGAGGCTTTTGCCCATAAATAAAAATAAAAAACTAACTTTTAACCGGCTAAAAACTGACTTATGTGGAACGACATTTTAAGTGCTCGATTAATTATATTTTAGCCTTCCATGCATATATAAATACATAATAATAAAAATTTTGCATAATTCACACGACGCCACTTAGTCTAACAAACAATGCTAAGCAGAACTTGTGTTATGAGTGCTAGACAACTAATAGACATAGATATATTTTTGTATATATATAATATCTATCTATGAAGTAAAGCGGTATATGAAACAGCTAGATTCCTAGGCCGTCAAATTATGGAAGTATAATCTCATTTGAATAGAGTAAGGACAGAGTTTCTTGTTACTTATTCTCGGCTTAATTACACTAATCATAAGTGTCTATCCTAACACACTTTAAATAAGTGTCCGTTATTACACTATCAAGAATAACAATATTATTGATTTTCAAAACTACAATTCATTGAGAATATGCAGCCAATTAAAATATCGTGTACGCCTCCCTTTACATGATGAATTGTTTTCCATGTTTTGTTAGCTGCAGTCAATAGAAAATAGATTAAATAAATACACAATAAAGATGTTAACAATTTATTGTTATTCATAGAATTATGCAGGCTACAGTAAATAAACACATACGTTTTATGAACGTTGAATAAATTTATACAGTCGCTAATTAATATACAGTATGACTATAAAAGCATATTTTTTTATATTATTGGAATGGATAACAAAGTGACAGTCCATTGATTGTACGTGATAACCGTCGCCGTGGACAGCATTACGGACATCACGTTATCAGATTACGTCCATAAAACCGCGAATATTTTGCTATTCAGGGGTCTAAGATGTCATGATTCTTAATCTCTCATCACCTTCTATCACAACCTTGAACCGAAACAGAGGAGACTGCGTGAAGGTTGACCTGACATGGTACATTAACTGCCTTTACACGACATGTTTTTTGATGCGCTATTAGGAGCGTTCGCGATTTAGTGCGGGGAAGCTAGTGCACGCTATCGTGAGTGGTTGACTGCATTTTCCTATTTTTATGGTCATTTCACTGTCTTTTAATGTTTTTGTTTATTTCACATATTTTATTTTACAAAGACACGTTTAACATTTAATAATTAACAATAACACTATAATTATCTCTTTGCTCAAAGACAGACGCTAAAACACTCCCGATTGAAGGACGCAGGGTATCGTCCCCGGTGTTTCTCGTTCTCTCTGTCTACATTTACACGTTCATACTCTCGTGCGTGAACATCGTTTCGTGCGTGAAAGAACGTACGTGTAAAGTCAGCTATTAGTGGCTGTAGACCATGGAATGGTACACTCGCCTGCGCTAACGGTTTACTCTGGCGGGGCTCCAGTGAAGGATGATAGGATGAGCATGAGGTCAGTTAGCCCATCGTGCCAAATTCACCAAGAATTTATCTCGATGGTTTCCAGGGGAACTGCGAGGAGGTCAACCAGATATGGTACATTGCTAGCTATAAGATCATCAGTCCGCATTACTAACAATCCGCTTCCCCCCTGTGTGACAGGACGCCACAATGCACATGTGGATGTGGTCCGGGTACAACCTGGGCGAGTTCCTGTTCTCGGGTCTCGTCATAGACACGCGGTGGGCCTTCGGTCTCACATGGATTGTGCTGTTCTTCGTCGCGGTGCTCTTTGAAGGCTCTAAGGTGATGAGAAATGGAAAATTACAATTGTTATTGTATACTAGCTGTCAGCCCTTACTTAGCCCGAGTGTTGGTACTAATAAAAAAAATCTTTTTCAATATTTTGTATTTTACATTATCTTTATTAATATTATAAAGAGGTTTTTGAGTTTTGATGGTCGGCCTAATCTCCGATAGTCCATTTATCGAAGAAGACACGAGAGTAACAGGGAAAATATGATTCAGGCGAATTTGCATGGGTCAGATATTTTTCTTTTTTGGATATTTTAACGAAAAAATAAACATTTTTAAGCCAAAATTTCCATGTAACGATAATTTATTCATTTAAATTCTTTCAGGTATATTTAGCACAAGTACAACGCGAAGCACACAATAAACTATACCCATACAGATCCGACGAGAGGAGGACCTTATTATGCGACAGGTGAGTGTGCCATTAGACATTTTTTTTAATTTCTAATTTCTATTAACATTGAGTAGTATCCATCTATTCCAAATTTAAAATAGATAACATCTTGTAGTAACATCGTCGTTTCTGAAATATAGGTATAGAAAAATAGGTTGCACTCGTTCATATTTTTAGAGCTGCTCTCTTGTCGGTGGCGCTCCCGCCATCTTCCACGATCTTACATCAATCTTTTTAGCTGTTGATACGACACGACTCCAACTTTTTCCTTAACCTGCTAGATATAGCCGTGCCTTGGTTTTCCCCTTCCTCTCTTTCCATCTATTTTTCCTTCGATAATATTATGAACACGCTGTTCCGCGCCTTCGTCCACGTGGTATTTAACTTTATTTTCTCAAATAAATTATAGTTTTGAAAATAAAAGTAAAAAATTGTAAAAAATGTTATTTTGGTGTATTTACCGTATTTATTTCCATATGCATGTTACTACATGAAAAACCGGTTATTTCAATATTACAAACAGACACTCCAATTTATGATCTGTCACTTTTCTTTAACCCTTTGCAGTACTTCTTCATGTCTTATTTTATCTTTCCAGCTAATTCTTTCCATTCTTGGGTACGGGTTCACGAACGCAAAAAAACGCATAGTCGCCGTTTCAGCGATAAATTATTGTCTATTTTTTGGTATATAATAATATAAATATTCGGCGTATACGCGTTCCGTTTTACGTTTTAAGTTCGGCACCCTAACAACTGTGCGACACTAAAATACAAGTCATTGCAAACTTTCTCGTTAAAATTCTCATTTATATGCTAAGAACATGATATTCACACACTACAATTATATATTCTGTGCTCATGTCCCAACTTTGTGATTTAGTCAACGTGTAGAAGAAAATTGTAGATATTTCTTTGAAGGGGCCCCAATTTCGATTCTAGTCTGATTTGCTTCTGGCTATGTTAGTTTTGGTAAGGTCCAGGGTCGAAGGCGTAAATTTTTAAACAAGTTTCATTATGTACATAAAAAATATACCAGTGCAGTTTCTTGGCAATTCTCTATTTAAGGTAAATTAATGTAATGAAATGCTGAGGGTTACTCAGTAACCCCTTTTTTATTTTTTTTAGTTAAGAAAAACTGGCAAGATCGCCGAACTAGACGGTAGGGGGACAGTGATAAATATATGAGGTCCTAAGTTAATAAATGATTTTTAGTTTGAGTTTATTTCTTCTTTGTATTGTGTTTGGATACGAGTGAGAGTGCGGGACGCATAGTATTTGCTGGTAGGGTAACCCACCGTTGCTCCAATGCATTGGAGCAACGGTAGTTCCTCATGCGTTAGCGTTCCTGAGGAAAATACTTCCGAAGTTTTCATAAATTCTTCTTCAATTACAATAATTGTTTGTTTGCTTCATACACCGCTTTACTTCATACATAGATATTATATATATATACAAAAATATATCTATGTCTATTAGTTGTCTAGCACTCATAACACAAGCTCTGCTTAGCATTGTTTGTTAGACTAAGTGGCGTCGTGTGAATTATGCAAAATTGTTATTATTATGTATTTATATATGCATGGAAGGCTAAAATATAATTAATCGAGCACTTAAAATGTCGTTCCATATAAGTCAATTTTTAGCCGGTTAAAAGTTAGTTTTCTATTGCTATTTATGGGATAAAGCCTCCTTCATCCTCCGCCAACGCACTCCATGGCAGTGTGTATGAAATCTTTGCCTGCACTATTCTGTATGTATTTCTTAATTTGCTATAAAGTTTGCTTTAGTTTGAGTTTATTTCTTCTTTGTATTGTGTTCGGATACGAGTGAGAGTGCGGGACTCATAGTATTTGCTGATAGGGTAACCCACCGTTGCTCCAATGCATTGGAGCAGCGGTAGTTCCTCATGCGTTAGCGTTCCTGAGGAAAATACTTCCGTAGTTTTCATAAATTCTTCTTCAATTACAATAATTGAAGAAGAATTCATGAAACTACGGAAGTATTTTCCGGCATTGCAATATCAAGTGAAAGTTTAACGTTTCATAAACTTCGTCGTTGGATTTCGGTTCTGTATGTAATTAGTACAGCTGTCATTACGTAATCTGTACTAATATTGTTACTAAGACAGTGAGTATGTTTATTAAACCATTTAGAACCTTAGTGGTTAATCGTCATAAGAATAGACTTACAATATCAGAGATCGGATTTGCGCTCTTTGTAACGATACTTTTCCGAAACGGTTTGACCGATCGAGACCAAAATTTCATCGTAGGACCTTTGAGCCTCCATGGTTTACCACTCAAAATTCTAATCGATCAAGGTCGAGTTTTTAAGAATAAACGCGCTCACATGTGACCTGGTGTGTATACAAAACTAGTATTTAGTTATTGTAACACCGTAACAATCCGTAAACTATATTCGCATTGTCATTGACCCAGAATTTCCCTTCACTATAAACGCATGGTTGTTGCGATTTTGTATGTTAAATCGCTTGTAGAAAGGTTGAATTAGGCAGTTATTATTTTGACCGAGTAGACATGAATGGGTTATGTAACTAAATAATGGTAGTTGATCCGGTTGTTGGTGCCCATGGTTCTATATATATATATATATATATATATAAACACCTCTTTGGGCACTTTGTTGATCACGCCACAACCTAAACACTTGCCGATTCCACCTTTTGCACTGAATAACTTGACTCCTATCGCGTATATCTCAGGCGGTATGGCAACGTCGCATTCTATTTTGCGATGCGGCCATATATATTCGTCGATAGTACGATATACTCGACACTTTTTTTACTAATAATTCGTGACTGAATGGCTCCGAACGGCTAAATTTTGGTATACACAAAGACTTTTTGGCTCTGAATATATTCCAAAAATCAATTAATTATGTTGATCACTTTATATACTCGTCCTTACTGCGATACTTACTTTCATCCGAATATATATAGATACCGTAACGGTCTATCAATTATGACTTTATTAATTTACTAATGTAGATATTTTATATTCGCAATGCTCCATACATGCAAGCTCCAGCAACGGTGGAGGCAGGGTCCCCCCTGCACCGTACACCGCACCCCGCGCACACAAACAAATTAGATATTTTTTGAATACACAAAGACTTTTTGGCTCTGTATATATATTTCAAAAATCAGTTAATTGTGTTGATCACTTTATATACTGGTCCTTACTGCGATACTTATTTTAATCCGAATATATATAGATACCGTAACGGTCTATCAATTATGAATTTACTAATCTAGATATTTTATATTCGCAATGCTCCATACATGCAAGCTCCAGCAACGGTGGAGGCAGGGGGAGCACCGTACACCGCACCCCGCGCACATAAACAAATTAGAATAAATTAAATTCATAAGATTATTTATATATTTCGACTGCCTCGGTGGTCACACCGCTTTACATCCGATGGCCGCGGGTTCGATTTCTCGCACGATGCAAACATTTGTACTCATCGGTCATCGATTGTTTTCATCGGTCTGGGTGTTTTATATGTATATTATATATGTATTTACAAAATAAAAATATCTATTTATATCAGTTCAGTATCAGTCTGTGTTAATTGTCCAGGGTTATTTATTATATTTTTATAAACGGTTATCTTTTTCCATCGCACCGCTCGCTATCGACAGTGAATTCATAGAAATGTCACTCTAAAAACAAAAATAGTTTTGTGTTTTGTATTTCAAATACTAAATGCAAAATAGGTATTTTCAAAATACTTTTTAAAAATTAAGTACCTTTTGAATTTTTGTCCAAACCTCAGATATTTTATTTATTTTAGGTATATCAATCATTACATAGTAATATAAAAACAAAGTCGCTGTCGTATCTAACAGTACATAAACAAAGAAAGAAGACTTTGGCTCTGATACCGTAACGGCCTATGAATTATGAATTTATTATACCTAATCTAGATATTTTATATTCGCAATGCTACGAACATTGTAATATCCGCCTCCATTCATTGTAACGGTGGAGGGACTAAATAGTTGAGTAAAACTGAATAAGCAGTTGCTCCACTCTATAGGTACTGCGTCGTCGTCGTATGCTGTTCATTTTTTCACTCGTTTTGGCGCCAAGAGAGGGTCACATAGTCGTGGTCAAGTTAAGAACTTATAATTTAATTTTGACAACAATAGATACAAGTAAAAAGTAGGTATTATATTAAAGTACGTAAGTACTGTACTTAAAAATATTTATTCTTTACTGTATGTACATTTGAAAAACTTAACACTTAAGGACTTGTACATATACACGTACATACTGCCATTTTCTCTTAAAGACATCCAGAGAAGCACTATTTATCAAATACGCGGGGTGCACCGACCTTTGACCTTATAACACCTGATTCGCGCGTAACGAATTACATTGCTACTTTTTGGTATTTTATAGTGGATATGTCACTATAAAATATTATTATTTCTTTAGATTATGACATAATAACATAGTTTACATGATTTTAAGGGAAACATACGATAAAAAAAAATCCCGTAAAATGTAAAAGATAAAAAATGGTTATTGTTGGTTATCCTTAAGAGATAGACATATACCATCACGGACTTTTTTGTTGACCTTATTTTGATACATCTCAAAGCACTAGACAACACGCATTTTCATTAAACAGTATTGTATTTTTTTATTTCTTTAACTTTAATGTACAAAAAAATTTGTACATGTGGCGGACTTAATATTTTGCCGCGTTATTTACCAGGCAACCATGAGTGGTGCAGCGAAAGATTATTGGCGGTGCACTAATATAAATAAGAAATGTCAAAAAAAGATTTATAAAGATAATAAAGATAAGCAAAATATACATTTCTATAAAAAAATAACAATATACATACATAAATATATATCTAAATATAACCCATAAATGTATAAATATTATATATAAGTAAATACATAATGATCCGATAATCAAATTATAAGTACAGTCTCAAATTGAAAGTAAGAAAATCAGAAAATATAGAGAGAACTATAT